AGCGTTAGTTGCAGCTGTATCGACAATAGCTCGGCCACAGCTAGCTCGGCCACAGCCAGCTCGGCAGCTCTACGTGCCTGACGCATGGCCCGCTTTGACAATAGCTACAGCCGCAGCGGCTGCGACAGCGACGACGACCTGGATGACAAAATCACGGTATAGGCAGGCTCTAGGGTTTGTTCTCTTCTTTTTCTCTTCTTTAGCTTAATTTTAAGCTCCCCTTTTATACATAAAAATTAAGCTTTGGAGGGGGGTAATGTGACGGCGTGTACCGCCTCACATGCTCTGCGGCATCAGCTCCCTCGCTTGCGCAACGAGGCTTTCGGAGGCTGTTAACATAGCGGGCTGATGGTCAGATGTACCAGTCGCCCTTGGGATTGGTTTTAGAGGAGCGAGATTTGGCAAACCATTTATGCGGCATTTTGTTCGCATATAATCATGTTAAAAGAGGGGGTGGGAGAATCCAACATACTTGATCACTTGTATGATTAGCCACAAAGTCAAACAAGATCCTCATGCCCCTAGCATGTGTTTCCGTAATGACCTTCTCCATATCCGGAACCGTTCCATACAGAGGATATACATTTTCGTATTCTGAGATGTCATAGCCCTTGTCGACTTGTGGGGAGTCGTACATTGGGCAAATCCAGACGATGCCCACTCCATCATTGCATCCATCCATAATGACAATCACACAAAGACTTTGGTGGAAAGACGGCGTAGTCTACCAAATCTATCCCACCAGCTTCGAAGGCTCTAGCGGCGACGGAACCGGAGACCTTCAGGGCATCATTATCTGAGCTCGACTATACCCGCTCCTTCGGGAAAGAGAAAGTGGAAACTGCAGGTATAGGATTTGAGATTAGGATTGAAACGGAGATGTAAACGGAAGCGGTTTGCTTAGAGAGCTTCGAAGCTTGGCATGCGTACCCCTCTTATATTGCTACTAACTTTGCCGGTAGGACTGGAGGTTGCCTCCAGCGGAAGTCCACACAACCACTCTTTCCATACCACTCTTTCCACATACAATAGATCGACAACAACAAACAGCAGCAACGACGTGATTTCTAGAACAGGGGAAGCGGATATTCATGACAAATCCCCATCCGCAATTCGTTCAAAGTCGTTCCGATAATATCTTCAGGAAAGTTTCCCCTCTCTTTGCTATCAACGGCTCGACTTTCGGAACGATTATTCGACATCGTCGTGCCGCTGGCGCTAGGATATCCTTTTTCAGCCAAGCACATCTCGAACCAATGAAAACCAGGGATCTCTGCGCTCCAAGTTTCGGGGGCTGTCTCCACATTTCCAGAGAGCCCAACCTGTCGAAGATCGCCAGAGATGCCATGGTTCGACAATACACCAATCATAAGCACCAATTCCTGAATCGTGTCTCGTAAACTCCCCTCAGTTGGCGTTCTTCCCTGGCACGCCTCGCTACAGTAAATGCCGTAGCACCAAACCAGAACCTTAGTGCCTTGTTTCCCACACCTCGTCAACCTGGCCAGAGCTTCTCTACTACGTCGCGGACCGACATTAGACAAATCAGCGGCGGTGAAGAAGGCGTCCGCGCTTCAGGGGAGGCTCAAAAATCTTGTCCGAGGATGTTAAACCCCAGATCTAGTCCCTAGATCGGGGTACGTGCTGAAGTGGATCGGCCGGAGAAGATGCTAGTGAGTGGCTCCTTGCGGTATTTTCTATCGAAACCATCTTGATGATGGTGCCTAGGTGTCTTGGGTGATGGCGACGGATGGGGTGTTTAAGTATGACCATAGGTTCACAGAAAGTGGAATTTTCATCTCAAGCCTATGAGAACATCTTAGAATTTAAGGGAACGAGCGACTTGGAGCGACAGGTCTTCTTTCCTCTAACATCATTCAAGTCAACTCCTCTCTAAGTTGGCACTGAGCTGAGATACAACTACAATGGCTTCCCGCCGAAGTTCTGTCATCCACGTCGACGATGAAAAAATCTGCCGCATGTCCGTCAACAATCCGGACTTCACCCACATCTCGGACGATGCAGCCAAAGCTACTGAAGTAGAGCGCAACATGACGCTCTTGCAAGGTCTCAAAATCTACCCCAAAGCTGTGGGCTGGAGCATCTTACTCTCTGCCGCCATTATCATGGAAGGTTTTGACATTGTGCTGATTGCGAACCTCCTCGCCGTCCCAGCTTTCAAGAATAAATTCGGCGTCCAACTTGCAGACGGCTCCTACGAGGTTACAGCAGCCTGGCAATCCGGCCTTACGAACGGTGCATACTGTGGAGAAATCCTCGGTTTGATGATTAATGGTATCATCGCTGAAAAATATGGCTTTAAGAAAACCATGATTAGCGCCCTCACGCTCGTCGCCAGCCTGATATTTATTGTCTTCTTTGTCCAGAACATTGAACAACTCCTCATCGGACTCATCCTCCTTGGAATTCCGTGGGGTGTCTTCCAAACACTCACAACCACCTACGCCGCTGAAGTGTGTCCTGTGCCGCTCAGAGCTTACCTGACTACCTACGTCAATCTTTGCTGGGTAATGGGGCAGTTTCTCGCTTCGGGTGTGCTGAAGGGTGTTTCTACCCGCAACGACGAATGGGCATATCGGATCCCGTACGCGCTGCAATGGATTTGGCCCATCCCGCTCATCATCGGCATCGCACTTGCTCCCGAATCTCCCTGGTGGCTCGTTCGAAAAGAACGTCTCGACGACGCGAAGAAAATGGTACTGCGACTTACCTCGCGTAACCAAGCCGTGGACTTCAGCCCCGATGAGACTGTAGCCATGATGCAGCATACCAACGAGATGGAAAAGATGTCTTCTAGGGGCGCTACGTATCTCGACTGCTTTAAGGGAACTGATCTTTACCGAACGGAAATCTGCGCTATGACATGGTTCACGCAAGCCTTCTGTGGGTCGTCATTCATGGGGTTTTCGACCTACTTTTTTGAACAAGCTGGACTTGACACATCAAACGCCTTCAGCATGTCCCTAGGACAATACGCACTCGGTGCCGTCGGAACATTCCTCGCATGGTATCTAATGCAGATATGTGGGCGTCGAACTCTATACGTCTGGGGCCAAGCCATTCTCTGCGCCCTCCTCCTCATCATTGGATTCTGCGGCATTGCATCCAAGGACAATACCGGCGCACAGTGGGCAATTGGGACCATGCTTCTCATCTTCACATTCGTGTATGACTCCACTGTTGGCCCTGTGTGCTATTCCCTTGTCGCCGAAATGCCGTCCACCCGCCTCCGCCAAAAGACCGTCGTCCTGGCCCGCAATTTCTACAACATCGCTAGCATCATCGGTAACATCCTCACGCCGCGTATGCTAAATCCTAGCGCATGGAACTGGGGCGCTAAGTCGGCATTTTTCTGGGCGGGAACGTGCTTCTTGTGTTTTGTGTGGACGTACTTCAGGCTTCCGGAGCCGAGGGGGAGGACGTATGGGGAGCTTGATACTCTATTTGAGCAGAGGGTGTCTGCGAGGAAGTTTACGAGGACGGATGTGGATTTGAAGGGAAATGGTGCACAGACGGAGGGGTTTGGAGGGGAGAAGAAGGCGGTGACTGCGCATTTAGAGACCATGGAATTGGCGAGGACGTAGGACGTAGGAGGGTATGATTGTGAAGTGGAAAGTCTGGTTTGCGGATTATACCCTCGCTTTTTGGTTTTTTTTCCTGTTGGACGTTAGCATGTATCTCTTTGAATGGAACCTTTTAACCCCTTACTCTCATTTAAAAATCATCGGGAATCTCCATACCAAACACGTGATTTTCGGAACCCACAGGCACCCTTGGGATGCCCAGATGAGGTCAAAAGATTCGCACAATGTGGACCTCAGTCGTTTCAAATGGTACACTTGTAGAATTGATAATGCCAATTGCAGAAACTGGGAGCAAGCTGTTGAAATCACACATTGCAAAAACATCAGACTGAGATCTAGATGGAGACTGAGTCCTAATTCATGAAAGGTAAAAGGTGCTCAATATCACGCCTCTGCCATGAAAGAAATTCCCGTGGTAATGCACATGCCTATGTTCACGCCAGAACATTTTCCTGTCTCGATATCGTCTCTCCTGCTCATTGGATCATGACCTGCCAGCTTTCTATCTCAGCCTCCTGGCCTCACGTTCGGACTCGAGCAAGCAGAGGATGTCGTTCTCGCGGACTGTGCTCCGGATTAGTTTATCCTGCTATTTTGGGATGTAGTTGTGGAGGTGCGGCCGTACCTGGGCCCTTGACGTTTCGGATGATGCTTCGAGTTGTGTCGTCCATGAATTCGACGCGGACTTGGGTGACACCGCCACGGGAGCCTGTGCTTGTCAGAAGGGGGTTTTCTTCCAATCGTTTCTGGGTGCGCTTTGCATCGCGACTCTCGGGAGGAAATTACGTACCGGTGCGGCCGAGGACTGCGATGAAATGTCAGTGAATATATCTTTTCGCTTTCCGGAGTTAGACATACCTCGGGTGACTTTGACAAGCTTGACGGGAACCTTTGCGGCATCCATGTCTATGGTCTGCAGTCCGTCAGTCCTAGCGTGGTTTTCCAAGCGCTCCAATACCGACTTTGAATTGATTTCAGTCACAATTAGTGATATTGAATCGACTTGTGACGTGCAGCAAGAGCTTCGTGGGGTGGATGAAGGTGGAGTCGTCGAGTTGGTCTTAGATTCAAAATAGGTGTGCGTTTGGTGTTGAGCTCAGCCGCAAGCGAATTTATTTTGCCGCCCTCCACCGCCTTAGCAATTCTACGATACCTAATCCGGTGTCTGCGGGGGGGCTGATGCATGAACTTCACCTCTCACCCCTCATTGGCCGCCTTCAACTAAAATCGAGTCCGCACATCGGAGCATTCCCCACAACTCCCCCCCTTCCCTCTCTGACTGGTACTTACGACACTACTTTTTCCTCCCGTCCTAGGAAGCGCGAATTGCGAGATTGATGCCATACCCCTCCTTGACTCACCTAGTATCTCCGGCGTGAATAGCACATCCCACTAGCACAACTGCACAAAACCATAAATCAGTTCATCCTCGACGCCCGCCTGCAGCTCCGCCAGCCCAACGCCAGATCAGATCCAATTAGACAACCTTACGTGGACACCTGCTTGATGTCCTTTCGGAGGAAGACTCAGATAAAAGCAAACACCTCCACGCGCTTCAACCCCTTGTAACGCACCCCAGGTTGTTGGGGTCCCCTTATAAGGATGGATCTGGTCAATTCGTATGTTGCGCTCTTCTCCTTCTCTTCTCTTCCCCTCCTATTCTTTTCCCCTCCTATTCTCTTCTCCTCCTATTCTCTTCTCCTCCTATTTTCTCCTCCTCCTATTTTCTCCTCCTATTTTCTCCTCCTCTTCCCTCCTTGCTACGGAACTTAGGGAAGCATGGAGCATGCTAATGGTGTCAACGGTGTCAATGGTGTCGCTCACAAGCACACGCGCAGTATGAGCCGGAGTTTACCGTTCTTGACTGATATTCTAGGAAATAGTCTGAATGACCGGTTACTGTTTGCTGTGCCTAAGAGTATGTGCGCTTGATCTTTTCTTCTCCCATCGTGCTAATAAGATTTGAATAGAGGGGCGTCTCAACCAAGCCTGCCTCGACCTCCTCCACGGCTCAGACATCCAATTCCACCGCCATTCACGCCTCGACATCGCACTCGTAAAGAACCTTCCTCTCGCTCTGATCTTTCTCCCCGCCGCAGATATTCCCACATTCGTTGGCGAAGGCCGCGTAGACTTGGGAATAACGGGCCGGGATCAAGTCGCCGAACATGAATGCTTAGCACCACCAACAGCTACAACAGGTGTAGAGGAGGTATTAGATCTGGATTTCGGGAAATGTGCTCTGCAGGTGCAGGTGCCCCAGAAAGGTGACCTGACCCGGCCTGAGGATCTCATTGGAAAGAACGTCGTCACAAGCTTCACAAATCTCACGGAGCAGTACTTTCGGAAATTAGAAGCGCTACAGTCAGGGGAAACACTGAATGGTGACGCAAACGGCCAAATAAAACTCATGACTAAGATCAAATACGTGGGTGGCAGCGTGGAAGCTGCATGCGCTTTAGGTGTAGCAGATGGTATCGTCGATCTTGTCGAATCCGGAGAGACGATGCGGGCAGCTGGTCTGAAGGCAATCTCGACGGTCATAGACTCGAGCGCTATACTCATCAAGTCGAAGCACCCCTCAGACCCAAGACTCGTCGAGCTCATTGCTTCGAGAATCCGAGGTGTCATAAGTAAGTCAAATGATGTCCTCTCGCTTATGTTACCAACAAGGCTTCTAACATGCATACAGCGGCCCAAAAATACGTACTATGCACCTACAACATCGAACGCCCCAAACTCGACGCAGCCTGCAAAATCACGCCCGGAAAACGCGCTCCCACCATCAACTCTTTAGAAGAAGAAGGTTGGGTTGCTGTATCAGCTATGGTAGAGCGAAAGAGAATTGCCGTGGCAATGGACGAACTAACCGCTGTTGGCGCTTGCGACATCCTCGTTATGAAAATCGAGAATTCAAGAACGATTCCGTAGTGAGGGTGGCGGAAGTGGAAAAGCCGGTTGTTTGTCTTTTTCTGTCTAGAAAGGAATCTGAAGGTGTATTTTCGGATTTGTGTAGCAGGCATATTGAGCATTTGCTCGATTTATCCATTGTAACATTGATGGTAGGTGGTATAGATAAAATTCAGATAATGTGGGTTTAGATTTCGGGAACGGGTTTGGGATTGGGAATCTGATGAAGATGCGGATCTAGTGTGCAACCTTCCATCACACCTCCTTCCAATTTGACGATTACTCATGTCTGCTTTTCTCTCGACGTTCTGTATCTCCTTACTCCTTTATCCCCTCGACAATCTTTCATATATCAAGGCTTAATATCCATGAAGTGCAAAAGCAAAGGCGGATATATGCTACTCACCTATCGTAGAACGTAGTAAGGGCCATCTAGGGCAAAAACTTGCATGTCATTAGTGCTCTCCCTTATTCTATCTCGAGGTATATTAGATCGATCGTACTCTGGGATCGCTCTCCGTTATGCTATATAATGCTGAGAACACAGCCAGTCAGGAGATTGGCCCGTAGATAATTAGATAAATTATTACGGTTGCCTTTCTGGAAGACGTGACGTCGATCCGCAAGGCCACTTGCATGCTCAACGCTTTTTTCGTTGCAAGTATCACTCAAATTTAATAGATTATCATCATCGCGATTAATATCACAAATCACTCATCCTGGAAGTCCGTTCCGATACAGGACATGATTTATTCAGCCTACACGTACATACCCTTTCCACATCCGTCCATTATTCCATCGTCAGTCCAATGTCAGTGCAGAGAGTGGAGAGAGGACACGAACAAGTTTAGAAAGAATTGAACGAATGAATGAGCGAGAAGACGAGAAAATCTTCGATTGTCCATCCATGCTTGTCATGCCAGGGGTAAGAAATAAAGCAAACAAATCGTGTTGTGATGTTTTGGGTTGAAAAACTGCACGTTTGTCGTACTGTGTAGGAAGGACAGGAATGTGAGCAAAGCCGGTCCATCAATTAGTCATCAGCCGTCGTGTCAGAGGTCCATCTGAACAGCCACAGCAGCATCGGCGTGAATAGAGTAGATGCTACTTCAAACCCCCACTGCCGCCGTTGCCATTGGAGTTTCCGTTGCCGTTTACTCGATATTAACCTTCCTTGGCTGCGGTGCCTTCGCCTTCGGAACCACAATACTCAGAATCCCATTCTTCAAGCTAGCCTTAACCGCCTCCTGATCGACTCTCGCCGGAAAGCTAAAAGACCGATGGAACTCGCCAACCGAGCGCTCACTCACCCAATACTTCGGCTCATCGCTCTCAGGCTTCTTAGCGACCTCCTGCTCCAGCTTCTTGGCTACGGCCGACTCGGCGGCGGCGCCCTCGTCCTCCACGGTAGGTTGGTGGTAATGCCCGTGTTCGTGGCTTGATTCGCCTTCTTCAATGAATCCCTGTGGACGCTGACCTTCTTCGTGAATAGTCTCAGTGCGGCCGGAAACAGTTAGAGTGTTGCCATCCGTCCACTCGATGTTGATGTCCTTCTGCTCGATACCAGGGAACTCGCCGTGCAGCTCGTAGAAATCCTTCAGCTCCTTGACATCGAATTTGGGGGAGAAGGATCGGAGGCTGTGGTCAAGGTGTCGGAATGCATGACGAGAGGCTCGGTCGTAGTCGTCAAGCAGACGGAAAACCGGGGAGAATTCTTGAGTGAAGCGTGGGAAAAGAGACATTGCTCCTGGAGTGGTGTAGTAGAAAGGCCGATTTGGTTGTTTGGTTATGCGGGTGAGGTGATTTGGAACTCGTCGAATTGCTGATCGTAAAGCTTGCATGAAAGGCTTGATGCTTGTTGTCGATGGAGATCTTCAAATTCGACAGTGAGCTGGCCTTATATATAGAAGTTCTGGGCTTCTAGAACCTGCGCAAGCCGCTAGATATCAGGCTTCACAGTGGTGTGATTTGACGTGAGGGGGATCGAGGATCCTTTCGATGCTTCTCGAAACCGCGAGAGGTCACGATACATGACGCAACATCCAGACAGGCCTAAGCCGAGAAATCTCCCGTATTAGATGAGCAAACTCGATCATGCGAGAAGCTTTACTCATACCAACAGTGTAATTACCGATGCTGTTTGTCTGGAATACTCTTGATCTTTGTCTTTCAGAAGCATCTCGAACCTTCCACTTGATCAACCGCCACCCACGTGACTCAACACCGTTGCCGATCGACTTTCCCATCAGTCCATCAAGTCACCGAATAAAATAACATCCGCTGACGCAATCTAGGACGCCTTCCCCTCGGCCCTGTTGCATACGCAATCCTGGCGCTTCAGGATTACAAGTACATTGACATGCCGCTGATGGTTGCAATCTCGCTCTTCTGCCCCGGAACCCTCCCCCTTTAGCCACTACACCTCCTCTTCCTTCGAAATATGAACGCAGTGCTCGTTGGAAATCATCTCAAGATGTTTCTGATTCCTGGGTCTTGGTAGATGTCGAGTTGTCGGTGTCCTCGTCGAAGTAGGTATTCGATGGTGCTGAAGTCTTTCCTGTCGACGTTGATGTGCTTGCGGAACTCTTCTCTGGGTGGACGTTGGTTTGGTGGGTTTTAGGAAACTTAAGCAACTGGGTGATGCGAACCTAACAAATAATCGAAAGTTTTCTCGTGTGTCCTATGGGAACGTCAGTGATTGTGCGAGGGTGCCAAAGTAAATCCTCACATTAGGCTTGTCTCGTAAGGCTCGGATGCATTGCCGGTAAAGGGACAAAACAGCCCTCTGAAGTCCCGAGAGCTTTCCCATAATTACCCCAAGATTCAAAGCTTGACACTCAGTCAAAAGAAATCATCACTTTCGAAGAATGAGATGTCCATAGGTTGGGCACATTTCTTCCGGCAATTGGTGACGACAATGCCGAGCCAACCCGATCAAGGACCGAGCTTCAAGGAAGATTCCGCCGAGCGAAGCTAACGGACAAAGTCAATTGCAACCTCATACATTGAAACATGACCCAAGATATTCCATTTCCGGCGTCGGCTTGGCCGTCATGACGGCTGAGTCCGCTACTTACAAAGTAATTGTTCCACCGCAGCGGGTGAAAGGTAGTCACACATGCAATTCGGTCATGCCCCGCCCGCAGTGCAGATTGCCAGCGCATCATTCATCTATCTCAACATCCATGGGAAAAGTGCTTTGCTTTGCTCACCTCCCATATCATGACTTACGAGCCCCAACGATCAACCTGGTTTACAAGTAAGATTAGGAAATATTTCTTCATCCTTGCACAAGGCAGAACCAGAATAAATGGCTTCAAACCCACCAGAATCATTGAGGTGAACCCTTTCAGACCCGATCATCACCAATTGACTGATCCCATTATTGTATGGAACTTTTCGCTTATTATCATCTATCCTCTAACAATTGTTGTAGGGAAATAAAGAGTGCAATTCCTGCTTAGGCAAGACCACGAAGATCTAACGCGCTATCTATGCTTCAACTACCGCTCCCATGCACAAGAGCCCCACCTTTCCATGTCCGAACACCCTACTCTCTTCTATATAAGCTACCGACTACTCTTACTGGTCTATACGATCAGACCAGCACCTCTCTTGTCACACGGGAGTCGCCTAGTGTTGACTCTGAGTGTGAACTAGCAGTTGTTCTAGGAACATAGGAACATAAGAGATGGGCGGAGGATGGAGATTCTAGCAAACGTTTTAACAGCTGGCCCCCACTTGGACCTGGGATTATCAAATCTAGGGTATTTAGAGACAACAACCCTAAAAGAAGTGCGGGGGCTAGAAAAGATGGCAGGATTTAGACGAAACTAAATAGCGATGTTGTCTAGGAAGGACGGACCGCCGATATGATATTTTGTGTGGCTTAGCCTATATCCATGCTTGACCAATGGACCCCGTTCCTTCCACGGGTACCGATATTTATGGGACCCCAGGCCGACGGAAGGATGAGTCGGGACCGCCCACCCTCGGTAAAGCATGGCAATCTTGTCAAGGTCGGTACGGTGGTCTCGGAAGCTGCACGAATCATTTCCACCTTGTAGATCCTAGTCGCCAGAAGAGAGGAGATTTTAAACAGTCGGACAGTCAATTCTTCCGTTGAGTTGACCCACATAAGATTCAAAACAAGGAAAGCAATTTGGGCGTTAGGATTGAATGCCAAGATTGAGTAGCAGGAAATTGTTGCACGAGAAGAAATGGCGCCATGAAAGCCCGCAGAGGGTATCGAATTATCAAAATTAAGGCTATAACAAGAATGGAAAAGGCATGAAGATAATACGAACGCGACGCACAGGTTTTATCACATCATCCTTTAAACGAGACATGAAACAATTGATCATACATACGTCAGCGAGATGTAAACGTGATTGAGAATGCAAGGAATCCTAATAAACAACAGAATAATGGTTTGCTAGTTTCGACCAACGAGTTTGTAGTTATGGAAATATGAAGACATTGGGGCTACATAGTGAAGGGGGGATTAAGAGAACCTGGAGATGGCGCAGAATTGGGGTGAAAGAGATAGCTGGGCAAAAAAACTGCTAGCAAGGGGTGGACGGCGATATGGAACGTTCCAAACCAACCGCCATTTTTCAGAGATGGCCAGAAGCTGCGATGAGGTCCCCCCAGAACCCTCATTTTTTGTCGATATCGTGAGCATTATCGTACCAGATATCCGATCGTAGTGCTTGACCCATCTGCCGCTCAACATGTTCGACCGCACCTCTTCCATAGCCAGAATTATAATAGTGATATTCTGAAAATGGGAGTGGCGACTGCGGGATATGCTCCTCACCATCATCCTCTTCCTCAACACCGACATCCTCAGCCGTCTCCTCTGAGCGGTGGGTTGGAGTGTGGTTTGGGGTGAAATACGGTGTTGGCTGTCTGTCGAGGCGTTCAAGTCCGCCGGCGTTGCTATCATGAATAGCGTCGGCTGTTGTTTGGGAGTGATGGTAGGCTCTAGTTGAGAGATATTCGGAAGTTATTGTGCCCGGCCCTGAGGATTGGTTAACGGATGCGAGCAAAGAATTGTTATCCCCTTTTAGAGACACCTCGCAAGAATGAGCGGCTAGCTTTTAATCACCAATCCAGCTTCCTAAACCAACAAGATTTTCCTTGGGGAAGAGCATTCCGATGTATCATTCCGTCCTCTCACCGTGGCGACAACAACAGAGAATTGCCCTCAGAACAATTTCCCCTTACATTGGCTGCCGTGCAAAGAGAAAAGAACTGTTACGCGACGTACATGAGTTACGAGAGCGCCTGCTTGAACCCCCCTTAGAAGAGCGTTCAGGAGTTCGAAGAGATTCATGTGTGAGAGTAGCTTCAAGTGCGACAGGGTCTGGCTGGCGAGAAGCACCAGGGTGGGAGGAGTTGGTGAGTGGCAGTTTGTTCCCATGGCTTGGCGACTGAACAAGCGGAGATGGGTTCCGCTGTCCTACCGTGTCTTCAATCTCGAGCTTTATCTCAATCTCGGGTGGGGATGGAGCCACAATCTCTTCAAATCCGGCCCCTAAACCTCTGATATCATCCGAGTTAAGCCTTGCCTTTGGCTTCATTGGAAGAGTAGCAACGGGTTCGTCAGAATAGTGTTCTTGTTCCAGATGAGCGGCCCACCTAACGACATCGCTAACCTGCGAAGATGGCATACCGTTACCGAGACACGTGAACTCTGGACGATTTGCAAGATACTGTGTGATGTTTCCTTGAGATTAGGAGGTGAAGGACAATGCTTGATAGTAACAACTCGAATATGATGTTAAGGAATGAGTGAGAGTGAGAGTTCGGGTGTGGGACAAAGGGAAGTGCAAGGTGTTGCAAACAATGGGAAAAGAACTTCAAGCGACCTAAGATTGCTTTAAATGTTGAAGGAGTGAAATGGTTAAGAGAAACAAGAGCACGTTAAGGTGAGAGCAACTGGGGGCGGAAAGAGGATACGGCCGCGCGGGTGAATAGACTTGACACACCCCCTCAAAACCTTAATTGGTTTCCTAAAAAAGGCAAACACGAAGCCTCGGAATAGCGTACCACAGGGGTGGTGTTGGGACTCCGAGATGCGCGCGACCGCGTGGCATATGCCAGGGAGCTCGAGATCCAAGATCCGGCTGCATCTGCAGCTGCAGGTTACACTCCAATCCTCCACGTCCTTTCGATGGTGGAATGCGACACTAGAATCGACATCCGGTTATACGAAAGATATTTCTGCCTTTTCTGAAGTATGATATTCGCTGAGATTTGCTAGGATGGGAAGTTGGGTAATGTCTACGGACTCAGGTTCAGGGCAATTCTCGAAAGGTTGAAACTTGGGTCGAGAGGTGTGGCCCAGTGAGTGAGGGCGTCTACTCATCGGCGTAGGTACCGTAGAGTACGCACTCAAGGAGCCGGCGGCCACTCAGCCCGACGTTGCAGACTGCGTCGTAACATGTAGCGAAGATCATTGGGTAGATGGGAGCTAGCTTTGGAATGCAAGCCGCCGCAACAAGAAGATATACACAAGACCCGGCTGCAGGAAATTCAAGAGTGTCCTGGCACTCACTGACCGTCGGGGCTGTTCCATGGAGTCGACTATTAGTGAGCTGTTCTAAGTTTACCAGTTTCTCAAAATGACTGGCGACGCTCTAGGGGCCGCCGAGCGCCGCAGACTCGTAAAATAGAGCCACTAACGCAATCTGCGAGAGAAGGCAAAGTGGTGTGCAGACGCAGACGTAGAACAACGGGGTCAACACAACCCAACGACCATTTATTCGGGTCGGCACACGGGAGCTAGCACCCTGGAACATGAAACAGGGCTGTCATGACGAAGACAGCGTGAGCGCCTCCCGAGTAGTTCGGTCTGGAGGCTGACCAAAAAGGGGGAAAGCCATTAGGAACAAAGGCAATGGCGGGAGCGCTCAAGGCAGCACCGTGCTAGAAGGAGCGCTAAGGCGACGTCCCGGAAAAAAATTTGAATCGATCCCGGCCGAGAGAACGTCGGAGGACGTTTGAGAGGGGAACCAATGGACGGAGCGATGAAGGCATTTGCCTTATGGGTCAGTTCTTATCTCACCCAACCCAAACCCCCATTGGCCTCGGTACACATTCTGAAGGAAATATTTAAGCGCTCTGGCTGAGTCTATCATTACTTTTGAGATCGATGAAGCAGGTGTCAGTATTTCTCTGCAAATTTGGAGGGCCAATGTACAGGGTCACAAAACTAAAACTCCGCTCCCGGGCTGCTCACCGGTATTTGAATTCCCTGCAGGTGTAGGGGATGCCACAAGGCTGCAATCTCAAAGATTTCAATGAAGCCGAGGTTGAGCTCCCCTTGAATGCAGGTCGGTATCGTCAGCTGGTAGTTGCTGAGGATCAAAGGATACTGAGTGAGATGTGACGCTTGCGAGGGCCGTCTCCACCAGTTGAGAAGGTTACAGCTGAGGCCCCACATCCTCTCCGCATGCAATGGGAAGGCTCACGGGCGGATAGATTGAGGCTGCAGAAATAGTTGCTTGGCCATCTGCACGTTGTCGTCTATCAGAGTGAGGAGAGGAGATCAGTAGAACGCCACTCTGCAGAGGTCTCCTCTTCACCGCCGCACCTCAATCTCATTTTCTTGATTCAGGACAATGGATGATGCGATTGTCTGAACAAGGGCTGTATCGCATCGCGGACGTTTGGAAACCTTGCAGAGTTAGACTATACTCCTAACCATGGACGACCTCTAACTCACTGACTTCGAACGAACCCTCAGGAATTGTGGCAAAGCCTCTGTCGTAGCTCAGAGCAGAATCACGCAGCATAAATCCATAGCCTAGCAAGGGGTTACTCACGGTTGCTGCTTAGGAAGTGCCGATATCGTCCTCACGGTCGTCCACGCTGCGGTGTGGCAAGTCTCTCAACCTATTCTACCATACAGCGTAAGCTTTGGCGGGGGTCGAATACAGGGAAGTGGGTTCTGCTGGTGCGCAATGTTGTCGTTGTCAATGCGACTGATTCTATAATGCGCACGCCGTCTGAGAATCAACCGGTGAAACAGAGGACTTTGTGGTTGAGAGAACCCCCTATGTGGCTGGAGTCACCGAACGCTAGTAGAGACACCACATACCTCTTTATTCACCTCCTGGAGGACGGCAAGACGACATGTGGTAACGGAATGTCGTGGGCCCATCACCGATGGTGCTCTGCGACAAGGCATCAAGCCGCATCAAGCCACAGCATGTCTGTTCGTTTGGCAAGCAAGCATTAACACGTGTAGTATGGATGCTGCCTTAACCAGGCAGGTATATTTTTGATGCTGATGTCGAACAAGATTGAGTCCCGGAGACGCCGACCGTACCAATGCCCTGCCTTTAGATCGAGGAAAGCCGCAGAAATTGATGAACACTTTTAGTGCACGCCATTAATACCAAGAAATGACCTCCTCTTCCGCACGGCAGTCGCCAGCTCCTCGAGGAGGGCCTCGGTGTCCTCCCAATTGATGCATGCATCCGTGATACTCACGCCATACTTGAGTCCTCCCTTGCCTTCGCTGGGCACTTTCTGGTTGCCTGTATGTTGTTAGCGGGCTGCTAAACCAAAACCGTGTGACGAACCGACCTTCGTTGATGTTGCTCTCGATCATGACACCCATGACGCCGGTCTCTCCGGCTGCGATCTGCTCGGCCAGGACGTGACCAACTTTTGGTTGATTCTTGTGGTTCTTTTCGGAGTTGCCGTGACTGCAGTCCACCATCAACCGAGCATTGAGTCCTTTTTGCGCTAGCTTCTCGCGCGCATCTGCGATGCTCCTCGCGTCGAAATTGGTGCCCTTCTTGCCACCTCGAAGAATAGCGAAACAGTCCTCGTTGCCGACGGTACCTACGATGGCGACGACACCTGGTTTGGTAACAGACAAGAAGTGGTGGGGGTGCTTAACGGCGCCAATCGCATCAATAGCGACATCCAGCGAGCCATCGGTGCCATTTTTAAAACCCACGGGGAAGGACAGGCCTGATGCCAGCTCGCGGTGCAGCTGCGACTCGGTTGTCCTTGCACCAATTGCGCCCACACTCAACAAATCCGCTAAAAATTGGGGAGAGATGGTATCTAGCATCTCGCTTGCCAAAGGCATGCCCTTCTCGGTCAGATCCACGAAGAGCTGCCTTGACACCCGCAATCCCTTGTTGATCTTGAAGGTGTTATCAATATCTGGGTCGTTGATCAGACCCTTCCAGCCGACGGTGGTTCGGGGCTTCTCGAGGTATGAGCGCATGACGATAAGCAGGTCGTCCTTGTATTTCTCCTTCATCTTGAGCAAACGATCGCAGTATTCGAGCGCAGCTTTGGGGTCATGGATCGAGCATGGTCCGATGACTACGAGCAGTCTCCTCTGGGCATCTCTACCCTGAACGATCTCGACGGCTTCATTGCGCCCTGCGAGGACGGTTTCCTTTGACTTGGCCGACTGGGGGATTTCGTGCTGAAGAAGATCCGGGGGGGTCAGGGGATTGTAGCCTCGAATGCGCCAATCTTCTGAGTTCTCCTTGTCGCCGACCGACTTGTTCTCAATGTAGAACTGCAGAATAAGTGTTAATAGTGTTGTTTCGTAGCGAATGGGCAGTGCTTCTACTTACAGACATGGCTCTATGATGTCTAGATGCACGAAAGGTAGGAGAAAGAGCAATTGCAGAATGAGAGACACAGTAAAGCTTGTGGTATGAACGCTAAGTTTACCATTTCTCTGCTGATGGGAGAGTTGGAGCTTTTATGAGTCGGGAACAGGTGCTCGTCCGACATTCGGGAGAGCGCTGATTGGCTACGGCAGGGCGGCGAACATGTCTTTTGCTCATAGGCGAAAGGACTTTCAAGTGGCGATCGCCCTCCGCCGTGGACTTTTTCACACCCGCTCCTCATCGGGCATTGAAATAGACATAAGCTTATATATCACTGTTCGCACCGTACACCGCACGACACACCTTACGTCAATCGAAGGACTAATGAGCTGGGTCATGCACAGTGGCTGTGCGATGAAAAGCCCTCTTCATTCACGGCGGAGCTTATTCAAGGATGGAATGCTGAGTCGGAGGCTGTTTCTTTATGATCTTGGTCGATCGTTCTCAAGAGTTTGGACACGATTCTGTTCATGATGATAGCTCGACGTGGATGTAGACATAGGCTAGGTCCTCTTTGGCTACGTCATTCAGATGGCATTCGGAACGCGTCCGGCATCACCGCTAATATCCGAATGGTGCTTTCTCATACCACCTATTCCTCAATAATTAATTCTTAACATAGTAAGGCCGAGGTTGCCATGGCTCTCGACTACTCCTTCCCCACCATCCCCATCAGCTACGTCAGCTCTTGCCTCGGGAGCCCTTCTTGCCCCTCCCTCCTCGACCGCCTGCCCGCCGCATCCCTCGCTGACTTCCAACCCGTCGAACTCTCTCCTTCCTGGACATCTTCTTCGGCTTTCATCACCTCAGCCACGCGCTTGGCCCTAAGAACTACGCTGAGATAGACGCCGTAGCCACCGAGATCAATAAACGATGTGAGGAGAGGGGCCTCAAAATCGTGATGCTACACCCTTTCTTGAATTTCGAGGGCTGGCTCGAAGGCTTCCATGGCCTCAAATGCGTGTTCGAGCGCGCTCGCGGCTGGATCAGCATCATGTCAGCTTGTAGAGTGGATGTGCTGCTGTCGGGTTTTCGGATACACCACTTGACAGATTGGACCGAAACCAGATGACACACGGTTTGTGAAACGTGGGTTTCGGTCTGCGTGCGGGAATTGGTGCTGGTCCATGCCTGCGCCGGATTGGCTGGATGTATGGAATACTGTAAAGGAGGTGGATAGACTGTATATCGGGCTTTGACTTGATACTCTCTAGACTGTGGGCGGAGAATGGTTCACATCGTACTACTTTCTCCGGCCCTCCCGAGGGCGTTTCGAAAGACGAGTTATAGAAGAGGTTCAAGATGTCCCTCAATGAGCGCAGCAATACCATTTCTAAGGAGAAATTTTATATCCTCCAGATCAGCGACGCTTATATGGCTCCGTCACCTTTCACCAAGCAAGCTGATGACAGCTGCTTGTTGTCCTGAGGGAGATGGAGCCGTGGCTACAGGCCTTTATCATGCAACAGCGGATACTTTCCAGACCAGCTTCAAGTGTTGATTTAGCTATGAAATGTTCGATAGCGGGCCTGAAGGCAGGAGTAAGGACACAGATCTCCTTACGTACATTCAAACAGCGAAGAACGTGCAGGGGAGGCTGGTGGAATACGCGGGAAGAACTTGCCGTATCTACCATTAGGTGGCATTGAACTGCGAGAGGATCTCGAACAAATCGATGGGGGCCTATCGCTATGGGGCGACAATATTTCCTGTAAGTGGCTATACACAGGGAAACCATCATACAGACAAGGGACAGAAAAACAGTTAGTCAGAACAATACTAGGATTCAATATCAAACAATACTATCCTATTCTAGCAAGCACAGGCACTCGTCGTGCCTAGACTCACTTTCGCCGTCTCAACTAAAACAAGCAGTACCAACAAGGTGCTCGTCGTACTAACGACACCCTTACCATTTCCACACTCTCCGTCCTTAGGATCCTTTCCAGATTTATTCCTACTATCATTTATCAGCAGTGCAATTCTCAAGCAGGGGACTGAGTGCACTTAGCACTTCTGTCCGGGATAAGGGCACCACCCAGTACTTTCAAGCTTTTCTCCCTTCCTAGTCGCCGGTGACGTCGGTTTCTGAGCCTTAGTTTTCGTTGCGGTTACAAACGTCGTTTTCGCGGCGCCCTTTCCACAGAGCTCGCCGGGATAAGGATATGGGCAATGCGCCCCTTCACCGATGACAACGGTTGAACCAACTAGCAGTGCTGAAGAGGCTTTGAAAGATGGAGCTCGGATGTGAGAAGATCTAGGGGTTGGAGTTGGGTTTGGGTTTGACAATTCCTTGGGCTTGAACATCGTGTTGGAGTGGGTGGCGGACAATGACTTCCTAGGAACCTGAATCGTGCCAACGCTTTGGCTAGTTGTCTTGTCCGCAACTTGGTCTCCAGATTTCGCTGGCACTAGGACTTTCGTTGCAGTGTTAAGTTGTAGCGCTACGTGAGGAGGGTTAGCCCCCATCAGTGTAGAGGGATGTGAGGCAGAAACGGTGGATACTTGGGCGGGCACACCGTTCGAGACCCTTGACTTTGTGTCAATAAGCTCACCTTCGATGAACCCAATGTTGTTAGATCGCTTGTGTCGCTGCGGAGTCGCGGTTGGGGTGACGGGGACAACGAGCACGGTTGTGGGAGATTTTGACACTGGAATGACAACTACAGCGGTGGATGAGGGCTCTAGAGAGATCGGTGGAAGCTGGGAAGGAGCTAGAACATGTGAAGAAGTCACTAGTGCTTGGAAGGAAGGAAAAGGTACTTGAGACAACCCAGAGCTCGGTGCTCCAGAAGCTGCTGGTACTTGACTCGATTCTGCAGGTGCACTGCTTGGGAAAGCAACTAGTGCGGCGGAGTAATTATCCTCTGAAGTTGGCCGAAAGGGTGCGGAGGAAGGAATAGTTTTTATGGAGGAATCTCCGTAAGGCATAGTTGATGCACCTATTATAGCAGAAGCACCAGTGAAGCTAGGAATCGGGGGGGCGCTAACAGGCCCTGCAGATATAGCGACTAGAGTGGTGTTTTGGTATGGTGCACCAATGGTAACATATGATAGGAGTTCTCCCAACGTAGGTGTCGGGGGCACCCTAGACGGTTGACCGGTAGTGTAATCCGTCTCTGTGACAATAACTAGATTCGGATCGACCGCCCAAGACAGGGTTGGGCCTGGGGGAACTGCTAGGGTCGCTGTGATAGCTACTACAGCAAGACCATCAGCGTTTGACGCTCTAGGTTCATCGTGGTGACGAATAACTGCCCCAATAACTGCTTGAGCAGTAAAGAGAGCTAGGGGGATGATTTTTGTGATCATTGCGCTGGTGTGTTGTAGATTTCTTGACATTTTGTTGCGGCCGAGTAGTGTTAATTCGATTAAGCATGGGTCTTTGCAATAGAGATTTTGTGGGGGGGGTGGAATAATAATGGGAGATCTATATTTAAATAGCTAATCGGCATATGTACAATACATCAGGCGAATTTGTGGAACAAACAAGCAGAATATGTACCCTTTTTGTGAAGGGAATACCGCAGATTTTACATAACGATAGCATTGTGAATCGACACGGAAAACGGGGAAGGGAAAATAACGGTTATTCAATAATGAAGGATATTCTTAGGGTAACCTGTTCTTATTTATTCTGTATATGATACCAAATATAAAACGTAGTGAGGGTAACTTACGATGGAAACTGCATTCTAACAATTTTATACATAGCTAGAGGTGAGGAGTAACATATATACCTTCCCCAGTTGTGTACCCTGTTATTTGATAACGTATTGTACTCTTTCAAAGGCCCCCTAAAGCTTGAGCAAGTTCAGGTTAGGCTTTATTGTGTTGCTATAGTTTATATTGCACCTTACCCTCTCCCCGCACAGTGGGTCTTGGGGGGGATTTAGGCGTAGGGAAAAGCCGCCTCATTAATTCGTTGTTAGACAAGAAGGGACTAACTCGAGATGTACGTGCAAATCCTCTATCAACTCAGAGACCGTTTCGAGCTAAATCAACGATACAAAACATAGAGCTACACTGATGGAGTTACATGCGCTTATGTTGTGATCGAGTACCATTCTTGAGACGAGCAGGTAAATAGCCTACTCCGTTTCTTCACCTGGGTGACATCATGGGGCTACAACGAGTGCGTCAATAGAGTGCTGATTTAAGGAATGCCAGCATGTAGTGGCATTCGGTATTTATCCCATCCGCTAGAATAAGCCTCCACTGGCATCCTCTGTCATTTATCGCCTTTTTCTTCGAGAGTATGGCCATCATTACATCCCCATTGCAGGCTCTCATTACTGGAATGAGGAAGCCATTGATTCAATGAAGTCGGACATGCCTGGCCTTTGGGATACGTTCAACGGCGGTGTCGAAGCCTACCTCAATTGTGTCTATGGCCTCATTGACCACACCTTCGAATAGGTGTTCCGAATGATATCACTAGCAACCAGCACAGTTGGCTCTCGCTCGGGAGAGGAAGTACGAGCTGCATTACGGACTCTTAACGCGACGCTTCTCCATCGTCAGGGAATCGTCAGGTACGGCACGGAGACATCACTCAAGACTATCAAGATCGCATGTTAGCCCTGCAAACTATAGGCCAACCTATGGAGCCTTGTTACAGTGCAGCAAATATGAAATATGGTGCAGTTATTCATTCGCCTCAAATACACAGAAACTAATTCTTCACTAGGGTCTGGAAGTGATCGTCGCCGAAAGTCTCATATCACGAACAGCTTCCGTCCCCAAATACTCTTCTTCGATAACCACCGACGCCAGTTCCGCGACAAATTCTCAATCATATTAGATGACCTTCATACCAAGGCGAAAGGTCTCATGGCAAAGCAAGTCAGCTTCTTTCGGTCATTGTCTCCTGACGTTATACATCGATTGAGGCTGTTGCTATAGCTCGTTACATTTCCAACGCTTCTATGCAAAGCATATTCACACCTATGGTGGAATGTAAACAGGTTGAATTTAATCTATTGAACCTCTTGCTAGAACTCACTACAACCTTAACAAGATGCAAATACCCTTATAAATTACCCCAGCTATGTCCTACATTAAGTGATACGGTGCAGTATTAACTTACAGCCAGTACCTGCGGGTTGTCAGAAAATGAAGACGTAGTGTCTGAACACTGAAGAAGCCCACACGTTGCTAACAGAGAATAATCGCAAACCATCTGATTGATTCAGAGTATTGCGGCGACCGCAAACAAAATTCCCAATATACAACCTCTTGCAATTGCATATTGTGAGCTGGCTCTCTCAACGTTCTGTTTGAGAAGAAAAATTAAAAAGTCTGCACTTCGCATCACCTTTAGTTACAGCGTCGCTCTTTGTCGGAAAGGGAGGAGGGCGCACAGGACTCAAGATCACTGAAAATAAGCCAAAAAAAATCTGAGGTCCTGCCCGGAACTACTGGCGTCAGTTTTATTTTAACGAAGAGTGGATTTGCGCTTACTCGAACCGGGGTCGCCGGAATGCTCTGAACCGATCAGAATCCGAAGTGCTAACCCCTACACCACAGGACCTGTGTTTCAATGAATTATACCATATTCGAGTATTGTAAAATAAATATACACAATATTGAAATATAGAATACCTTCGAATTCGTGGCAAAACCCTTAGGCTTGAGGATTCTTCGTTTAAGAGCTAATTATAGAAAGAGGCGGTGAGTGGGGTCAAAAGAGCGGGAGAGGGGAGACTTGCAATGGGCCACTTGGTTGGGGTGATAAAACGCCAAATGTGTGCGTCTTGGCAGTGTGAGCTGAGATGAAATTCACTTGTTGGGATATGCTTGTTGGAAAATGCTTGTGATTTCGGATGAAAGGCTTTCCTTAGTTAATGGAGCCTGGTTTTGCATCTTCTGCAAGATTGGGCATGGGTGGTTAAGAAGAGAGCAATCGTAGTCATCGGAATGAAGTATTATGTTGGTCTCATGAACAGAAGCCCGGGAGTACTGTAAGAATCTCCAGCCCTGTTTGATGGGGGTATATTTAAGCGCTTATTACGTAGGAAATTCCTTTCACCAGTCATAAAATTACTGGACCACAACCGACCTAGAGCCCGAACCGCTTCGAACCACTCCCCTGATCTCTCGCTCCCTGTTCTCAGTTATTCACAGCCTGCACAATCGCGCCCTCCCGTCCCTGGTCAAGTTCGTCCAGCAGAGCAATATCCTCCTCGGTCAGCTCAAAGCCGAACACATCGGCATTACTCGTGATCTTGGCCATGGTGTCGCTCTTTGGAAGAGGTATCCATCCCTTTTGTAGAGAGTATCGGATGAGGATTTGGTTGGTAGTCTTGTGCAGTCTCTCAGCAATACCGATCAGAGTCGTGTGGTGGTCTTTTTGGTTGCGGACGATCGGGGAGTAGGCTTCGATGACGATTTCATTCTTCTTACAATACTCGACGATCTCGCGCTGTTGGCACCAAGGATGAAGCTGTGAACCATGTCAGCGTATCTAATTCAAGCAGCTCGAGGGGCTAGCTCCAAGCCAATGGCCGGAGCGAGCACAGCGTGACTTACCTCGATCTGGTTGACACTCGGGGGCCAAACCTTCGCGAACTCCTTCATCTCTTCAATGTGCTGGATACCATAGTTCGAAACACCGATATCCCGAACCTTCCCGTCCTCCCTTGCCTCTTCTAGCGCAAGCCACATAAGTTTCCTACTCTCTGCGCCGCCATTCGGACTGTGGATGAGGAACAAGTCGATGTAACCATCTTCATCGTCGAGGTTTGTGATGCTCTCCAATACCATCCTGTACGTCGCTTCAATGTCTTTCCCAGCATAGAGTATCTTGGATGTTATGTAGAGCTCTGAACGGGGAAGCTTTGACTCGCGGATCGCGCGACCAACCGAGATCTCATTGCCGTAGTATTGCGCAGTGTCGATGTGGCGGTAGCCGGCGCTGAAGGCTTTAAGGCAGGACAATACACAGGTCGGTGGCTGGGCCTGATAGACACTAAATCCGAGGATCGGGATGCTGTTTCCTGAGTTAGGGAGAGGGAGGGTAGAAGAAACAGAGAGCTTCGTTGACGGCATCTTGAAGAAATCTACCGGCATGTGTTAGCCGGTAGAGTTGGGGATAGGGTGGGGAAGAACTCGAGCAACAGCGAAGAGATATAAAAGCTCACCATGAAGTGGCTGTTGAAGGCATTTGGTGAAAGGGTGATAGGGAGGCGCAGTGACGAACAGCGCACTCCTGAACTCCCTGGGGTTACCATTTATTTGCTTGCGGCACAAATCCCCCTACGCCGCAGCCATAAGATACCACCTTTGTATGGTCGTGAAATCGGTGTTGTGCAGCCGTGGCATGGGGTAGAACGCCTCAAACTTCCGGAGGGTTCATCCTCATGAGCTGTTGTTTAACTTCGAATAAGGGATTAATAAGGATAACTTTTGATGCGATCGACTCCTCTGATGGGTCTTACGACCCCTACAATTGAAGAGCCAACCTTCACACGAGGAAGGTAGGCGCTAATTAGTGTGCCAGTACATGCCTCCTTCACCGTTCACGCTAGCTCCTTTTAGTGGCCAGTGCCACCCCTGCCCCCAGTTGGGCTTTCACGTGATGTGGCGTCAGCTTGTTGAGTGCTGCTACCCCAACATTGAGTTTTTGCAACACCCAAGAACGCAGTCCGAATCCGCCAAGATGGTGCTCCAAGCCATAAAATATTCGCGGGGTCAATTGGAGATACTCGACCAACTCAAATTGCCTCATGCCGAAGAATACGATCACATTTACTCCAGCATGGATGCATGGCACGCCATAAAAGAGATGCGAACGCGGGGGGCCCCTGCAATTGCTATCGTGGCTGCTCTCGCATTAGCAGTTGAATTGGTCAATATGAAGTTATCACCGGTTGCTGAGGAGGTCAAGGCTTTCATCATTGAAAAGTTGGACTATCTTGTCACAAGTCGACCGACTGCAGTCAATCTTGCAGATGCCGCCAAAAAGTTGACCAAGGCCGTCGAACGGGCTACCAGCAAGGAGGGCGCGACTGGGGCGGATGTCCGAGAAGCATATGTCCAGACAGCAGAGAAGATGCTAGTGGATGATGTGAGTGACAATGAGAATATCGGGAAGCATGGCGCGGAGTGGGTTATCAACAACACAGAAGCAGGCAATAAGGGTCCGGTTAGCATGGTGACGCACTGCAACACAGGGTAGGGCAAAGCTCTTCGTTTGTGCTCTGCGCAGATGCTGATGGCCTAGATCCCTTGCTACTGCTGGATACGGCACTGCACTCGGTGTCATACGTTCACTCCATTCGAAAGGGGCCTTGAAGCATGCATTCTGTACCGAGACAAGACCATATAACCAGGGCTCGAGACTCACGGCATTCGAGCTGGTTCATGACAACATACCCGCAACCTTGATCACAGATTCCATGGCGGGATGTCTACTTCGACTGAGAGGATCGGCAGAAAATATTGCCGCAATTGTGGTTGGAGCAGATCGTGTCGCGGCAAATGGCGACACTGCGAACAAGATTGGCACTTACCAGCTGGCGTTTCTTGCCAGAGGCCACGGAATCAAGTTCCTCGTCGCAGCTCCGCGGACCACTATTGATCTTGATACAAGGTCTGGAGACGACATCATCATCGAGGAAAGGCCTGGAAAGGAAGTCACTCTGGTTAAGGGACCACGGCACGATGGCGTTAGCCTGGACCTGAACGTCGTGGAGACTGTTAGCATTGCTGCGAATGGTATTGGGGTATGGAATCCTGCTTTCGATGTGACTCCCCATGAGCTCATTGACGGAATTATCACCGAAGTTGGGGTGGTGGAGAAGGACAGCAGTGGGGAATTCCACCTTGAGCAAGTTTTCAAGAGTGAGGGTCTGAAGGACAAGTCTTCAACGATTGGAGGGGTATAGCACATCTCCAACCTTCTAATACGTCCATCGTCCATTGCACCGTATAATCCTAGGCAGAGTTGGTGTGGGTGAGGTCCTGGGACACATATAACCCTTCCTCGATGTTTTTATTCATTGCAATCGTGAGCGTCGTGAATCCCGAACGACTATTAACTCTGAGAGACCTGTAACCGTCTATCCCTTTCTTGTCATTACGTCTTCACAGATGGCTACTGGTTATTCCAGCACCTTTCTGGCTTGAAGTGCGCCATTTTTTGTTGAGCCACTGCCTTCACGATTCGTCGAAGATGGGTCGCTGTTGGAGGCAGACGGCTTGGACTGTTCCTTACATTTTCGTTCCTCTTCGTCCGCTTTCGCCAGGAGCTCCTCAATCTTCTTCTCCAATGTGTCTAGGTGATTCTCTAAAGCGGCAGCAGCTCGTTCGCCTCTTGCGAGGTCTTTAAATGCCTGCAGAGGTCTTTCAGTACATTTCAAGTAGCCTACTTCTAGAACTGACCTGGGCAAAGTCCGGTTCTTGGTGGACACCCCTAGTGTCTTCATTCTGCCGGGTCTGCTCGCCCGACATAGTAAAGAGGCTCGATGTGTGCGGTCGTGGAGGTGGCGGCTAACTGGCGGAGACGTCGAAGCCTAGGATGGCTCGGTGGAGCCAATGGTCCTGTCGGATGACGACGCTAGCGCGAATCGGAGCTGTACACTCGAAGCACAGCACAGACTCTCCTAACCTCACCTCCCACCATCACCTCCAGATCTCACGCGCCTGCTTTCTTGATATATTAATAACACCGCCCATGCGGACTCTCTTGACCACTTGATTGACTTGCGACACGCCAGCCGTCATGTTTTCGGGGTCCAACTCCTACTTAGGGGGAGGCAATAGCGCCCGACCTGGACAGCCTCAGTATGGCCAGCAGCCGCCATTCCAACAGCCTGGAGGCTTCCAGGGGGGGTTGGGACCTCAGCCGACGGGATTTGGAGGAGGCCCAATCCAACCTCAGTTCACAGGCTTTCCGGGACAGCCGCAGAGCTTCGCGCAGCAGCAGCAGCAGCAGCAGCAGCAGCAACCGCAGTTCACCGGCTATCTAGGTCAGCAAGGCCAGTCTTTCCAGCAGCCTCCACAGCAACAGCCTCCACAGCAGCAACTCTTCCAGACCGGCGCACCCCCTCCACAGCAACCTCCCCCACCCCAGCAGATTCCACAACTTACGGGTATGACTTCATCGCAGATGGCAGATTCATTTCGAGGGTCCTCATCCCAGCCTCCCCCTCCGCCTCTACCTACGAAATCGTCCAAGATTCCGAACATCAGGCTGTCGTTCATAACAGCACAAGACCAAGCAAAGTTCGAGCAGCTATTCAAGTCTGCCGTGGGCAATGCGCAGGCACTGTCTGGTGACCAGGCCCGGGATTTACTGCTTCGATCGAAGCTGCCTGGTGACGCTCTGTCTGCTATTTGGTAAGCCTATACACTCCAACAAAGAGTAAAACATTCATGAAGAATAGGACACTCTCCGACACGACTAAATCTGGCCAGCTCCTGTTCCCCGAGTTCGCCCTCGCCATGTACCTCTGCAACCTCAAGCTGACCGGCAAGGAGCTGCCCAATACTTTGCCTGAGCGCGTTAGGAACGAGGTCTCAAGTATGGTGGATATTATTTCGTTCGGTGTGCCAGATGAGCAGCCAAGCCGACCAGCACCTGCCTCTAATGCCCCAAAATTTGATGAACCCCTGAATCAAAGCTCCCAGCAAATACCAACCATACAGCAGCCTCAGCCCCAGCAGTCCAACAGCCAGATTCTTTCGTCCCTTGTTTCTCACCCCACCGGATTTGGTCAATCCCCTATGGGTCTTCAATCTCACCCAACAGGTTTCAGTCAAACTCAACCAACAGGTTTCGGACAGGCTCCAGGCAGTAGTTACAATGGCCCGCGGCCGCCAATGCCACCGATGCCCACTGGATTTGGTTCAAATTTAACTCCCACTCAAACTGGTATGGCTCCATTGAATGCCCAACCTACCGGAATTCCCGGGCAATGGGGCTTGGTCAATACTCCAGCCACAGGCCTCCCAAACATTGAATCATTGGCACAGCGTATGATGCCTCAGACTGGACGAGAAGGCGGGAATTATACCACAGCTGGACTCAGCGGCAATGCGACCATTCCATGGGCCATTACTAAAGGTGAAAAGAGGCTGTACGACGATACTTTCAAAGCTTGGGACGGTTTTGGCAAAGGTTTCATTGCCGGAGAACAGGCGATCGAAATTTTCGGACAGAGTGGACTCCCAAAGCCTGACCTCGAACGGATCTGGACTCTTGCTGACTCTGCTGACCGAGGTCGGCTCAATCTAGATGAGTTCGCTGTGGCAATGCATCTCATCTATCGAAAGCTAAACGGATATCCTGTGCCAAATCGTCTTCCTCCAGAGCTCATTCCCCCGTCAACTCGCAATATCAATGACTCGATCGGCGCGATGAAATCACTCCTTTCTCGTGATGCGGAGGAACGCAAGAATTCCGGAGCATTTCTTCAACCTCAGAGGACTGGTGTCAGCTATCTAAAGTCTCATTCGTTCCGGGCAGGTAGCCCAGCAAACGCTGGACGCAAGGACGCGACAGTCTTTAGGAACAATGATGATCAAATAGGCTATCGCTCAAGTGCACGGCATCGCTTGGGAGCAGGTGGTCGCTCCCCGTCGCCTGCAACGCCCTCGTCCCCTGGATCTGAACGTTTGCAAGACGAACTTTCCATTGAACAGCTGAGAAAGCTGGTCAAGGAGAAACAAATCCTTCTAGACGCCATTGATATCCGGGATGAGAACCAGGCTGATGAGGATGATGCCCTCGACCGTAGAGATCGACGAGAGGCCGAGGACCTCTACCGCCGCATCCGCAGGATTCAAGAAGACATTGATGCTCACCCAAATGCGTCGATGAGGTCGAGCGATTCAGATGCAGAACGTCGTGCACTCAAACGCCAATTGCAAAATCTGACCGACCACTTGCCAGAGCTAGCTTCAAATGTGCGTCGAACGGAGCGCGAAATTGCTGATGCCCAGCTCGAGCTCTTCAGGCTAAAAGACGCAAAGGCGCACCCTGGTGCTGCGGCCTCAATTGTCGGAACCGGACCAGGAGGCTTGATCACAGAAGCAGACCGGCTGAAGGCCCGTGCTAAGGCGATGATGCAAGCCCGTTCTGCCGCTCTGACTGGAAAGCCCATCCCTGCTGGCGATGACACTGGAGCTGCGGCTGAGCGCTTGGAGAAGGAGAGCTCGCGCGTTCGATCTGAGAGGGAAAATAACGAACGAATGATCCGGGAAGTTGAAGATAGCGTCAATGAATACACGAGAGGACTTGAACTGAACCTTAAGGAAGGCGGTCACGATAACAACAGCGAACACGAGAGGCGTAGATGGGAGGACGGCTTGGGAGTGGAGGATGAGGTGAAGGACTTCATCTTTGATCTCCAACGAAGTAGCAGAGCTGCTCGGGTTCGAAAGGAAGAGTGAGTCTTCATATACCAGTATAGTAGAGTGCCATTAACATGATACAGCTCCTCCCATGACCGCTTTGCAACGTCTTCTCGAGTGGAAGAGAGCAGGTCATCAACATCTTCTCGGTACGAAAGCCCCGCCCGGGCCTCTGAGCCATCACCTCGTCCTGGAGCTTCTGCTGGCGGCGGGTCATACGCTTCTTACAAGACTCCCGAGGAGCGTGCTGCGTTTATCAAACAGCAAGCCGAGCAGCGGATGGCTGAGAGGTTGGCTGCTTTGGGCCTTCGCCCGCCACCCAAGGCCGCTGAGACACCTCAACAGCGGCAAGAACGTGAGAGGAAGGAGCGAGAGGAGAAACTTCGTCAAGCCGAAGAAGAGGATGCACGGCGTGAGGAGGAGAGGCAACGACGCCTCGCCGATGAGTCCATCGCACCCCCATCTACAGCTAAATCAAGCGGGAAAAAGCCTCCACCTCCTCCTTCTCGCAAAAACAAGGCCGAGGTTACTCAGCATGACGCGAGACAAGCCGAATCAGATGCCAAGAGGGTTGAGAATGAAAGGGCTGAGAGGGCTCTGCGCGAACAGCAAGAAGCCCAGGAAGCGGAGAGGAAGCGTATGGAGTGAGTTCGCTCCATATATAACTTTACATGGCACTAACCAAGATAACAGGGATGAAGAGAGACGTCAAGAAGATGAGCTGGCCAAGGAACGCGAATCTGCCCAAGCCCGGCTCCGTGCTTTAGAGGATCAGGTTAAGCAGGGCAAAATCAAAAAGGAAGAAGAGAAACGTCGTAAACAAGCCGCACAACGTGAAGCTAAGGAGAAGGAAGCTCGTCTAGCTGCACAGCGCGCAGAAATTGAAGAAGCAAGAGAGCGAGAACGCCAGCTCCAGCTACAACTAGAAAGCCTCGACTCAGACGATTCCTCTGATGACGAAGGCCCACAGAACATCACTCCACAAGACACGACTCCAACTGCAAGCCAGGAACTGAGTCGGGAGACTGCACCACCTGCACCACCACCAATGCCACCAGCAGCTCCTCCGCTCCCGCGCCAGAACAGCACCCCACCCTCTTCCATGGCCAGCCCACCAGCGTCCTCCCTGACAAGCCCCCATCCGGGCATAGGAGATACAGAGACTAAGAATCCCTTCCTCAAGAAGATGGCCATGTCAAGTCAAGAGAACAACCCTACACCCACCCCCCCTCCCCCACCTAGTAATACTAGCGAGGTCTCCACTAATCCATTCCACCGACTGACCCAGGAGAATGCCAAAGCTGCTCTCGGTGAAACAGCTGCCTCACCTGCAAGTACCCGAACTCGAGCTAGGCCAGAAGAAGACGATTGGTCTGTTGTTGACTCGGATGATTCGTCTTCTGATGATGATGATGCCCCTCAAGGTGGTGCAAAGCAGCTTGCTTCAATATTGTTCGGCACAATGGCTCCTCCACGGCCATTGTCTTCCATGGACAATAAGAGTCCTCGGGCCGAGAGCCCAGCCGTAGCCTCACCCACAGGAGGAATTCCCCCACCTCCGCCAATGCCTACAGGAGGAGCTCCTCCGCCACCACCAGGGCCTCCACCAATGCCGAGCGGAGGTGCACCCCCTCCCCCTCCAATACCAGCCCCGAGGCCAGGTGGTGCGCCTAATGTTGGTGCTCTGCTAGGCGAAATTCAGATGGGGAAGGGTCTGAGGAAGGTAGAGACCAAGGATAGGAGTCAGGCAGCTGTATCTGGGCGAGTCCTGTAGAGTGGATTGGAACGATTGAGATGATTGAAACAGTTGGAGTGAGGCACTTATTGTATTCATAAATTGGCAATTGAATTAATTATATTTACTCGAAGTCGTCTTTAGGAGACCGCCAGGGGTATGTCATAGTACAATTCACCCTCCCAGAAAGGAAGGAATAGCCGATCACGTGGGCGGTGAGAGTGGACAACGAGAGCTCTTGAACTTCACCTCAAGAGCCTCAACACTACGCGTCCGTCTCACACCAACAGTCCAACCACGGCTTGGGACAGCATCTTGTCAATAGATCCATATCTAGAGCTACAGTTCTGACATTATTCTTACAACGCGCTTCCAACTCGCAAAACACGGCCGCAAAAATCTTCCACCCAACACTTCTTTCTTCGAAGACTGGTCTCGGAAAAACAACTAAAAGGAGCGCACGATGAACGCCCCTGACCGGTACGTAGTGCGCTGATTTCATTTAATTTTCAATCATCGGGCCATGGTTTCCTTCTCACGAGTTCGCGGCTTTCGCGACTCAACTCCTCACCTCGAATGTTGCACTGTTCACTATAGCTACGACGGTGACTCTTTCACCAACAAAATTTCAATCACGCCTACGCGCACGCCACCTCATGGTGACGCATGAAATGAAAATTCCAAGTAGCCTCACGGTCCTGCCATTAGCGCCGCCACCTTCATGACGACAAGATCACACACCCTTTGCAGAACACACAGCTTCGCTCAGGGCATTCCACGACAACCGACAAAATGTCCACTCCTAAACCTCGCACCGTATCGGAGGTCATCGCCCATACGCATGCGCATACCGTAAGCCCCGAGAGCCTGCGGTTCCGGATGGGCTCTTTAAACATAATGATGATGATGATGATGATGATGTCCCACCGGGGTGGTTTTCAATTTGCTCGTTCCCGGGTTTGAATTGAGACGAAAGGGCCTAGCTAATGCGTGTTGTGATATAGATTTGAGTTATTCTTGCTAGGTGATGACGAGAAGAAGGTCGAATTCAAGGAGGAGACCCGTAAGTCCACTTTCACTTACCAGTCGCCCATCCACACTTGCACAGATACTAATTATCCCTTCGCAACAGGTGTCCCAAACACCGCCATTTTCACCTTCAACAAGGAAGACCACACTCTCGGCAACCTCCTCTCCCAGCGTCTCCACAAGTACCCCTACATTACCTTCTCCGCGTACAAAGTCCCGCACCCACTCTTCGCTAAGTTCGAGCTGCGTGTCTCGACTGACGGAACCATCACTCCCAAGGATGCAGTCGTTCAGTGTGCCAAGGACATCGTTCAGGATCTCGAGGTGCTGAGCCGATCTTTCACGACCGAATGGCTTGGCAAGCGTATTGTTCACGAGGGCGAGGCTGAGCGCCTTGCCCGTGAGCAGAACAACTACTAGAGCCGTTTCTCCTCTAGGCGTGCCCGCGTTTCCCTCTGGGTGTACTTTTTTCATGTAGCCATCTTTTCTCATGGTGTGCCCAGTTTTCGTCCAGGAATAACAAGGATATTTATCTGTATGGCTCGGCGTCTGGTGGTCTTCATCTAGGATATATCCTACATTCAGGTCGGCGGTCAACTGGATTCGGTTTTCAGGCGTGAATTCTACGGTTGGGTCCCGGATATGAGGTACTCTAGCTTTGTCTCTTACTTGCAGAGTTGACGAAATGCTAGCATAGCTACCTCCGGTAAACACTTGCGCGCAAATGCGTGCAATATGATGTATACGACTTGCAATATCCCCAACCTTAACGATAGAGGTGCTTATGAAGCTTACATAAGCTTGAGATATAGTTACGAACAATCGGCGTAGATATTTCTAAAACTTGTCTGGAATCCAGCAGCTATTGAGTACTTCTACACCATACCCAATCCCAATTCTTCCTCTTTTATCTGCTCCAAGTCTACAACCATTACACCCTTCCCCATTGTCTTCTCCTGGACCATTACACGTATTCGTGTTTACAGAGATGCGGTTCCCGTCCACAACCTTCAACATCTGCTAAGCTTCTACACAAGAGTAGATTAACGAGCCTCGAACGCGTATGTCTCCCAAAAAAAATTTGAGTCAGCAGAAGGAGACGACGACTTCGTCCGGTTATACCACACAAGTTAACTTTCATCGCCAATACGCAACAGAGGATGAGAGAGAGGGTCCACCCCAACCTGGGTAGTTTGTACCGCCAAATACATTTAGGACACATCACACACCATCGCTATAACCATCACCGCCGCACTCACATTAAACGTCGCTTCCACGCCCTCCCCATTCGTCACCTTTCGGGCCTCCTCTATTGTCTCCTTAACCCCCATTCTCGCATCCGCAACCGTATACGCACCCGCTCTCTTCGTCAACTTGAATCCCTCATCTCGCGCATCAACATTCAAACCAAACGCCTTCGAAAACTGTCACCCGAGATGTCCGAGTCCGCCTCCACTCCCTATTCCTCAGATCCGTTTGCAGGACTCCGCACCAGACAGCATACCCGCGTACGCTAGTGGGGCTGCCATCTTGGAATTCACGCGTTCCGACAGTCTCGCCGCTTGGCTCGCATTGATCCTCGCATACTCCGTGAAAACCCCGTCAGTTGTGACACCACAGTATCTCATACCGTGAGCACAATACTGGGAGTAGTGTTCTGGGCCTAGGCAATTGGGACAGGAGCCGCAAGGGTGGTATATTATTCCTGCTATGACACAATCGCTGGGTTTGAAGTGCGAGGAGGAAGTAGGTTGGGGAGAGGGAGAGGGAGAGGGAAGGAGTGCGGTGGAGGGTGTAGTGTATGCTGAATTGTAGTGGGAGGTGAGTTAGGGAAAGGAAGATGTGGAGACGCACCTCTGTAACTTACGCCGCGGCCATATCTATGGTGTTTAGGGATGCTAATATGAATTTAATTCTCCCATGAGATGCTCCGTGCCTTTCTAATGCTTCTCTTAATGCCCTAGGAGAATTTGTCGAAACAAAAGAACAAGTTGCTGATGTGTCAGATATTCTAACACGGCCTCGAAAGAGAGATAAGGGGCATTGTACTCTTCCGAGAGCCTTTGGAGAGGAGTTTCCCTTACGTGGGCTTGTCGCTAGCCGCTTTCACCATGACAGGCAATGGGATCGATGAATCGGCATTATGTTGATATGGAGTTCAGTGACGTGAATTGATCCTAACTCCGGACATTAGCGCAGGGAAATAATTCTCGCTTCCCTAATCCACTAAACACACGCCATACTCCACCTTTCTTCCTACGTTGCGAGGAGAGTCGGAGAGCCCGAGGAGGTTCGGAAAGTATAAAGTGGAATGTTTTGAGTAAGTAGATAGAGATGTAATTGTTGTATAGAATGCTAAGTAGTGATAAGGTTCGGTCCCGAGTTCTCTTTTCGTCTTGACTTTTTGATACTTTTTGATTGGTTAAAGGGATGGTGCATCCTAGACTTCATTACTGTCATCCAATTCCGATTCCCGTATTCGCAGCTCTCTTAGCTCCTCTGCAAACACCACAGCCTGTCTTGTCCCAATCTTCAGGCCTAAGTAGAAGAGTCGATCAATGACCCAGTCTCTCATACCCTCAGAGCAGAGATCCATTACTCCCGCAGCATACAGTGGCCAGATCAGGTATGCCATACCTGTTGGCCGCGATGGATTAAGGAACGTTCCAGGAGGGTGAATCTTGAATCTGGGGTCCTCAATATCGAACAAATCTGAACTTTTCGCGGAGTCCGCATATACCGCTGTGGTGGCTGAAGGGACCGGAAATGGTATTTGTCCAGTTACCTGCGGCACAGTGGCACAAATGCCCATTGCGGCGGTTCGCATGACTTGCTCCGAAATGAGAATCTGTGCTCCCGTTTCGTGGGTATCGAAGAAGGTGGGAGCTTGATCCAAGCTTTTGAGGAGTTGTTCTCGGATCAACTTGTGTAGGTTTAGCCGAACGGATCGAAGATGGTTCCACATCTGTATGATCCAGGGGTCTAGATAGATATGATAAAAGCCACTGTGCACGGATTCCAGAGGTTCTTCAAGGACCACGGTTTCGTATTTCCAGATATTCGGTATCAGCGCTTTGAGAGTGTCGAGTTCGCGATCGAGCTTGGTCGCTGAAGCAACCATTGATGCGGGATCGCTGTCTGAATCCCCACTGAGATTAATGACACGCAGCATGAAACGGATCATGCACGTAGTCCATTCTTTTCCGGGAATGCTGTAGTCGTTGATTTGGGTTCCGGCTTCCCAGAGTTCAGTCATGCCTGTCGGAACCGCTACTCTGTTCTGCAAGCAAGTCAGGAGGGCGGTGCCATAGAACTGTTGGAATATGCGCCGGCTAACGCTTTGATAGAATTGCTTAATTCCGCGGAGGTTGATTAGGGTAGTTGCCCCGTTGATGTGCTCCGTCCATGCCTTTTGGGAATCTTTAGTTTGAAACGTGAAGTTCTCGTACATGCCAAGCATGAGAACTGATATGAGTGTGCTGTCTTTGGTCGCCGTCTCTTGTAACGTGAGTGCTTTGTTTGTCATACGTAAGGCCGTCACATACTCCTCCCTTGCTTTCTTCGAGATATGAGGGCATTTCGTAGCATTCCCGAGTCCCGCTAGTCCAGCAGCGGTGACTGCAGTTTGTAGTATCTTTTCTGCTCCATGCTGATTCACTAGCTCGTGAAGATAGTCAAACTGGCCTCTTGGTACAAGCGTTGGCGTCAGCACATAATTAGAGAAAAAAAACCCAACTGCTTGATCTTCGAGCGGCGGCATCAGCTCCCGTGTCATCGATTTCTTGTGCGCCGAAGGCCCTGTCCTCAGCGCAAATTGGTGATTTGAAGTGGTGGATGAAGCAGGGCTTGCGCCGGAGCTCGTGGAGTCGTTGTCTGAAGTGTGAGATCTCTTCCAACGGGAAGATATTGGACTCTTTCCTTTTGATAGCTCTTGGTACCGCATGTTCGCCTTTCGAGCAACCACATCGCTCTCGTTCTTGAACATCATTTGGAGCGGGTCCCGGTACCCATGGCATTCCTTGCCAATTCTCAAACACTGCCCGCATGATGGCCGCTTCTGGTCACACTGTCCAGCATTTAGCAAACTCGGAACAGCCTAAAATATATTCATTCCACTACAAACCTTCACCTTCCTACCTCTACAATTCTTGCATCCCTTGGATGGCTTCCCGACGTTAGGCATTGTTGAAGAAGTGATAGGAACAAAGCAGTTCGAGTCTCCAGAAAAGCAGTTAGAACACCCAACGGCGGCGACTCTGTAGGCTGCAGATAGCATCTGACCTCCATAGCCACCTACTATGCGTCGAACTTCATTACGATGTTTGGTGTTACACAGCGCCAGGTGGACGATCAGGAAAGTAGCATTGACTTGGGCTAGTGAATCCGAAGCGAGTCAAGCGAGGCTTCACTAGCGCGGGCGGCCCTATTCAACCAATCACACACAAAGTGATTTCTCCAAGAGCCATACCATTTCTCTGTGCCAAACGTGAATGTTATTTCCACGAGTCTTCATCGGCAAGGCTCGGCAGGGATCGGCGGAGTGCTGCGAGACTTGACGAAATGTCTATTCTGTGTGGGCTGTGATCCAACGGATCAAGCCGTCATTGATCTCTACCTATATCTACTTTTCAGCTAAAATCACTCTAAACCTTCAGTTGCCTACTCCTTTCAATATCCAAAGTAATCACACTCTTAGTGTCTGCGGCAAACGAGAAATTATACCGACCCCTTTCCATAGTCCAAGCCCGTTTAGCTTCATCAAAATACGCAAAATCCTTCAACAACGTCCAACTCGGCCCTTTGTTCCTGCCAAGGCTTCAAGAAGATTTTCTTGAAAGCGGCTAGCGTCTCGACTGGATGTTCCGGAGCCTTTTGCGCCCTTCCAACGTATACTTGTACCACCGTTGCTCCCGCCCGGCAACCAGTGTTAGAAACCGTTACACTTATTTTGAAGGAATTCGGCGAGGTTTGGGATGCACACTCGTCTTTGAAATTGAACGATGTGTAGGGTAGGCCGAACCAAAAGGGAAACTATAGCTTCTCTCTCGGGATTCTGTCATAATGGCGATATCCAACGAAGATTCCTTCCTCATATTTGGAGGTAAGTTGGCCATCTTTCTTCACTCCTGGAAAGTTACTATACGCTGGTGCATCTTCAAGGGTGTTCGGCCACGAAATCGGGAGTCTACCCTATGGATTCACAGTGCCAGAAATGACATCTGCAATTGCGTTGCCTGCCTCTTGTCCTGGAAACCATGCCTGAAGCACAGCGGAAACCTTTGACAGCCATGGCATAGCTACTGCAATGCCGGTGGAATTCACCACAATCGTCATCGAATTCATGCCGGCTACAGCAATCACAGGCTTGTCTTGGGATCCAACTTTAGGCAGATTGAAGCTTACTTGGTCTTGGCCTTCGGTCTCCCAGACGGGCGTATGACTGGTGAATACGATTGCGAAATCGCAATCGCGAGCGACGTCAACTGCTTCCGCAAGTAGATCTTCGTCATGCTCTTCCTTTTTCATCATGCCTAGTCTAAAGCCGGGTAGTCCTTCTAGAATTCTACAATAGTCATCGTCGCAAGTTGGCGGACTTGAGCGAATGTGAATTTAGTATGGTTCGCCTTGGTTGAAAGGGTAGGTAAACTCTTTCTCCGGGTTTCCACCATATATGAAGGCCATGGCATCTTCTGAGCTCCCCTTTTGTTCGAACACGACCTTGTCGTTGATGTAGACAGCTGTAGGGCCAATCCCTGAACATGAGAGATAATGTGACCCGGAAACATCAGGAACGAAGGTTGATGATAGATGAACTTCTTTCCATTTAGCGGCGTGATCAATCAGCGGGCTAAATTGGGCGTCCTTGAGCCCATGAATAGTCTTAAGAGGTTGCTCGGTTTTACCTTGTTCGAAGAACTCTGCAGTCCAACCACGCTTGCCGTCAAGACCGGCCGTCTCCAAAAGTCCTTGCCAGCTAGAAGAGATATCCAAACACATCAGTGAATGACTAGGGTACAAACAAGGGGTGAAAGTACCTTCTCTTCGACAGTTAGGGATTGCAAAGTTGATTCAATGTTTAGACTCATGGCGAAAGAAGTCACTACGACTGGTAATTGAATAGAACAGTACCGCAAATCCAACGTTAAGTAGTCATTCAAAACCAAAATTAAACGACAGTTTACGAAAGAAGTGAAGGCATTAGCTCTTGTAGAACAAAAAGTAGCTTCATTAATACAGAGATTAATTGAATTTATTAGTAGAGTACTTTAAGATACTTATAACTCCTCTTCGGATTACCATGGCTTGTCTTCCGGCAACAACTCCGGTCACTCTGGCATCAACATTCCATTCCCCATACTCGTATCTCGCCTCTCCCCATCATTGGCTGCTAGAGAAAGGTATTGCGCGTTGGGGTCACGGTGGAGATTAGGCGCATCCGAAGATTTGCTAGTAGAGTTCTGATTCGCTGTTTGACGGTAGGATAGCTGTTACTTCCAGGATTGTCCGAGGATTAGCCATGAAGGGGGCAAGAATAGGCACTTGATATCAGACGATATATAGATAATGAGGATTCCGGAGACTTGGGAATCCGAGTGCGAATATGAGGAGGTGAAAAACGAGCGTGGAAGATGGTAGTGGCAGCTGAGGAAAGAGCCATGACTAAGTAGCGCTGCACGGACCCAATACTAGGCCTCCTGAAATCAGTGCAGTTTAGCCCACGTGCTCAGCCTTGCTCATGTACCTCCACGGCTAAGTCAACCTCAGAATTCGATTTCTGCTTGTCCTCTAAGCCTAGATCTCTTCCTTATTTCCCTGCCGTTGCTTCGGGCATTGAGAAGTCAAAATGAGTTCCTCAAAGATATCCGAGAAGCTTATCCGGCAACACCCGCTTCAGCGGTTGGAGTCTCCGTCGAAGGGCTTTTCTGGAGTCGTCCATGTGGGTTGCGTATCTATTAGTCCAAGTCGGTGGATACTAACATGTTGATGTTAGGTACTTGGACTCTTGGTATTTTATTCAGATTATAAATAGTACGCCTCAACCTCCATTTGTCCACAAAATGAACGCTGATATCCTGCCCAGTTTGATGGACAATCCAAATATCATTGTAAGGCGCATCTTATCAAAGCCCCTTTTCAACTTTCCCATCTTGCATTGGATTATTATTCCGGGATTTTTTAGTTCACCCCGTTTTATGTCCCCCGTGTATCGGTTTTCCCCCCCGGAACTCCACTCCCAAACCATCCTCCATCCCCTTCCAGCTTACTAAACCCCAATAGAATGACTCCTACGGCTGGCATTTTCAATACCTAACCATAATCGGCCTCAGCATTTCGACGTTATGTTTCACATCCGGTCTCCTCGCCGACGCAACGTCCTCACACACCCTCTTCACCCTGAAAAACTACCTCGCCCTCGTCGCTGCCCCCATCGAACTCCTCATCTCCCTCCTATACTGGGGTCTCCGCGCCATCGACCCTGCACTTGTCATCCCTCCTGACCTCCCTATGCTCCCTTTCTGGACAGACTTATGCTTCCACTTATTTCCCAGCCTCCTCTTATCTCTAGATGCAATATTACTCTCCCCACCTTGGCCCACGAATCCCGTGAACCCGAATGCGCCGTTTGTCACGTTAGTAGCGTCGATGGCGATTTCGTTTACATATTGGTTTTGGATTGAGCTGTGTCATTCGCATAATGGGTTTTATCCTTATCCGATTTTCGCGCTGCTTGGCACGTGGCAGAGAATCGGATTGTTTGTAGTGAGTGGGGTTACTATGTGGCTGTTGGGCGCGGGGTTGAGGATGGGGTATACTCGGGTTAATGGGTATGAAGTTTCGGAGATGAAAAAGGACGTGTAGGTTCTCAGCGGTAATATTCGTGGATGAGACTGGAAAAGGGAGAAAGTGCATGAAGGGCGGTTTTGTTGAGTCCTGGTAGCTGGATTTCTAGCCTATTGCGGTTGTAGAAGTGCAGTAGAGGCTGCAGGTTCTCAGTTCATGCCATGAGATTGTGCCCTATACGTGCTCGCTCGGGGCTTGGATAAACCCTTCTGGAATGAGTGGTGTAGTTGATAGTTCCTTCCGCACAAAAATTAACGAACCAGCGATCAATTCCCTATCTCACCATTTCCGCGGACCCGGGATCTGAGATAGGGCGACAGGGGGTTAGATCGGGCATTGCGTCACGGTAAATAGTCGCTTGGGTTCTTTCTGTTAGCCAATAGTGAGAAACAAAAAGTCACCACCCGATGGTGAGGCAAAAGGAGCTGTAGTCACGTTTTATATAATGAGGGCTTGAGTCTGTATTAAGCAATGTACATTTTGAAGAATTAATACTGTACAAGCCAGCCGTCTCTCGTACCAGCAACGATGCTCGCGAATCAGACCATCGGAAGCTCTAAATACAAGGGTTGGGAAATTATATGGAAAAGCACTGCCTGGGGGGATTCCCGAGTGCCTGTCCGAAAGACTCATAGAAGCACATATACCTTTATGATGAGGTCGTATCTCATTCTCATCATATCGAATGTTGTAAACCGTATATCATATTGTATAACATGTGGAGACCCATAAACCGAGTAATCTTGCCATGGCTCTCGCTTGCTGAAAAACAAAAACAGAACACTAATACCAAAAAGAGGAGCGAGAGTTGTAAAGTTGCATATGGTGACGGCCGATGGTAGAGCCGCATTGCAGGAAAGCATGAAGACAGGGATGCACCAAGAACATCGATACCTCGACACGAGGAGATTGGTGTGCCTAGGTCATGCTGTGAGATGGTTGGTCGGTAGACATGCGCTGCATTGAGTCTAGGCCGTAGATGGTGAAGGAGGAGCGGTGAGGGTACGCTGATCATCAGCGACCTCATTGTGTTGCTGCAGATACCCGTTGTTCATGTAAATCGGGTGACCAGACTGGAACGCGTAATGGTCGTGCCCTAAACCATATGCGTATGCTGGGTAGTTGTATCCCGACGGTTGATGATGGTGATGATGATCATACGTGGGAGGGTGGTAAGCAGGCAAGATGTTCTCCTTGTTTTCGTGTCCCGTGTAGGAGTCATTGTATGCTTTGTAAGGAGCAAAGGATGGCGCTGGTGATGGCGACGGTTGCTGTTGATGATGGTGGTGGTGATGAAAGCCAGCGGTGAGGTAATTGAGGCTTGCAGGTTGAGCGAAAGTGACTTCGTCATCCTGGAACACATCAAACGCGCGCCTCCTTCGCTGTCCATGGAGATCCCCGTAACCATATCCGGAATGACCATGGTCGTTCTCATACGGATTGCGAGAAGCGTACGGAAAAACTGGTGGTCGAAAGTGCTGGCGGGTGCGACGTGCAGCGTTGGGATCCAAGTCTGCCAGAGCGGGACGCGTCAGGTAAGGCCTCGGGCTCTCAGCTTTAATGGGGCTGCTCTCTTCGTCATCATAAACTGAACCCGAGATCCTTCGTTGCTTCTTGAATGACCCGTGTGGGGTGAAGATGAGCTCGGTAGGCTCTACCTCTTGCGAGTTGAGTTCCAGTTGCTCGACGACGGAGATGTCTTTCTTCTGATTCCGCTTGCGCCGCATCTCCGGAGTGGCTGAGTCAAATAGATCCATGCCAGGCCAGTAGACCCCCTTAAGTTTTGTGCACTCGCTCGTACCTCCGGTATCTTCTGTCGAAAATGTGGCGGTATCGGCGGGATCGTCATCAATGGCACAAGAGTCATCCACATGGTACTGGTAACGTCTCCGATCGCTCGGATCTGAGTACTCGCTCGAGGTCTCGTAGTCTGGGTTGGTATAGCTGTGCGATGTAGAGCGAGAACCTGTGGGCCAATATTGCATCCGAGGAGGAAAAGCACGATGCCGGAGTATGGGACCGGGTGGAGGAGGAGTCGGCGTGACAGAAGCCTCAATTTTGACCATGTGATGCTCAGAGAGGCGTGGATCGAGTAGAGCGCTGACTGCTGCGCGAGGACGTGTGGACCGTGGAGCTGGGGCTTCAATCTTGGGCGCTGGGTTCGCTCGAACTGTCAGAGAGGAAGAATCAGTAAGAGTCTCTGCCGCCGGAAGGGAGGCAAGACTGTACCAATAGTCCTCGTACGCGTTCGGCGCTTGTCTTTTTGGCTCATGCGCTCCGACATTAGATCTTCGACATTCCACTCGGCATACCATCGGTCGTAGGCTTCGATCAATCTTCGGGATGCATCCTCGCTTCCGGAACGAACCTTGACCTTGTAGTAGTGAGACAAATGCCCCTTGCTGGCAATGTGGGTGAGCAGATGAGAGACATCGCTAAAGTTGGGCCTCTTTGGGCAGATGTTGCAGTGTAGCGGGATACCAGTGGCCGCCATTGCAGCCCGTTGATGCTAATGGGCGCAGGCGAGCAGAACAAACGCGAAAGTGCTGTCCTTGGAATGCAATTGGTGACGAAAAGAGCGACGTGAAAGGAGCGGGCTGGATGGAGAGAAGGAGAAGAGGTGGGTGGTGATGGTGAACAGCAAGCAGATATGAAAGGCGCTCCGAGGCAGTCAAGTCACTGCCGCGGCTCCCACAGCATTGTTTGATTATCGAGGAGCGGAAAGCACAAAGAAGAGAAGAGCAGAGGGGCAAGCCTTGATGAGTGAGGAAAGATCACAAAGGAGTCAGGCAATCATGAGGGGCAATAGTATTTGTAGCTGGCGGTTCGGAAGCTCGAAACACGTGGAAGCCGTCTGGGCATTGCCCGAACCGGCAGCACTGTTTACTCTTCTCTAGCTTTGTATCTCACACCTCAGTGGGAAGAGGCGAGAGTTATTGGATAGCGAGAGGGACAGCAGTAAAGCCGGGATTGAATCTACAGGTCCATAGGCACTCTGAGTAGGGGTGTGATCATGTTCGTAGTGTTTGTTTATTCACTATGTAGTCATGCCCTCACCGCAACTCATTTGCCCAAGCACCTCAGCGTCACCGCTCTCGGCATGCAGCTGCACGCACTAGTCAGCATCATCATAACGTCTCGGAATGTTGTGCCGAGCACTCACTAGACGGGGTCGACTTCGGCCAGGCCTGGGTACTTGAGGAGACTCAGGCCAGCAAGGCCAAAGACAGTATGGAAGACGTCTACCATATCGCCTGGCCGGTCGGCAAGACCCCCTCCTTCCGGATCCTGCAGTTATCAGAGCCCATTCCCGTACCCATGACGCCGTCGGCTTGCCGAAAACTTACCTGACACTGGAGGATGAACGAGGTCAATTTTTTGCCGTCTATCCAATGCAGCTTGTTTAGCATGGCGAGGCTGCTCATGACCCACCAGCTGTAGCAGACATCTTCCTTCTTCTCCGGTCTGCCGTTCAGTCCGCCGTTCTTGAGCTGTCGCTCGCTGAGCCATGCGCCCAGCTTGTCCTGATCAACGAGGTCGAGTCGGCCGGCGATGGTCAGGGCACCTACGCACGTGAACACCTGGCCAGCATGAGATTCTGCGCCAGGGCGCGTGCCATAGGCACCGTCAAAATTTGCGCACGATTGAACGTATTCAACGGCCTTGTCTACATTGACGAGATGCAGCAAGTTCATTAGAGACAGTGCATTGAGGGCCCCGTACAGAAACCGGGTGTCCCTTTCACCCCACTCATCGCCCGCAAAGGTGCCTGTTTCTGGATCCTGCAGGTCTGCGATATCTAGAAGCAATAAGCATTGCGATATATTGACATTTCGGGCTAATAAACAAACGCACACTGGCCAATCTTCTTGCGGCCATCCTTGACGCGTTCTTCAAGCTCGTCAAAGGCATTAAGCGTGGCTAGAATCTGCACGCCGCTGACAGTATACAGTATGTGAGCATCATGTCCTGGTGCGGCTCCGAAGCCACCATTGCCATGCAGGCACGACAGCACAAAGCCTATAATCTCCTGCCGGGGAAGTGCATCGGGGTGGCCGAGCAGATGGAGAGCCGTGAGACCCCAGTACAGTCCGTTTAAACGCAGATGCTCAGTGAGCCAGTACTCTAGCTCGTCCTTGCGCTGGCAGACAGTTAGCGGCAACAAACTGCGGGTAGCTCTTCGGAGGCAGGCGAATTTCAGGCGTACGCACGGTGTCAAGACTTTGGATATAGCGGACATGCTTGTCAACAAACAGCTGCAGTTCGGCGGGAATGGCAGTCATGCCACCGCGGCCGGGGCCAGAGACGAGAGACATGGAGTTGGTCTCGTTGGAGGAAGGAGACATCAAGCGAAGCTGTGCATGGCAGGCCGACGATGGGCGCCGGCGGCGTGAGGCTTAACCCGGCATCGAGCCGGGGCCTGAAACGATGCGTGAGATGCTTGGCGCGACCCAGCACGCCGTTCCCGACGGTGCTCTCCTCCCCTCGTCGTCTGCCGTTGCAAATCGTACTCGCATCTCGCCCCTGGCCCTCTTCTCCCGCTGCATGCGCCTGCAATCTGGCGACATCTGCTGTGAGCCCTGAGCGCCCGGCCCTCGTCTGCAAAGAACCCGCGCCGTGCTGGACCCCGTTACGTTTGCTTCCGAGACCTCCTCCAAGTTCCCGCATACCACTTCTGATTCTCCAAGGCCCGAGCGCCCGACGCCTTCACTAAGTCGTCGCCGTTGCCGCCGCTCTCTCCCCTCGTGCTGCAGGTCAAGGTATGGGCTCGCGCTGAGTCCTGCATTCACTCAACCCCCCGCCTCCGCACAATCAACAATTATTTTTCCTGTCACCTCTTCTCCTCCAGCGTCCGCACCCCCGCCCTCCCTCCTCCGCCGCCTGGCCACGAGTCCGCTGCTCCTTATACGACCACCTCACACTGCTGCAAAAAGCGACTAACGCCGTGGTATCCATATCCACGTTCGTCCCGCCCAAAATAGCCTCCATAGCCCGAGCAGCAGTCCCCTTTCTACGCCGCCAGCGCCGGCATCTCCACCCGAATAATCCACCGCAGCGGGTCGACGCCTCTTTGTCCCCCTCCGAACTTAGCCCACTCTTCCTCAGGAACTTCTTGTAAGTGTGCCTTTCTGACAGTGCGGAGATGCCCCTCGCTCTTTGTTTCGGTATTGTGGCAGATCCAATGTTGTACGACATAGTCGACGTCTGCACTGCTCCTTTCATAACAGGCAATAGATGGCTAACAGGTCGTGGAGGCAACAGGTTGGAGCAACACCGCCGCCCATCATACCTCCGTCTGAAGCCACTCTATTCTGAGCCTGCGAACCTGCGAGCCTGCGAACCGATCTCCTTGGATAATTACCTGTCGTACGAGCCCCAGTGTCTTCCCCAGCAGCCGGTTCCTGCATTGCTCCTGCTTGTCTTGCTTTTCCTGGAGGATCAGACTTGATTCCTCGCTGGAGCCAGATTGGTGTATTCCTGCAGAAGGCGCTGGACAAGGCATAACTCTACCCTAGTGCGATTATCACGGTTCGTACCACCAATTCTCAACCCTTCAAACCTCCGCGGCTTGGGACCATGCTTCACCTCCAACAATCGCGCTGACAATCATGAGCAAACAGAGACCACAGATCCGATATAATACGATCGATAGTTCCCACAGAGCCCGCCCGACCCATGTGCTACAACCTCTGAGGCCACCAACACCTCGTCCACCACAATCGACACCCCCACTCCTTCCATCCACCAGCCAGCCCCCGAGCTGTCCTCAGATCGAGGCGGTCTTACTGCATACTCTCTCTGAGGTATTTCGCCCACTGCTGCGTACTGCTTGGAAGGAGGACAAACACAAACTGGTTGCTTCATGGTATTGCTGTGCTAAGATTTGTCTAGACCTGGGAGACGCCCCGGAAAGCGTTAAGGAAAATGCCGAAGTCTTCATCACTATCGCTGGCGATGCGGTCGAAAGGAGGGAAAGATAGCCTTGGTTCGCCAATGAGCCCGCGAAGTCCGGGCTCTCTGAATGCCGTTTATGGAAATGATTCAGAAGCAGCGACTCCCATTGCTGCGTATCACAATATGCCGGAGTCACCAGCATCTCCCAAGCAACGCAAAGACTCGAAGAACATCTTCGCTAACTTCCATGCCTCAAAATCTTCGACACGCATCGCTTCACCGGATGACTCCCTTCGCCAAGGCCCTGATCAGAACGGGCCACTTTCATTCTACACAAACGGTCGAAATGGGGGATCCACGCCCGAGTTGAACCGCCCAATACAAACTCCAAATTCTGAGGGTAAGTACCCATATTCTAATCCAACACTAGACTAAGAGACCTAGACAACCGCTCTGATATCACGGGTTCCGAACCACGAACCAATAGCAGATCAGGAAAGTCTACCGAGTTGGATAGCAATGCGGACTCCAATCCTTCAAAGCGTGGTACCGCAAAACCCAAAAAGCAAGGAGTGTTGTCGAGATCACGATCCATCAAGGTTGAGGAAGGCTCCAATCAAACGAAGCAGAAACCTACCCCCAGAAATCTCGCCGAACCCTCTTCGTGGAAAAACAACAGTGATGGCATGCCCCTAAAGACAGCGCCTCTTGAGAAGGGACAATCTTGGCGTCAGAACATATCTTTTGGGAAATTGCGGACACATTCAGCTGATCGTCACGATGGATCTCAACATGCCCATGGGGACGATGATACTGCTTCTCGTAAGGACAGAGCCGAGCAGAGTTCGGTTGCATCAGGTTCCTTCAACGAGAGCAGAGGCGCAGCATTGATGTCGAGTATCGGATTCGGAGCTAGGAAGATGGGCGAAAAGATGGATTCCGCCCGGAAGGGCATGTTCGGAAAGTTAGGACGCAGTTCCAGCAACCACGAAACGCAACTACAGATACCGAAAGAACAATATGTATTCAGGGTCATCAATCTTGGCTTGGTCGAACAAACTAGGTTAACTAGGATATCACAACGCTTAGAAAATTCCAAGGACAAGACGGAGTTTTGGATGCCAGCACTTCCCTGGCGGTGCATTGAGTACATCTCCCCCTCTATCGAAATCAATTCTTCCTGACTCATTTACAGTTATCTTAACATGAAAGGATGCGAGGAGGAAGGTCTCTACCGCGTACCCGGAGCTGCTCACACTGTTCGGTATTATGAACAGAAGTTCGACCAAGGTGGGACAGTTGCAAAAGGCCCTACTCAATTTTCATTCACTCATGTGATACAGACCGCGACATCGACTTGATTGCCGACGACAACCTCAACGACCCCAACGTCATTGGATCGTTGTTCAAGAGCTGGCTGCGGCAACTCCCGGATGAGATCTTCCCGAAAGCCACCCAATCAAAGATTCAGCAAGAGTGCCAGGGCGCTAAGACCACACCTCAGATGTTGAAGGATGAATTATCCAAACTGCCACCCTTCAACTACTACCTCTTGTTTGCAATAACCTGTCACATCAGCCTCCTACACTCGTGTTCAGAGTTCAACAAGATGAACTACAACAACTTGTGTATCTGCTTCCAACCAGCCATTAAGATTGACGCTTTTTGCTTTCAGTTCTTGATATTGGATTGGAGGAATTGCTGGCAGGGCTGCTGGACGGAGAAAGAGTACCTAGTTGAAGAGGTGAAATTACTTGAACCCCAGAAGCCTGAACCCTCTACCACCCGCAATGGACAAGCCCCGCAAGCCTCTGGGAAGACCAAAAGCTTACACTCTTCTTCTGGATTTCTAGGTGATAGCTTCCAGTCCTCGACACGCAGCAACTCCGCGGACAGGGCGGTTTCATCCGACCGGGCGTCCGAACGCAGCAAACCATCATCGCGGGGTCTCTCAGCTGAGCGTAACATGGTCTCCGGCCGCGTTACTCCGCCAAACCCGTCTATTTTCGAGCATTCGAGCGCCAAACGTCCTGCAGAACGAAGAGCCACCGATGAACGAGATTCGTCGACAGACCGAGCAATTTCGTCGTCAGATAGCCGAGACGCGTTCAATGCTCGTGGGACTCCAAAACGTGCGCCCGCGTCTCTGAGCACGGAAGTTGCGGCGGAGGAGGAAGATAATAGCGCAACGCCTACCCAGGCCCAGCATACTCGAGGGGGTTCAGAGAGCAACAATTTCCGACTTGATATAACGAATCCACCAAGCTCACCGTTTTCGATTAAGTTCTAAAGGGTTAGGGGATCCAGTGCCTAACGAGGGGCCCTTTTTTCGGATGCATGTGCATGATGAAGTGATGATAAAAGGCCGTTTGGATCTGGAGTTTTGTTTTGCATATTCGGTTCACATCTGGTCATTTGGTTGTCACGAAGTCGCGATACCCGTCAGAGTCGTCCTTGGGTTGTCGTGGCGACCCTTTGTGTCGTTCTGCTTCAGTTCGTGCCAGCGGTGGAGTTTATGCGTTGCGATGCTTTTGGTGACTAGCTGATTGGAGAGAAGAATTGCACACTTTTAGGTGGACAAGGTTGAGAAGGCCTTTGTACGATAGGACAGTTAAGAGGTGAGTGAAGCTTAGCAGACAAATCAATATCAATCCGTAGCAGTAGCATGATTGTGCATGAAGTCGTGAAGAGCGCCTGAAGAGCGCCTGAAGAGCCCCTTCGCGATGCTTCAGGCTGCATTCGGGTCCGAGGCACATGAGACTATTGGTTGCTTCTTCTCGGCTCTCAGAATTCGATAGTCCTCATGCAGGCAGCTCAAGATTTCGATGACTGAGTCAGCATGGTTAAATGTCTGGAAGCTTGACCGCCCGTTCGACGTCTCCGTACCGCTTCTTGGCGGTGGGATGACGTAGTGGGCAGGCAGCGGCTCCTGTTCCTAGCTGCGCTCCCCTCCACTGCTGTGCCGATCTGACAAGGCGGAGAGCTCCTGCACCGCTGGCCTCTTCACAACATCGCGAAGGGCAATTGTGCTGTCACTCCTGCCATCTCCGTGCGATCTGTTTATACTCTCAACCGCCTCTCGAACATCTCGTCTCTCCTCCTCCTCAACACCGCATATCCCTCGGCCTCACCATCATTACTACCGCTTCAACGCAGCAATTTCATTGCACTCGTAGCTTTTATTTTGCAAGCCAGTCCGCCGCACCAACTCAATTTACCGCCGTTCAATTTCTCTCAGCTATGGCCGCAACGAAGCGACCGGCCTCGCAGGCTATTTACCTCCTTCCATTGACCGATAGTGGAGCTCCAGCCGTCCCCGGAACCTACGTCTACCTGCCCCCGCCCTGCGAGCCTGCCTATATAGTCCGCTTTCAAATCGAGGGTTGCAGCTCAGTATGCCGCCATGGCAGTCTGTGGGTCAACATCCCAGTCAAGGGGGAGAAGTTCAGGCGTAGCTATTACCGCGAATACAAGTAGGTTCAGGACTCTCCCGCTATTACATTCATGGCAACTGATGCTTGTGTCAGGCTAAAGCCAGATTTCAATGGCACTACAGAGATTGACATTCCCATACATGAGGCCAATGCCTACTCCTTTTACACAACCTACACGCCACTGCCACAATGGTCCTTTACTGACGTCGCTTCGCCGGAGCCTACACGGACGCCCACGTACTACATTGATGTTTGCCCGAAACTCACTCTTCAGGGCCAGCAGATGCCCATCGATTCAATCGCTGTTTTCTCTATTCTTTCCAAGTTCATGGGCAGCTACCCCACTGATTGGGACAATCACCTGCGCGGAATCAGTCAGAGGGGGTACAACATGGTCCACTTCACACCCTTGATGACCCGCGGCGACTCCAATTCACCATACAGTATTTTTGACCAGCTTCAGTTTGACCAGGGCTCTTTCCCGAATGGCGAGAAGGACGTGGCTCGGATGGTCAAGAAGATGCAGCAGGAGCTTAACATGTTGGCCATGACCGACGTTGTGTGGAACCATACTGCAAACAACAGCAAGTGGCTTGAGGTCCATCCGGAGGCTGGGTACAATGTTGATACAGCGCCGTGGCTAAGGCCTGCTCTCGACCTAGATACTGCACTCATGAAATATAGCAAAGACCTAAGGGTTCTCGGGATGCCGACCAAGATCGGCAGCATCGACGACCTCCTCAAAATTATGGATGGAGTCAAGCAACGCGTTCTTGGTGGCTGCAAGTTATGGGAATACTACGTCCTAGATGTCGAGAGGGACACAGACGCCATCGTCCAAGCCTGGTGCGCGGGAGAGGCCTCATTCCCTGAGAATGGGTTCGGCCAGGCCGGCATCCGAGGCCTTGATGAAGTGAAAGAGTGGGCTTTGAAGAGGAAGGCTGATTGGCTAGTCGACTTCGCACTTCGAGGTGGGGATAGGATGGGTGAACGTTTCCGTCGCCGGATGGATCCCAACGTGGGTGCTGGACTGTTGAGCGCACTATTCGGTCGATTCGACAGCCGCACCAGCAGTACACCAGATCAGCGAGCAGCGCATGGCACCATCTACCGAATCCTGGAAGAAGTCAATCTTCAGTTCTACCGTGAGTATGATGGTGATGCGGCAGAGATCATGGAGCAGCTCTTCAATCGCATAAAATATTGCCGCCTGGATGTTCATGGCCCTAAGCTGGGGGAGATCACTGTTGGTAGCCCATTGATTGAGCCCTACTTCACCCGACTCCCCCTTAACGAGACGACCAAGAAGCACAACCCAGAAGCGCTCGCGCTAGTCAACAACGGCTGGGTCTGGGCAGCTGACGCAATGAGGGACAACGCAGGATGGAAGTCCCGTGCCTACCTAAGGAGAGAAGTTATTGTTTGGGGTGACTGTGTTAAGCTTCGATATGGAGATGGCCCGGAAGATAACCCTTTTCTCTGGGACCACATGGCCAAATACACACGCCTGATGGCCAAGTACTTCCAGGGTTTCCGTATTGACAACTGCCACTCTACTCCGATTCACCTCGCAGAGTACATGTTAGATCAAGCGCGATCTGTCAACCCCAACATCTTTGTCTGTGCTGAGCTCTTCTCTGGTTCGGAAGAGATGGACTTCAAGTTTGTCATGCGCCTTGGCATATGCTGTCTCATCCGAGAGTGTATGCAAGCATGGAGCACACAAGAGTTGAGTAGACTAGTTCATCGCCATGGTGGCGTACCTATTGGAAGTTTCGAGACGGACGAAGTCTTGAATGCCGATCGGTCAATAGAAGACAGTGCTGCCACCAATGCAAAGTCACCCGCGAAACTTGAAGTAATTCACAAGATTAAGCGGAGCCCTGTCCATGCCTTGTTCATGGATTGCACCCACGATAACGAGACTCCGGCCCAGAAACGCGACGCTCGGGACACTCTCCCTAGTGCTGCTCTTGTTGCCATGTGCGCCAGTGCTACCGGTAGCGTTATGGGATTTGATGAAATCTACCCTGAGCTCATCGAGCTTGTACATGAGAAGAGGCTTTACTCGTCTGTCAACTCAACTAGCGGACCTGTAAAGGCTCAAGCCGGCGAGGGGGGAATTGGTGGCATAAAGAAGATACTGAACGGAATTCACGTCGAAATGGGCAAAAAGGAATACACTGAGACTTATATTCATCACGACAACGAGTATATCACTGTCCACCGAGTCCATCCTCAAACCAGGCGAGGATATTTCCTGATTGCCCATACAGCTTTCCCCGGTTACGGCAACGGGAATGGTGGATTGGGCCCAACCAAGCTTCCTGGCACCAAGGCTAAGTTAATCGGAAGCTGGATGCTCGAAGTTGACAACAGCCCTGAGACAAGAGCTATGGTCACTGATGACAAGAAATTGTTGCGCGGTCTCCCTAGCCAAACTAAGGAGTTGCGAGATATCGTGGTCGAGTCCATGGAAGACTCTACTACTATCAATGTTCCCGATAAGTTCCCCCCTGGAAGTATCGCGCTCTTCGAGACCTGGGTACCCAGTGCAGAGCACAGCGAAGGACTTGATAAGTATGTTACAACGGGTGCCCGAACCGCTTTCAAGGATCTTACCCTTTCCGATCTCAACATCATCCTCTACAGATGTGATGGCGAGGAACGAGATGAGTCAGAAAACAAGGATGGCACATATAATATTCCAGGCCACGGTCAGCTGGTGTATGCTGGATTGCAGGGCTGGTGGAGTGTTGTGAGCGACATTGTCAACGACAATAATCTCAGCCATCCTCTTTGCAACCACCTCCGGGAAGGACAGTGGGCTCTGGACTACTGCGTGGGTAGACTGGAGCGTGTCTCTAAGAAGAGAAAGTACGCTCGTATTCAGGCTCCGGCAAAATGGTTGAAAGACCGATTCGACGCAATCCGTAAGATCCCTAGCTATCTTCTTCCGCGCTCCTTTGCCATGGTCATACAGACGGCATACAATGCTGCCGTCGATCGAAACCTCGAGTTGATGGCCGAGAATGTTCGCAATGGCCAGCAATTCTTGAAGAGCCTGGCGCTTGTCAGCACCCAGGTCACTGGATACATGAACAGCGCCTCCCTTTGGCCTGACAAGAGCGTCCCAAGTATGGCCGCTGGCCTTCCTCACTTTGCGTACGATTGGGCTCGTTGTTGGGGTCGCGACATTTGCATCTCCGCTCGTGGTCTCTATATGGGTACAGGCCGTTACGCTGATGCCAAAGAGCACATACTTGCATTTGCGAGTGTTCTCAAGCATGGTATGATTCCCAACCTTTTGGGTGCAGGCAAGCTCCCACGGTACAACTCCCGAGATTCAGTTTGGTGGTTCCTACAGAACATCCAGGACTATACGAAGATTGTCCCCGATGGCCTGGACATTCTTCAAGATAAGGTTAAACGTCGTTTCTTCCCGTATGATGATATCTGGTTTCCCCCAAATGATAAACGAGCATATTCCAAGTCCTCCACAATTGAGGATGTCATTCAGGAGGCTCTCCAACGACATGCCTCAGGTATGGACTTCCGGGAATACAACGCTGGCCCCGATATTGATAGCCAGATGAAGTCGGAAGGATTCAATCTGAAGATCTGGACTGATTGGGAGACTGGCATCATCTTCGGTGGAAACCAATGGAACTGTGGCACGTGGATGGACAAAATGGGTGAGAGTGAGAAGGCCGGCAGCAAGGGCGTTCCTGGAACACCTCGAGATGGTGCAGCGGTAGAGATCACTGGCATGCTGTACAGTTGCCTTCGGTGGGTTGCCCAGCTTCATGAGGATGGCGACTACAAGTACGAAGGAGTTACTCTCGAGGGTGGCAAGAAGGTCATTTCCTTCAAGGCATGGGCGGACAAGATCCAGGCTAACTTCGAACGGTGCTACTATGTCCCGCGGCGACCAGATCAGGACGTCAACTATGATGTCAACACCAAGATCGTTAACCGTCGAGGCATCTACAAGGATCTTTACCGATCTGGGAAGGAGTATGAAGACTACCAGCTCCGACCAAACTTTCCTGTTGCCATGGTTGTAGCACCCGACTTGTTCGATCCGGAACATGCCCTCTACGCCCTGCAAATGGCAGACAGGATCCTGCTTGGACCCCAAGGCATGAAGACTCTTGACCCGTCGGATTACAACTATCGTCCATACTACATCAACAGTGAGGATTCGACCGACTTCCACACATCGAAGGGTAGAAATTACCACCAGGGTCCGGAGTGGTTGTGGCCCACTGGATTCTTCCTCCGTGCTCTACTTAAGTTTGACCTGAAGAGGCGCAAGACGCCTGAGGAAAGGGTCGAGAGCTACCAGCAAGTCACCCGACGATTGGCAGGATGCATGAAAGCTATTCAAGAGAGTGCATGGGCAGGTTTGACAGAACTCACCCAAAAGGATGGTGCCTTCTGCGGCGATTCGGTGAGCTTTGCTTCCCTTTTCCCTTGCCTAAGCGATTAATTGGTTAACCCTTGAAAACAGTGCCCAACACAATCGTGGTCGGCTGGATGCATCATCGATTTGTTCCAAGACGCTCGGGAGTATGAGCTGGAAGAGTCTGAGTAGGTATTGTTTGGGATCGTGATGCTAGGTTGTGTTTGTGATTCTTGTGCATAGCTTTCCCGCACGGTGGTTTGCGGTGGACTGGCTTGTCTGGGCGAATTCCCTAAGTAGATACCTATCTAAGACATAGAGACACGTTTTCTCTGATTCAGAACTGGACAACTGTTGACTGCACTACCTGGACCACGCGTGTGATCCGCGTCTCCACTAAACCCTATTAGTCTCCGACCCCATAACCTTATTAGTCTCCGACCCCTAAACTCCGGTTTGCATCTCCACAAAGACACATGCGACACGACTAAGGCATGGCGTCTCGCAAGCGGCCAGCGGAATCAATTGATTCCAGACGCGTCGATTTCTCTCGGTTTTCTTCGTCTCAAGGACACACCGTCTCGCAAGCATCCTTGCTACCGCGAGCTACGAAGCAGGCCCGTGTAGGTTACGATCAGGAATTCCCTTCACGCTCTGCGCCAGGAGCATCCCAAGCAGCACCAATTCTCATTGTGGATGATGAGGATGAGGAGGATGGTTCTCAGGAAGTTCCGGATGCGTCACAGGGCTATAATGAGGCCGAGTTCACGTATGGGCTTTATGGTGTTCTAGCTACCAAGATTGTTGGTGTTAGGTATTACACGGGTGTTGCGACTTTGGGCGAAATGGTCATTTTGAGGCGGGAGCCACAGAATCCATATGATGGTATGGTCGTAGTCATCTAGGCAGTTTGATATTTTGCTACAGGTAGACTGACAGATGTGCAGGGAACGCGATACAGGTTGTCAATGTGCAGAATGCGCAGATCGGACATATACCGCGGATCATGGCGCAGAAGCTTGCGACGTACATAGATAATAGGAGTCTCTTGATTGAAGGCTATATCACGGGCTATAAAGGTGAGTTCGATTGCCCGATTGAGCTGAGGATATATGGAACGGATGAGCCTGTTGAACGAGAGAATTTGATTGCACAGCTTAGGGCAGATAAGCTGCCCGTGGGACATGCAATGGATAGAAAGAGAAAGGCTGAGAAGGCTGAGAAGGAGAGGCAGAAGCTTGCTGCTCAAGCGATGAAGGCAGCGAAGAAGAATAGTGGATCTGTTATTGGAACGAGTCAAGGCATTCAGTATGAAAATTCCATGGGAGAGTTTGCTGGGGGTTCGTCTCAGGGTACGGGTCTTGCAACTTCACGGAACCTGGAGGATATTATTGGTAATTGCGAACGCTTCAATCCTCGCAATGTTGAACAAATTGTGGAACAGTTTGGTATAAAACAGGAAGAATTGGTGAGCTTTCTTGGAGTTGTACCTTAAGCTGTGGACTAACTCTTCCGAGGCGGCAATGCCAAAGGCAGCCCAACCAGAAGCCCTTGACACCGAGCTGCATCCCTTCCAACTTCAAGGTCTTCAATGGATGCTTGATAAAGAGTATCCCCAACTCCCCCCCCAAGGTTCGAAGGCTGTTGTGCAGCTCTGGCAACGTCACCCAACTATCTCGACAGCATTCACGAATCTAGCCACCAACTTCTCGATCAAGAATAGCCCTTCACTCGCTAGCGGAGGTATTTTAGCAGATGATATGGGCCTAGGCAAGACGATTCAGGTGATTTCTCTGATCATGGCCGACAGGGTGCTTGGTCGTCGCGTCAATGGTGTCTGTGATGGAACACTCATTCTTGCCCCTGTTAGTGTCATGAGTAACTGGAGCACCCAGGTATGTTCTTGGAGCTTGGGGCATCTTTAGACTCTTCTATTCGACTAACGGCTTATAGATAAAGAAGCACATTAAAGAGAAGTATGCTCTTCGGGTCATGTTCTATCACGGAACGCGAAAAGAGCCCATTACGCCGAAGCAGATTAGGAACTACGATGTTGTTATTAGTACATATGACAGTGTATCGTCTGAATGGCACTCTCAGAAGAGCACTACCCTTCCTAGGAAGTCGGGTGTTTTCTCTGTTACCTGGCGTCGCATCATCCTAGACGAAGGTCACAACATTCGAAACCCGAAAGCGAAGAAAACAGTCGCGGTTACGAATCTCATGGCACAGTCCAGATGGGCTTTGACGGGTACCCCTATTATCAACAACCTGAAAGACTTGTACTCTATTGTACGCTTCTTGCGCCTGTCTGGTGGCCTTGGTACATTCGAGATTTTTCACGGTGCCATCATTCGTCCTGTCTTACAGGGCGACGCTAGAGGGAACAAAACATTACAGCTCCTTATGGGCGAGATATGCTTACGTCGCAAGAAAGAAATGTCCTTCATCGACCTCCGTCTTCCCGAGCTCTCTGAATACGTCCACAAGATCAACTTTCTTCCTCACGAACAGGAGAAATACGACGCTCTCGAGGCTCAAGCAAAAGGCACTCTAGATATCTACCGCCACAACATCACCGGTCGTAGCAACGCCTTCGACACCTACCGCCACCTTCTCGAAGTCCTACTACGCATGCGGCAGCTGTGCAACCACTGGAAGCTCGTCGGCGAAGAACGTCTCGACGCCATCATGAAGCAATTAGAAGCTGAAGGCGTGGTCGATCTTACGGAAGAAAATAAAGCCGCGTTGCAGAAGATGTTGCAACTCTCTATCGACTCGCAGGAAGATTGTCCTGTATGCTTGGACTCCTTACGCGATCCTGTTATTACGATATGTGCACATATCTTCTGTACGCCGTGTATCGAACGCGTAGTAGACACCCAGCATAAATGCCCCATGTGTCGCGCTGAACTAGATTCCGTAACTTCGACGACCGTTAAACCAGCCAAGGAGACCGCGGCGCCTTCTCATCTAACACAATCGCAACTCTACGACAAACAGATTCTTGAGAGGGAGAGTTCAAGTAAGATTGAATCCCTCCTCCAAATCCTGCACTCAAGCGCCAAAGATCCGACTAACAAAACAATCATCTTTTCTCAATGGACTTCTTTCCTTGACCTCTTGCAACCCCATCTCTCAGCCTCGGGTTTCAAGTTCACGCGTATAGACGGCAGCATGACAGCCCCGCAACGCGACCTCGCTCTCGAAGCCTTAGACTCGGACCCGAATATCACCATCATGCTCGCTTCCCTCTCTGTGTGTTCCGTTGGGCTTAATCTCGTTGCGGCGAATCAAGTCATAATGGCGGATTCTTGGTGGGCGCCAGCGATTGAGGATCAGGCGGTTGATCGAGTGCACAGGCTGGGGCAAAAGAGGGAGACGAAGGTTTTTAGACTTGTGGTAGAGGGGAGCGTGGAGGAGAGGGTGCTGGGGATTCAGGAGGATAAGAGGAGGCTGATGGGTTTGGCGTTTGCGGAGAAGGAGGGCGGGAGGAGGAAGAGGGGTGGTGCCGGGTTGGCGGATTTAGAGAGGTTGATTGGGGGGATTGGGGGCGGAGAGGGGAGGGGGTAGGGAGGTGGTTAAATCTGGAGTGTGTGAGCCGGTTGGAGGGTGGTGTAGGGCGAATTTGTATCAGGTGGTTATTTCTTGGTTTTTGTTTTTCGATGGTCTTGTTGACTGCAAGGTCACATCACAATAATACACGAGTAAGCTAGAGTCAGCTTAACTTGCTAGCTAGCACGCTTTCAGGAGGCAACCTCCTTCCACCTACAGATATTCCACAGCATCCTAGCTTTACAGTTTTGCGGTTTGGTAGTGTTTCAAACCTAGGGAGTGAACGATTATCACCTCTACTTTGTAAGAATGCTGTCCGGACGAAGGGCAGATGTAGCGAGGTTGGAATTCCGCTGATTACACGAACTCACATGACTGGCAACATCTTCTGCGACCGTTTCGCGATTGTGACGTCCTTGGCATGATGATGACGCTGGGTAATAGCAAAGGGACACCAATAGTCTATCCCCAATTGCTCGGCTCGGCGTAAGCAAAAGTAACCTCAATCACGGAGCTGTGGGGGTCGACGTCACGCATCTCGCAATGGATTTGGGTGGAAAGAGCTGACATCAAAAATGGATGATTGGGCGGTCGTAAATACGCTACTCGTCCACCAATCATCTATTGCAGGTCAAAAAGAGAATGGAGCGACGTGGCATACCGAACCCAATCGCTGATGATTTTTGCCCAGGAACCAGTTTTTTGTTACCACTCAACAATCGCACGTCTCACTATCGCCAATCTACCGCGGCGAACGTGCATTATCTGATCCAATTCAATCTCTTTGACTGGAGGGAGGAGGACACACGAGGACGCTTGTGGATTCCGAAGTATTTCGGCCTCTTAACTCTGCAACGTCTTATCAGGCCCACTTTACGCGCAGAAAGCTGCCAGAGCTCAATAACGAAACAGCGTGCACATAACTCCGATGCCTCCGTTGATGCATTTGTCAACATGAACATTATTAAGATAGACGGGCTCACTGCCCCTTATGATTCCGGTTCCGGTTCTGCGGTTTTGTCTCCGGAATCTCACTTTGTATTTTCTATTCTCTCCTTTCTTGCGTCCTTGACCTCCCTTGAAGTACAGCACGACCTTGTCATTATATTCCCCGGTTGAGTAATTTGGAGTCAAAATGTGGGGCCTTGGTCTTACAAGTGACCTCCAGAGACAAGAGACAGACCGAACTAGTAATCCCTGGCATGGTGAAGAAGGGGAATACGATCGAAATGAACCAGAAGAACCTGGACCCTTGAGCCCCGACAGCGGCGTGATAGCCGATCCGGAGGGGACGTGGGGAGAACGATATGTCAGTCATCCTAACCAGCGCATGGCGATGGAGGATTTTGAAGCGCTCAGGGAAACCCTGACGTCGTTATCGAAGACGAGGTCGCAGGCGCATGATAGGCCTGATGGGTTATTCTGGACGCTTAGCAGGAAGAGTACGATGAGGGCGGGACCGAGACGCGCATCGATGTCGAGATCAGACGCGGTCGCTGACGAAGAAGCCGACGATATTGTAGCCGAGAAAGAGGGTGTTTTTGAGCTGGACAAATTTATGAGAGAAGGGCATTTTGAGAAGAGGAAGGATGGCCAGTCCGTGAAGAAGGTTGGTGTGATCTGGAAGAATCTTACCGTGAAAGGTGTAGGATCTACCACGTCCTTCGTCCGAACACTCCCTGATGCTATAATTGGCACCTTCGGCCCCGACCTGTACAAGATTGTGTCGAATTTTATTCCAGTGCTGAAGCTGAAGCTGAAGCAACACGCTCAGACAAGAACAATCATCAACGACTTCTCTGGCGTAGTCCGAGACGGAGAAATGATGCTTGTTCTTGGACGTCCCGGATCCGGCTGCTCCACCTTCCTCAAAGCCATCGCCAACAATCGAGAAGCATATGCCGAGGTCGGTGGATGTGTCTCTTATGGTGGGATCCCCGCAGACAAACAGAGAAAACAGTTCAGTGGGGAGGTCAACTATAATCCTGAAGATGACGTGCATTTCGCGAATCTGAACGTTTGGCAAACACTGTACTTTGCGTTGATGAACAAGACGAAGAAAAATGATAAAGAAGATATTCCAATTACACTAGAAGCCTTGCTTAAGGTGTTTCAAATCTCTCATACTAAGTACACTCCCGTGGGTGATGAGTTTGTGCGCGGGGTCTCGGGGGGTGAACGAAAACGGGTATATATATACCTCCCTTCAATCTTGCTCTCTTAGATCTCACACATATCTAGGTGTCCATTGTGGAAACCCTCGCCACCAAATCAACCGTAGTATGCTGGGACAATTCAACTCGAGGGCTAGACGCCTCCACAGCTCTGGACTACGCCAGGTCATTGCGTATTATGACAAATATCAGCAACCGAACCACCTTCGTAACACTCTACCAGGCTGGCGAAGCTATCTACGAGCTCATGGACAAGGTTCTCGTCATAGATCAAGGTCGCTGTATCTTTTCCGGTCCCACCAATGAAGCCAAACAATACTTCATCAACCTAGGTTTCCACTGCCCAGAGCGGCAAACCACCGCTGACTTTCTAACCTCAGTTACAGATCCAACAGAGCGCCAGTTCTGTGAAGGCTATGAAGAGATCGCGCCGAGGACGCCTGAAGAGCTTGAGACTGCGTTTCGGGCATCAGAGAACTATAGGAGGATGTTGAGAGAGATTGAGGAGTATGAGACGGAGTTGGATCGAAGTGGACACAAGAATACGAAGGAGTTTGAGATGGCGGTTAGAGACAGTAAGAGCAAGACTGTGTCGAGAAAGAGCTCGTTTACAATTAGTTTTGTCAGGCAGGTTTGGGCATGTACGCTGAGAGAGTTTTGGTTAACGTGGGGAGATAAGACGACTTTGTAAGTTATGGATCTATTAAGAAGGCGGCTTGTGGTTGACCATTGAAAGGATTACGAAGTTCTTTATTATTATCAGCAATAGCCTCATTGTCGGAAGCCTGTTCTATGGCGAGTCATTAGATACATCAGGTGCATTCGAGAGAGGGGGCGCTTTATTCTTCTCGATCTTGTTCCTGGGTTGGCTGCAATTATCGGAGTTGATGAAAGCTGTTTCCGGGCGCGTCGTCGTCAAACGACACGAAGATTATGCTTTCTACCGACCGTCAGCTGTCAGTCTGGCAAGAGTAGTGCAAGACTTCCCACTGCTCCTCCTCCAGGTCATCCCTTTTTGTAAGCACCGCAACCTCACTCACACGAAGTATCTCTAACAAAATGACAAGGCATAATCATGTACTTCATGACCGAACTCGACACCGACGTCTCAAAATTCTGGATCTATCTCCTCTTCGTCTTCACCACCACCATCTCTATTACCTCCCTCTACCGCATGTTCGCCGCGCTCTCCCCTACCATCGACGACGCAGTCCGCTTCTCTGGCATCGCACTCAACCTCCTGATCATATACACCGGCTACGTGATCCCGAAACCACAGCTCGTCAGCGACTACCTCTGGTTCGGGTGGCTTTACTATGTCAATCCGATTTCATATTCATTTGAGGCCGTCTTATCGAACGAATTCAGCGATAGAATGATGCAGTGTTCCCTGTCGCAACTGGTGCCCCAGGGTCCTGGGGTGGAACAAAATTATCAAGGATGTAGTTTGACAGGCGCGCAACCGAATTCACGGTCCGTGCCTGGAGCCGCGTATTTGCAGACAACGTTTAGTTACACGCGAGGCCATTTGTGGAGCAACTTTGGCGCTGTGATTGCGTTTACGGTGTTGTACATCCTTGTTACAGTGCTCGCTACGGAGATGATTTCGTTTGCAGGTGCGGGTGGGGGAGCACTAGTTTTCAAGAAGTCAAAGTGGGCGAAGAAGAGCGTGAAACATGCGCCTGTTGATGAGGAGACAGTTGCTATGAGCGAAAGTCCGAATGTGAATGATGCGCGTGGGAGAATGGTGACAGGCGAGAAGGAGGAAGAGGAGGCGCTAGAACAGATTTCGAGTAATAAGAGTATCTTCACCTGGAAGGACATTGAGTATACCGTTCCATACCAGGGCGGAGAAAGGAAGTTGTTGAACAAGGTGAATGGTTACGCGAAGCCGGGGGTCATGATAGCCCTCGTTGGCGCCTCCGGGGCCGGTAAAACCACACTTCTAAACACACTCTCCCAGCGCCAAAGAATAGGCGTCGTCTCGGGAGAATTTCTTGTCGATGGCAACACACTATCTCGCAACTTCCAACGCGGAACCGGTTTCTGCGAACAAGTGGACCGGCACGACGACACCGCGACAATCCGCGAGGCGCTCGAATTCTCTGCTATCCTACGCCAAAACAATTCCATTCCACGGCAAGAAAAACTTGAATACGTAGATAAAATCATAGACCTCCTCGAACTACAGGACATGCAAGACGCACTGATCTCTAGTCTTGGCATTGAGCAAAAGAAGCGGTTGACCATCGGTGTCGAACTGGCTGCAAAGCCATCGCTGCTTCTTTTCTTAGATGAACCGACTAGTGGGCTTGACAGCAACTCTGCATACTCGATTATCCGGTTTTTGAAGAAATTGGCGCTTTCAGGACAAGCTATTATCTGTACGATTCACCAACCAAGTTCGACCTTGATCCAGCAGTTTGATATGATTCTCGCGCTGAATCCGGGAGGGAACACGTTTTATTTCGGACCTGTGGGCGACAATGGAAGGGATGTAATTAAATATTTTGCAGATCGAGGAGTTCAGTGTTCGCCGAGTAAGAATGTCGCCGAGTTTATACTTGAGACTGCTGCGAAGACTGTCAAGCGCGAGAATGGGACCAGGATCGACTGGAATGAGGAGTGGAAGAAGTCGTCGGAGAACCGAGCCCTGCTGAAAGAAATCGAGAGAATCAAGTCCGAGTGCAGGAGAGTGGCGACCGAAACCTCCCACGAAGAAGCTAAAGAATTCGCAGCCCCGGTCTGGCTTCAAACAGTAGTACTGACAAAGCGGACGTTCATCCAGTACTGGCGCGATCCATCATACCTCTACGGCAAACTCTTCGTGGCAGTCATCGTTGGAATTTTCAATGGGTTTACATTCTACATGCTTGGAAACAGCATCCAAGACATGCAAAACAGGATGTTCACCCCATTCGTAATCATCCTCATTCCCCCGACAATTGTTAATGGGGTGGTCCCCAAATTTTACCAGAACATGGCGCTGTGGCAAATCCGAGAGTTACCGAGCAGAATATATGGCTGGTTCGCCTTTACAACCGCCCAAGTTGTCGCCGAGATCCCTATCGCGATCATGAGTTCGGTGCTATACTGGCTGCTATGGTACTACCCGACGGGTCTCCCCGCGGATTCATCGACAGCAGGATACGTGTTCTTGATGACGATGCTCTTCTACCTCTTCATCTCGTCGTGGGGCCAATGGATCTGTGCCTTTGCGCCCTCCTTTACCGTCATTTCAAACGTTCTTCCCTTCTTCTTCGTCATGTTCTCCCTCTTCAACGGCATCGTGCGTCCCTACTCGCAGCTCTCAGTCTTCTGGCGCTACTGGATGTACTTCGTCAACCCGTCCACATATTGGATTGGTGGTGTGCTCGCCGCAACCATGCACAACATTCCCGTCAATTGCACCATGTCCGAGACTGTGATTTTCGACACTCCCGCCAGTCGCTCGTGTGGCGAATACGCAAATAGCTTTCTAGAAGAAGCCCCAGGGTACTTGCTCAATCCGGAAGCGAGAAGTGGGTGCATGTATTGTCCGTACAGCAATGGAGATGATTATTTGCGAACGCTGAATATCGATGCTGGGGATAAGTGGAGAGACTTTGGTATCTTTTTTGCGTTTTGCATGTCGAATTGGGCGCTGGTGTATTTCTTCATATGGAGTGTGCGTATTAAAGGGTGGTCATTCGGATTTGGGAAGCTGGGATCTTGGATCGGGAAAGGTGTTCGTCAGGCCAAGAGATATTCCAAAAGATAGCGTGAAAGCAGTTGGGACGTTAAGGGCAATGGTCGCGGCACTGGAGCCCCTTGCTGGTTCTTGCTAAATAGGAAACTGGGTAGTGAATGATTTCGAGTGCTAGAATTAGGTAATGACGCCTTTGTTGCCGCAGTCTCTCGGTATTGATCACGTGGTACAGGCTCAGCGCATACATCTCATCTCCCTCTGCCTTTTTCTTAGTCTGCGTGACCTTTACCTCCTCCAGGCCCTGAAATTGGCTACGGGTCAGAATCTCTATCATCCGCTGTACCTTTTCAAGGCCTCATCATATGTCGAGCCCCGAGTCTGATGGTTCAGAACTCTGCTAGGAAAATGGCTCTGTCCCCCAGTTCTAGGAATCCAACCCGTTAGTGTCTGAATCGAAGGACCGAAAATCCAGGTCCCCGTCCTCGACCATATCCCAGGCCAGAAGACGCGAAATCTGGATGTCAGGTCCCTCCTCATTATCTGACTCTTCAATCCCCTACCCAACGGCTCAGACCATCCACACACCTGATTTCGAATGAGCGGGAAACACGGTGAGCAAGAGTTTCTCGGTTCATGTTGCCTGGGGTATCCTCGCAGTTAGGGACGGGATCCTAGGTTGAGGCGGCGATGCAGTAGGAGATCGAAGAGGGTGGATTTCGAAAGTGAGGTCGGTGTAGCAGTACATTTTGTTTGGAAAAGGGCCGATTGGTACAGTGATAAGCAGATGGGCGTGGGTTGTGGCTGTGCGATGGTACGGTGTTGCTAGGCCCATGGGTTGTTGGAGGGCAGAAAAAATATTAGAAAGAATTTCCTGGTGTTGGGGTGGACGGCAAACGGACAGCGCTGCAAGCAGTGCCATATCGCGTGCGCCGCCAACTGTGAGGGAGCAGTATTCTAAATTTTTCGCGCCGAGGTATCTAAAATGCTTACAAGAACGCCATGCTAATGCAAAATTACCCAATTTACCAGTTAAGCCCATCCTCAAATATCCTCGAATGCAAGTAGCTACGCTTAGAAATTGACCTGGAACATGGGGTTCGTTCTTATCCGCTCACCATAATATCTGAAGAGAACCAACACGGGCACTAACGCCAACGCAATGAATCCGAGAAGACTGTTCCCCCATCCTAAGCCTAAAGCGTCGTACATACTGAGACCACTGAGGGGTAGTAAGGCGCCGAAGATAGATCGCAGGACGGTGTTTGCTGCGATGGCAGAAGCGGCATGTAAAGTAAACGCATCGACGAGGTATGTCTGCACCGTCATCATGCCTGTGAGATTTCCGAGACCAACGAAAGCTGTGCCGATTATCGGCGCGATCCAGTGGACTTTCTTCTCAGTCGTCCATCCGTAGAGGAATAGGCCGATGGGAAGACCGATTGAACCAGGCAGCGTCAAGATGACGGGGAGGCGATGTTCAGGTTTTACATTGCCTTTTGCTTGATGTTTCTTGATGATCTTGTCGCTCATGATACCCAAGACGACCATTCCAATGAGCATACCGGCTCCGACACCGATGTACGAAAGACCGACAATGCCAGAGGAGAAGTGGTATTGGCCCTCAAAGACAAAAGTAATGGTTGTAAATAGTAGGTAAAGAATGCCGTAGTTGATAGAGATGTAGATGGACATGAGAAGCACAATGGGCGAAAGGAAGAGCATCTTCATCGGGCGCACGATGCTGCGTTTGAAGAGTTCGCCCGGTGAAATCTGGAGTGTGAGTTTCGAGCGTAAGTTTGGATTTCCTGTTTCTTTTCGCAGACGGGCGGCTTTTTGTTCGAGGATAGTAACGGCGTATGTTTCGCGACTAGTTACGAGAAGGAGGAGGGAGAAAAATCCACCCTATGCTTTGTTAGCATTACATATTGACATACTGTTGAAATTCTCCTGGAGTTTAGCAAGAGCCTGGATGGATTGACTCTCCTCCAATCATGTTCTAGGTTATATGATAACACGATGGAGGAAGCAGAAGGAAAAGTACGAGAAGTACGAGAAGTACTTACAAAAATGGCAAGGATCCAGAACACCCACCTCCACCCCTTGGCTTCGACCAAAAAGCCACCGCATACAGGGCCAACAACAGGGCCAATCAAAGGTCCCATGGCCCAAATCGCCATTGCGCCTGCTCGCTTCTCGCGGGGCATGAGATCCGCAATCGTGCCACCACCAATCGTGAGGGGCGAGGAACCAGCACATCCAGCGAGAAATCGAAAGCCGATGAGCATGTTTAGGTTGGTGCTGACGGCACATGCTATGGTGAAGATAAGGAAGAGGAAATTGCAGATATTGTAAATTGGCATCCGGCCATATAATTCGCTCATGGGAGCAATTATCAGAGGGCCAATTGCGAAACCGAGAATATAAACCGAAACTACGAAGGATGCAAGCAAATTTGAGGTTTCACCAAATGAGCGCATGACTTCTGGTACACCTGGTGCAAAGAATGAGGATGCGAGGGGTCTGTAGCCGTTAGCCAAGAAAAGGAGGCGGTTAAACGGTTCACGATCAACGTACGTGATTAGTGTAACAGCAGACAGAACCCCAATAATCCCCCATTTCTTACTGTCGGGCCAATTCATTGGATTCTGCGGGTCGTCTGGGCCATCCCAATCTACAATATTCGGATCTGTCTCCCCTTCCTGGGTGGTCGCAGTGACTTCTTCTCCAAGCGTTGATTCATCCTGAGAGTCGGCATTGCTCCGCACCGCTTTTTCAAGATCGACATTACCTCCGGTGTGCTGGGGTGACGTATATGTGCCGAGATTCGAGGGTATATCGGCATCATGTCCTTCTTCGTACGCAAGTTCGAGTTTCTCATCCTTCAAGTCGCCAGCCTCGCGTGCCGGATTCGCGTATTCTCCGGGCATCCCCATCGAAAAGTCGGTATCTGATCTGAGCCACTATTAGCTCAAACTTTGGGAAGTGTTTATAGTCCGTCTAGAAATATTTTTGAAAAGGTACCCCGAATAATGTTGAAGCTGCTGACTATCCGCTGCCAAAGAGAGCAATTCTTACCGACAAAAATGTCAACGACGGGAGCCGCCGCACCTAAATTCTCACGAAACCAGTCCAGTCACCTCTTACTATATCACTGTCCAGAACCTCTTATATCAAATCGCCAAGCGCCCTCAGAACTGAATGAATAGTGCAAGAGAGGGAGACGAGAGGGAGGGTGGTAAACAGTAGAGTCAAAAAATGGTCAGAGTAAACCCGAAGGCCTGGCTTCTTATTCCCTTAGTCGAATCGAAGCACTCCTCCTTGGTTTGCCCTGTTCGCACCCGGATCGCGGGAGCGACGTCGACCCGGTGCCAGTGCCGAACGTCCGATGGAGTGGCACCCACTGCATCTCTACACCTGGCGTGTTTCTGCCCTATGAAAGGGGCAGACATGGTCTCCTTCAGCCTCTTACCGCACTTCGTTTCTCCCTCGAACGAACCCCTTTGGGAGAGGTTGCTGATCTCAAGCGTATGGAAAGGACGGCGATTGGTGCGAGGGATGCCGTGCTCCGTGCTTTTCAGTGGCATTTCCGCGTCAGGCGTCGAGAGTGGCATCCTCCGCTGTCGGATTTAGCTGGAGATAGAGCGGCTTATGGGTGGGCGGAGGATCGGGCATGGAGGGTCGGTGGGAAGACCACGGAGTATTGATCTTGTTCGTCGGTTACTAAACGAGACACGGTAACTAAACGAGGTCTCTCGGAAGGCTCCAGGACCAACACCAAAGACCAAAGTGGTATTGGGGCACGGCGTTCCTATCTGGAGCACGAATCGATCTATGCCCAAGGAGTTAGATCAGTGCCGCGTGGAGAATGCATCACTTTCTCCATAAGGTGTACAACATTTTATCACAGAACACGGAACCTTGCCTGGGTGAGATCGTATTCAAACCCCTGCCTGAATTCGGCAGGAAGTTAACAAGATACAATGTCCCATCCTAAATAAGCCCCCTTGTCATTTACCGCCATTTCGCAGACCAATCCTTCGACTTCGTCCGAAACCCGCAAAAGTAGACTGCAGCTCTGCTGCAGCCTCACCCCACCTCATGCACACAACGATCTGGGCTTTGGACACACCCACTCTGCATCTCACACGAGCATGGCGCCGCTGATCGCCCCGCCTCATGCGTAAATCGTTTGTGGATGGTGGGCGGCCATGGTCGTCTGCAGCTAGCTGGCTATTCTGTCTTGCGAAGCAAAGGCCCACGTGACGCCATGAGTGATTCCATATCTTTGCGTTACTACCATCTAAACAACCACGATAACTCAAGAAGACGTTTAAAGTAGGGATAAGCCTCCCGAATGCGACCCTTTCGTAGTTGATCCAGCTTATCGGTAACTAAGAACGGTCAGAAAACTAAGGTGCCTTAAGCTCAACACTTATCAGAAACGGTTCCATCGACCTTGAAGAGCAATTACGTAGGTAGGACTGCCTATTTCAAGTCACCTGGTTTCTCCCTCCCTTACGCCAGGCCGAGCTGGGATGGTTAGAGACTTTTTCTGAAGTGTTTTGGGAGAGACATACCCTTTCTAAGGCAGGCGCTCATCTCAATTCCTTCAACGTTGTAAGTCTGGGCCGCACGTACTCGTGACATACAGGTGATGTTGCGTCGCCAAAAGGTCAACCTTCCAGCTAGCACAGCAGAAGGATATATATAGGCGGATAATTGTATGCGACAGGTGACTTATCCTTTCTTTCCTGTATTCATTGCCCGGCTTCTTGGGCTTCTTGGCAAAGCCAGCAAAACAATGATCTGTGTCCATCGGTACTCACTCACTCTAGTGATGAGCTCTGGTGGCTATTGTTAACGAGCTTTCGATTCCAATCCCGACCTGTTAGCTGCCTCTTAAGCGCTCATCCTCTAGGATTCAACTAAAATATGTGGCGGACTCCTTCCAATGCTTCCATTCTCACGTCTTTTAGACGCACCTCCATATTCGAGAGTTTCCAAGAAGTGCATGGGAGATACCATGCTATCCCCGCAGGAACCTTACTCTGTCTGCTATGAGGTTAACAATTCGCGGGATACTTTAATATCCGGAACCAGGCCGTTTATTTTGGTGGCTAGCTGTATTAGGCCGACTGCGGCGCTTCTCCTCTCTTCTCTTCCCACCTTTCTCTTTATATAGAACGCTGTAGTGTGGTGCGCTACCTAACTCACAATCCCGATTTCCACTTCTCTGACCTCCACCATTATTCCTACACTCGATCTTCTTACACTGCACTAAAAAGCTACTACCAGCTCCAGCCTTCGTACAACATGCCATACACCTGTCATCATATTTCATGAGGTGGGACTGCAACAGAGTTGGAATTAAATACGGGATCCTGGTTCTGCCAACATCGTTGGTATTTCGGAGAAATCTCCTTTTTGTTACAGACAACTCCCCCACCAATTTGGCGTGGAAATCAGGAGACACCCTCTAGCAACAACACGTTCGCAGCTGTTCGCTATCTAGATCCAGATCCAAAAACGACTAATCTCTCGGCTTGGTTAGCAGGCGGCTAAGGCTTCCCGGAATTGTCCATATAGAACTCGCGATCGGCTCGAGTATTGAAGGCTTCCTCTGGGTGGGCAAACACGGAAATAGAGGGATTCTGTACTGGCGTCTCCAACAGCCTGAATTGATTATTTAATACAATTCCCTCTCGTTTCTGACATATCCCATCTCCAAAGCCGAGAACCCTTTTCCAAAACCTACTAGAATCGCGAGAATCCGGAGGAATGTCAGACTCATATGTGGCGTGATAAAGGAGTATCACAATATTATTCACGGAACACGAAAGAAACTTGAATGCACGAAGGCGACGAAAGACGAAAGAATGAGAATGTAACATCTTGACATATATCGAAATTTTAGCATTCTGCACGCACGACTCACTTTCATGGACACATCCATCAAGGGAAAGTAGGAAGCCACGAAATTCTCTCACACATTCATGTACATACAATGAAAGGCTCTCCCCGGTCCAATTCAGTCCAGACCCATTGCCAACCACCAACTAACATCCCAACCTCCTAAAAGCCCCCAGTTTCATCCCTTTCTCCTAACGATCAACCACCGCCATCCCATTCACATAAAAGACATACTCTTCTTTATCTCTGCAATTGCCAACGCCGGATTCAGGCCCTTCGGACACGTCCGCGAGCAATTCAGGATAGTATGGCAACGATACACACTCATACTATTATTCAAAGCATCCTGGCGTTCGGCCTTCTTCTCGTCTCGGGAGTCAGCGATCCAGCGGTAGGATTGGAGGAGAACGGCGGGGCCAAGGTATTCCTCTTGGTTCCACCAGTAGGACGGGCAGGAGGTGGAGCAGCAGGCGCAGAGGATGCATTCGTATAAACCATCGAGCTTTTTGCGCTCGGCTATGGATTGGCGGTATTCGCGGCCCTGGGGAGTGGTGGTTAGTATGTGGTTAGATGGAAAGGAGGGGAGAATTAGTAGACGTACGTCTGGAGGTGGAGTAGCACGCTGGAGGTATGGTTTGATGGAGCGGTATTGCTTGTAGAAGAGCGTCATATCCGGTACCAAGTCCTTAACGATGAACATGTGTGGGAGGGGGTAGATGCGAGATTCCTTGGCGGTGTCGGTGGGGATACGGCCTGTTGGAGCTCTGTCAGCAAATCGTTGTCCCAAGTTTCAACCAATTCATGCCACATACAAAGACAAGCCAACGTATTAACACCGTCGATGTTCATAGCACAGCTACCACAAATACCCTCACGACAGCTCCTCCGGAAGGTCAGAGTCGGGTCTGTCTCATTCTTGATTCGAATCAGTGCGTCCAACATCATGGGCCCGGTCTTGTTCAGGTCTAGTGTGTAGGTCTGCATCCGCGGCTTCGAGGTCGGCTCATCGGGATTCCAGCGGTAGATGTGGAAAGTCTTGATCTTGGCCGCCTTTGCGGGCTCCGGGTCTTTGACCGTTGACGTCCTAGATTTCGGGATGGCCTTGCGAGCCGGGTCCGGCACTGTAGCTTCGGCAGCCTTGGAGATGGGGTCGACTGAGGCAAAGCTGCGTGTGAAGACGGCGGGCCGAACGGCTGCGGGGCGGATTGTGTCAGTAAGATTGCGATTGAGGCTCGAGCCATTGAGAGCAGTGAGCGTACCTGTCCGCCTCGTAGCCAGACGAGCAAGAGCGCGCGTGGTTGCCATTGTGAAAGGGTGGTGTGGATGTGGTGGCATGGCAAAGACGTTCAAGCCGTGGTGTCATGGAAGTTGCTCTTGATCAGCTTAGACTAACGCACCGCCCCTGATTGGTTGGCGGCGAAAGAGCATCCGAGGTTTGCAGGTCGGGGGAACTCGGCATGTGCGCCACCAACTTTCTCGTCCCTGCATCACCACAAATGTTAACAATCAACATCTCAAGTATAACTATGATAGTCCTCCGAATGCCCAGTGTCTATAGTGTTAAAGAGCGGTAGGAGAGCGCAGTGGTCGAACGCAGTGGCTCAATGCAGTGGATCAAACAGAGTCACGAGATCTCAAGCACCCTTCACCTTCTTACCTAACGTAGAACATGACCAGGGCAGAGTTTATCTAGTAAACCTATTGCTGAGACTGGGGTGGAGGCTGATAAGATGCAAGCTTTTGCTCTGAGTTGCCCTTGTCATGTTCCACGTTAGCTAACATGGTTCAGTAACACACTTTCTTGCACTTTCGATTTCGTTGCTCCATGTCAAGCAAGTTTGTTTCGCATCTATACAAACCTCCACCATCCGATCAGCCACCTCACAACACTACTTTCTCCTCCATAAGCATTCTCGTCCCCTTCTAAAACAATGACCAAGCCTCTTCCCCACCTAAGCAACGTCCTACATGTGATCCTAGACTGGGACGGCACCCTCACCAAAAACGACACCCTCAACTCCCTTGTCGAGATAGCCAAAAACGCAAAGCCTGACACCTTCATCCCCACAACATGGAATCTCATTTGCCGTGCCTATCTAACCGACTACGAAAAAGCACTCCAAGAACACGCAACCTTGCCTTCCAATGTATTCGAGGAGCGTAAACTGCTGAAGAAAATCGAGGCTGTAGAGCAGGCTAGTATAAACCGGCTTAACGATTCCGGTATCTTCAAGGATATTACAGCAGAACAGCTTGCGGTTGGGGCACAGAGAGCTTTCGAGAGTCGGACGGTGGAGCTAAGAGAAGGAGCTAATGAATTCTTCCGCTATATTAAAGAACGAATGGACCGACAGAAGGATGATATTGATATCGTTAGTATTCTTAGCGTCAATTGGAGCCAGCGTTTCATCGCCGGCTGTTTACAAGCCGCATCCTCTGCTCTCGAACCGCAAACGCCAACTCGGGAGAGTATGCTTGAGGACGAGATAGACCGGAGATATGGGCTCACGCGTAACTCGGAGCTGCAAAATATTTTAACAAACAAAGCTCCTAAGTATATGGCCGAAAGCTCTGCGCCGGATTTCGTCAGAATTTACGCGAACGAGCTACAGGGGATCGAAGACGGTCTTCCATCCACCGGCTTCATCGCTTCCGAAGGAGATCATAAAATCATCTGCAGCCACGATAAAGTGACGTATCTCCACCGTCTTCAAAAAATGAGTCCGTGCACGATGAAGCCGATTCCGATCGTTTACGTTGGAGACAGCTGGACGGATTTTGAATGTTTGCTTGCAGCTGACTTAGGCATCTGCATTAGAGATGATCCAATGACGTCTTCGCAGAGGAGGCTTGAAGATTCACTCCAGCGGTTGGGAATAGCTTGCCCATATCTGAAAGAATACAAAGAGATCGATGAATGGGGAATTGTCTGGGCTCATGACTTCTTCGAAATTAAGGAATGGGTGGAAATTATCGAATCTAAGGCTGTGGCAATGGCTAGTTCGACGGAGAAATAAGGTAACTTGTGTACGTAGTTGACGTCACTGAGTTAGTCTACCGTCCAATGGCGTCCACGAAAAGACTCCAGATTAGACGGGGTTGAATCGCTCAATCTTCTTCCTCTCCTTGTCGCATTCGAGCCCCTTACTATTAATAAATATTTCGATGTAACGCTCCCCGATGGCCCTCCACTGCTCAACTTCCATCCCCCTAAGCACAGGACCCTTCCTCCGGGCAACACAACAATCATATCACCCGATATCATACTAGCAGGCCCAAGACCTAAATGGCCAGAATATGTGGTGAAGGTCCGGCAGTGGAGGAGAGGTGTAAATGCTGCCATGTGTCTCGCCGGATCCAGTTCCTTGTGAAGCAGATCTGACGGGGAAATTGCGGATCGAGTACGAGAGTGGGGCAGAGAGAGTAAACGAGAAAAATGCGGGCTCAAAGCATCCGTTAACGCAGGTAGTATCAATGCAGTTGTTGTCAATGTTAAAAGGATGTGATTCTATTTCAGTACTGTGGGAATACTCTGCATTAAACCGACGTCGGTCGCGGATTCAGGTCTCTTCGGCTGAGTAGCTTATAACTTGTAAGAAGACTTTGAAATATTCAAGAGATTCGTTGTGTGCGTCTCTTTTGTCAGATCTAATGCCCGCTGTCTGGCGAGAGAGACCACTCGAGCTATGGCTTCTGCGTACAAGTGTGTGAGATGTGTGGGGCACATACTGCATAGTCCCTTAACCTGCTCGAGGACCTTAAGGTGGGGCTCGGCAGCGAGAATTTTGGAAGAATGATGTTCGTCTGGATACTACGGGTAGGCATGTTTCCTCCAAGCTAATGCAAATTCCCTTGAGGGTGGAGGATGTCGAAGGGTGTACAAGAGTTGATGGAAACGCGAAGATATTTCGAAGCTTCGTTGAATTTCTCTACCAGCGTTCTCCACCCTCCTGTGTTTTGGGGCACGGTGTTTGCACTTAAGATTGTGCTGTGAGGTAAATCCCACCGAGATACCCAAGAAGGGGATTCAGGACCCTGGGCGGTGTGACTGGCTTCAGTGGCTCTATTAGCCTAGGACAGTATGAGCAGATTCCGCGTTTTCTTGATACAGGACATTATCACATTTAGGTAGATATCCCATAGTCGCCTCCAGTAATTCGGCGCTAATGTAGAAAGTCGCTGGCCTGGAGCTCCGGTTTTTCTAGCAAGACTGAGCAATGAGACCACTCTATCTCTGGGATCCACCGCCTGAAAGGGCTTGTTGAATGAAGCAGAGCCGGTAGCTCCCAGACATTCTAGGTTGGCGATATATCCGAGATGCTGTTGGTGAGTTGTAGCCGTACCTGGCACTATATTGGAAAGGCTAAAGATGCTCACAAAATAGCCGGTTCGCCTTTGGATATCATAACTTCTTAAACGATCCAGCATCTCTCAAATTAGGGTGGTGCTAGAAATTCAGCCATCGCTGGCCACTTTAATAACACAGAGAGTAAATTATCTGATCCTGATCCGGCATGCTGAATGAACGGAGCCAAATACCTCGTAAAACGGAATTCCCAACCCCAAATTTCTGCAGTGTTTGGTCCAGCGCTTCCAACCGTACGTACTACGACTCAGAAAAGTGAATAGTTACGGTCACGAGAGCCGTACAAACGTAAGAGGATTGTCAATCGTAACGTACGACTGAGAGAGGTCCCCTTACGGTCTGTAATACGTCTTAGAAAGTCGATTTTTCCTAGTAATATAGGACCTGATTGGACATCCATGGGCAAGCGTCGGGAGGGCGTTTGAGGGGGCGTTTTTGAGTAACAATGGGTGAAAACTCTGTCGTGTGCTACGAGCAAGGATGCGTTGGAGAGGGGGGGCTAGGGTATTAGATCCTATGCAAATAGTTAATTTTTTTGCGCTCTATATTGTCCTGAAGTCATAATTTGCCATTCTTACCTATTATGAGCTAATTGTCTTAATTCCTCCAGCGTGGCAGGCGTACAGCCTCATCCTAAGCTAGCTCCTTCTAAGCTAGCTCCTTCTAACAAGCTGAGGTAGCTTATTACGCTAGTTCTTGTTGTCTTGCTTACTTAAAGGCCTTATTGTCCTCTCTATCTGTTAGCTCTTGTGATAGGACGCTAGTAGTTAAATCTACAAGAGAGTTCCTAGCTAACAATTATCTTAATAATAGCGTGAACTTCCCTATTAAGTAGGATAACCTCTGGCTAATAAACAAGAAGCTCTTACTAGAGAGGCTTGGTTACTGCGTTAAACACAAGAGCCAGCTTTGCGGGAATTGTCCTGTTTCCTCTATATAGCGGCATGGGGCAGATTTAGCGTACAAGGACAATGAAGGCGTCCTTTTAAGGCTTTAGTTGTGCAAGAGATGCCACACGCAGGGCCTCTAGGCTAGGGTGAAGAAGGTTAACAGCTACAACTATATTGTTAGCTATCTTAGGAAGGAGCACTAAGTTAATGCTAATAGGAGTCTTTTACCTAACAGGCTACAGCTTTTAGCTAATCCCTTTAATGTTGCTTATAAGGTTGCTAGAGGGGGGCATATTATTGCTTATACTGTCTGGCAGGAGGAGTCTTTGCAGAAGGCAGTTGTTAACTAGGTAATCTTTTACAATATTTCCTTTGCTAAGGCCTTATTAGCTAAACTTTAGGGCATTGTTTTTTAGAACTGCGCTAACCTTCTCTGCGCCCTCTTATTGTTGCCTACTACATATTCTTTATACATAAATTCTAGAGTTGTAGAGCAAAAGCAGGAGATTTAAACAGTACTAAGGATGGCCTAGTTAAAGGTTGCGTTAAGTGTTAATATATAGACTTTGCTAAACTACCTCTCCTTCCTTAGGGTGGTGGCTTATTTTATTAGTAAGTTGGCAATTCCCTAGCACTAGCGCCTTAGCAGCTTAAAAACCTTATAATAATTAACTATGTAAAAATAGATAGCAACTACTAGCACTAAGACCTACTTATTAGCTTTTAAAACCTTTATAGCGACTATATAGAGGCAAATTAAGCGTATGAGATTGCTGCTGTTATCTACAACTTTAAAATTACGTTAAAATTCTATTGTTTAGTTGCTAATAACGCATTAAATAATAATAAAGAAACTATTACTAACCTTACTAGGCACATTAACATGCTGCTCACCTCTGAGCACTGTATACGCTGTGGTGGTTATACAATCTAGCTAGTTGTTAAGGCAGTGATATACAGCAAAGGGCTTAGTGCTTTTAAGACTAAGCTAGCCTAAGCTGCTCCCTAGGATTAGTTTGATATATACTGCTGGCATGAAGTTGTAGGCAAGCTTTATAATTTTGTGAACGCAGTGTTAGCATCACACAAACGCTAGGAGGCCTTTATAACATATTAGGCTACTGTTAACACTAACAACCTTTTCTAGAGCTTTAGAACTCTTTCTCTTATATAAGATAGCAGTGTCTGCTAGCATTTAGTATATCTTATGCTATTACGCTGTTACAAGCTTAAAACAACTATCACAATGTTTATCTAGAAGTAGAGAGGCACTAATAATAATAACTCTACCACGCCTAGCATCTCTGCTCTCACTAAGGTGATAACTAAGGATAAGTAGAAGGAAGTAGACTGCCTTTGTAAGTTCCTTAAGGTCTTTTACTCTATAACTAAGAGGATTAAGGGCAATAGTAAGTACAGGTCTTTTTAAATAATAATTATTAATCTCTAGCACTTATACAATAAACTTTATAAGGTGCAGGAGGAGGTAAAGCATAAAGATAAGAGCTCCTACCTTAAGAATAGCATATTGTATGGCATTAAGAAGTTGACGTTATACTAGGGTAAGTTTGTCCTAGAACCCCCTATATTTTATTACTGCGTTGTAACTATACTTAACCCTTAACTTTGTCTTATTTAGTTTAAGGATTATTAGAGAAAGCACTTATTATAGCACAAGAAGGCTAAGGTCTTAATAAAGGCTATTTTCTAGTAGTATGTTAATGCAGAGGCTAAGGCTAAGGTTAACAAGGATAACCCCTCTTAGCTGCCCTAGCGTTGTAAGTTACCTAGTAGCAACTATTACAATAATAGATTTAAAAAGACTCTCTTTATAAACATCTCTCTCCTTACTAGCAATTGCTTATATAAAAGGCAGCGGAAAACTTTAGAGTTGCAGCAGTATTATAACTCTTATTAGGAGGACTTTGCTATGGCTAAGGACAACAGCCCCTTGTTTGCGGATCCTCTTACATAGTAGACAAAAGTAGGATGTTTCTCCTACCCTACGCTCTTTAAAATTGCCCTTGATTTCCTCTCTATCCTGTGTACGTCCTGCGACTGCGAGAGAGCCTTCTCTAGTAGGAGAAGGACTTGCCACTTTAACAGAAACTGCCTTTTTAGAGAGATAATTAAGGCTTTTTAATTGTAGAAGAACTAGCTCTGTTAGAGAGTAATTTACTCTAAGCTCTTAGCTCTCTTAGATTATATTTGTTCTAGCGTTACGTTGTAACTTCTGCTAAGTTGTTAAGCTGTACAAGGATTCTTAATTATTATAGTTAAGACTTGTAAGTGGTCCTCATGTTAATTGTATAGTAGAAACGTACTAAGATAGTCAGACGTAACGTCCCGGATTTGGTCGAGTCGAATCGTATTACGTACGGTTGGAAGCGCTGGTTTGGTCAGGGACTGACGAAGATATATATAGATCTGGGCGACCCAGAACCTCTCCTCCCGCAAACAGTTGCTATACTTCTGTAACCGTTACAACCATTGTTCAAGGAGGGGGGTCACCTTCAACAGCTAGCAGTTGGGTCAGATGCGCTCGTTCTGACCGGATTTACCCCAGCAATAATTCAGTCTTCAAATAGTAGAGGGTCGCGCAGACAGAACATCGTCATTTTTGCACAGAAGTTGCGAACGTGTGGCTTTAATCTTGACTAGTCGAAACGAGGACTGGGCCAGTAGTTCTTCATACTCATATCTGTCGATGGGACAGTGCTTTGAGCTTATCAAAGAAACCCTCTGCTTCTGCCCCGGCCGCGTTTATTGAGTTGAGGGATTCTAGAGAACTACCCAAAGGAGGTAGATTATGTAAAGGGACGGCGCAGTCTTGGATTTGATTATATTGTAGTTCAAGTGAGTTCGGGGAGACTCTCCGCACAGATTCGGATTTCCAATACAAACGAGCTTAGTTCGTGACAGCGTCCTGCCTGAAAGAGCCTGGCATTGAAGGCGTGCCGGCGATAGCATTATAATGTGCCGTTTGAGGGTCTTCAATGATCACTTCGCTTAATATATGGAGTTGCCTTGCGAGCTCAGACTGGATCTAAGCTATGGCTAGTGAAAAGTTTAGCCTACCAGTGGAGAGGGAGGGGAGGGGAAGAGAAAAAAACCCGATACCTTTAATGACCTCGATGAGAAGGTGTGCAACAATAAAGGCTGCGATGGAGAAGGAAATAATTGCTCGACATCGTTGTCACATTAATCCTTAGCCACAATGAAGGACAAAGAATTAAGGACCTTGGAAAGCTAACATACAACACGCGAAGTGTTTGCCCGCCAACTTATAATACCGCTTATACGCTCTCCCTGGCTCTTCATACGCTTCAAATGACCTCCCAAGCGGCCATGCGACTGGAGCATCCTTCCCTGCGACCGCATTCTTGATCCGGTCTCCAATTGAGAGCCCTGATTGATAAACTCTACAAATGTCTTGAACAAAGTATTTCATCTCAGGTTCCTCATTGATCAAGTCTGAGGAGTGTTGCATCCCATGATACCTTTGCTAATGGCGATGAAGTGGAGCTGGAGTAGTGGTAACGGATGAAGAGAAACGCCGATCTCAGCCCCATCAGGCTAGTGCAGGCGAAAGCGTGAAAGCATCGAACTCGGGTTTGGCAGGCATTAGTCTATTCTGACATGCAGACGGGATGACCGTTTCGTGCATACCCATTTCGTTCCGCATCGTGAAGGTTTAGGCTTGTTGACTGAAGCTGATCTCAGCGAATGATTCGCCGTGTGAGTAACAGAAGTTCATGGAAGGCAGATTGCGGCTCTTTCTCAAGGCTAGAAATGGATTGTTGATCGATCGAGCGCGTTTCGAAGATGTCTAAAATGAACGAGTGCACATTTCATAGACATCAGACTATCTATTATTACCACGGACCCTTCAATTCCAGGCGTCCGCTCAACAGCGCAATGTGAAGGGTAAGGCTTACTAACCGACGTGGTATACAAAGAAGGAAATATACACGTTTTAGGGATTATGACGGATGCCGAAGTAGAAGTTGCCCAGAGATAGATACCTCTGAAATCTATCTCCTCTGTAGATTTCTAGCGCCCCAAGGTTGTCGAAAACATTTACACACTTCCACCTGCTTGAGTCACCCTGCACCCCTCTGCCCTGAAGTCCATCTCCAAGCCCACTTGATATTCCTCTACTACAGAATCGACACGGGGTATATTTATGCCTTCGCGGCTCTACGGGCGGCGATCTGAGAAGACGATTAGGTTATCGTCCTGTGCAAATAGTCTCTGGCCTGCTAGGTACTTACCTTTTTCTGTATGAAAAGGCCGAATAGAAGGAGAGCGACGGCACCAACAATACAGAAGACGAGAATGACACCGGGCTCCTTGGCAGCCCAGTTCTTTCGCTTCATGAGCTGGCGGACGACGACCTCACTGCGCGCGACGAGAGACATGTCAACTGCGGCCATTGCGACGATTTTGCTTTCTGGACCTATTGTTAGCGAGACTAGTAGAATTGAAACCATTTGGAACAATCAATAACATAATGTGCAAGAAAAAGTTTCCAGAAAGGCTTCAGTCTTGAGTATATATGTGCAAGGGTTGGCGCAGCTTCTTGTCTGCCAGGGGACGATGCGAATTCGGCCAGGACGCATGCCTATGGCCTCGAAATGCGGAATCCTGCATACCTTTGCGATTTAAATCGGTTCTCTTGAAGATCTAAAGGGATTGTCTTTGGGTTGAAGCTTTCCAGATAGCTGTTTGGAGAAGGCGAAGCTGGTCAGCGCAACAAATCCGCAAAACGTCGCGCGTCGATGAGATGGAGTGGACTCGAGGGGAAGATGAAAGAGATCATGGAAAGTGAGATGCTTAGTAGTTTGAAGTCGGTTATCAACCTTCAAGCCTGCGGTTCACCGAAAATTCTGCATCGATGCGGCATTTTGTTTGAGCGTCTTGTTTGGCTGCGTGGGACCGGCGGCGGGACTTCCGGGAAGTGCTCACGGGACCAATTGAGGTTGGAGAAGCTTGGGAATAGTACTTACTTGAAGTATGAAGCTTTGGAAGCGCGATTGGAGACGATCTAGCAGAGTGGAGAGTGAGAGCGATCGCGACGTGCGAGTGAAGCGGAAGAGGTTGGACAGTGACCTGCTGTTGAAGGCTGAGGAGCTTAGACGCTAGCGGGGGCCAATGAGGCGATAGCGGGGCTGCCAAAAGGAATGATGAATCTGCACGGTGACAATTGAGTGATCGGCAAAACACAACGTCCACGGGTCTTGTACCTCGACCAAGACTCTTGGACCGATCATCATCGAGGAAGGAAGTATTGAATTGATATTTCTTACTGTCCATCCCCCCATGCTTGCCATCGCCCCTAAGCTATGCTGGTGCAGTGCCAACAGTTGAGAGCACCGGAGCAGCCTGACTTCACAGCCGAGCTGGGTGGAGCCGAGTTGAGCGGGCCTGCATGGGATGAGCTGTCGCTAAGCCTGTTGTGTCTTTGCGAAGGCTTATCTTTCACAACGATGAGCCGCCTTATGTATCCGAAGCCGCCAGCGAACTTTTTAAGCAGCTCGGAAATGCCTCATATCTTGGCCGGCCTGTTCCTACGTGCGCCTCTAATCCATGTCGCGGAAGTGTGTGGAATGGTGATTGAACCTGCGGCAGGGATCGCTGCACAAGCTTTCCTCACTAGCGCCAAGTCTGGGGACGAGTATTGGCATCATCTCTTTCGAAAGGACCCGCGGCTTCTTTAACCTTATTTCTTTGCCTATGCAACCGTCGGACCTGAGGATACAACATGCCCATGGCTCACTCAACGGCGCTGCTACTGACATGTGGCCTGCGAGAAGTCATACTGGCCTTGGGAACCCCCACCTGTCGTACCATTCGATAAACCAGCTTCTCGCGGAGATACTGCTCGACGGCTGTTGCTAGATCTCTGCTCCTTGTTTCAGATTAAGTCAAAACTATCCTTCTGACGCCAACTATGTCCAGGTTGTCGTATTTGAAGGCTTCGCCGTCACACCTGTTGTCACCTACATCGGGTGTGACCTGCGGCTTCTCTGGTGTAGCGTCGCACTTCTCCATCGCCAAGCCCTTCGTGTTCGGATACACTTGCTCTATTTAAACGTATTCTCTGTCTAGCAAGCTAATTACGAAAATATAGAGAGAAGACTGGACCATTATCCACCCCTATAAGATTATAGCTTGGAATTGTTTTATCCTCCACAAAATAGTATGCGTAGAGGGTGTGCCGCATTGCGATAGGGTATGGCTTCGATCTGATATGGTTTCCCAAAGCAAGATTGTCTGAAAGATTCGATTCTTCCCGACTAGCTTGCTCTAATATACAATTCTCAACGAACATGTAAGTGAAGGCAGACCTAGGTGTTGGACATTTCCGATATTAGTATTCATCTAGGCCTCCGTCTCTTTCCATTTGATGGTGACCGTATCCGCTGGAGAAGAGTCGGAAATTTTGTGACTGCCACTGGGCAGTGTTTGACGATACATTGAACTACACACGAAAGAGTGAAGAATCGCCGGCGAATACAATGGCAGCCACAGATGGTCCTCGTAGTAGCGATGCCGGCGAATAATAAAGAGAAGGTGCCTTTCCAAGGGGCAGTGAGAGGAGAGTACGTGGGTATGAACATAAGGCCCCAGTGTGCTAGAGGGGGCAGGAAGATAGGGCAGTGAAAGGCAGTCGCGAGACAAGTGACGATGCCCGCGAAAAGAACGTCCAAGGCCAACGGCCCTGTTTTCATGATCCTTAGCACCTTCCGTCAACAACAACCTATCCCCTCCCCCTTTCCACAATATACCATGTCACGGCCTCGATGCGTTCCGCTACAAATCTGTGTGGTGCCCACCATGCAACCACCCTCAAGCGGCGGACCCAGCACAGGACAGCGGTTGCAGTTGAAAATGGGCAGTTCCAACACCCGTGCAATAGCTGAAGCCAACAGAGAGCTTGCTCTCTTCCACCCCAAGACCGCCCTTGATCTTTACACCCACGTCCTAAAGAACAAATCACCCGGCCATCCTGTTGCGTTTCTCAACCGGAGTCTTTGTTATCTCGTCCTAGGATATCCAAACCTGGGCGCCATCGACGCGTACCGCGCTATACTTGCCGTCGAAGGATCCGGTAACTACTATAAACGACATTTGTTTAATTGTGCCGAATATAAGCAAGAGGCGGATCCCACCTATGACATCTGGGTGAGGGAGCCGGGGTGTTATGTCGGGCAGGGTAAGTTTCCTCTGCTAGACTGCGACCTGGCGAGCATCTGTGTCACGCCTTACTTGCGGGTGGAGAGCAAAGTGCCGATCAACAGACGAGTAGTCATGGTTATGGGAAATATGATTAACGACGTAGTCCTAAAGGGATACTACCGCCTCGCACTTTGTCTTTGGAAATGCGGAGGTGGCGCCTGGCAGAGTGCCATGGACCAGATATGCAAGGCTGGGAACTTGGACTATTGCCATGAGATGGATAAACCGCAACTAATGAACCTTCACAACACGATCATGGCCGAGATCGAGGAAGTCATGACAGAGGAGCGGAACACCAAGCAATACCTCACTGAAGATGGGACACACGTCAAGGAGTACCTCGAGAGCAAGGGCTGGGGAGCAGAGTCACCAAGAGAACAAGAGGATTTGGGTATCCGCGGCCTCCTCAAGTCTCGGTTCACCAAGATCAAACGGGAGCAGTACCCATGGGACAAATACAGCTTGACATGGACGTCTCTCCCGTACGCCTTTAACGAGGTTGGGCGTTACATTGCCGAAGAAACGGCGGGTGTCTACCAAATATACATCAAGAATGACCGTAACAAGCCACCTCGGGTGGATCTCCTCCCAGTCAATAGGCGAGATAGTGCACATGTCCTCTTCCGCAGCTCAAGTACGTTGTATGCATTCGCTCCAGGTCCGAATTTTCAGGTTTCCCGTACCCCGATTTGCGATACCTGCGGTGCCCAGCTTAACGTCTCCCCAAATACAAGGGACAAAGCCATGTTAGCCGCCCTGAATCAAGCAATAATGGATAACGACACGAGTATAGCTTCATCGGACTTAGACGACTTAACGATAACTACGATAAGCGATACTGAACTCGAATTCGAAGAGGGAGAGGGTGAATCTCCTGGAGGCACCGGCGCAATTGCAGACCCGGATGAGAAAGAGGAAGAGGGAGAGGGGCAGATTCAGAGCAACGATGGCGCCAATGAAGACCTGGCAGAGGAAAGTAAAGGAGATGGATCTTGTAGTAGTACCGTTCCCAAAGCAGCTTCGCCCGAGATAGAGCAAGAAGGCGAACCTTCTAAGAGCACAGGTGCTAATCCAAACCCGCTGAAGAAAGAGGAGGACAGTGAAGTTCCTAGTAGCACTGGTGCCAATGCAGCCGCCCCCAACCCTCCCCTCCAAACGCGCCAGAGTTACACATCCCAATCAACAGACCTCGACGAACTCAGACCCCAAGATGGTTTCCAATACTGCGCTATCTGCCGCGCCGTCACCTTCTGCAGTCTCAACTGCTACGCCTCCCAAACCCACCACAACCGCCTCTGCAAAACCACCCTCAAGCATGCAAACTACGACATCCACCCCAGCGACCCCTGGGGCATCCCTAACCCAGTGATGACTGACCTGATCCAACAACTCATGCACCTCACGCTCGCCCGCGCCCTTCGCATCGAAGACAAGCACCCGCTTAGTGATTCCTCCATCCGCCTCCTCCACGGAAACCTCGACAACCCGCGCTCCATCTCAGACGTGCCGCTGGACTGGGACCCAAAGCGTAGCGTCCGCATCAACGACTTATGGCCATCTCGCCTGACACTCGCCGAGCTCCTAGATATCCCCTCATACCGCTCCACCTCCGCCTCCGCAAACGCCAACACAATCCCCTGGTCATTCGAAACACACGTCCTACAACCCCTAGATGCGCTCCACGCATTTGGCTGCAAAGAAGGCGCGGAAACAGGCATGGAGCTTGTACTCGATGTCACGCGGTTCGATGGCTGGGTTCTTGAGACGCTGCGCGCAAAGATCGAGGCTGGGGTAAGGGTGTATAGGTTTCCGAAGGTGGAGAAGGACATTGGGGAGACAGGAGAAGAGGTTGCGAGGAGGGAGATTGAGCAAGAAGTTGTGGGGGATCATGGGGTGCTGGATAAGATGGTGGATTGGATGGCCGAGCTGAATTCTATTGGGTTGTTGAAGGTTGTGGAACAGAAGGAGGGGGGTAGTGGGAGTACAGATGGTGGTGCAGAGATGGGAGGTTTAGGAGGATATAGGGCTGAAATTGGGGGTAGGGATGGGCATGGGGATAGAAGCCGACATGAGAACGGAAACGGGACTTCAGACGGTAATACGCATAGCCCCGTCGGCGGAAATAGAGATAGGCTTGGAGAGGAGGATCTGGACGGCGACATCGAGATGACGTACTAGGTTGACTCGCTTGTGTAAGTCAGCGTTGGCGGCTGGTACCCTGGATACATAGAGCAGAACATTCGCAACGGCTTGGGTAACTCTCCATCTGAGAAATCAGGCACAGCACCTTGGATATCCAATTCTGTATATTAATGGGATTCTGATTATCAATCAGTGGCATGCTAGGTAGAAACATAGTAACTCAAAGGTAGACAAATAAACAGACATACATATATTCCTGCTTCACAAGTTAAGAAAAAGTGAACATTTCACCAAACAACCACATCTTCAATACCATCTTATTGTCACGGACGTATATGTATCCAGTTTAATATTAGATATTAAGAGCTTCCAAAATGTCCTAAAGCAAGGCACCGGGCATTTCATCAACGCCACTGCCAGAGTGTTATGTTCCTGCATCGAATCAAACCGAATCTTGCATCAAGATCCACGCCACGCACCTGCAGCGGACCCATCCATCTCACCACGCCACCAACACCCGTCATCATGCATGCACGGAAGTATCCACCCCCACTCCCTAATATCTACATAATCCCTCCATTGACCTTGCATTGATATACCATATTACCTCTGCATGGAGCCGCTGCACTTACAATTCCTTACCCCTCCTCTCCCACTCCACCAACGCTGGAGCCAGCGGACGCGAGAACAACGACGAATAATCCGTCGCCACAATCTCCCTACTCCCACCCAGATTCTGCATCTTGAATTCTCTCACAAACGCAACGAGAATAGTCTGGAGTTGAACATACGCGAACTGTTCACCAATACACCTATGCCGTCCTGCACCGAATGGAAGATATGGAGATTGGGTTCCCTTGGATACAATACCCCACCCGTAATCGATCGTATCTTCGTCGTTCTGGCCTTCGAATTTAGCAGCCAGACCAGCGTCCCAGCGATGCGGGTCCCAATTGGATGGATTGACAAAGTGTTCGGACATGTTGGCCGAGACGCCGGGTGAGGACATGAGGGTGTGGTTGGCGGGGATGGTGTAATTTGTGCCTTCGACGACCATGGGTTGTTTGACTTGGCGCATGATGGAGTGGATGGGAGCGTGCATGCGAAGGGTCTCCTTAACTGTGTGGGCGTGAAGAGGGAGCTTGGACAGATCATCGTAAGAGAGAGGTGGGAGATTTTCACCGAGGACAGCTTTCTGCTCCGCGAGCAGCTCCTCAACGATTTCGGGTTTGGAAGCGAGACGAAGCAAGATCCAGGCGATGGTAGAAGACGAAGAGTGCTGTCCAGCCATGAGAAGCGCAATCATGATACCTGCAATTTCGTGGTCGGGAACCGGGGTGCCGTCTTTGTACTTGCAGTTCATGAGATGCCAGATCATGTCGTGCGAATCTTTCTTCACAGCTCCGGACCGCCTCTTCTTGACAATATCGGAATAAGTCTGGATCATCTTCTCCCGGGCCTTGTCACGTGCACGGTTGTGTGGTAGCGGAGCCCAGGACAGCATGAAGTTGATCGGAGAGAAGCCCATGTCGAGGTCGTGGTACAACTCGGCGAAACTTGCATCGAAGCTATTGCGGACTTCCTCGCCTTGGAGAGAGCGTGACGCGGTATAGATTGTAAGCTCGGCCATGACCTTGGGCACATTGAAAGCGCCCTTCTGTCCCTTGAACTGCTTGTGACGCTTGAGGAAGTCCTCGACCTCGGACGTGATTAACTTTACATAGGAGCGAAGGGCATCTTGGGTGAGGCCGAACTTGACGAACTACCATTCCGCATTAGTAATATATCCAGCGCCGGGGAGGCTGCAGACACACCTTCTTCTGCTCCATGAGCTTCGAGTTGGGGCAGTCGTAGACAACATCCTTGCCAAACACGGGTGTGCAGAGCGGGCCATAGACCTCCTCGGCGTTCACATCCCTGAGCTTCCCATTCAGGATAAAGTTGTTGCCTTTCGTGTCTAGCATGACCGTAGTCTTTTTTCCGAGGAGGATGAAGGTGAAGACATCGCCATACTTCTCCCTGTTGGAGAAAAAGAACTTGTACGGTTCCATGCCATAGGTGATGGTGCTGCCGAGGAAGGGTATCCAGTGGAAGACCACGGGGGGCTCATTGCGGTTCTTCCAGAGCAATTGCTTCAGCACATTGAGCACGATGGCAAGGACAATAAAGGAGGCAACACCGGCCACTACCAGCACGGGCAGGCTCGCAGTCGCGGTGAAATCGCCCAATGGGCCGGCAATCTCAGCAAGAACGCCCATTCTTGCACGAACTTCAGGAACAAGGAGCGCGCGAGGAGAGTCGGGAGGGGGAGGTTGTGTGTGTGTTGTTTGGGCGGACACCGCTCTTAACATTTCTCGTCAAGAAATTGGACCCGCGCTCGAGCCACTCGAGATGGTCCCCCGGCCAGTGACGAAAACTCGCCATCCACCCGCCAAGACTGGCCGATCCGGGAGCACGCTCTCCGGAAAGGAAAATGTCAGCTCATTCACTGACGACGACGCAATTCTGCTGCTCCGCCCCGTCACACACCGCCGTTATACGCTGATTATCCGTTCCGCAGTGCTGAGAACAGTCGCCTGTCACTAGCACAAAAAGCCGCAAAACACACATTTGCCCCAGGAGCAATTGACATTTACTGCTAGCTCGAAGCTTCAATTGGCTTCTGGTACTCTGTAGCGCCTCAAGCCGTGCTTCGAACCCCCCATAGCAAGGAACTAAAAGCCTGATTCCATTTATGGAAATTTCATGGTCTGGCCTATAGGAGCTTCTTATGTACGAAGAGTGAATTTCCCCGCCAAAAATTCCCATGACGCCTGTCTGTTCCTCTAGAATCGCCCTCATACTTCCCCCATCAGTCTCCTATCACTGCGCTCTATTGCCAGCTTTGCCGGCCTTAACCACCTCATCCGGAACATAACGGGATCCATCTTCATAGAGTTCCTGGTCCCCTTTACCGCCGAGCTGGATGAATTCGTCCGGGTCACGATTTGCAGACGGCGTGGTCTCCTTCACGGCTCCTTTCGCCTTGCCATTTTGCTTGCTACTCATCTTTGGAGGGTTCTTCTCGTATACCTTCACTGCATTCTGTCCAGTTGGACCTTCAATAACTCTCGTGACTCGAATGTCGTTCATACTGCTAAGTAGCGTCCGCTCACGTTGGGGCTTGCGTTTGGAGAAGTCGAGGTTCGCAATCGCACCTGTCAGGCCGTCGGTACTATCGTTCGGGTTAATATCCTGTCGGGTAGTCCATGGATGCTCCAAGCACTGCTCAATCGTGATACGTTGGTCAACGTCAACAGACAGCATGCGGTCGATCAGATCGAGCGCAGAATCGCCGACCGAGTCCCAATACGGAGAGGGGTAGTCGAAGCGGCCCATCTTGATTTGCTGGGACAGCGTATACGGATTCTCGGGGTTGTATAGCTCGTCGGAAAATGGGGGAAAGCCGCATAAGCAAATGTACAAGACAACGCCAAGAGACCAGACATCAACAGCTCGGGTGTAGCGGCGGTGGTTGGAGCTTTCCAAAATCTCTGGGGCGACATCTAGACCATGTTAGCTTTGAATGGCTGAGTCAAATGATCACTACGTACAAGATGGAGTCCCGCATCTGCGATCGATTAGCCAAAGGCACAAAGAACATGGAGGCAGGTCAACTTACAGTGTGGTTGTGAAAGACTCTTCCCCAATGATTTTGGCAAGCCCAAAGTCCGCAAGCTTGACGTGCAGATCCTTGTCGGTAAGAAGTATGTTCTCGGGCTTAATGTCGCGGTGGACGATGTTGCGCTCATGCTGAAGGTGGGTTAGCGCAGTCACATGCTCTAAGAAGTTCGATACTTACCAGATACTTTACACCTTGGAATAGCTGCACAAAGACCTTTCTAGCTTCTGTCTCAGTAAGTTTTTGTTTCATCACGATCCAGTTAAACAGTTCGCCTTCAGAAGCAAGCTCAAGCACAAGATAAACGCCATCCTCCTCATCAAATGTGTCCTTTAAGCAGAGTAATGCCGGGTGGCTGACTCCCATGAGCACGGCAATTTCTTGCTGAAGGCCATCCACCTTTGACTTCTCTCCCGGACCAGAACGCTTCTCAAACTTTTTCACAGCGTAACGAACGCCCGTATTCTTCTCGACACACAAGTATACTGAGGCGAAATGACCCTTCCCCAATTGCTCCTGCAAAGTGTATTGTTGCCGAAAGGCGCTGGTATCGCGATTAAGAGGATACCGGAAGACATAGCGAGCCTCATCGAGAATGCCGATTTCGTCGCCTTCGTTTAATTCTCGTCGCTTGTTTCGGCCAACAAGGGAGTCGTTGACGAAGGTGCCATTCCCTGAGATGTCCTCCAAGACGCCGACGGTGTCACCGCCTTTGTTCTCGCTAAATAAGAGACAATGCCGGTTTGACACGGTCGGGGAGTTTAGCACGCGGTCTGTGGCGAATTAGAACCTGTACACCCGAGCAGCAGCGATTGGCGATACTTACCACACTCAGGGTGCCGTCCGATGAGATACCCGCCAGCAGAAATTCCACTTTCTCGCTTTTCCGTCTCATAGTCTTCCTCTTGGCGCTTATAGGTTTTCCGGGGAACTCGCTCTTTGCCGGAAGCCTTGCCAACTTTGCTTTCTGGGCCTGGGCAGGCAGTCCTTCGGCGGAGAACAAGAACATCACCGGATCGGTGATCTAATGGCACCAAGTATCCCCAAACGCCTTCGCCCTCTTCATCATCCACGGCGTAGGTCCGGTTTTGCGGAGGGTAGACGAATTGCGAGAAAGGTTGTGTGTCAGAGGGTGGTGAGGATAGGCCGACGGGAGCACGCGGGCTCCGGGTAGGTGCAGAGCGAATATTCTGACTCGGGCGTTGGCTGGGAGGAGTGAGGGTACCCTCTTTGAACTCGTCTGTCGCCGTCGAGCCCTTGGAATCTTTATGAGTAAGCGGGGATGGGAGCTGGGCTTGGTTGTGGTGAGGTTCAGCATCCTGCTGGTTTCGCGGCGAGCGGCGTGGTTTCTTAGGTTCTGTCTGCTCGCCTTGGGATTGCTGCGGAGATAAGTCTATTAGCCAACAATTGCACAGATCGCACGGGCACATGGAGACATACTCGGCCACGCTTGAGCTGGCTTTTTTCGTTGCTCGATGCCATCTCGGCCGGGCCGGGCGGCTCAGATGGAAAGGGTATTGGTGGTGCCTCGATTTTAGGATGTTGTGCAAATTGTGAGACGCATTGCTGTTCGTAAGAATAGGGACTGGCAAGGTGAGGAGGGACTTCGTTGAGGGCGGTCGAGGTCCACCTGGGCAATTGTTGCCTGAGAGCTATATTCTAGGCTGCCAAGCCACTCTCCTCCGATCACCGTGCGGCCTAAGTTCCACGGTCCCTGACAATCGTATTGACGAACGAACATGCACGAAGAAATAACAGAACTCTCTACGGATTAACATTTGCTTTTCACAAGAAACAGGCCAGAACATCTAATTCGCCCATGCGTGTTATGTCCTTAGGCGTACCAAGCCTTGCCGGAGCTTGCATTCAGACTCTGGTTTGAACTTCTGGCCAACGACATCATCCTATCCACCGCTATTGTTTGCAATCCATATACATACCAACCACCAATTCCTGTTAAAAGAAGCAAAAAATTGCATATTTCTTCACGTTCAGCGCCCCAGCAGATGACATGGTAGAAAGCCGCACTATTTGGGTAGTTCTAAGGGAATTTGCTACCCTGACGATTGGCATGTTCGCACGTGATTGAGCGGATCTTGGCACCTTTGGTGCTGTTACTTTCACAGCGCCGGAGGCCTCCATCATTCACTGACCATATAAGACTGAGCCTCCCAGGACCCTTTCTAAATTTATATAGACGCTATCTTGATACAAACTATGTTAGATGTCATAGCGTCCCCGCTGATATCGAAATCGGACTTCGACGCTGCCTGTGATGAACTCTCGAGGCTTTTTGCTGAGCGCCACAACCTCCAGAGCGAATGGCTCTCTGTAGATGTCCATGATAGGAATGATACGAGGTTTTTAAGGATTATGAAGCCGCTTTGTACGCGCGTCGATGTTGCTCTTGGAGACTCCCAAGAGCAGTCTGACGAGCGTGAGCTTATGGAGTATGACGAAGTAAGAGCCAAGCCACAATCGACAGCATTGGAGACTCACGAATTGTAGGAGGCACTTGAGCCCTCACCTTCCCACCAAGGTGTTGTGGTAGAATACGACATCGTCTTCTCACCAAGCTTCCAGGTGCCAGTCCTATACTTCAACATCAAAGACCTGCTCTTTCGGTTTCCACCAACAATGGATACTCTTTACCGTCATCTGATTCCACTGCAATTTAGATCTCAAGCTGAGAAAGCGGGTGTTATTGGAGGGATTACATTGACAGTTGGTTCTTCTCCTCACCGCTACATGCCCTTAGCTAACTGGAATTAGGACCATCCTTTGACGAATGCTCCTGTGTTCTTCGTTCATCCATGTCAGACTGTATCGATTTTGGGAGCGAGCCGAGGTAAGGAAGAGCTGACACCGATCGAGTTCCTGATGCTGTGGATAAGTGCTATGGGTGGCTGTGTTGGCCTCCACTTGCCCATTGCGCTTGCGGAAAAGTGAAGGAATGGCGGGGCAAGCCTCTTGTAGGTTATCGTTAGTGCCTACCCGAAGTATCAAGCCTACGGGATGCTCACGTGGAAGAGTGAGCAGTAGGCCAAAGAGAAGCTTGTGACGACAGGTGAGAGACAATAAGTCATGACAGCTGACTTCCTCATCCCTCTTACAATATGTCTCCTCACTAACATTTATAGCAGGAATTGTCTGGGATGTTAAGGCTATTCCAAAGATCTAGCCTGCGAAGGAAGTTAATAGTCATGTCATTAATGGAAGTTAGAATGTAGAGATGGACTTCTGGACACATTACAGTACCAAAGCTTCTCCAGTACTGGCCTCATATCCCAAAAATTCCACACACACACCCCCCACACTTTCAACACTCCAGCTGCACAAGCGCCGCACTACTCCAAGGCACGCCCACTGCAATCCCTCCATCCTGGCCCACCCACACTGTCTCATCCTTCGTTACATTCCCCAGCAGCTTTGGTTTCCCATGATCCAGCTCATAATTATAGCTTGCACCGTTGAACGTAATTCCCGTGATCGCATCTGATCCGTTCGCGATAAGCCTCTGCACAAGACCATGGCCAGAGCAGGAAGTCGGCAGTGTAAAGTTATACGTAGTTTCTCCGCGGGGAAGGGGAACAGGAACGGAGTAGTTATATTGGTGCATGTTGATCACTACGAGACGTTTGAGTTTCTCCCCCTCGTAGATGGTGTATGCTGCTTCGTTGTAGTTCTTTAATGGGATGTTTTGGACGCGGACGTCGCCTTGAGTGATGTCACCCAGCGAAGCTGCCACTGCAATATTTCCATAGTAAGGAGCCTTTGTGCCAATGCTGGTTGTGTTGGTAGCAACTGGCTGCCAGCTGGCATATCGGAAGTTGGTTCCCATATGCATATACACCTGCCTGATGTCCGTGGCTGCACACATGAGGTTGAAGTCTACACCCCAGAGAGCAGCACCGAAAGAGTTGGAGAGCGCCGGAGCTCCTTGGTTGTAGAGGGAATTTGCTTCGCCAAGGATGTATGGCATATTCATCCCTGCGGCTTTTAAGGCGGCTTGTTCTTTGTTGTGGTTACTTACACTAGATACGGTCTTGGTGTGGTTCATCAGGAAGCCAGCAAGAGTCACACCAGGTTGTGTCGCACCTCCGATGTAGCTGTGTATCGTAAGCCATTGACTCCCCAGTCCTAGCGTCGATCTTACTTATGCGAAGAAAACAGCTCAATTTCATTACGCTGATCCAATCCAGCTTTCCAAGTCTTCACAGCATCAAGACTGTTACTCGTCCCCGCAAACGACGGCGCAAGCCACTTGAAATTTTGCGCAGTGACCCAGTCCGCACCACAGTTCTTCGAAAGTGAATCTTTGACTAACTGAACCCTTATGTTCCACTGCTGCGTATACTGCTGCTCGTTCCAAGACGCAGGACGCATGACACCCTGCGCCGAAGTCTTGAAAAGATCTGGCTCATTCCCCATCTCCCAATACAGGAAGTTATCGTGAAGTTCAAGAAACTTGCAAGCTATCGCAGCCTCATCCGTCGCGCTGGCATTAGCGGCTGTGTCGTTCTTCGCCAAGTTGAAGCCATGTATGAACTTGACGCCGGGCCATGTTTGGTAAGATTCGAAGAACTTTGGGCCAATGGACAGTATTCGGGGATAGTCTTTAGATATTGAAGGAATTATGGTTCCATTAGTGGCGGCTTTGAGGTTAGCGTCGTAAAGTGCATAATCCCTGGAATTTGGTATTAGACAGGCCTGAGGCTTGCGAGATTAAAGTTACTTACTGAGTATTTCCCCCCACTCGAATGTTTGGCTTAGACCCCTGGAAGCTTCCCAAGTTGTTCAAAAGATTGTCTGAGAACGTATTCGGATTCTCCTTGTCGCCTGCGAAGTCCGGAAAGAAGGCGAGCTCAATAGAAAATGAAACGAAGCTATTGAGCACCGGCTCCCCAGCCCCCGAAGGCGACGCAGCAATCGGTACAGGGTTGAAATCGGTAGGACGCGTGAGAGCGCTTCCTGTCCTCGATGCAGTTGTTGCGTCTGCGAATTGTTCTGCTGGAGCCGAAGAAGCTATGTTTAAGAGCGCTGTCGCAAGCAGCAAGGCTTGGAGGCTTGCCATAACCTGCAGATTGTGGGGGATCGACAATCGACCGTAGACACTTGGCAACGGGAGAGGCGTGAAGGCTTGCAGAACTCTTTGAGCGCCCGCCTCATCTTATAATTTCTCCAACGGTAAGTTAATTGCTTGCTAGAGGTGGTAGTATGTCTCTCGGTGGAAACTACCTCCTGTCCCTGCCCGATCATGCAGGTGTAATGGCCATCATGCGGGGAATATTCCGGGAGATCGACAATTCTCCATCCACAGAGAGGAGCTGCTCAAAGAGCCGGGGAAATCACTTTAGGGTAAATTGGTGCCAGCGCTAACTCGTCACCGTGGGGCGACCATGGTACCTGACGTATAGATGCATAGCCCAATTAATGATATGTTCGTGGTTTCTTTGCTCCGGAACGTACGAGTACCATGACATTCTATTATGGTACAGCATATTCCCTCTGTCAAGAGCTGAATGCCATTTTTAGCTGATGCAAGAGTTCTCACGCTAAAAGACGTCAGACCTCAAGATGATAGGGCATCCCTGGCCCTGCCTGAGCTAGCATTCTCTGCGGTATCCGAATTCCCTACAAAGAATGGTTGAATAAGCTTGTGGCCTCGGGAGATGCATTAATCGCACCGGAACATGGGGTCTAAGCCCGCTTGCACGCACTCTTCTCCTTCAGGCCATACGATCACTACACCTTAGCTTTCTCAGTGCCAGATGTGCCTCATTGAAGGGCTTAAAACCCTTTAAATTTGGTACTCGTGCTGTCATCTTCACCGCAGAGAACCCGGCCTAGATCCTAGGCTTTCCGACATCAGAACACCTATAATATACATCTCCTCAGGGGCTAGTAAGTAATTCCAGGGCGGGATGCTTCATGTGCTGATATTGCTCTACCTTCTCACTCATTCTGTCGGGGGTAGCGTATTGAACGTCTCCTTTTCCATGGCCTACTGTGAGATCTCGTCCTAAGCTAGCGGCGTATGGTTGTTGCGTATATGGTAGACTTTCATTTCGCCTTCTCCATCCCCGAAGTCACGCGCGGGTTGAAGGGAAATATTAAAAATGCATCCACCTGAAGCCAGTGAAGGAGTTCGTCATCTAGTTAGGAGAGGCGGTCGGTAAGATCAACCTACTGGATATTATGGCCCAGCCCTGCTTTGTGATCCGGACTCTAGATGTGGTGTCGCCAGGGAGTTGTACGCGACGTGAAGTCCAGCTGCCAAATCAAAGGCTCGACTCAGCCCGGGGTCATCAGATTGGTAACTTCACGAATACAGCGTTGATTACTGAGGTGGCTATGATATTATGAGTGAAACGTTAGGAGGATGCGGACTCGGCACAATATTTCCCTTCGGGGCCTAACTATGCGTATCCTTTTATAGAGGCAAATTTTAACCATATTTTGAGAGCGCTGAACTCTGACGCAGGAAGAATGACTTATGAAGTTTGTACGGCACTGCTGAGGGTCGACGGCCCGAGTTTGCGTACATGTGCACGGATCACTACAGCCTGGTAAGTGCGTCGCGGTCCACTGAACTACGTCAACCCACAGACAACTCTATCTTCGTTCCGAAACTTAAATATCCCCGGGTCCTGCCAACCCGAGCACCTGTCGCCGCGTCGGAGCCTTCTCATCAAAGAATGGTTTCTCCGCTAAGGCAGTCACCCTCGTTCCATGCCTTGGTTCGAGACCCTCATAGTCCCAACTAGCATTGTGGATTGTAATCCTATTGTCCCATAAAGCAGATGTCCCCGGAGTCCATTTGAATCGAACCTGGATGTCGACGTTCTTTTCGTAGACATTGTACAGGTATCCTAATATCAGGTCACTCTCGTCCTTGTCCAACCCAACGATACGGACAGTCATTGCACGATTTACCCAAAGAGTTTTCCAGCCCGTTGCCGGATGCACTCGAACCAAAGGATGGGTGCGCTCGATATGCTTTGGACCGGCTGTTGGATCGTTTCGGTCGAGGTACTGATGGGCACTGCGGTACACTGCCTCCTTTCCATCTATAATCTTACGAAATGCGGGAGATAGCTTCTCGTATGCAGCGTAACCTACGGTGCGTTAAATACAGATTCTAGAGAGCGGCCCACGCTTACCTGAGGCCCAAAGAGTATCTCCTCCCAAAGATGGCACTGTGTCATTATGTAAATGGGTCACACTACACCAGGTCAGGAATGCGCTAGCCGCATGATAAGCAGATTGAACTCACCCAGCAGGTTGCCGTTCATGTACGAGGTCAGTGTGCCATCGCGAAGCTCCACCCGTTTGCCTGAAGTTCGCTGGGATTTCTGAGGCCTGTAATGCTGGCCAGATCACTGTTGTACCTGGAACTCCTGGAACTGAAGGAACTTGCGGCTGCAACAAGAATGAGCACCAAAACTACTGTTATAGACCTCTCATGACCACCTACATGCACCTCTATTTCTCCATACCACTCTCCAAGCTTCTTCTGTTCTTGGGGCGAGATATCCTGATCCCGGAGGAATACGACGCTTCTCTCAGCAATCAGAAGCCCAAGCTCGTCCTTCTGCCGATCAGTCAGATCCTTCAATTGCAGCCCCACAATTTCAGTGCCAATGTGTGCGGTGAGATGGATGACTTCCTTCGCTGCAGACAGGAGGGCTTTCTTCTCAGGATCCGCTCGAGAACCCGGATCGATGTACTCGCGGTCATAGTTCCGAATATTGTAAACATCGTCCAGATAAACTGGTTTGGCAGGACGGTGCCTGGATTCGGGAGCACAAAGTCAGCACAATTCTTCAAAACGAAAGTTTTGGTACTACTACTGCCTCATCATTCCAGCGCCTTTTGAAATCTCGCTTGAGTTGCATCTCACAGATGAACATCGAAGTAACGTACGGATAGCCAGGTGTCAGATCAATTCCAGCCTTCTCAAGCCTCTTTCTTGCTGGCTCTGGAAGACCTAATGTATCTTTCCGTGGCTGCATCGTATCTTTGATATCTGGAGAGATTGGAAGTGCAATTGGCGCCATGTTAAGTGTTTGGGCAGACAAGAAATTTGGGCCCAGTTCCTGATCTCACTCGATACGACAGTATTATATACCTTACCAGTTACTCCATCGACCATGGTTTTCACTACTGCATCTCTAGGCTACTTGCTGAATTCCATTTGCGATTTTCCTCGGCCGTCGTAGTTTGGGTTTGCGGGGTAGGTTCAATCACATCATTCACCAGGATGATTGCGCATTACCATTCAGACCAGTTCCCTTTATCACCTCGAGTTACTATCACCTAGTCCCTCAATCCGTTCGGGTGGATATATTTTCTAGCTGCGTTATAGCTGGCTTTGAATTGCCTACCTGGGACTCTGTTGGAAGTTCCGGATAGTGCCATGCGGACTTGAATGACGCGATACATGGAAGAAGGATACATGATCACTTCACGCATTCGGCAAGGGGGATTCCGATATCTTACATACACATCCGCCCCAAACGTGACGCGGTTGCACCGTCACTGCCGCTCCTCGAAAATATCTAAACCTGAATAGAATTATGAATTCACGTGTACCTCCACGCGTAGCCGTTATAGGAGCAGGTATCAGTGGTGTAGTTACTGCTGCCCACCTAAAAAGAGAAGGCCTTGATGTGACTGTCTTCGAACGTTCTCGGGTAGCTGGAGGCATATGGTAGGCCTCCAGGAACTCATTATGCGGCACAATTACTGACCGCATCAAAGGGTCCTTGATGAGCGTAAACCTCTTGAACCGGCGTATCCGTCAACTTTAGCCTCAAAAGCTGAAAGATCCGACACAGGAAACGGATTAGAGGTGGAGCCCCTAATGGATCTTGAACTAGCCCAGCTATTGCACGCTCCACCTGGGTGAGAAGGCCTTGTATAGACGTGTTGTCGATAGCTACAACTGACTGGTGGCCTTGGTCTGAACAGGCCTTGCTATTTCGGCTTGAAAAACAACGTGGCTACTCGTCTACTAGAGACTACGTTGAGTCCTTTTCCATCAGGCACACCAGATTTTGTGAGCCATCAGGTCCTGAAGAAGTATATACAAGATACTGCGGTTAAGGCTGCAGTTCATGATGTCACATTCTACAATACTAACGTCGAAAATGTTCGGAAGTCTGGAAGCAAATGGAATCTGGAAGCAGTGACTCTGACTCCTGGCCCGCTTGGACGACCAACGAGGGAGAGCTTTATAAAAGTAAAGCTGGGATTCTCCTAAAACGCCTTAGCTTACATTTTGCAGGAGTTCGATTTCGTGGTTGTTGCTTCTGGTCACTACCATGCTCCCAAGGTCCCTAATATCCCAGGACTTGCTGACTGGAAACGTTTGTGGCCCGATCGTGTCCAACACTCGAAAGCATACCGAAAACCAGATGATTTCAAAGGCAAAGTATGATCCCAGACTCCTATGAGATATCCCCCAACGAATCGAAATGTAACAGCATTAGAACTTCCTTTTAATTGGGGGAAGCGTTTCTTCGACGGATATTGCCCGAGAGCTAAGCCCACTTGCGAACAACATCTACCAAAGCCATCGAAATGGCGCATTCGATCTTCCTGGAAGCCTGCTCCCAGACAACGCAACCCAGGTTGACGAAATTGAATCGTTCAACAAAATCCCAGAAAGTCGAACCACATTTCTCCAAGGGACTGACCCTATACCAGCCACCCTAACACTCAAATCTGGTCGCAAACTATGTGATGTACATCACGTCATAATATGCACTGGTTATTATATGACAATACCCTTCTTGAACCACCTACAGTCCAACGAAACCCCTGCGGAGAAGGTCGATGACTTTCTACTCGTCACAAACGGTACGCAAGTCCATAACTTGCACAAGGACATTTTCTACATCCCAGACCCGTCCTTAGTATTTGTCGGTGTACCATTCTTCACAGCCACTTTCACACTCTTCGAGTTCCAGGCAATGGTTGTCGCTAAAGTCCTCAGTGGTCAGGTGAGCCTTCCCTTTGAGAAGGAAATGAGAGCGGAGTACCAGCAGCGAGTGAAAGAGAAAGGCTATGGCAAAGCCTTCCATTCCCTGAGAGATAAAGAAGTAGAATACGTGAACGAGCTCCTAGCATGGGTTAACCGGGATCTGCGTGCGTCTGGCGTGAAGGAGCTAAGTGGGCATACAAATATATGGAAACAGGCAAAGGAGGAGCAAGTGGCAAGGATGAAAGCAATGTTTGCAGGCGATTCAGGGTTCGAGAGGCAGCTGAATATAACTTGCTAGTTAAATTAGCCCGTAGGTAGCACAACAGTCACTAGGACTCGGACATTGCCTCCCACTTAAGAAGGTTGGAGAAAGTGCGCTATCTTACACTTAGCCAACCAGACGAATCAATAACCTCATCTTCTGCCCTCAACACCATTATCAGTCTTCACTTCAATAATAACCGGTACTTTTGTTCCGACAACCCTACAGCGGATTTTTGATGCAAGTCGTTGTAATAGGATAATATCTTATCGCCTCATGTACATTGGTAGCTCTTATGGCACGCCATCGAAGCCAGAAATTACGACAGGGACTATCGGTCGTAGAGAGGGGCCTACGCGATGCATGATCTTCTACACCACAATAATTGCTGGACTAAGGGACTACGTCCCATTGTTTATGGTCACAGGACAAGCCTTCACTGATAACAGTCGTAAGGTTATGAGAGGTGAAGAACTTGCTTCTCCTTATGACGTTGTGTGCTACGTTCATACTACAGTTAGTTTGTGGTCTTACTGCAACGGCGTGATATCAATATTTCATCCCCTGTTTCCTCAGTGTATGTTACTTCTACAGCACTGTTATTTCCCCTCTTTCTCACATATTCCGTCCTAGCACGCAATATTTGCCTCCAATTTCGAGGCACTACCCATATGCAAAATAATTCCGAAAGGAATATCATGTCAATATTGCATCCTTACTAGTAGGCTTGTGTATTGGGCCTCGTAGCTCCCCCCTGCCAGCCTCGGCTTGCCTAACTTGTTGCATAAATTCGAAGCTTATGCTGGCCTTCTGGATCCCGATCAATCCCACGAAATCCCCCTCTTAAGCTACTTTGCCCATCATGAGTCATTCGCAGCCGATATCAATTAATTCAAAGGATCTTGAATCTCCGTCCCCGTTTGTGCATTCCGCCAGCGAGGCAGAGGCGAAGCCTCGCAAATGGACGTATTACCTTTGGGATACGCTAGACAAGCCAAAAGAGGAGAGATGGTTTCTGTTCAAGCTTGATGCTGCTTTGCTTACTTTTGCGTCTTTAGGTAGGGCCTCTAGTTGAAGAACTTCATTCCCTACATCTATTCATACCGCCCAGGTTATTTCATCAAGTACCTAGATCAGTCCAACATAACCAGTGCATTTGTATCTGGGATGTGAGTCAAATCTCCACAAACCACCTTCCGCTAACCAATCTTCTAACAACCCGCTAGGAAAGAAGATCTTGGATTATACAAAAACCAACTAAACTACATGCAAACATTCTGGACAGTAGGCTACGTAATCGGCGAGCTTCCCAGCAACATCATCCTCACTCGTTTCCGACCCTCTCGGTGGATCCCCACTATGGAAGTCATCTGGGCTGTCCTCACATTCTCCCTCTCTCGAGCTAAAAGCGCAAGAGTAATCTACATCCTGCGTTTTTTTATTGGACTCGCCGAGAGTACCTTTTATCCCGGTATGCAGTATATTATCGGATCGTGGTACCGCCGCGAAGAGCTCGCAAAACGGTCCTGCATCTTTCATACCAGCGCTGCTATCGCGACGATGTTTTCCGGTTATTTGATGGCTGCAGTGTATCACCTCGACGGACGGGGTGGATTTGCAGGATGGCAATGGCTGTTTGTCATTGATGGCATCATATCTCTACCCATCGCGCTCGCCGGATTTTTTTTTCTCCCTGATGTTCCCGAGATCTCAAAGCCGTTTTATTTAACAGAGGAGGAAGTCGCATTTGCAGTGAGGAGAATGGAGCTTGAAGGACGCCAGAAACGCCAACCATACACCAAAAGGAAAATCCGGAATATTTTCACCTCGTGGCATATCTACGCTTTGATGCTGCTGTATATTTTCTTTAATAATGGCACGGGAAGCGCGACGCCGGTTTTCGCGCAGTTCTTGAAGGCGTCGAAGAAGCCGGAGTATACGGTAGAGCAGATCAATACGTATTCGACTACGACGTATGCGGTGCAGGTTTTTTCGACATTGGTGTATGCTTGGACGAGTGATAGTGTGTTTGGGGGTGCTCGGTGGCCGCCGATCGTGTTTGGGGGTGTCATGAATATCGTGTGCTATGTGTCACTCGCAATTTGGGATATTCCAATGCAATGGAAGTGGGCATGTTTTATTCTCTCTGGTACAGGGTACGGGCTTTCGGGGCTGTGTATGGCGTAAGTCGGCCATCATTCTTATGAAGCCTTTGCATCGAGACAAAAAGCTCATTAACTAACGCGTTCAATTTAGCTGGGCCCATGAAATCTGCACCCACGATAACGAAGAACGAGCTATCGTCATCGCGTCGATGAATGAAATGGCTTATGTACTTCAAGCTTGGTTGCCGTTGATAGTCTGGCAGCAGGTCGATGCTCCGGAATATCAGAAGGGATATATTACCGTAAGTTGTCTTAGCTTTGCTCTTATAGTAACGGCATTGAGTATACGAACTCTGCATGCGAGGGAGATTTGACAAAGAAAGGTTGCAAAAGCATACGGATTACCAGAAGGCGGTGTAGAAGATAGGTCTGTCGAGGGGGAGGCTACTGCGAGAAATTGATAGAGTGGAAGACGGTTTGCGGTTTGATATTGATACAATAAATTGACCGTAGACGCAAAGTCTATACTGGCATGTTCCCACTTTTCTCTAGCCTGCTTCATGCATCCGTCATTTCCATGAGTTTAGAGGGATACCTGTCACCCTTAATATCATACTTCTTAACAATTTCATCAATCTCTTCGATATCTTCTTGACTCAGCTCCACATCCGCTGCCTTCGCATTCTCCTTCACCCTCTCCGGATTTCCTGTCCCCGGAATCGGCACAATCGTCGGCATATCCTCTCTCTTATTAAGCGCCAGAACCCAAGCTAACGAGAGCTGCGCCGGGGTGCAATTCTTGCGCTCAGCGATTGCGGATATGGCTTTCACGCGAAGTTGATTATGCGAGATGTTCTCGGCTTGGAATTGCGGCAGCATTTGACGGAAGTCATCTGGTGTAGCCGTAATGGTGTTTGTGAGAAGACCGCGAGCGATGGGAGAGTATGCAATAATGGGGATATCAAGTTCCTTGCACGTGGCTGTGATGCCGTTGGTCAAGGCTTCAGTATGGAAGAGTGAGACCTCGATTTCCACGGCTACGATTTTGACGTGCTTTGAGGCTTCTAAACATCTCATGTTAATCATATAAACCATTTCTCTCTGCTAGAGAGATGGTGGGAAGGATCATACCACGAATAGTGTTTGCATTCACTTCGCTAAGTGCAATGCCCCCTATCTTGCCCTCATCTTGGAGCTCTTTAAGCGCATTCAGGGTTTCTTCGTATGGCACCGTCTTGTCCCGACGAGCAGGTTCGAACATGTCTATTTTGCCCTTGGAACCCAGGCGGGCTAGGCAACCTTCCACCGATTCACGGATTTTAGCCCTTGAGCCTAAGGGTTTGAAAGATGGATAACTGAGACATGGGTCAGTGATGCAATGATTCAATCCTCACATCGGATGAAGAAAAGAGAAAGAAGGGTGTCATTTTAGGGGAAATAGGGTTTACATACCCCTCCATAGCCCCTTTGATGTTGAGAACAACTTTCTCAGCGTCCTCAGGATACTTCTTGTAGTACTCGTTGAGCAAAGTTAGAGAGTTGTCATCCGGGGTTCCATAGTGCTCGCCCCCGTCCCAGAGAGTGCAGCCGGATTCGATGGCGGCGCGCATAGCAGCGAAGGCTTGTTCACGGGGGATTGGTTTGAAGTAATTCGTTAAGCCTGTATCAGTTAATAAGGTAACTAAATATGAGGGAAAGTAGACGAAAGGAGGTGAAAGACATGGTTGAAGATGCTTGATATGAAGCAATATAACCGAGGACGAAGAAGTGTAAGGAGTCTTACTCATTAGTCCAAAACCCACAGGGCCGACGTCTCTGTTCATAATCTGTGGCATGGTGGATCAGGCTTGGAAGATTGTAAGGGAGGTTGGGAGGCAGTATGAAATAAGATAAATGTCGAGAGGAGAATAGTGCAATTGAAGCTTGCAGTATGCAGATATTTGAGTGGAATCTGACACATATATACTACTCTACTCTGGCAACATTTAGAAACCGGGGCGAGCTTACGACGCAGACCATATGAACATTGGCCACTTGAGGAACAAACTTAATACAATTGGCTAGAACGGGATTCAACATTGCCAGATCAGGAATATGCTCGGCTTGGCACGGCGTTAATGACAGTCTTCACCCTAACAGCGATAACAGCGATGCAGGCGCGCATGTTTGTCCATGGGGAGTGGGACGGTCAGAGAGATTAAATTGCGTAGCAGGTGCTCCGTAGTCCGAAACCCAAATGCAAGCAGAGAGAGCGTTGAAAATGCATATACGGATAAGCCTTTCAAAAGTCTTTGCCCACGCTAAAAACGCCACAATCTTGGCGCAAGCCTCGGAGATCCTCAATCCCTGATTTCGATCAAATTTCAATAGATTTCCAGCTATACTACGATTCATTTCATCTCTACATGGCGCCTAATCACGATATCGCTACTCGAGCTTTTAGTTGTTGCCCTTAAATCGCCATCTGTGGGCAAAACTACCCAACAGGTCGTCTCAATTACTGGACTACCAAAGCGCACTGTCGATAGCATCTACGGCCGAGCGGTCAAGCGTGGGTTTAATCCTAACGCCGTCCCTCTTGCTATAGAAGACAAATATCTTGAAGATGCTCCCCGATCTGGCCGTCCAAATAAGCAGACAAGCGAGGTTCAGCAATCTCTCACCCAGAAGGTACGCCTTGACCGATATGGCCGTGAGAAGACATGTGCTGACCTTGCTGGCGAGCTTAGCCAGGAGGTTATTAGGCTTGAAGGTGGTAATGATCACACCCAGAGGAGGCATTTGCCCAATTTGAAATGTGGCTTTTTTAGTGCCTTGGCGTGGGCAAAGACTTTTGAAAGGCGTATCCGTAGAACTTGTTCCTATTGCGCATTAAAGTGAATAATCCTAAGACTAACCATATGCGTGAAGCGAGAGCGTAGTACGTAGGTTTTCATTGGACTGTCAAGCTAGTGTTCTGTGACCAAGGGCATATGATCCTAAATATTGATGATAGCAAGGACTAACTGGAGAGTAATGGACTGCGAAAAGGAGAGGACGGAGTGAATACGACATGCTGATGCTGTGATCTGACATATTCGTGGAATTAGGCGGGCTCACTTTTGGGAAATGGATCTTTGAAGTGCTTGTGAGTGTTGATCTGCGCAAATTCGGTCATTTTGCAGTGGAAACAGCAAGTGAAGAGGCTCCGTGTAAAGTTCCTGCTGCTGCCTCCTGAGATAGAATGCGAACTATGAGTGTTTGTGGTGTATACTTGGTAGGGAGGAATTACCTGTTGCCTCGAAATTCCAACATGTGGATTGGAAATCCGCTTCTCAATGGTTCGTGCTGCATACCACGGAAGCGGCTCTGTGCGAGAACTCGAAAGCTAGAGCCTTTTATGTATGTTTCGCGCCTTCTTCCTTTTCAAGATGCTAGGCTAGGTTCATGTCTGGTCCACCTGAAGATTTGAAGCTCCGACAGAGTAGTCGTAAGCCTCAAAAAGAGGACGATGTAGTTACAACGATATTAGGGCCCACCAGTGAAATCGTTAATCCCGAGAGTGTTCCAACTTCTACTCCCATTCCGAGTTTGGGTAGGGTTGAGACTTGAACTTCTGTGACAACAGACTCGACCTAGCTATCCAGACGTGACAGTAATGAAGCGCGTGTGCTGGGATGCTGCATGAAGACATGGTGATGCCACGTGGGAGATAAGACCGACAGCGACCATGCCAAATGTAGTAATGAGCTATTTGGATTCCTCGAGGGTCTACACATGGCGGACCTCGTTTGGGGGCGGAAGAAATTGATCAACGACGTCGGCGCTACGTAGGCCCATTTAATCTCGGCGACTCTCTCGTAGTCTGAAGTTTGAGACAGAAAGGTTGCGCAACAGCTTCGCGACGACGATCAGTGAATGTTTTGTACAAGGCCGCTATCAAGGATGATGCAAGTGCACCTCGGCCCGCAGAGCACTTGCCTTATTTCGGCATGCACGGGCCTCTATCGTTTCAGATTGCGGCGTTGTTCCCATGGTAAATTGGAAAACACGTTGAATTGCAGATGAGGCGCCCGGCTCCTCATGGCCGTAGTAGAGCAATTGCAGTCCGGAGGATCATGGCGAGGCTGCTACGCTCGTACTCGTTCCCCTCGCAATCCTAGAAGTAGCAATCAATGGTAGCAGTGGAGAGAGCTGTGCCAATTAAGCATGGTGGAGTGCGCGTCCCGCTTGCTTTCTGCCTATCGATTTTTAGTCGCAGGCCTGTCCGACAGCCGAGACTGGTACCTTCAAGGCTCAAGACGGCAGGGCGGTCAGACTAAAGAAGGAATCATCATGGCTGGATAATGGCGGTGCTCTACGGGGTCTGCCCGGCAATAATCTATTGCGTTGAGAGTTTGAGAATGAAACATTCGGGGCGCGGTGTGGTGAGATCGAGGATTGCGCGCGCAGTTCAAGTGCAAAGGAAACCTGGCGGAACTGAAGAGAAGACAGAGACAGGGAGGATAAATTGCAGTAATTTCTCGAGGCGAACATGGCCTTAGACAACCGTGGTCCGCGACTTGGGAAGCAAATCACGACTCGCCTAAAACGGCTAGGGTTATCGAGGTGAAAGGTGCAGCAAGGCCCTAGCGACTTCCGCGCTGAAGCAAGCTTGTCGTACATAAACTCTCTCGGTCACCCTGCGCAACACAATCGCTCCCACACACTCGATCCATCAGCATCCCAGCTTCGTAAGTCCCTTCTCTCCGCCGTCCCCAACGCTATCCCCCATCGCCGCCACCCTCTGCCGCCCCCAATTACGAGTTGTATCGCTTTTGAGCCCGTCTTACGTGTCTGCTCACGACTGTCACCTGCTAACACCATCCGTTTGCGCAGACATTGATACCTTCCACCCAGCTTGCCATGTTGTTCAGCGCCCTCATTGTCGCCGCTACGGCCTTCTCCAGCTTTGCCCTCGCCCAGAACACCTCTCTGCCCATTGGCGCCTGCTGCACTCTCGACCCAAACACGGTTAGCAACGACAACAAGTCGACCTGGTGTGCCGCTGAGAGGCACACATGCCCAGAAGTCTGCGGTGGCATTGGCAAGACCAAGGCCGGCGGCAACGAATGCAGCACCGTAGGCCTCTCATCCGCTGGGCTTGATCTTTCGACTTGGCTATAGCTGACATTGCCTTCTATCTAGACCAACCTAAACTTCACTTGCACATGTTCCGATGGCACTAGCCCCAACATGTCCGATTACCAGCAATCCGTCCCCGCCTTGATGTGCCGCGAATGGTTCTCGCGCTGCATCATCGCCTCAGGCGAGAATCTCGACCAGCAGTTACTCTGTAAAGCGGTGACGTGCGGTAACAAGACCACCGAAGGCGCCGTCTCAACCTCGGCCGCTGCCAGCGGTGGAGCTTCGTCGACTGGTGGAGGTGGTGCCTCTGCTACTTCCGGCTCACCTTCTGCTGCCAGCTCCAGCGGCGCCGCCACTGCTCTTGCTATCGCGCGCGAGTACGGGACCCCGATCCTTGCAGGCGGTATGGCCGCCGTTTTCGGACTTGTCTTGTGAGCAAGCGGACACAAGCGCAGGCTGTTCGGTTCAGAACATGGACGGGCTCCATGACAGAAAGTTAATGAGGAAGGATGGAAATGGCCAAGAATTCCGCAAATCGGCATGTTCCAGGATGACTTGTCTCTCTCTCCAGCGTTCCCGAGCATTGGAGTTACCCAGGTTAGTTGGGGCGCTAAAATGTATTTTCCCTCTTGTACGTGGGGTATGAAGGTTAGGTAGAGTCAGTAATGCGATGATATGAGGGGTTCATGATATCCAATACCCAAATCCAGCTTTTAGCCTCTGAATCGATTCTGCTGAGTGAGACATGGGATGATGCAGGCCACAACGGATCCGTATTGGATCAAGCTTTCCAGGGTTCTTCACCAACGGTCCCAACACCTGCCAAGGCAGCCGTCCTCCTTTGCACCGAGTAGCCCTCTTCCTGTGCGCAAACTGGACAAAAGCCTGCTCAGAATGGGGTTTGCAGTGTCGTCATCAGGCACCTCTGCTTCAGCCTCGCAGACGCCCTTCGGTCGCAGCGACAGTGCCATTGGTCAATTGTTGCTGCGTCGTTAATCAGCTGCCCGGGGGTTTCTCAAATTGGGGTACATTATCGATAAGGCCGTCCCTGGCCGGGGCCCTTGCGTATGATCGCATTTTGTCGAGGCAGATGGAAGCTCAACAATTGCTGTCCGCGTGCCCGGCCTTCTTGTCTTCTGTCGACTCTCAGCTTCCACTTGTCTTTCATCACACCTTCTCTATTCGACTTTCTAGAAAGCTCATCTCACGGAGTCGCCGCATCACAGGAAGCCGAGGCTCACGATAATCTTTCCCGGCAGGGTACGTTGCGGCTGTAAGCCTCGGTGTGGCTAGTGAGGAGCGAGTCTGACGTTCACTTAGATTTCTGAGAAAGGGACTACTTAAGGTGGCTCTCTTCAATTGTCGAAGAAGGCCATATAATTTCTTGAGGAGCTGCGGTGTTTGCCAACGCTCACGCCCCTCCGCTTCCCTCGCTACACGAACATCGTCAGACGCCACAGTCCACTTCAAATACAAATCACTTCCCAGAATACAAGATACTCGAAGAACGATGGCAACCCTAGGAGCGCAGAAGAAGCACAAGGTGACCATAGTGGGCTCCGGTAACTGGTACACACCTGTTTCCCGTCGTCTCTTCTTTTTGTTAATAGGAATCTAGGGGCACCACCATGTCCAAACTCGTCGCCGAGAACGTCAAGGCCCACCCCGATCTGTTCGAGGAAATAGTCCAGATGTGGGTGTACGAGGAGGAAGTCCCCATCCCGCAGAGCTCGAAACACTACAATCCAGAGACGGCCAATAAGACACACAAGCTTTCTGAGCTAGTCAACACGATCCACGAGAACATTAAGTACCTCCCGAACATCACGCTGCCGTCAAACGTCGTTGCAAATCCGGATGTGGTGGACTCGTGCAAGAACTCGACCATTTTGATCTTTGTGCTGCCGCATCAGTTTATCCCCAGGGTGTGTGATCAGCTGGCGGACAAGATCATGCCGTGGGCACGAGCTATCTGCTGCACAAAGGGTGTGGATGTTGGTGAGAAGGGGATTAGGCTTATGTCTGAAGCCATTGGTATGCGTCTCAACATCTACTGCGGTGCGCTGTCTGGCGCCAACATTGCCACCGAGATTGCACAGGAAAAGTACTCGGAAACGACTGTAGCATACGATCCGCCACCGATGGATTCCCGGGCACCAACCCCCAAAGGCTCGCCAGCATCCTCTCAGGTCGACCTCATCTCTCCAAGCAAAGCTATCCCTAGCGCTCGATCAGCACGGCTGAAGGCCCTACCCTCAGAGTATCCCCCTCTATCTCACGAAAATGTTCGCAAGCTCTTCCACCGCCCCTACTTCCACGTTCGCATTGTCTCCGACGTCGCGGGAGTCTCTCTCGGCGGCGCCCTTAAAAACATCGTTGCCCTCGCCGCCGGCTTCGTCGATGGTCTAGGCTGGGGCGACAACGCCAAAGCCGCCGTCATGCGCGTCGGGATCCTCGAAATGGTCGCCTTCGGCAAAGCCTTCTTCGCTGACTCGGTCCACACCTCCACCTTCACCGAAGAGAGCTGCGGTGTCGCCGATGTCGTGACGTCGTGCATGGGCGGCCGTAATTTTCGGTGCGCGAAGATGGCGATTGAGCGTGGGGAGAGTATTTTTGAGATTGAGAGGAAGGAGTTGAATGGGCAGAAGTTGCAGGGGACGAGTACGGCGTATGAGGTTAACAGCTTTTTGAAGACGCAGGGGATGGAGAAGGATTTCCCGCTTTTTACGGCGGTTTATAGTAAGCCCGCCCTATTTCTGCGTTCTCTAAGTGTGTAAATAGAAAGTTTGTTTGTTTGGATCGGATTGGATGAGGGGAAAAATTGCTAACGAGATGTAGATATCCTTGAAGGCAACGTCAAGCCCGAACAGATCCCCGATCTTATCGAACCAAAACAGTAGGTGGGCAGCTCTCTACACTCGCTGCGTTCCATTCGCTTTCCAGGCATTTCCCGTATTAGGTGGAACATGTGGGAGGTTATGGCGATAGACTCGCATGGGCTGCTCTTGGTACTGTGACGGTGGAGGAGGCGTCTGTCTGTTTGGTGGAGTGGCATCAATTGTCAGGTGTGAAGCAAATACCCGAGACATTCGGTAGGCTTGGTTCTAGAATTGGGTTAGGGATATGATAGACGAGGAATCAGTAAATCAGTCTCTCAATTTGCAATCGAGATGCACCATATATCCACAACTTGCTCCCATCCCGACTGTAACCTCACTCCAACTTCCTGATTCCATCATCTCTGTAGTTATCTATACGCGCTATCAGTCGAGCCCATGCAAATAATACCACCGCGGAGCCAAATAAAGGGCAATCAAACCTCCATCATCCGTCTATCGTCCCCGCCGTACCTTTTTGTCCGAGCCAGACTTGCTTCATTCCACACTACTGCACCTCGCACCCACATTTGCACCCGCATCCATACGACCCTCTTTCGTCCGCAGCGTGACAATCCATTGAACACGACCACGGTAAATATGGTATCCGGTTCCGGAGAAGCAGTGGGAGCGCCTTGTCTTAACAGTTCCACACTATGATCTGAGCTTCATACAATTTCTAAGGAATTGTAAAACAAAATATTAGTCGTAGTCCTCCTTGTAACTTGCCTTCTCTTGCTGTCACTCTTGTCTGCTATTATCCTTATTTTGTGTATAGATTGTTCTTAAATTTGTGGTTGATGTATGTAGCTTATATGGGATTAGAAGGCGCAGGTTTGGTCTAAGGAAAAGGGAAAGAGTTTTGCGGGCGGTAAGAGGGCATAAAGAATCTTCTGGGACAAGCAGACAGACGGAAGACATGCACTGTTGATGTATGTGTATGTTGCAAGGGAACTGAGTTATACTCTATTATCTTCCATTTGGGTAGTTTATTTAGATGCAAATATGATAGATGTGGATATCGCTACAGTGCACGCTCTATGCCCTCTGGCCCACAAAATGTCACATATCCTGGATAACTTTTAACAGAAAGAGGAGATGTTAGCATTCGTTTTCCATAGCCATTCCTTTGGCAGAATAGCCATCATGTCAAAACAGCAACAGCCACCCCTATATATACACTCACTAATCCTATCCAATCTAACCTTACAGGAATCCGAAACTTGCCCTGTCTATCTAGTAGAAGATAATAATCTCTACCGTAAAAGGAGAGAGGGAGAGGGAGGGAGTTGCTCGGAGAAACGCCACGCATGCTACGCTGAATGATGCAGATGCCAAATCACAATAACAGAGGTATAAAGGACTTATAGAGGTTAGTCCACTTATGTCAGTGGCCGGTTGGGGTATCCAAAGAATGCTATACAAATAGCCGCAGGTGGTGGACGGGTTGGGTCGGGTCGTGAGGTCCAATTAGGCAGCGGCCATCTGGATATTCTTCCCCTTCATACTCTTCCACTCAACAAAGATAGCGCCAAGAATTGACGCCACACCCGTCGCAACCGAAACGTAAAAAGTCTGGGTCAGGGTTCGGTTGTACGCTGTCAGCACGCCATGGAGGAACTGCTGGGGAATCGCGTTTTTGAGCTCCGTTGCGCCGACTGTGAGTACGAGACTAGGGTTGAGGTCGGGGACGACGGATCGCAGATTCTTGATAAGCGTGTTTGTGAAGACGTTTTGGCCGACGGATATGAAAAGGGCGCCACCAAGGGTTTGGGAGAACATCATGACGGCTGTACCAATGGCGACGTCATCGGCGGGAAGAGCGGTCTGGACAGCGATTAGGGTCTGCTGCATTCCGAAACCGACACCAGCACCGAAGATGAATTGATAGCCGATCCATCGGGGATGATTGGTATCGGTTTCGAAAGTAGTGAGGAGTCCGGCTCCAATGGCCATGAACACGGAGCTGATCAACATGAACGGAGTATAATATCCGAGAGCTGTAACGAGACCGCCAGCAAGCATGGAGATGGTGACCACTCCGAGAATAGCGGGAAGGTTCATGATTCCGGATTTAGTGGCTGAGACGCCCTTGATGGCTTGGAACCAGATAGCTGTCACGGGTTAGCATCGACAGTTGAAAGCTGGTAACAGTGCGGAGACGTACGAAGATAGTAGACAACGACAAAGAAGGCTGCTCCAACCATAGCACCGAACCAAGCACTTCCCCAAACGTTCCTGTTCTTAAAGATACGGGGCGGGACCGTGGCATTCTCTTGGCGCCAGACCTGGATGGCAACAAAAGCGATGGCGAGGACAGCAAAGATGACCAAGAGGGCAATGATGCGGCCGCTATTCCAATCATACCTGCTGCCACCCCATGTAAGTGCAAGGAGCAAGCAGACAATGCATGGAAGGAAAACTGCAGTTCCGTAGAGATCGAACTTCTCGAGCTGTTCCTTCCAGGTGGCTCCGCTCTTTTTGCCCCGGCGAGGAACATTGAAGAAAGGAATGATGAAGGCAGCTGTAACACCACCGAAAGGAAGATTGATGTAAAAGCACCAGCGCCATGTGAGATGATCGGTGAAAGCACCTCCCATGCTTAAAAAAAAAATCGTCAGTGAAGGCCTAATATATGAACGTAATATGAGAGGAAACCCACAGTGGACCGGCAACGCTAGCAATACCGTACATCCCGCCAATTAGGCCCATATAAGTCGGTCGTTGTCGTAGGGGGACGGTGTTGGCAACAATCAGGATAGCCCCAGAGAAAATGCCTGCAGCTCCAACACCCGCAATAGCGCGTCCAAGAATAAGCGCGGTGCTGTTAGGCGCTATACCGCAAATTAGGGATCCGAGTTCGAAGATTGCCAGAGCCGAGATATAGACCCATTTGATCGAGTAGAAGGTGTAGAATTTGCCGTAAATAAGCTGAGTCGCACAGGTTGTGAGAAGGTAAGAGGATCCGTACCAACCCACATCGTTGAGCGCTTTGAATTGATCAGTGATTTTAGGAATGGCAGTCGCGATGATGGTATCTGGAAGACTGTTAGAATGTCATAATTAAGTGCTCACGTTTTACATACTGTCCTAAAGTGGTAATTAGCTGATGTTCTATGCAGGTGGGTCAGCACAGGGATCTACGAACCAATGCCATACAGAAAACAGATAGGCAGAGCGCAATAGTGATAATGGCAAGTTTCCATGCCTTAGGATACTCGAAATCCTCTTCTTCTGAAGTGCTACCCTCTGGTTTATGTTCTGAAGCTTTCTCGTTTTCTGTTGCCTCTCCTTGGACTTCAGGCGACTTCTCGCGCATCGATGGGGCGGTGGATGGCATGACGCTCTCGACTGTTTCTTTTTCTTTTGAATCAAGGAACGACGGCTCTACGCTGCGAGTCGCTGTTGTCTCGGAGTCTGCCATGCTCACTGGGCGCAGAGTCTCCTTGTTCTGTTCACTCATGGCAAGAAGGTGTTTGGCGCGACCGAAGAAAAAAAGTAAGGCTGGGCGGTCGCCAAGGGTGTGATGGCGAATGGAGTACCTGAGGTGATCAGAGAAAGAGGGTGGCCAGTATATGTAGGAACGGCAAAGGAGTGTGGTGAAGAGAACGCGGAGTTAGGGTTTGGGAAGAAAAACAATCACCTGGCCGTGATTTCTTGTCCTCCAGTGGATTTAGGAGCTAGAGCAGCCTTTTGTTTGATATCGGGTTCTCGGTTTTTCGATGGCCGCAACCCGAGCTTTGCGAGTGCCCGTGTCGGATACGGAGCGCCTTACTACATTCGGTATCCTTCTCGGCAAGAATTTTCGTCCGAACAGAGCCAAGCTGAAGACAGGCTGCAGATAGGATGCAGCAAACTAGTCATGCGTCACATCAGGCTGCCTGAAGCCACAATGGCGCCTTTCGCCTCTGTGGTGACGACGAACATTCCATGGGGTGTTGATGAAGTTGAGAATTAATGTCTGATTGCGTCGCTGGATCTGCAGTCGACTGCAGCTCTAGGACACGATGTTCCAGCACAACTGAGATGCTTTGCAAAGATAAAAGGGTTAGCCATTTTGGAGTGGTCAACAATAAGCACTCTGTGCTACAATCCTTCCCATGGCGGTCCCGCCTGGGTGGACGTGCTGCAAAGCAACCAGCTGTTCCCATGGACTCGGCAACCGGATACGTCCTCTTCCCGTTTACATTAAACGTGTCCGATGGCAGACCACAGTCGAAGGTTTCTCGAATCGGGTGTCTTTTGGGCTTCCGGGGCGGTTTACTTCACTCTCTTTGGCTAGGCAGCCGACCCCTTCTTTCCCCTGCCCAGATTCCATCTCGGATTCGTCCGTAAAAGGGTTCGGGCTCCGCGGATTGCGTCTGAATGTCGGAAGACGGAGGCCTTGGCTCTCCCGATATCCCGATGGCATCAGATATGATGACTCCTTGAGCATTATTAAAACGCAGAGCCCCTTAGTTATTGTCGTGTTCAGATTAGATTAAATCAATTCTAGATGGGAAATCCATCGTGACTCAAAGGGAAATTTGAAACCCTCTTCTCTAAGCTGAGTGAATTACTATGCGCAAAGCCTTCTCCTACCACTTCTCTGTCGCTACCAGTAAGCAGTTCCGTGCCGTCTCTCAATCTCGTTTTGTAGAATGCAACTTGTCCAAGGAAGCAACTCGCCGTTTGTCGCCCGACGACACGCAAGATGGAGTGTGAGGTGAGGCAAACCATTTGATGGAACCGCGTATGTGGCTTGGCTTTTCTGTTATTCTTGGGAGCTGAACGAGGGCCTAGAACATCACCTTAGGTCGGAAGAGCAACAACTCGGGACAGCATGACTGCTTTCTCAGGTCTGATGAAGATGAGGATGAAGATGAAGAACAGCGTTTGTAAGCCTGTGTTGCACGGTTCTTGATAACTAGGAAAGGACCAGATTACGCCAAACATGCACACAGTGAATGCATATCCCATTTCGAGCCTCGATGCCAATCCCTCAATAATCCCACGTCCTCCACCCGCATCCATGCGCAAGTCAAACATACCTTGACATTTGCGAATACACCCGCCCCCTTAACCATGATGACTTGATGAAGAGCGATGCCCGTTCTGGGCACCAGAAAGTTCACCAAACAGCTCCCTTACAAGGTCACCGTCCATGGAGAAATCAGTCAAATGGTCAATATCACCCAGATCATCCTCACTCAGACCAACATCTCGCTCACCCTCCGCCATCACCGCGTCGCTGTTGTCACCGAACTTGGTCTTATGCTCCTCCTTCACAGCCCGCGCAAGGCCCACGAGAAGCTCCGCCAGCTCGCACGGCTCCTCGGTAGTGAACTCAGCCATTGCAAGCATAGGGAGACGGCGAAGTGTTCGTCCAGACAATCCTTGAGCCCCTCGTGCTATCCGCAACAGCTCACGGGCTGCCGACTTTGAACGGTGGAACGGGTGGAGATTGATCCACTCTAGATCGGGAATATATACCAATTGGCTTAGGGTGGTGTGGTGGTCCTCACCCTTTGAAGACGAAGGACTGGTTATATAAGACCCTTCGATATTGGTATTGCTTACCTTACCCGTAAGGTTGAAGCAGACTAGCTCGCTCTTTATCAATTCGTTTATCACCGAGCGAAAGATCTCGTATGTGCATTCAACGTTCGGGGCTTCGATGTAACGCTTAATCCCACACCGATCCATGAATGCTTCGTCCATGTTCTCTTCAAGATTACTAGTACAGATGAAGATAACGTGAGTGCGCTTCCGCAGTTTGTCCAACCCTTGTAGAAGCTCATTCGTTGCCTGGAAAAAGGTTAGTGGATCGAATTGCTGCTATGCCGATTGACGGAGGCCTGTATTCAGTAGGCACGGAGATAGAGCGAACCAACTTACTCGAATTGCGTCGCCACACTCGTTTGCCTGGGAAGCCTTCTCACGAGATCCCGCGAGCGTTTCCACCTCGTCTATAATAACAACCGTGAGAAGAGACTCGTCCGAGGAAATAGAGGAAATGGTTTCGAAAAGTTTACCAACAAGCTTGCTGCTTTCACCAAACCATTTACTCAGGAGGGTGTGTGAATTCACCTCAACGAGTTTTGTGGTAGAGAAGTCATGTGCCAGTCGAATGGAGAGCTTCTGTGCAAGAGCGTGGGCCAACGTCGTCTTGCCAGAACCAGGGGGTCCGTAAAGAAGAATGAGATTGTGCCAGTGTATTACGGCGGGATTGAGGTGCGGCTCCTTAGATATTTTCATCATCCGTGTGATAATGCGCAGAATGGTTTCTGGGATAGGTTCGGCATAGACTAATGATTCCCAAAGTCCATCCATGGCTTTGTGAGGCAGCTGGGTGACTGTAAATTGTGCATCATCTTCGTCCCTTGTTTGAGTGGAAGGCGTTTCCTCATCTTGGGTCTGATAGAGGGAGTAGACAGCGACATCAAGGTTGTGATCTTCTAGAATATGGAAGTTCTGCTCGTCACTGGGTCTTGAGTGGTCTGCAACCTTTAGACATCGGATGTGATTCGCACACGGAAGAGTCCCTACAAAGCATGAACGCAGTGAAAGAAAGGGTAAATGTTTATAGTGGGGGTGTAAGCAGCTGCCAGGGTTGAGGATTCAACCCACTTGTATCGAGATGTTGGCCGACTTTCAGCTGCTTGTAGCTGTCTGCAAGCCACTGGATAACTTCGCGGCGAATCTCATCGGTACGAATAAAGTGGTTGCGATTAGTGTCGTCGTTAAGTTTGACTTCAATATACAATGTTGGTTTCTTGGGAGTACCTTGCCTCTGCTTGAGAGGATCTCGCAGCATTTCGGATGAAGTGAGGAAGCTTATACAGGGCTCTGAAATAAAGGAAGGTAGCTGGTGTTAGTTCCGACCCTGGTCAGCGGTTGATGCTGCTGAGTCGTGATCGAGTGGTGATGGGGTGGGTGAACAAAGAGGCGGTGCACAGTCCATGTCTTAGTCATCGATGACATCGACACTCTTGGAACTCCGCGAAGCGAACCCGAACTTGCAACTGAGCAGCACATGATCGTTAACACAAAATATTATTTTGAGCACCCCTTCTCTTGAGGCGGCTTCCGCCACAGCTCCTCAATCATGAAGAATAACACTTCCACATGCAAGAGCGGATCGGACAATCTCTGGGGTACTAAGGAGCCCAAGAACACCTGGATTCAAATCTATCTTTCGGTTGGGCTGGGCCTATGGGCCTTCCTGACTTTCTGTGTACGTTTCTACTGGTCCTGTATGCTGTGAATACTTCTGAATCCACGCGACAGTTTCTCCGTCCGCGCTGGAAAGGTCTCTATGCCGCGCGTAAGAAACAGAGCAGCCAAGCAACCGCCCTCCCCGAGCTTCCTGACAGCTTCTTTGGTTGGATACTACCGTTATGGCGAATCACAGAAGAACAAGTGCTGGCTTCAGCTGGCCTGGATGCCTATGTAGTACGGGACGCCCTTGCGGCCACTGCCACGGTCTATAGTGCTGACTTCTGAGTTTAGTACCTCGCATTTTTCAAAATGGCCATCAAATTCCTCCTTGTCACACTGTTCTTCGCTTTGGTGGTGATCAAGCCGGTTCACGACACACATAAACCGCTTGACCGCCCAGATAACGGTAATGGGACTTCGCCCAACAATACCATGATCGCACCTCCTTCAACCCTAGAACATCTCGAGGCCCGTTCGGACTGGGTAACACCATTCTATATACCGGGGGACTTTGAATACTATACCGACTATTTATGGATGTACTTGGTATTCGCGTACTTCTTCACTGGCCTGATAATGTATTTGATCGTTTCGGAGACGAGACGGATTATCGAGGTCCGCCAAGAGTACTTGGGAGGCCAAACCACCATTACAGACCGCACCGTCAGGCTTTCAGGCATCCCCCTCGAGCTCAGATCCGAAGACAAGATAAAGGAATTCATTGAAGAGCTAGAAATCGGGAAGGTCGAGAGTGTTATACTCTGCCGAAATTGGAGAGAATTAGATGACCGCATCATACAGCGAAGTTCTGTCGTAAGAAAGCTCGAGGAAGCATGGACCGTTCATCTCGGGAAACGGAGGGCGGAGCGAAGTCTCGAGACCTTACCACTAGTGCAGCCCCACCCACCTGGACCAGAGATCGATGTTGAGGAGTCCCCGGCCGGGGAGGCCAGCCATCTCCTTAGTGATACCGAAAGAAGCCCTGATTATATCATTCCGTATTCTCAGCGACGCCCGATGGCCAAGATTTGGTATGGCCCTCTCAAGCTGCGATATAGGAACGTCGACGCCATCAATTACTACGAAGAGAAGCTGCGGAGACTGGATGACGAGATCAGAATTCTGAGGAAGAAAGACTTTGAGGCAACCCCTCTAGCATTTGTGACTTTGGATAGCGTCCCGAGCGCTCAAATGGCTATCCAAGCTGTTCTGGACTCTTCCCCGCTCCAACTATTAGCGAACAGCAGCCCATCACCTTCGGACGTCGTCTGGTCAAACACATATCTCTCACGCTCTAAAAGGATGTTCCGGGCTTGGTCTATCACTGCTTTCATCGGGCTTCTCACTGTATTCTGGACAATCTTACTTGTCCCAATTGCTGGAATTCTTAACACTTGCTCAATTCACGAAGTGTGGCCTGCCTTAGCTGATGCACTAGACGCCCACGAGGTCTTGCGATCTCTTGTTAATACGCAGCTACCGACACTAGCAACCACACTACTCAATGTCGCCGTGCCTTTCCTCTACGATTGTAGGTGACCTTCCTCTTTAGAGAAAACAAAGGCTGAACGCTCATAGGGTTATCAAACCAACAAGGCATGATATCGCAGGGTGACGTTGAACTCTCCGTGATCTCAAAGAACTTCTTCTTCACATTTTTCAACTTCTTCATCGTGTTCACTATCTTAGGGACCGCCTCAGGTTTCTTTGACATGCTGGAACGATTTGGACAACAACTCGAGAACGCTTCAAGTATCGCAAACGCCCTTGCGACGGCGCTTCGGGACCTTCTAGGCTTCTATACAAACTTTATTATCTTACAGGGGTTTGGCCTTTTCCCCTTGCGCCTTATGGAATTTGGCCCACTCACGTTGTATCCAATCAATTTGATCGGAGCTAAGACTCCTAGAGGTTTGTTGCGAGACCTTCATCCAATATTCCTACTAACTTGTAGCTCTAGACTACGCCGAATTGGTGCAGCCTCCGGTCTTCAGCTATGGTTTCTTTCTTCCTCAGACCATTTTAATTTTTATTATTTGCATGGTCTACAGCGTCCTGCGAGATTCGTGGAAAGTCTTGCTCACAGGCCTTGCTTATTTCATGATTGGTCACTTCGTTCACAAGTATCAGTTGCTTTACGCGATGGAACACCGACAACATTCAACAGGCAAGGGTTGGATGATGATGTGCGACCGCGTCATTGTAGGCACAGTGCTTTTCCAGCTTACCACCGCTGGTCAGCTAGGTTTGAGAGGGGCCTTCAAACGAGCTGTTGGAATAGCTCCGCTCGTCCTCGCGACCCTATGGTTCGGCTATGTCTACAGCCGGACATACAGGCCTTTGATGAAGTTTATCGCCTTGCGAAGTCTAAGGCGTGCTGAACATTCGGATCTTGGAAGGGCTATCCAAGAAGATGCATTTTCTGCCGAACGTGGATTCCAACGGGGCCACACCCCACGACAGACAGTGGATGAGGCGAGAGAGAGAGGCTTGCGGTTCGAAAACCCAGCTCTTGTGATGCCGTAAGTTCTCGAGCTTATTCCTTGAGCGACCAACTGACTTATGAGCCGTTAGATTGGACGATGTGTGGATTGTAAACAAGCGTGCCAGGTCCCAGAATGGGTCTGCAGCGCACAGTATAAATGGCGAGCGAGAAACCTAACCCTCGCGCCTTCTCTGGTACTATTGTTCAAAGCGCCTTCTTGCATGGCGCCTCGAGGGTGCAGTTTCTTGTATAACACTGCAGCCTCGCTTTCCTGTTTTGACTCGTTGTATACCCTGACAGGATAGAATGTACTTGTAATACCATTTATGAACCTTTTACACACCTACGTCCTAACTCCCCGCCCCTTCGTCGTCACTTTCCCAACTATTCTCTTCCAACAGCATTGATTTGAGCATCGCTCATTATTCTCAAACATTCACTCAACCACCTACGCTTCGACACGCATCATTCTTCATATCATTCCGCGCTCGAATATTGCTACCGCGAAAGGTTTGTCATTTGATCACCCGCACCTCCATTCGGAGGTGCTTCAATAACGTCTTCCCAAATCTACCTCTCTCGGGGTGTAGCCGGAACGCAGTCTGCACCAACGCTTCCTCTCCTGGATCTCAGTCTTCCTCCAGTCGCCTCGTACTTCGAATCGCCGAACGGACATACCCTTTTACTTAGTCCGCCAGCTCACAGATTCATTGAAAGAATGACTTGTACATCTGAGCCGTCAGAGCAGCCCACAAGGGAATCCCAAGACCTCCAAAGCCTCGAGACAAATGACGCGATCCGTGATACAACGCATGCGCCGTTTACAAAAGGCTCTGCAGAACCACCTAGCCCCTCTACCAAGCGTTCGGAAGTTTTACGCTACGTTTTCCCACGACCTAGGGGCGCGGCTCTAGTGCACCACCGATCCGCTCCAAGAGTCACGAAGCAAGAGCATCGCAGAAGCACTCTATCTTCAATCAAGCAGTCCAAATCACGAGTTGCTTTTCAACGAGTGATTACGAGCATTTTTCACAATAATCCTACCAGAGTCCTTCCTCACACAGCGCGTCAACGAACTGCTTCAAACGCTTCAAGTGTACGATCGCAGCCAGGCTCGGTGTATGATTCTATACCCAGCCTCGACGTTATATCACCAGGAACTTTTCTTTTCAGTGGCCCAAGCTTGAGGTCAGCACGTTCAGGCTCTTTGAGTAACTCTACCTCGCGACTCCCAAGCTTGACGGAGACGGGTAGTGAATCGCATTCTATTCGTCGTGTACGATCGGAGTCATTCTCGGTTGACAGCCTTAGCGTTTTCGACGAGAGTATACTCGAACCGTTCGTGGAAAATGGTATCACTCGCAGTTTATTTGATGTTCTCCACGGCATAAGCACTCCTTTCGAAGAATTAGAAGGACCTATCATCGAAGATCTCAATGAAGATCGCCCAGACTCTATTGGGGAGCATTTGCACTTATCCCTATCTAATGCCTCTTGCCTTAACACTAGAATACCGCTTCTCTTGGTGCCGTATCTGGATTCCTCGTCCCAAAATGCAATGAAATGGACCTGCCAGTCATGGCATATGGCATTGAGCTATTCTATCCCCCCGAAACAACCGTCTGCTCACAGCTTACCGATTGAGATATTGCAGCACATCTACAGCTATCTTGCACCGAAGGGGTTTAATGCAGCTCGCCACACTTGTCACACTTGGATGCGGGCAAGCCTGAATAAGAAATTACTTGCCACCATGCTTGGGCGAGGAGGATGGTGGAGCAGTGCAGAGTTTAATCTGAATAGAAGAAACCGCATTGCTACCTGCAGTGACTTCGCCACGCGTACGAGCGATGAGTGGTTTCTAAGTCGGCGCCTTTCACGCGAATGCTCCTTGTCGGGTGCATGGACCGGGAATGGATTGGACGCGCCAAGAGACCATAACGCAATTGTGGAGGTTTCCCAGACCGAGTTCACCGACCTGGCCAACGGATATCCTGGGTCTGAAGGACGACTTAGTTCCGGGCTGATATTTACGACAAGCATTTGCGGACGATTATTGCTTGTCGCTAGAGAGACTCTGATCTTTGTCTATGAGCTTCAGAGCGCTCACCTGAGGCCCCTGACAAGTGTTAGTTGCCCTAGACGAGTTCTCTCCATGAGCATGGATATGAGTTCGGGAAGAAACGCCATTGCAGCTTTGCTAGAGGGAAGAATGGGGATGGTTTGTGAGCTTCGGTTAGGACACGACTCCTGGGAAAACCTTTCAGAAATACCTATGGAAAGCCATGGACATCCATGCCGGAGTTCGGCACAATCTTCTATTCATACGAGTGGTGCCAGCGAGTTTGAGGTTAGCATGGATGTCGCAGACCATGGCTCCTTTGTACGTCCTTATTCTAGTCGGCGGAGTGCGGATGAACAGGAACAGACAAGTTTCAATTCTATCGACGTCCAATCCAATCATGACGCCATTTCTTTGCAAGGAACGGATGACCAAAATACATATGGGCAGAATTGGATCAATCATACATGGAATCTCAAACTTCGAGCTGCACCCATTGTGGAAGAAAATGGCATTCATGCCAATTCGACTGTTGGATGTGCTCGCTCTATTCCAATTGAGACCGGGACATCAACGTTTTACCGCCACCTTTGTTCCGAAGATGATCCACCTCGCAGTGTCTCAATTTGCCCACAACGTCGCTGCGTTGCCTTTGGATGTTCCGCGGGCATTGAGCTCCATTGGGTCGACGCACTCACTGAACAAAGTTTAAGTAGATGGTTTCCTCTCACTGCGCCTTCTGATTACTTATACTTCCTACCCCCTCGTCCAGGGTTTGAATCAGCCAAAAAGCTACGTCTGATTTCGAGCGCCGCGCATCCAGAAGATCGGCCAGCAATAAGCCGCAAGTTTTTCACTAGCCGACCAACTGTGAGCTCTTTCTGGGGTTCGTTTGGATTTGAGAACATTGGTAATCGTTCTGGCATAGCGACTTGTGACCACTACCGTGCGGTCCCTCTCAGCGATGGCCACCACGTTTTGTTCATCGACCCCCCTTCAGGCAATCTTTTCCTAGGATGTGATGCACCCCTTGGGGGCCCTACGAAACTTCTTCGCAAGATTCTCTTCATCCCTCCAGAACAGGATCAGCTACCTCGGATATACACTGCTGCAGCAGATTTGTCTTGGGGAGCCCGAGTTGCCGTTGTTTTTGGCGACAACATCGTCCTCTATAGTGTCCCACCTGACGTATTTACCTTGTCTAGATTGGAGCAGAAGGCAGAGAGTTGGGATGTGTATACTGCTCCACCATTTTCAACCGAAGGCCGCACGAGGGATCACTGGCTAAATTGGTGGGATGAACCTCACATCCCTGATAGCAGCCCTATCTGGCCAGTTGCCCTCCGAGGGACGGTTATTGGTACTCTGCATGGAATCTGTGAAATCTCCATATTCACGCACCCGGACATTACAATTTGGGGATTTGCCTTTAATGCTCAATCGACGACATGGCAGCTGCGAAACGAAGTCGAGCCAGTGAAACGATCCCGTCGCTTTATTTGTCGAAGTGGAGTGGTTCACGAAACTCATTGCGTCGACAAAGATGGAGATGTCATTATGGCTGATCATGGGGAACCAGCTTTCCCGACAGGCGGTTGTGTGAGTTTCAATGTCAACAGCTCGGTCGGTTTCGATGGCCACTCCTCACAAGTTCTTGTCAAGCGTATTCCGAAAGCTCTTCACATAGATAATGATGAGTGGGTGGAATTTATTGATTCGGGCTGCGGAGGTTGGTACGATACTGACGGAGATGTTATTATGTTTGGAACGGCGAGTGACCTACCTACCGGTTGGGAGGAGGAGCATTGTGAATATGGGGCGTAAAACATCTAGGTCCGCTAGGATTTGGGATCGGAGACGATGTTATTGGTTCCTAATGACCCTTTCTATTCTTATTGATACCCTATCCTCCATCGATACCTTGATTTAATATACTATTATCGTGCGATTGCGAACACATAACCGCTTCACATGAATTTTCTGGGATCAGAATTAACGGAGCTTCCATGAATCCATTAGGACAGGCTTACCGGTGGTCGGTGGTGTTCAGAGCTTCACTTCGTTGTCGCGAAATCACGTGTCAATATCCGCACGGACCGCTGCTAACCTCTCGTAGGAGCTTAGGGACAGTTCGGACAAGGCTTCAGTTTGGAATATTTCCACCAGCGTCAACAACGCCCTGTCTCCGCTCATTGCCTGACGGTCAAAGCATAGTGGGTGCAATGGAGGTTTCTGAGAACCCTACAACGACTGGTGGCATGGGCACTTCTGGCGTCGTCGATGATCATCTCCACCATGTTATCACGAACTTCAAGCCAGGCGACCATATCAAAACAGTTCACAACGAGAGACTGTACCAAGAGAATCAGAAGCTGCGAAACATGATACGTGAGCTTGCGGAGTACCAGCTTGCGAATCCGAAGATTGTAAATCCGACCACCCGCGCAAATATCGATCGGGAACGAGGGGTGGAGCTTGAGATCGCGAAGAAAAAGAAGTTCATCAGAGCTCAGCTCGCAGTTCTCAAGACTGCTTTCCGACAGAGTGTCATGAAGGTGCGCGACGAGAAACGGATGACGGCTGAGAGCAGGGACGTCAACGACTCCTTAGTCTTGAAGCTTCACAACCTCAAGTACGAGGCGGAATCCCTGGACAAGGAAATCTCCGCTGCGCGCAATTACGAGTGAGTATTTCTTGCGATACTGTGGCTCTGTCCTAACAATCATCGCAGCCACAAGTATGCAAAACTTCCGCTCATCCCAGTCGAAGAGTTCCTTGAGCAGTTCCCCGATCGTATGGGTGCTAGCGAGCAGGACCTTATGACCGCGCGCATCGATCACGAATACCAAGTCCGTGTCAAGCTGGAGGAACGTCGCCAAGAGAAACTTAAACAGAAGCAGCTGCTCATATCTGAGGTTAAGAAGAAGAAGGACGAACTTACTAAGCTGGACGAGATGTTGGAGAAATTCATTGAGGCAGCTGAGCCAATCCAGAAGGTGCTTGCAACTGAGTAGGCTACATCTGATGTGTTCTTGCTTTCAATCTGCAATTCATCAGGACCGGTACTTAACTTCAGCAAACAGGAGAAATAGTTCGCCCAAGGATAGCATTGTGAGCGGACCGAAACCGAAGCCGGTGCAAAAGACCGCAATGATTCAGGTGCTGACCGCGAATATTGATGCTACGGCAACAGAGCTTGATTTTAGCAAGCCCGAACTATCCATTCAGCAAGTATCACAGAAGTTGAGGAGTAAGATGGGGCTGGTGCTTCTTGATGCTATGCGCCAATATGCTGACACCGAGTCTGGCCTGGGCGCACTCAGGGTTCTGCTTTGCGACAATATTCGCCGGTATCTCTTAGCCGGACGTGACGGGGCGAAGAGGTACACTGTAGATATATCACTGTTTCACTCCGCGTCGGAATGCAGCCGAACGGGCGGTATGTCGAGTTACTTAGCTTAGATACTTAATCTTTATGATAGGTGTGAATGGAATACAGCGCCACAAACTTCTTCGCTCTTATGTCCTTTTGTATCTACGTGATCTGTCCAAGATATGCATGACTACCTTTCTGGAGGCTCCTGATTCGACAAAACACATGGAAGCACGGGATCACGTGGTTGGGGCGCTGCCTGGCCTTGGCATAGTGATAGTTTATCGAGTCGTGCCGCGCCGCCGCGCCGCGATTTGCACAATTCATCACCTCCCCCGCCTTCCCTCGTCACCATCCTTCGTTCGGCATGACTACAGTTTCGGCCACAGCTCACCTTCGGAAATGCGTCCTTAATACCGCTCTTGAATCTGCCGAACCACAGGAGCCGTTAGGTGCGCTTGTAGGCTTCTTAAGGAATGAACATCCAGCATCAAGCGGAACCGACGACCAACCACAGAAGCGGCGCAAACTCAACAACGGCGGCAATGCTGTGCCCCAAATCGGTGACATGGGTGATAAGGATAACAGTGTTGTTCTTGCATTGGCCGCCATAGATCTAGTAAGATACTAGTTCAATGCGAGCTTTTCTCATCTTCGGCACTGACTCGATAGGACTTCTCCCACCTTGTCGAGGACCAGACGAGGCACTGCTCCCGGATTTCGGACGAGCTACAAATACCTTTACAAGTTTCTCTAGAGTCATTCTCTAGAGACTCTTTGGATAATTTTCACTTGTCGCTCTGGGACCACCGCTCACCATCAGCTGGAATAGAATTAGACTTTGCTACTCCTTCCTCCTCCATCGACACCTTGGACAGTTTGGAAATGCTGCTCGAGGCGGCGGCAACATTGAGATCCACAGTGAATGGACAAAAGCGTTTGAATAGAGCTGGTGCTAGCTTCTGCCGCTGCCTCATCAGGCCCTCAGCCCAGAATATCGGAGCATTTATCATTGAGGTCGAGATACGATGGGTATGTGGGCTGTCGGTGGTGGAGAATCTTGGAGCGAATACTCAGCTCGGTCGTCGGGATTTTGGATTGCTCACAAGGTATTTCCCAGACCAATCTGGCCTGGCCAGCTCACCTTGGTCGCTCTCCGATTTCTATGACTCTGTCCATGTACCGCCAAATCACATTAAAATTTCACCGGAAATTCAGCCGAGCCTATCGGAAACAACGCTATACCCCTTCCAACAGAGAGCTGTAGACTGGCTGTTACAGCGCGAGGGTGTTTCCTTTTCGGAGACAGGCAAGCTCGGTTCTGCGCGCACACCAACGGACTCCACCCCAATATCCTTTAGGCTTGTACATGATGCAACGGGAAAGCCTTGTTATGTTAGTCACCTTCGCGGTCTAGTAGTCACAAATCCAAGCGCCGTCAGAGATGCCTCGCACACGCTCCGAGGTGGAATATTGGCAGAAGAAATGGGGTTGGGCAAAACCGTTGAACTAATCGCGCTTATATGCTACCATAAACGAAAGATATCCGAAAACACAGTCTTCGACGTTTATACTGGAGCTCACGTTAAACCTTCTGCGGCCACTTTGATTATCACTCCGCCCTCTATTCTCGAGCAATGGAAGAATGAGATCAACAGCCACGCTCCTGAACTTAGGGTTTTTCACTATCATGGTATACCATCACAGAGCGCATCCCAAAAAGCCCACGATGCCGCGACCGTGGAGAATCTCTTAAAATATGACATTGTCCTGACCACGTACCATGTTCTGTCCCGAGAAATCCACTACGCGAAACCAACTCCTGACCGCCAATTCAGGCACGGGAAGCAGTATCAGCCACGTAAGAGCCCTCTTGTGCAGGTTTCTTGGTGGCGGGTATGTCTCGATGAAGCACAAATGGTGGAGAGTGGAGTTAGCCAGGCTGCGACTGTGGCACGTATCATTCCTCGATGCAATGCATGGGCCGTTTCCGGAACTCCTCTAAGGAAAGATATCCAAGACCTTCGCGGACTATTATCATTCCTTCGATACGAACCTTTTGCGGAATCTAAAGCTGTATGGGACCGCCTAGACAAGTCTACCTTCCGGACAATCTTCAACCAGATCGCCCTGCGTCATACCAAAGACAAGATCCGCGATGAGTTACGACTTCCTCCACAGAAGCGCGTGGTGATTACCGTTCCGTTCACCGCAATCGAAGAACAGAATTACGCCACAATGATTCTCCAAATGTGCGATGTTTGTGGCCTCACAGACGAAGGAGTGCCCAAGCGAGAGGGCCAGGGCGCTGAAGATCCAGTGGTAATTGAACGGATGCGTGAGTGGTTAGTGAGATTGCGTCAAACATGCCTTCACGCCAATGTAGGGAGCAGGAATAGGAGGGCTCTGGGCGCAAAGAACGGCCCTCTCCGTACTGTTGATGAAGTTCTCGAAGTCATGATTGACCAGAACGACATTGCCTTGAAAGGAGCAGCTAGAGATTGTATAAATGCTCACATCCACCTAGGCCACGTTTCTGGCAACGCGAAGGATATCGAGGAACGGAGCCAGAAGGCTCTGGGCTTCTATGAGGGTGCCCTTGAAGATGCTCGGTATTGGGTTAAGACTTGTCGTGACGAACTTGCATTAGAGAGAGAGAAAATGGGTTCGTTATCGCTGAAATCACAAGTCCCAGAGTACGCCGAAGACGACCAAAACACAGACGATGAAGAGAAAGGGGACGAAGGTCTAGGTCGCGTACCCACAATCCGGAAAACGTTGCGGTCTTTCTTGGAATTGGAGCACGCCTGCAGTTTCTTCATTGGCACAGCTTATTTCCAAATCAAATCGAACGAGAATCTCACCAAGCCTAACTCAAAGGAGTTCCATCTTAATGAGACGTTGGAAAGCGAGTGGTATGATAAAGCCAAAGCCATTCGAACAGAGTTACTTCGCGAGCCTCGCAACAGGGCACAACGCGAAATGAAGAAGATCCAATCAAGAAGGCCTTTCCATCACCTCCCTCAAATTGAGCAACTCACAGACCTTGGCGGCATTGAAAATCGACATGTTCTCAATATGCTGGATGGCATTGCAGATATCCTCAATGCACAAGCAAAGCAGCTCGAAGAATGGCGTCAAAGGGTCATTGACATTCTGTTGATTTCCTTGCTGGATGGAGACGAAGGCAAAGAGATTACCGGAGACGAGTATGAGGATTCTACAAAATTACAAGACGAGCTATATGTATACACCATGGCGCTCCGAACGCTCGTGGCTGATAGAAGCACGACTGTGAATGGCTTGCAGGATCTTCTCATCGACCATGAGCTGAAGGTAGCGGAAAACCAGGCAAAGGAGAAAAAAGGGCATGCTCCAGAGCTCGTGCTTGAGATAGTCAAAGCCCGAGAAAAGCTTAAACCAACCGAAAAGGATGGTTCGCTGAAAGGAGCGGTGTCTGCAACACGGTCTCTGATCACTTCTCTCCAATGGCGGGCGGACGAAGGGGACGCTCGCGCAAACGTCGAATTGGCCATTGCCCAGAAATACTTCTCACAGATACAAGGGATTGCTGCTCAAGAAACCAAAGCTCTTTCGATATTAGAAAAGGAGACAGATCTATTCCGCACAGCAATGAACCATCGATTAGAATACTACCGCCAGCTCCAGCATATCTCTGATAGTGTCGCTCCTTGGAGAGAAGAGCTCGACGTGACTTTGGATGGCCGGAGGTTTAATTACTATAGAAGGAGCATGGATTGTGGGAAGCAACGCGTTAGCGGGCTCAAGACAAAGCAAACATATTTAGCTAATTTGCGTCGCGAAAACCAGCATCAGCAAAACACCTCACACGAATGTATTATTTGCAAGGACGACTTTGAAATAGGAGTTCTTACGGTTTGTGGTCACAAAGTAGGCGGCTCAGAAACCCCTTTAACTTCAACCCACTGACTTTAACTAGTACTGCAAAGAGTGTATCAACCTGTGGTGGCACCAACACCGCAATTGTCCCATGTGTAAGAAACAACTCCATACGGCCGACTTCCATGAAATTACATTCAAACCAAGCGAAATGAGAGCACAAGAGGAGAGTCACGAGCAGGACAGTCCACCACAACCTTCCACTCCACAATCCTCGCATGCGTCGATTTACTCCGGCATCAGTAACTGTATTATGAAGCAGATCAAGTCCATTGAGCTTGATGGATCCTACGGGACCAAAATTGATATGATTGCAAGGTACGGGTGCATCCCTAGGTTAGTTAATGATGACTCATGCATGATAGGCACCTGCTATGGATTCGCCACAATGACCCTGGGGCCAAGGCCATCATCTTTTCGCAATTCGGGGATTTCCTTGAAGTGCTTCGGGAAGCCCTTAAGAAGTGGAAAATTGGCTCAAGCAGCATCCACGATAAGAACGGCATTCACAAATTCAGGATTGATCCCGCGGCTGAATGCTTCTTGCTGGATGCAAAATCCGACTCGTCGGGCCTCAATCTGGTCAACGCCACTTATGTATTTCTGTGTGAGCCTCTCATCAACCCAGCTATTGAGCTGCAGGCCATTGCACGGGTCCATAGAATTGGCCAGCAACGCGCAACCACGGTCTTCATGTACTTGATCGGTGACACGGTCGAAGAGGCTATTTATGACATATCGGTGTCTCGTCGTCTTGAGCACATGGGAAGGGGAAATAATGGTTGGTCAGACTCCAGGTCGGGGACAGCAACGCCTGCAGTGCAGGAGAATGCGCTTGATGCAGCTAACTCGATGGAGATGCAGTCTGCGCCTCTCAAGAAGCTTTTGCGCAAGAAAGGTGACGGAGAAGTGGTGCAAGTGGATGATTTGTGGGGTTGTCTATTCGGAAAGCCGCGGAAGCAGCAACGATCAGTAGTGCTGGAGGGAGAGGTGGGTCGTCATCTGCGTGCGGAGGCAGCTGAGCAGAGAATAGCTCAGGCAGCAGGGGAGCAGAGGGGCGGAGCCGGGTCCCGTTGATTGGGTGTAAGATGTGACAGTGAATACGTCCAGCCGTGTGGGCAATACCGAGAAAAGGAGCTTGGAGAGGGAATATAGGCATGGTCCTTCTAGGAGGCGCAAGGGGCGGCGGCTATAGGCTGGCAGATATACCCGGGATGAATCTAGGGGATCTTCACTTTCAACATGTTTCTCTGATTCCGGAACAGTCCAGCACTGCAGAGCAGACGGAACCTGGATAGTAGTTGTTATTGGCTCATGACAATTGGTGAGGCATGTGGTGTCATGTTCACGCGCAAAAACAAGCATTGACAAGCCTTCTGAAGCCAAGGACCCAAGACCAGGGACCGTGACCGGGGCCAGGACTCTGGCGGAGCTTGTTTCGTTGGCCTGGCGCCGCAATCCATCCGTGGTCGAGATAGTTCCAAGGTTGGAGATGTCTGAGCTGCTGCCGCGCCCACATTTCTCGACCGAGGACGACTTGGGTGTCAACTGTCGAAGAGCGTCAACGAACAAGCTTTGCGGGATACGATATGGGATTCATGCTCGGCGTGCGTTGCAGCAGCACTGCGCTTCTTGTTTCGAAGGTCCGTCCTGAGGGGGACTGGAAAGTTTGCGGAGACATGGGGGGGGGCGCTAGAAGACCCACAGATGCTGCTTCTGAGGGAGACAGGCTCTCGCGCGACAAGGCCCAAGCAAGCTGATGGCTGCTGTCTCTCTCCCCCCCCATCGAACTCGCCGTCCACCGCCCTCGCTCTGCTGTGCACTTTTCAAATCCGCCAGCCTCAAACGCCTCCAGCGCCTCCTACCCGGCCGGAGACGCTGGACATCTCATCACAAGCAATCTTTTCAACGTTGCCGTGATTGCGGCCGGCGAGACAACAAACTCCTTTGCAACTTCAACGCCGCCAAGTCGACCAAGCCAAGAGAAGCCCGACGATCGGCTCCTCTGGGCAGCCCTGTCCCTTGACGCCCGCCAGTGAGTCCACAATGCTCCGCCTGCCCTGTCTGTTGTCTGTAATTTCAAACCCTGCTGTCGTCGCCGGCCGCTGTCATGGTGTTGCGCGCCATGGGACTTTGTCTGTCCAACGCGGCCTGCCCCCCGTCTCGACCCCCCCCACATGTCAACCCAGCACAGCCACGCGACCCATCTCCATCACCGTCCAGTTGCCACAACGGCGTTTTTCATCGTCTGCAAATGCTGATCACAACTGTGGGCTTTTTAGGTGTTCGGTGTCGCTGACTTCTGTCTTGTTCTCTCGTAACACGCCCCTGGTGGATTTGGAACGCTTGCGCGGCGCCAGAGCCCACCCCTCTTAACCCACCAAACGTCGCGACCTCAACACTCAATCCGGTCGTATCGCATTTTGCTGTCGCACCGACTAATAGCCCTCTCGTATCGCGCCGTTTCCAAGACCCCTCGACCGAATCGGTGGGCAGACCCATCGCCTCCGCAACTCGCTTTAATATCGAGTCCCTCACGACCTCATCTATCCTGCTCTGCCCAGGCCTTCGCGCCCGATAGCCGCCACTTGTTCTTGGTTTTGCCCATTCGCTTTCATTTACGTGTTCCTGTCCTGGGCAGGTGTCTCCACACGTGGGGCCCAGCATTGCCAACTTATACTCGGCGCGGGTAGCCGCATGATGTGCGCGGTACCAAGAGCATGAGTTCCAGTCCGGCTCGCCCCTCGACCACCTCGTCCTCTTCGACCAGATCGCTGCTGTCCAGACTCAAGTCCCCCCTGCAATCCAAGACCCGCAACTTCGCCGACTTCTACATACAACCCGATGACCCGCACCGCCAGTACACGCCCGGGGATCTCATAACAGGAAGTGTCATTATCAAGATTCTGAAGCCGTTGAGAATAACACATCTGGTTATTTCGCTGCATGGCTATGCTCAGGTCTTCAAGAACCCGAATTCTCCAGGCGATGCATATCGGAACTACACCAGCACGGTAGGGTCGGGGAAGGGGAAGAAGAGTGGGAGCTACTTTGGTAATGGGTTCGCCTCTCTTTTCGAGGACGAGGCGGTACTTTGCGGCGAAGGGAGGTTAGGGGAAGGCGTGTATCACTTTAATTTTGAGCTGGAATTCCCCTCAAAGGGTCTACCGAGCAGTATTGATGTGAGTCGAACCTCTCTTTTACTACCCCCACACCAATAGCTCGCTGACATGGTGACTCTAGTTTGAGCGTGGGACCGTATCCTACATGTTGACGTCTACATTAACACGTCCAACTACCATTTCCCCAACGACATCATGCGACACGAAAGTCTACCTTGTGGACACCATTGACATCTCTTCCATATCGGAACCAAAACCCCGAGTAATATCATTAGAGCCAATATCAAGAAGGGCGCGTACTGCGAAAGGCGTTCGCAGACGTGCCACCATTGCCGAGACTTCCCAACAACCCGATAATTCCGAATCAACCACGCGTACTGGGCGGGTGTCAGAGCTGAATAGCGTGGAAGAAGAAAGCGACACCCCCGGAAGCCCGGCACCGAGCGATGTTAGCTTTGAAAGTCATTTGAGCAGTGGGGGAGGTTCTGGAACTGAGTACGGAATCCGTTCAGTCAATACTACTGAAAGTAGCACTCCGAACGGGAGCAGGACAACCCTGAAGGGAAAGACTATCACCGCAACCATCGATGTGCTAAAAGGCGGATTCCTACGGGGCGACCAGATACCTATACGAATAATGGTTCACCATACGAAACACGTGAGAAGTTTGAAGGGTATCATTATAACGCTATATCGACAGGCTAGGGTAGATATGCACCCCGCTTTACCTGTAGCAACAAACAGCAAGGGCGATAAGACAAAATCCGAGGATTACTACCCAAAATCGAGGACAGGGCTCGGTGGCCTATCTCTATCTTCAGCGGGATCAAGTCACCTCTTCCGAAAGGACCTGTCTCAATCCTTCGCACCACTTTTTGTTGATCCCCGGACGCTATCTGCCGAAGTCAAATGTGCTGTACGAGTCCCTGACGAGGCCTTCCCCACAATATCTAACGTTCCCGGTGCAATGATCAGCTTCAAGTATTTTGTCGAAGTAGTTGTTGATATCCAAGGCAAACTCACGGGACTGGATCGCATGTTCCCGAACGCAGGTTTGGTCAGCGTCCCAACTACATATGGTGGTGCTCCGGGTTTAGGCCGGGTCGAAGACGCCACTGGGAGCATGTTTTCCACATGGGGCGGCAACTTTGCCGACACTGACGCGATACGGCGTGAGAAAGGTGTGATCTCGTGCATCTTCGAGGTAATCATCGGCACCAAGGATAGCGAGAGAAACGGTAAACGGAAACAGCAAGCGCAGGATGCTGGGTTTGACTCGCAGCCTGGTGGTGTACACGAGATCCCTCCTAGTGGTCCCAACGATGATCAGCATCCGTCCGGCGGGACTGATCAAGAATATTATCGGTACGAGGATGGGCAGTACTATGATGGATATGGATACGATGAGGCATATCAAGGCGAATACTATGAAAATCCTGGGTATCGGGAGACGGGTGCATTACGACCTCTTTATCCCCCGCCGAAGGTAGAAAACGAAGAAGAATTGTCGGAGAAGGAGCTATTAAGACGAGCAGAGGCCCGTCTTCTGCCGTCGCAGCCACCAGATAGCTCAGGTCCCTCTTCTGTTCCGACAAACCAACAGGTTATTCTTCCATCTGCACCAATATTACCGGAAGACGACGATCCCAATCCGCCTTACTATCTGCCAGAGTCGTCGTCCTCGTCACGGCATCCTCCACCTTTCGCCGCAGGGCCCACCTCATCGTCTTCTCTCCCCTCTCCGCCTTCTTGTTTGACGCAGCCACTTAATGACGATACCCGAACAACGACATCATTGCTCACCATCAACACCAACCCCCAGCTATCTTTATCATCCCGCAACGAATTTCATGCCAAACCCCTCCCCTCCCTACCGTCAGCCCCACCAGCACCTCAGTACTTCCCTTCCGCGTCATCCTCATCGCACGTCCCGCCTACAGACGACAAACAAGAGCTACAACGCCGCAGACTAGAAATGGAGCGGAGTGCGCCACCAGATGAAGACTTTGATCAATCCCATGGCCCGCCTGCAAGACCCTCGGCGCCGCCTACTGCAGGTATGCAGAACATGACGCTTGCACCGTCGGCACCGGTGCTAGATGAAGATGATGAGGGACTTGTCGGGCCTGTGAGGAGTAGTGGAAGTGGTGAGGAGACAGGGAGGAGAGCTAGTGAGGCGTTGCCGATTTATAAACGATGAGTGACTGCATCGGTGTTAATTTTCACGGGAGTTAAGAGAAGCGCGCCCAACATAAGACGTATTTCTAAGCGGTGAGGGGGTTTCATGGCATGCTTCTTCTTCTCCTTAGGGTTTTCTTGGGTTATGACTTTTTATTGTAATTTTTGGACTTGGACTTGAGCTTGGGCTTGGGGCCGGGTTAATTGAATAGATGGTGATGGAGATGGAGATGATGGGGTATGAACGTTGAGTGCAAAATGGTTTGCGCTGGCGCTGGGGGCTGGGTTGGGTTGGGATAAGATGGGATGGGTTGCATGCTTGCTGACATATGATACCTGGCTGACCTAACTGATTGACTGATTGGATGAGAAATGAAACGAGTTTGTGTTTGATTTGATGGGTATTTTGTCTTACGGGTTTTGGGTGTACACGAATGTGGGTAGACGTCTTACTTGCTCCAGTTCCCTTCCTCCCTCTCCCTCTGAAAATCTCGACTCTTCCAAACAGTTCATTTTTCTCCAGAGTTGCGAGTATACTGATCGGCAACCTGGCCCGTTGTTATGCTGCCCGCGGTTCTCACGAGAAGCCTCAGCAGCAGCGGTCAATCCCTTCTGCTCTGCATCAGTGTACATGTGATGTGCTCTACAACGCTTGTTAGATAGTTGGAGTTGCAATCCTCTAAGGAGCCATCTGCTGTTTTAGTGTTTCTCAGATTTTCTTGAATTTCAATGTTGATAAAGATTCTAGTGGGGCGGTGTAGAAGCCTTCGTCTATTGATAAAGCAAACCAACATGTGGCGTCTATCTATATAGTCCATATAGTCCAGGTCCTAGCAACATGGCTTCTCCCGAAGGGCTTCAAACCCCATGTACAGTCACACCTTAGAGCCATGCATGTTGCAACGGAGCACTGGCGAAACAGAGAGTTTCCCGAATGGCAATCCCAAACGCCTCGCTATGCGAGGAAGCGAATACAGAAATGCTGTGATTTATGCCGGACTTTTGATCATAAGGATCTATCAGGAATTAGTACCTCGTTTGTCTGCAAGCTGAAGGAAAAGGATTGGCGTGAATGAAAAAGACATACCTCTTTCAGGGCTTGCGGATCCATACTTGCCATCTTCTTCTGGCGAATGTATCGTTGTCTTACAGCGTGGCGTCCGCCCGCTCCGAAGGAGAGGCCAGAGACCGAGGTTAAGGGGGTGGATGTTCCTGTCGTGGGACCAGATATGGGCACTGAAGTCGCCTCATCGGTTTCTTCTGCTTCGGAGATTGAAGAGAGAGATGTGGGTTCGTAGGTATTGGGATCTGGTCGAGCGGTTTCTTTGGCAGCTCTCTTGAGGGCTTTCTTCAGCTTCTTTTCGTCTTTTCGGGCGCGCTTTTCGGCTTTGCGTTTGGATTTGTCGAATACGGCGTCTTCTTGAAGGGGCTTTGCAGACTCGGATGTGGAGGTTGAGGAGGATGTGGAGGACTTTTTTGACTTGTTGCTTTTCTTTTCCTTCCTTTCCTTCTCTTTCTTTGATTTAGATTTTATCTTAGACGAGTCTGCTTGAGGAGCCCCACCCGTAGTGACAGCAGACCTCAAATCCATGCTCTTCTTCTTCCTCTTCAACTTTGGCTGCTCATCCACACTCTCGCCCTTCACATTCCCATCATCTTTTTCCCTCTTCCGCTTCTTCGACTTCTTCTCCACCGCCTCATCCTCGGACTCAATATCTTCCCCAACATCCCCTTTTACTTCCTTTTTAATCCTCTTCTGGATCCTGTCCCCCACCAAAAAACCCCCAGATACAAAATTCATAAATCCATACCTCCTGTTCACCCAGCTTTTCCTCTCCACTTGCTCCTTTCTCTCCTGCTCCTTCTTCACCTCCTCTTCTTTCCCATTCAACCTCCCCAATATACTCTCTAATCCCGCAAGCCCGAAATTCTCGGGACGCTCACTGCCCCGTTTTGCCCCGAGGCCGAGTGTGTCGTCTTTGAGCAGCACGCGGACGTGCGAATGAGAACCCGCGGTGTAGTGGGAGGCGTGCGACGCTTCTTTCGCGCCGAGGGAGGAACCGGGCGTCCAGCCTTGGGAGGTTAGGAGACGGTGACCGAAGCGGTCGGTGTTGCTGGACCAGTGCTTGTTTTGGGGGTCTGAGGAGAGGCGGGTGCGGCTGAGGGCTTGTTAGTAATGCTGGGAGGGCGTGGAGAGGAGGAGGGTCTACTTCTTTGGCGCCGCGAGACCCATCGTGAGGGAGGGAGTTGTAAGTGGGATTGGAGATGGATGGGAGGGGAGAGGGAAATTTGGTGGACATAGGCGCACGGACCATCGAAATCTTGGCGGTGTTGTGGGGAAGGAACTCCCGGCACCGCTACACTTCTGCCATCCATCAGCCTTCAAGTGTGCCTGCAAAGGCAACCAATTGATCCGTCGCCGCAACTAACCCCCAGCACTAATCGCACCCACGCTTGGGAATTCAAGCATACCTGTGCTGCAGTCATGGGTCCCCCCAATGTAACCAGGAAACCCCCCAAGACGTCCGAGCAAACTGTCCAACGCCTGCGCCACCGTGAGCATCGGAAACGCGTTGTTGAGGATGTTGAGGATGAGGACGAGGACTCGGACTCAGTTGAAATGACGGATGCAAATGAAGTCTCGGAGACGGCCGGAGCAGGAGATTCGCAAGACACGATTGCCAGTGCTAGAAGTGGAAGTCGCAGTGGGAGTGGAAGTGGAAGTAGGATTGGGCAACTGTTGCTGGATATGGTTGATGCGGTATATGATATGATATGATATGATATGATAATGATATAGAATGGTATGATAGCTAACATCCTCTAGCAACACAAACGCCACAAAGTCCGCAAGGCCTCGGTCCAAAAATCCTACACCAAATCCGTGGCTCACACCCAAGAAGCTATCTCCACACTGTTCAACGATCATGAATCCGAATCGTAAGATCTCATTGCCCGTCCCGTCCCAACCCACGTTCCATCTCTCTCTTTCCCACCCTCATTCTGATTTGCCCTCCTCTCACTCACCCGTGACCTTTCTTCCCACACACCCCCACAACCTTCTCTTTCCCCTTCGTTCATATCACGAAAGGAACATATGTACGTACTAACCAACCCAGCGCACAAGCCCACAAAGCCCAACTAACCCGACTACACGAATTACTGACCAAGAAAGCCGAGATCGAGATGAAGATGCAAGAGAAGGTCAGCCTTGTACGAGAGGCTTATCTGTCACACTCGATTGATCTACAAATGGTCGCAGAGCAACGTGTCAAGCAGCTCTCCTAGATAGTATCCGTCATTGCGAGATTTGGGAAGATGGGGGTAGGTTGCACGACATGGACCATAGAACATGTCTTTCATGGGTGAAAGAATATTGCCCTTTGAGAAGGAATACTATATCAGCTTGCATTTATTATAAATAAAACTTTAGGTATCTACAACACTAAAAAAAAAGAAGTTTTGCCCAACCCTTTTGTCTTTTCCTTAGGCTTTCCTTAAAAATACCATCTCCCAGGTGTATATGAAATGAAATGACATACGTTAGAAATCTGCCTCCAACGCCTTGCCCTTAAAGAATATATAGCGAGAACGCCCTAATGAGTGATAAGACGAAGAAGAGATGGCAGAACTAAAGTCGGACTAACAGCACGTCAACATGACCGCAGAATTTTGCCGCGCATCCAAAAGTCAGTTTGCCCAAGACAACCACTCATGGCTGCCTCTCCCATGGCCGCCAAAACTTCCACCCTTCTCTTACCTCCCTCTCGACTTTCCTCTTCCTCGCCGACGCTACGCCAACCAAGCGCTCAATCCCCTCATTCCCTTTCGCTCGTAAGAACTTCTCTTGATCAATCTCCTCCCCTCCTTCCTCCTCATTTCCATTATGCAAAACAGCGGGCCACAGCACACCAACACCATCTCCGGCGAGCGTAGTTTCAAACTTCTCAAACCCTTCGTTTTCAAGCTTGGCTTCGAGATTGTCGAGAATCTTGTGCTTGAGCTTTGTGCCCGTGGAGATAATGGACGCGCTGCAATCGTGTTCTTCGCTCGAGTCTTCGTCTTCGGATGAGGAATCCGCCCGGTGATTGTTGCCGGCTCCGGTACCGTTGCCATTGTCACTACCATTGCTATGCATAGCCGTGGGTTGCGGCTTCAGAATTGTAATTGCGCATCCTCCGCCTCCTGCGCCGGTCAGCTTGGTCCAGCCAATACCCGTGTGATCGATCAATTCACGGATTCGCTCGAGTTTAGGGTGTGAGACACCAAGAGAGACGAGGAGGCCATGGTTGATGGTTATCAGGTCGCCCAGGTGCTTCAGTGAGATTGGGGAGGTTGGGTCAAAATCGGGAGTTGTGAGGAGCTTGTATGCGGATTCTGTTACGAGACCAATTGCGTCAAGTATGTTTTCGAGGAGGGCGGGGTGTGCGGATTTCAGGGTAGCGACTTTAGCGACTTCGGTGGCGGTACTGCGGGATTGACGTGTGTTTACGAGGAGGAGAGGGAGTTCAGGGAAGTTGGGGAGTGGGATGACGGTTGAGGGTTTTTCGTAATCTTTTCGTTGGAAGAGAACGGCTTTGCCGCCTGAGGAGACGGTGTTGTCGACTCCCGACGGGTTGCCGTGAATGCACATCTCCCCGACAAAAGCCCAGCGATTGATGCGCTCAATTTGCAGCTCGCATTCCTTCGGGGGCTGGTCTTGGTGGGGTCCACTTAGAGCGCGGATCTGCAGGAGAAGAGCTGCACTCAGGCAGACGGCTATAGTGGCACTGCTACCCAGGCCAGCCCCTATTGGAATTGTAGAGCGTAGGGTGTAGATGCATGGCGGAGACTTTTGTGATGAGAGAGATAGAAAGAGGTAGAGGAAGGCTAAGGCGGACCGGTGGTGTATCTTGCGCATCGGCTCGGGAACCTTTGGGGATACTGCGTCTATGTGCGGTTGGATGGCGGTGAGGAGGCTAGGGTCTAACGACGTCACGAGATCGTAATAGTATTTCTTCTTGCCTGGCGTGGAGAATGCTTCCCACGGCAGCTCGTCCAGGTTCCATGTGTGCTCCAGTTGGACATCAGGGAAGCGGAGGGTAACGGTGCGGTGCGATTTAGAGAGGAAGGAGACGAGCAGGTAGGAGCGGAGGGATATTGACGCAGCAATTGCGGCCTAAGTGGATGTGAGATTTGGTTGAAGGCGGCTTTATCGCTCTTAGCATACTTTGCCATGCACCACGGCGTGCTCTCCGTACACTATGACTTTCCCTGGCGCAGACACCATGAACGAAGGCATCATAGGCGACGAATGCTTCCTGTGCGACGCCGAAGAGCCATTCAATGTTGAGACACCTTTCGCAGACACCTGAGGGAGCCGCAGCGAGGCCATACTGTCCATGGGCGAGTGTTCAGGGGGTTGGGTTGCATGGGACGAGGTGCGCGGTTTAAAAGTGCCTGCTCAACAATGGTGGTTCAGTGGATGCTGCAGGCCGAAGGATCGCATGGTCAGCTTACCTGGCGCATCGTACGTCTTCCTGCGGGTAGATCCGTTGCTTGCCATGTCCGGTGCTGCCAGATGAATGTAGCGGTGGACGGTTGCAGAGGACGTGGAGAGTTGACCAGGAGGAAGAGACGGTCACCGTTAGTCGAGTCTGGGGCATTGGATATGATGGGCACTGGACAGGAGCAGTCCGACGGCACGGCTTTATGACAGGGATCGGTAGAGCGCTTCGACCATCGCCTGAGCCCGTCTGTCCTGCAGGAACAACGCCCTGGGCTTCACAACCCAGGATTCCAGAAATGTCTTGACGAAGGAATTCCTACCCACCAAGACATTCACTCCAATCCTCGCACCGGCTATGAACGAACAAACGACCGGCTTTGTGGAAAATATTTGAATATATGTACGGCATCGTCATGCAGTGTGTCTGCTGCTTCCCATTGTTGCTAAGCCCCCTTTGCTGATTGGCTGAGCGTTTCCGCTTCAACGGTCTTTCATATCAGTTGCCAGGTTTTCACAATCTCCCCGGAAATATTTGGACGAGCATCCTCATTGGGGCATTTTTGACATGTTCAAGTGGCCCGGATGAAACCATCGCCTGCATCTATTATCTACCACGTCCTTTTTATTATATTCCGCTTTGTATCTCTTCAACCTGCACAGTTCTGGCCTTCAGTCGTGGATGAGCTCGTTCTATCGAATGGCTGAACATGACCTCAGTGACGCTGGACCATGTTTCGCCTCCTTCCACACCTTCCGCCGCAATTGCCTCACGACAACTAATGTGCTATTTCTGTAGCCAAGTGCTCGTCACACAGTTCAGATTTGCCGGGTAATGGAGTTGCACAAGATGATGCTTGAGCAGGCATGGTCACTCCGCCACGTCGGAAACCACTACAAGACCTCAAGGTTCGCTCTATCAAGTCAATCGTAACCCTTTAGGCTATCTTTCAACTACACCTTCAGGTTTTAATCCAGTTCACAAGAGGTCACATCCTGTTTACTGCACCAATCTAATATTACTGCAAGGTTCTATGGGAATATTCTCTTCAAATACTAGCATTCGGGTGACCATGACAGCAAACCAGTACATATGTGATGTCTAAAAGCTAATCTCTGTATTTCCGCTTTGCTTAGCACCACCAGCATTTACTTCCGCCGGAAAGAAATGAATGTGTTGATCACGTGATATGGCTGACCACCCCTGTCAGACTAGCTCAGCCCTGCCACACGTCGAAAGTGTCCTCAACGTGTGCCTAGCCACCCAAACTCGACCTCATCCCAACCATCTCTGAACCCAACCATGATCCAGGCGTTTCTTCAGGTGCATTTGCAGTCAAATATTCATTCTCGAATCCTGCTAACTCCCTATAGCGTCTGGCCCGCTGGCTTGACCGGCCCTTCTTCCCATGGAAGAAACTCGTCGTCGGGTTCTCCCTCGCCGAATTCGCTCTCGAGAATTGGCTGCTCTTCCGCCAATACAGTGTTCTCCAGAAGAAAACCACTCCCAAAGCTCTCGAGAATGAAATTGAGAAGTCCACCTTCGATAAATCCCAGGTTCGCTTCCCTGCATTTCGAGTACACGCCGCAATACGCTGACTGGCGTCATGTGCCTAGGCGTATGGTCGTGCCAAAGCGAAATTCAGCTTCGCCTCTGGTCTCTTCAACCAAGTCAAGTCTCTCTCCATCCTCTACTTCAATGTCTACCCCGCCGTATGGGCCGTTGCTGGCATGCTTCTCGCACGCTATGCTCCGGATCGGTTCTCTGGTGAAATATCGCAGTCGCTTCTATTCGCATACCTCTTTGGGTTGATTGAACTGGTCGCGGGGCTTCCTTTTGCATACTACCACAGCTTCGTGCTGGAGGAAAAGTTCGGTTTCAATAAGATGACGATCAAGCTTTGGATCACCGATATGCTCAAGGGTCAGGCACTGACGATCGCCTTTGGTATTCCCATTGGAAGTGCTTTCTTATCGATCATCAAGAAGACGGGTCAGAGCTTCTTCTACTATCTGTGGATGTTCATGCTGGTCGTTCAGGTCTCCGCCATCACCATCTATCCCATCCTTATTGTCCCACTTTTCAACAAGCTCGAGCCTCTGAAGCCTGGATCGCTGAAGGAGGCTGTTGAGGCACTAGCCTCACGGTTAAAATTCCCACTTGGTGAACTACAAGTCATTGACGGTAGCAAACGAAGCGCTCACAGCAACGCATATTTTACCGGCCTTCCTTGGAAGAAGAAGATCGTCATCTACGATACTCTGCTTGAGAAGAGCTCTGACAAGGAAGTTGAGGCCGTCTTGGCACACGAACTTGGTCACTGGAAGAAAGGTCATACTACGAGACTGCTTTTGATCAGCCAGGTTCATTTATTCTACATATTTGCCCTCTTCTCCGTCTTCATCAGCAATAAGTCCGTATATGACGACTTTGGCTTCCACAAGTCGCGACCCGTTCTCATCGGCTTTCTCCTCTTCAATGAAATCCTCTCACCAACGGACGCCATCTTGAAGTTGTTGATGAATATCATGACTCGAAGCATGGAGTTCGAAGCTGGTATGTGGCCCATGTAACTTCCTCACTGCAAGTCGCTAAATTTCATTTAGATGCCTTTGCTGTCGACCTTGGCTATGCCTCTGAGCTTGGCTCGTCCTTGATTAAGCTCCAAATCCAGAATCTGTCCAGCATGGATGCTGATTGGCTGTACTCAAGCTTCCACTACTCGCACCCCATCTTGACAGAGCGACTGAAGGCAATGGGCTGGACCGGAGATAGGAAGGCTGTGCATGATAAGTCCGTGGATGAGGAGAAACCATTGAAGGCAGCGGACAGGGAGCTTTGATTGGAGTCATCCAAAAGCGTTGCATTAGACGCACAGGGTCATGGATTCGGAGATCAAAAAGTACCGGAAAGGTGCTTGGTTTGGGTGGATAGGGTTGGAGGCCAGGGCATAGAAAAAAAAAACCCCGGCCAGTTTTGGGACCTAGAACTCTTCCTTGATGCCGTGATGTCGTGTTTAGTTGTCAAATCCGATAGTCTTCGCAGAATGCCTGCGTTCCCTCTACTTATCCTTATTCGCTCTCTTCTTCTCCTTCTCCCGCCGCATCTCCTTATTCCTCTCCTTCTTTGCCCTCTTTCTGGCCGCCTTATCCATCTTCTCTCCCTCGTCACCGTTCTTCCTCTTCTTGCTAACTTCTGCCCCATTCGCAAGGTCTGGGCCAGCAGTAGCATGCACTTCTGGCGCCTCACCTCCAGCCTGCACAAACGTATCCTGGGGTCCAATCTCGCCAACTTCAACTCCTTGCTCCTCCCTCTCGAATTCTGAAATATCTTCCCAGCCTTCCTGTTCAGCCCCCGCGCCCGCATCCACCTCCCCACCCTCCCCACTTTTCCTCTTCCCGGCCTTCTGCTTCACTCTCTCTTTCCACTCACTACTATGCTGCTGTTCCTCAGGCTCGGGTGTAGCCTCGGGCTCCAGGTACTCTCCACGCAGACCGGCGGCCACTCGCCGCAAATTGTGCATTATTACGCCGCCCATGGGGCCACCATTGGCGCTGAATGTGACGCCTGCCGGTGTTATGAGCGCATCAGGGTGCAGGTGTGGGTGCGTTTCGCTGTGCGTGAGGTACGTAGAAAGGAGTGTTGAGGCGGTTGCGAGCGAGATGGGTCGTGAGGATATGGTGCGGTTTGGGGGGAGGGTTTCTGGTACCATTTTGGGAATTTGTGTGTAAGTAGTCGAGGGGGGGGGAGGGGGAGGGGGATTTGAGCTGGAGGTTAAAGGCCAATGTGGGCGGAGGGGGGAGTCGTCGGTGGAATTTTGAAGGTCGAACTTTTTGCGCACGGACTGCATTTGATTTTCTGCGACCAACCGCGAAGCTTAGATAGGCCTCCGAGAGTTCATAACGCATCGACACCTGTTCACAAACTACGAAGCTTTAGGACTCTAGGTTGCTAGTAGAGGGCAATTTCCTGCAATTTGTCAAGATGAACGGATTCTGCTGTCTACGGATCGTCGCACGCTCATCCACAGTCACAACACAATCCACCCTCCTCAGACCATCAATTCGATCTCTTCGACCAACCCAAAGGTCCATTCTCCCTCCATTCTCCCTCCTCCTTCACTCAACCCACTAACAAACCCCCAGACCTCCCACCACAACCCCATCTCCACGCTTCCTCTCGCTCCTCCCACCCCGGCGCCCACTCCTCTCACTACAACCCTTCCCAATGCCCTCACCTGCAACCTCAACCACCAGTCCATGCATCTCCGGCGATATCCTATCCCTAACCCCGAAGATATCATCGCATCCAGGGCTTCTAGGAATGCAGATCCGATACGCGATTCGCAATACATATAATCCGAGTCACTTTGTGAGGAAGAGGAGACATGGGTTTTTGAGTCGGTTGAGGACGAGGAATGGGAGGAAGACGCTTAAGAGGAGATTGTTGAAGAAGAGGAGTACGCTGAGTCATTGAGGGGGATAGGTGCCAACGGGGAGTTTTGAATGGGGGCAGTTAACTGTCAATTAAATATTTATCCAAGAGCTCCACGGCGATGTCTTGGGGCTGCATGTATATCAAATGTACAAATGCAACGCACACTACAATATCTTATCAGCACCAACGCATTCTGGCCTCCGAGGCTCCAGTAGCGAACCTACCACACAATCCAATATAATCCAACGGCCTTGTCGTGACCCCTTCCACACGTGATCCCGTGTCTAGCTCGCCCTCAGCCGAAACTCATCCTTATCACAGCTTAACCGATCATTGACTGACCATCCAACGTCTAAGACATATCAAACCGCGTGACATCTATTTGACTAGCGGCCCAGCTCCTAACTCTGGTAATGAAGGTTTGAGTTTCAGACATGCGACCGTGATGCCCTGGTGATGATTCGAGCACTTTTAAACTTGAGGCTGAAGCTGAAACACTTACTTTCGAAGGGCTTCTTTTGTGTTTGATAGTAAGCTTGAACGGGTTTAGGGCGCTAGTCTATGATACATACGTCATGGATAGGAAAGGAGGTGAACAATTAGAAGTGAACATCACATTTCGCACGGACCAAGGATAAAACGTGTTTAATAAATAGACCCACCTGTCAGCTCACACGCAACCTTGGAATTTCTCAGAACTCTACAAGTCGTTCCAGAGTTCTCTTCAATAAAACTCTCAAGAAGGCCAATACCAACTGATCAATTGAACCACTAAACTCCACTGACTTTGCCAAAATGGCCCAACACGCACCCATGCTAACGCTTCCCCCCTCCTCCCTCCACCGCATCTCCCAAATCCAGTCAGCCAACCTCTCTCTTATATCCGCCTTCGAATCCCACCCCACCTTCTCCTCCCAACACTCTTCCCGCCAAGGGAAAATCTACTTCATGTGGGACTTCGCAAAGCGCACCGACGCGATGTTTCAATCCCTGATGCATAGCTATGCTCAGCCTGATACCCCTGCAACAAGAGGCTCGGTGCCGGATTTGCCGCCAGCGCGTATGACGGAGGAACAAAGCGGAGAATTGAAAGAGGATGTGGTAGGAAGGTGTGTTATGCTTTGGACGATGATAACGGATGGGAGTGGGAAGACAGGGGTCATGTTTGGGGAGGTAGAGGGGCAGGAGGTGGATTTGGGGGAGGATGTTAGGGCGAAGGCAGAGGTAGTTAGGCGGGTTATTTTTGAGGAGGTGTAGAGTGGTCCGATTTTCTTGAGGTGCTCATGAATCCGGGCTGGCGCCTTATAGCTTGGTCATATGTGGAAAGCGTGAGGAGGGTGCTTAGCTACTACGTCCAGATGCTTAATTTGGTATTTTGGGGCCTTACTCGGACTGTTTACCGGCGGTGGTGATTCTTAGGAAGATAGGGCTACATTGGCTAAACCAGGCTGTACTCGATCCTTATATGTCCAACCCGTGTAATTATTTGCTCCCGGTGCCCTGATCATGTCTGAGGGACTATACCTTTTGTCTAGTCGAAGAAGCGTCTCAATTCCCTGTTTTCTATGCTTCTGGTGAAGTACTTTCAGGGGCATTCCCAGTCCAATGCCAGCTCGTGGGTCACGTTCTCGACTTTAAGTTCATTTTAGAAGTCTGGAGTCGAAGCTTCGAAGTCATCGATAAGCTGCAGCTGCTCATCCACCTTGTCGATTTCCTTTAAAATGTACGCGATGCTCGCATCTCGAGCCTTGTCGTGTCTCTTCAAAAGTTCCATACTCATCGTGTTATAATCCGGCGGTTTCTTCTGTGGCGTGGGAGGAACCCGTTCCGAATTATTAAGTTTGGCAGTCTTGTCCGCAAGCAAGCCCCTAAGAACGAAAATGTTCTGATCTCTTTCATTCAAATTCTCTGCCAGTTCTCTCCTTGCGGTCTCTTCATCCTTTTTGGCAGCCTCCGCTTCAAGCCTTTGCTTCTTCGCCGTCTGCTCATTCTTAGCCTCAGCATCAACGACTTTCCACCTCCAGATGGCTTCTTTCGCGCAGTTCTCGATGTGCACAAATCGGATCGGTCCTATGTTTTGCCCACCATACCACCTTGCAACAACAACGGCACCTTCAACCTCGCAGTAGTTCAGCACATGCTCCAGTCTCTTCCCAGCCTTCTGCTCCCCGTCATCGTCATGCCCAAGGTCATACAATATCTCAGACTTCCCCATTAAAGATCTTTGACGCGATGGCTTCCTCCATGCCGCAATGCGATGGGTTGCTGATTTGAACTCAGGCAAAGCCTGCAAGGCTTTGACAGGAACTGAGTTAGAGAAGGCGGCAATAAAGACAGATTTCTGATCCTCAATGGATTCAGAGCGGAAAATTTCTAAGGAAGGAGAAGGAGAGCGTTCCCTCTTGCGCGCCATTGTTGTTGGATGCTGCAAGGCGGGATCTAGTGGAAGTGGTGACAAAGGCAATGATAAGCGGGGATACCACGCTCGGGATTCGAAAGGGAATAGTTGCCGAGAACTCTTTCGCCCTCCTGAAACCTTTCAAGCAACTCTAACATCCGATTTTATGAAGTTCTTTTCAATTACCAAAGGTGCAGAACGGCCTGGATCTTGGTCTGCTAAACTATAACAATTCTAATTCGACACATACCCCCGATTAGAAACATAGGACTTATGATTAACACATATCTTCGCAATTCTCCAGCTCCTTTATGGCATAGTTTGTCTCGAAGACTAGCAGACACGAAGTCTAAATTAGCATCAAAATGGAGTAGTTTTGACCTGTGATGCTACTTAGAGTGACAAGGTAAAAGTACGCAATACACGAGCCAAATTTCTGCATCACTCTCTCATCTTAGCAAAACAGTGACCGCGACCTGTTTCCCTAACGTACTTCATATCGAGAATTCACTTTCTTAGCACCTAACCCCGGAAATATCCAGACCTCCTCGGCTTCGTCTCCGGGACCCTTCTGCGCTTCCCTCTACCCCAATATCCCCCACCCTATTTCACTTGTTATGGCTGCCTCCACTTTAGCTAATCTTTCAACTTACGCCACAGTGTTTGTCTGCCCGAAACAAAGACTCCGAGATTCTTCATATATTAGGACCACCTTCACTTTCAAAAGGATTCCCCTCCACGTCTATAACCTTACTGTCACAGCCAATCCAATCTGAAGAAACCCAACGAAACTCTAATTGTGCTCGGTATTCTATGACTATGGTCCGATAAGATAAGCTGAGCAAAATACCAAAGACTTGGTCAACTGTATGATCCCGAGCATCGCCGCCAATTGGTATTTGCACAACGTCGTGGATGTCGTCCCCCGAGAGATCCGCATGTGAAAGTGAGACGGTGACAGGAGAGATCACAAGCTCGCTGAGCCTGAAGATGACCCATGAAACTGGGTTGCCCAGTTCCTCAAAGGCTCGGTCATGATTTCTCCCTTGCCGAAGGGGAATCTATCCGTATTCCAAGAAGATCTGAAGTGGGTGGTTGAAAAGAACGGCGAGAATGGCGACAACCATCCATGGCCTACACTCTAGGATATCAAGTAGCTCAAGGAGAAGTATGAAGCAGCGGAGGAGGCCTCTTCCATGCCAGCTCGCCCGGCAAGCTAAAGGAGTTTTTCCGAGCAAGGTTCATCAGATGATTCTTTCGTTGCACCGCGGAAAGAAGTCCAAGGTACTCATGAACGGACATGGTCGTAATCATGAGGGTAAGCGCCGACGAAATCTTGGCCCATATCCAAGGCGACAAAGGCGTAAGTGGGAAAATTTCCTATTCCAAAAGAATGAAAAACATATTGTTCATCACTAGTTTTTCTTCTAGAGTCTTCTCCGCAGTCCAGAAAGAAGTCAGAAAGCGCCGTGGTGCGGAAAATGACGACGGCAACTCCACTGCTTATCATGGTCATGTTCTGGATATCTCCTCTCCATACTTCAATCCAAAGTACAGTCTACGAAACGGCATTCAAACGAAGACTGGGAGGGAGAGGCCGATAGACGACAACATTAATGTCATGTCAGTCCGCCGCCTTTGCTACCCCGTCCGTTTCCAGTTCACTACATCCATCACCCTCCCGATTCAATAGTCGGGTACCTGTCCGACACAGTGCTTCTCCTTATAATGGTACTGAGATTCGATATAGGATGGACGAGGATGTCAGAGATCGCATCATCTACGGACTTCAGGTCAAAGTGGAGGTTGCAGAGGCTGAACTGAAGGCTGCCAAGTTGCGACTCCGACTTGAGTTCGAGCAGTGAAGGACTGCTACCGGCGTCGATTGTATGGGCACTAGGGATGAACCACACGTCCTTAAGTAGAGGCGGAAGTGGTGATGCAGGTGGTGCCGGTGGTGCCAATGGGAATGGCCTGTAGAGTTCGAGGAGACTTCCTGGGCCTGCATTGATTTACATCCGTGGGAATGATTCTTGGTCACGAAAACGGGGCTGCATGGCTTCTTCGTTTGAGGACGCAGATGGGTGAAGAGTTCGTAATGTGTGCTTCTCGATGAGTTCGACAACATGACTCTGGATGGGCGTATTGAATGTGCCAAGGCGATTCAACGGTATAGAAAGGCATTCTTGACTCCAATTTTCAATTCCTTGACTTCATGGACTTGCCGTTTCCTTTATTTATCGGTCCCTTATCCTTCCGAGATGACATCGTATCCTGCAGGGGAAGCTCGGCCTAGCGACACCCTCTTGCACGAGGAAGCGCCAGCCTCTCGTTGTTCGTATTTCGCGTTCTCATCATGCTTTTTGATTGCACACCCTGGTTTTCGAACGGTCCGTAACATCACCCCTTGTCTCAAATTCCAGATGGCAGTTCTCCCATTCGTCCAATCCGTCCATTTTCGGCAAAAACGGATATGGCGTTCGACCCGTCAGGTGAAATTTTCCCTTTTTATCTCTAAAATGTACGACAGGACCGGGCTGTCAGCACACTTGCATGAACAAGCGAGTTTGGCGTTGAGGCGTCACTCAGCTGAACCTTCGACGAGGGGGCTTATTTCGAGGTCTCTCCTCTTTCCATTTCCCTTCACTCTTTCGTCACTCGTTTTAATCAAGTCGCTCTTTATTGTAAACTTTGCAATGCGCTCCCAACTTCTGTCATTCTCTTGCGCATTAGTAGGTAATTACCTATTTTGGAGAGTTGATGCATCATGGTGAGTAGCCAATCAGGTGCCATTGCTGGATTTGAATTGATTCTTCAAGTTACTATCCCAATGGAGATTTTCCTTCCGACTATGTTTACGCGCCCTGCTCGGACAATGAAAATGCGACTTGCTGTATGCTGGGCGAAGGAGATCAGTGTCTATCGAACGGTTTGTTAAACCCTTGCATTTAACAAAGTACCTTGCTCACACACTACTCTAGGCCTATGCTACAGCCCAATCTCACAGTACATGTTTCGAGGTGGTTGTACAGACAAGTCTTGGAATAGTCCAAATTGCTTTCAGCACTGTAAGACCGGAGGTAAATACTTCTCAATGATCTGGCTGGATAAAATTGGCTGACGATTGACAGAATGGTCATCCGGATCCTACGACCAACTCGTTCCATGCGGCGGCGACAAATACTGTTGCTATTCGGACGGAAGTACATGCTGCAATGATGACTCCAAGGTCTTCACCGTCGGGACCGGAACAGTGATAAAAGACTTCTCCAGCACCGCTTCATACACGCTTCCCATAGAAACTCCTGAGGGTACGGCCCATCCAAGCTCCGCTGCGAACGCCAAAACCACAGGCTCGAAAGGAACAGGTGCGCAACCTACAGGCTCGAGAGCTACGAACTCCGCCGCTGCAGCAACATCAACCAGTCAAGCCGCAGAACAAACGGACCCCCATACCCACGGCGTTTCTAAGACCGCCGTGTTAGCCGGCGCTATTGGGGGAGTTGTCATTCTGATCCTCGCTATCGCCCTAGTATGGTTCCTCGTGCGACGTCGCTACCGCAAGAAACTGGCTGCTGGCTCCAATGGACAGGGCTTCCCATTGTCCAGCGGCGACGGCTTTCAGAAACTCCCTGATAAGAGTCCACGACCTGTCGAGGTCCCCGCACCCTTGCACCCACCTCCACCCCCACAGTACCAGCCTCCCGCATACCAAACCCCGCCCCCGCAGCATAATGCGGTCGAGATTGATAACTCATATCTCCCGCCAGGAAGGAACCAGTATGGACAGCCAGTGTATGAAGCCCCAGCTCAGCCATACAGGCATATCTAGTCTGTCGGATCCGCTTTCAGGACTTCACATGCATTGCATGCTGGCACAATTTGCGGCGCATTCCAAATGAATTCCCCATCCCCTCAAGTCCCTTTTTGGATTCAGAGAGACAGCCAATTAGATGCTGTTTTGTGCCTATTCCCGCCCCGATTATGGCCGATTATGTGCACACAATCTTCGCGGGGACCTTTCTTGTTTTGGGTCACGACTTCTAGGTTAGGGGGAGGTATTGTATACGGCGTTTTGGGAGGGTGGAGCGCGTCATTGAGATATCTACACTGTGTAAACCTTGGAGGGTATCATTTGCGATGCCTAGATGAGCCAGCTGGTTGGAATGGATATATATCCAATATAAATACCAGAAATGAAGTTAAGATAGATATTCGATCATACCATGTTTACGCCCCATGCTAACTACCTCCACTTCCAAGTAATGCAAGATCAATATCTTATTATCAGTATATTAGAGGGTCTCTAATCGCACTTGCAGCCGCGAGGATGCTTAAAGAAGGGGTACTTACCGCATTTGGTCACCAGGATGGGATTTTGAAACTGGCCGCCTACGAAAGAGCCCCCCTACCGCCGCCTGACCATTTCTTAAACTTAAATATAGGGCTCAAATTGTTCCATACCTTGGCCGTGTTGCTGTATCTGCGGCGGTGGGAAATATTCGAAAAGGGGAGGTGACAGTATCAAAGGGTTAACGCTTTAGGAAGTCAGCATCCACAATGCAGACATCCGGCTAACATCAGCCTTGCAGACTCATGGGGTTTGCATTGCTCTTTCTCCTGTACTCGTCTTCCTTCTCTAATAGCATCTCCTACAGAGAAAAAAAAACTTCGAAGAAATCGTTAAAACGTATGAGTTTTAAAGAATTTTGGCATGCTGGTACAAGAAGGCCGACTCGGATTTCTTGGATTCGTTCTCAACTAATTGAATGGTTCGCATGACGGGTTTTGGCGAGGAACTGGTGCCTACAACCAGGCCAAATATCATGAAGGCTTCATGGCTGAGAGATACTGGACTCTACATACAAAGACTCACAAGAAATTAGAGCAGCGCGAAAGTCCAGTGGGGTAGAGGCTATCTCCAGTTAAGTTCAGTGTCGGCCTGGGACCGTGCATGCTTGCCAGCTTGAGTGGCGATACGAGAATCAGTAGTGGGTCCTTTGAACGGTTGCCAAGAAACCTCGAGGTAAAAGGTACTTCCTTTTCTGATATTGCAGATCCATCCGCTTCATTCACTGCCTTTCCATTTTATGCTCATTCATTATTCTTGTTTTTCTCTTTTGTCCTGAATCTTAACTGCTCATCGTGGACTTTCTAATCTCTCTTTAATTACATTATTGATGCCGATTATTAGCTCCCTTGTAGGTTGTCCTAGTCAAGTACCTCATGACAAGGTTGCCACATCTGATCAGAGAACAGGTACTTAAGGTATCATCAAATACGTGTCTAGGTACCCAACTCTTAATTAAGAAAAGATAGTTCAGCTAACAGCAATATTAAAACTGAAGCCGTTCCCTCCAAACCACATCTGCAATAATATATATTAATTCTTAGTCTCCAACTATCCACCGCTACGAGCACTACAAAATTTGCTATAGGCTTGGCCAAACAAGCCTAAACCCTGCATCTTACTTTTCTCCTACCCTAAATATATATATATATTGTTTGCGATACTCGCAGTTCCTTTCATCCCATCTTCCTATGAAATATCCGGAATTAGTGTTGAGAGGTGAGCCACAGTTGAAAGCAGTGCGCTCAAAAAAATAAGGAGGTGTAGTTCGATGACGCATCCGAGTTTGATAGGTCGGAAATGAATCACCTTCGGCAAAGCACTCTTTCCAGAATGAAGTGACCCGAAGTTGGTGAGCCTCATTCTTGCTCGGCCTTGGTGCATATGTATTAAACTCGTCGATTTGAAAATGTATAGGCGAAGCATACTTATACCTAGCATTGTGTAAGTGGAAGGCTAAAATCATCTAAAACCATGCACCCAAGATAACGTTCCATTAACTCTCCCTCTCTATTAAGTGTGGGGGTGGGGTTCCTCCATTCCTATGAGGAGCAGCTACGATTGCCCATTGAGGTGTTCCCGATGGGCGTACTCTCAAGTACAGTGAGTCCCTGTTCCGAAGATTCGTCAGCTTCCAAAACTCTCATATCCAATGCACTAGAAAGAACACGATCGGTGTGTGATTAGGCGAAACCGAATAGCCCGTCCCGGGGAACTCTTTTGACGTTGTACCTTAGGTCTAGTCCCTAATTCCATGATCATCTATGTGGAATGGCGAAGCTTCGTCACCTCCACATTCCTCTCTCTTCCACCATTCATTTATCTAAACTCGCGTGATATTTTTGTTCATTTGTTTCAACTAGCTATAATTCACGTACAGTTTCAGACACTCTTCTGACCCAAGTGCTGAAAAAGGATATCATTAGATCTAATCATTTTTGCTTACTGCCGCTCAATACAATTATCTTCTGCGTTTCGCCACCCCGCAAATAATACACCACTGCCCTTTTTTTCCTACGCTGTAATCATGATTATCTTTATTATAAGCGTCTAGTGTTTATTTGGCTGTTTGATGATCCTATAACACTAGACAAGTTAGCATGTCTTTGGACGTTTCTGAGTGAAGATATAAGTCATGCGAGCAAAAAATATATCCATCAATGGGAACCGTACTCCAATTTTCAAGGTCTTGTAAGTAATACTAGATAATAAATTATGTTGCAGTCACTACATTGGGGTGTCTCTCACGACGATCGTCAGGGTGGTGCAAAAGAAAGAAGAGTGCGCCAAAACCCGGCACTATAACACCCACCACACCATTCGTGCAACAGAAAAGGTTGAAGGCACAAGAAATCTTCCCGTCACGCGGAGTCGAACCCCGGCCTTGTGAACGGTCGAAATGAGAGTCACAAATCCTAACCGCTAGATCATAACGGATTAGTTTCTCGTGTTAGATCAGTAAGTTGTCAGGAAATTTTCAATATATAGTAGAATATTTTCAAGAAGTGTAGTAGAAGGCGGTATAGTGAGGGAAAGAAGCAGAGGGCGGTGACTCCACAAGGCAATCACTGAGAGTCAAAGGCAAAAGAAGAAGCTATGGGTGGCAAGCATGAACAAAGAGCTTGAAGTTTCTTATGGCTGAAAAGATAGTAGGAATGACACCTTCCGTGTCGAATCTTCTAACTTTAACCTGACTTTTTATGATAGCCAATGGGATAAATATCACTCGAGATGGTCGATGCCATCACAGATGCTCTCAACCCTGATAGCTTTTCTTTCCGGGACACTTAAACCACACTGCACTCGCATCTTGTAACGGAGGTTGGCCGCAGATTTCGCCAATCGCTCTTCTAATAGCCGCTCTTACTTCGTAATATGCGCACCGGGCGCTCTTGAACTCTAGACATGTCCTGCTTCTGGTAGAAATAGACAAGCAATCGCAAGAGCAGTACTACCAAATGTAGATGCACTTATTTTTGACAGTAGATATGTTAGCAACGTGATTACAATGCACATGGCTTCTTCATAACGACAATGCGGCGCCTCACGAGTAACTGAAACGGAGCTTCAGGTGGCCCAGCAGTTGGTGTACCAGTTTCGGCCGGAGGATGAACGGTTCCACCCCTTGTTGCTGTGAATAAAGCCGAGTACCCTCCGTAGGAAACCTCGTTCATTCCTGGACTGTAAGAACTCAATTTGTCGGATGCTGTCGGATATTCTCGACTATAAGCCTTGTGCTTCGATGCCTGTGAAACACTCGGGGCATTCTAAGAGGATGATCTTTCCGAAACAGATACTCATTCCAGTGGAAGTGAATACGTATGTGATAGATCCATGATGTGGATAGTCGTACAAAGTCAGGATACCATGAAAAATAGCTATCATGAGTAGCTTGGTAATAGATCAGGAAGTGGGGCAGAATAAGAGTTGCAGATGGCAACAGGTGGTTGCAAATCGAAGGCGGCCTGAGACAAATTATGCCCGTATATCTATTTCACGGCGCATTCCATATGCTGCTCCTCTTACAGTAGTAAGCATTATACGTCATGCCATCATATCTCACGACGGGAGCATAGGTCACGCGTAGAAAATTGCACATGAAGAAGCCCCAAATCCTGAAACCCGCTCAAATTAGTCTAGTTAATGAATAAATACGCACTTCCAGACCCTTCCAACTTAAGATTTCGGTGAGGAGCCTCGTGATTGTTGGTCATGTAACCAACCAAGCAGTTCAGAGCCATGAATTCAACCGGCCACAATAAACGAAGTCATTACGGGTCCGGAAGCAGATAATCCTTATGGAGTGTTCTTATTGAGATCCGTAATTGCCGGAGAGGGAATGAACATCTGGCAATACTAGATAAGGATGCTGTCGCCCTGTTGGGCATAACGGATGTCAGTGCCTTACACGAGGTACCTTCTCCTGTTAGATGTAAGCTTAAAGCATTTACTAATCTTACTTGTTTTCTAATATTGGTAACAGATATTAGGTTTAGTAAATTAATTTTTAATGGCTTTTAACTCGATTATTTGTTTACATGAGAGTCCAGAGACTTCTCGACTTCTCACTAAACCCTTTGCTCGTACGGTCTATGGAGCTATGCGAGCCAAGGGATAGATATCCGTTTAGTCTTAAATCCTTTTACAAGTCCTTCAGTGTGGCCGAGTAAAGTAGTTATTGGAACAACTAACTCACAACCGATCTGTTTGGTGTTAATACATACTCACTCACACTTGTCGCGTAGATAGAAATTAGAGGTTGGAATTACGGTAATAATTGCTATTTTTGATTGGTGGAGTCCACAATAAGTTCTTCCCGTCAAGTTGATCAAGTTGTACTATCTATAGACATCTGTACAAAGTATCAAAGGACCATCCAAACACCACAGCGCTAAGTGAGAAAAGCGCCTTGAGATTGTTGGTCTTAGAATGTAGACGGATCAAATAGATAAAGACAAGCTGTAGCGCGTGAGGTCATACTGTTGCAACGCATTACAAGGTTTCAAACCCAGTCTGACAAAGCAGGCTACCATCAGTAGTAAGCTCATCAATCTGATATACTATTTGGAATTACTGAGATAAGAACGCAAAGACGTGAGCAAGTATATGACGCTGAGTAGCAAAAAGCCGAACCGAAAAGAACAAGGAGAAATTTTGGCAGCTTACTCCTGTACCGGGGTGTCCGCACGATCTTGCCCAACCTGTACTGCGGGAGTGAGTCCAAGCAGACTCATTCCATTCTCCAGAACTTGTCGAGTGGCTTCATACAATGCAGCTTCAGCAGGTGTTACATTGTTTTTGGCCTCTTCAAAGCAAAACGCCAATTGCTCGGTGACACTGACAAGATAGGCCATGATTGTTGCCGGCTCAAGGGATCTGTAGGCTGCATGGGTGACATCAGGATACTGGGCTAGAACGCGCAAAAGGTTGGCATGGTCTTCCTCAGCAAGAGAATCATAATCCTCAGTAGAAAGTTTGGCATTCCCAGGTTGCTGCTTCAGAATGGAGCACAGCTTGGCATACCAGTATTGGAGGTCCGGGCCTGTACCGGGTTTAAAGGATGTCATCCCGCTAATGTCGAAAGGATGCTCATTTCCCCTTCTTGCGGACAACTCTTGTGCTAGAAGCGCATTGATACCCATTCTCTTCGCAGCCTCACCTAAATCCCCGAGCAGTTGGGCTTTTTCTTCTTCAGCCTTCAGTGACTCCAGCATTGCGAGTTGGCATTGGTCGATAATCTCGTTTGGCTGGTATTCGGCCCCTAATTTCTCCTTCATCTTCGAAACCTCACTGAAGTTGACGTGTTGCACTTTGTTGGCGAGCCCAGGCATATCTAAAAGCTCCAGTATCTTGCACACACGCGAAAAGTGAACGTTGTGATCGGCGGCCACCACGAATATCATCTTTTCGAACTCGAATTTTCTTGACCGCTCGAGCACAGCTGCAAGGTCCCGGAGGAGATAAGTGCTACTTCCAGAAGAGCGGTCTCGAATGATCCCAGCACCTGATTTCATGCCGTGTTTCCTCAGGTCAATTAACAAAGCGCCATCCTTCTCTTCACAAATCCCCTTGTCCTTCAACAACTTCTCAATTTCATTCATCGTATCCTCGCTTACTTGTGATTCCCCAGAATACTCGTCGAAGCTGATTCCCAATCGGGCGTAGAGTTGCGTATAGTAGTTGATGTTGAGATCGCGGACCCGCTTGGAAAACGCAAAAGCTTCCTCATTCTTGTCTTCCATTTTCTTGAAGAACGCGTTTCGCTCCGCGTATAGCCCCTGATTCTCGAGCTCGGCAGTGTCTCCTTTCTCATCGCGAATTCTCTTGTGCTCTGCTTCTTCTGGGGCAAACTCTTCGGTAATTTTGTGGTTCACTTGGAGGAGATGCCCGATGGGATCCACCTGAAGCGCTTCTTCAGAACCAAACTTCTCAAACCCAACCCCCAACAACCCGATCGGCTTACCCCAATCGCCGAGGTAATTGATCTTGGTGACATCCCATCCCATAATCTGATGCATCTTACTTATACATGCTCCAATAATAGTACTCCGCAGATGCTTGCCTTCAAAGTCTTTCGTGATGGTCGGGGAGGAGAATTCAATGACGAGCCTTTTGCGGCCACTCTCGGGGAGGAGAGAATCGTTTAGGCCGATATTTAAGTCGCAGCCATATGCTTCCTTTCGGTCACTGATGAATGGAAGTAGGAGACGAGGGAGTGTTTCAGGCATGAGCATGATCCGAAGGTGAACACCATCTAGGAACGGAAGTCCGAAAAGGGGACATGGCGGGAACTGGAAATATTTGCCTTGTAAGCTCCATTCAAATATGCCACGAGAATCCCATATGCTTGGTAAGAGGCAAATGTGTGCTCACCTTCTTTTGGAGATCGAAACCGAGCTCGTTAACCTTGGCACCAGGACAAAGCCTTGGGAGGATGATCACCAAATCTCCGTTTTCAAGATTATTGGATGGTTGAATGGAGTTATAAGCGACTGTAGGGTCGCATTCAATAAGGCTGCAGAGAATTTCCGCAAGATAGGAGCGGCAGATGTCGAGTGGGTTGTCAAGGACATTAGCAGCATCGAATTGTGGCAATGGAACGTTCAAGTCCAGCCCTCCAAGAGAGCTTTCAAGATCTGCAGTACTGAGAGTCGGCATTGTGTCCGAAAGTCTTGTTCGCTATCTGTAGCGTCGATGTACAAAAGATGAGCTTTGCTAGTTAAGTGAAATACGACTTCTAGCTGGACGTGATAGCTAAAAGGGCGTCAAGCATGTCATCTGACACCGTGCAGGTGGGCGGTAAGAATACTGGGTACCTGATAGGCCTATTGCTTAAGTGGAAGAGTCCGTAAAGTGAAGGCCCACCATCGAATTTCAGCCTCACCCAAACGTGAGGTGCCACGCTGTTCAGGCATCAGCCCTCGTGGTTTCCTGGGATTGGCTATACGTCTCTGCTCGTGTATCAACGAGCTGCGGCCGGGAGTACATTCATGCATTTCTATCAACTCGGACAATTGATTCAAGATTCGTGACAATTGGTTGCCCTCCTCTGCAAGTCTCTTTTTCATGCTGACACAGGCACCATTCGCCTTGGGGATTAGAATCGGTCTCAATATGCGCAATACAAATTAAATGACCCTTGCGGTGCTAATACTATATCTCCTAGTGCCTTTGTAATTTTATCGTAACTTATTAACCATGAACCATGAAGTTGGTCGTGATCATCGTAGAATTCATCTCAGGAAACAGAAAAAGTCATGAAAAAATTGCAAAACGAATGAAAAATGTTCTCGAGTGTGGATTGTTGATAAGAAAATGGTGTCGGAAAAACTGCTAGAACTATAACATGTGAAGTAAGGCGAGGATCGGCGTTATGTCGTATTTTCTTAAAAAGTAGGCTGCGCTTCGCTACTTATCAATTCAAGAATGTCGGTGATTGTATAGAAATGATACAGCAGAGGTATGGCGTCCTCGAGGTCTCAAAGTGATATCCAAGATCAGAGCTCAAACGACATACATGCTGGGTTCTTGGGATAATTAGCAGAGCTCTAAATCACTTCTCAAAGGATACTACTCACGGATGTCCGTATTCGGGCGTTCGGTTGATGCCAATGGTATGGGACTTATGGATTCAATAGCTGTCCTTAGCCACCAGGGCCACCGGGACTGCTGAGCGAGACTAGTCCGAGCGATAATAACCCCATAATTATAAAGCTTTAAGGCGATGAATAAGGTTATAATGCAGATGAAGAAGGTTTTCTGGTTTCGATCGAACGAGAAAATCTGCTGCTGTGTGCTGAAATAGGCTATGACGAGTACGGGAGGGATTGTGAGTTGATTTGTCTGAGGTATTTAGCTATGGCATCGAATGAACTAGATAGATTAACTGACCGAAAGAGTGAGTGCTGCAGTTTGATTCGTGAGTTGCGCGGTTTTCTGGCTCTCCAGCGCCACCCGATTGTTCTCCAAGGTCACTTCTTGGGTATTGTGATTCAATCGCACGGTTTGAAGATTTAAGTCATAGCTTTTGAGATTCAGTCGAAGAGTGAGCTTCAAGGGTTAGAGTAGACGACCTTCTTAAGTGTACTTGACAAGGGACTCACGAGTCTCTCAGATCCCGAGCACGATTCCGCTAGAGAGTCCAAATCTTTCTCTTGATCCACTAACCGCTCGAAAGTTTTGATGATGTTATTGAGTGATTTTCTTGCCGCGGGTTTCGACATATTTGAGAAGTAGCGGATATCTCCAGTGGGGGCAGCGAATCTTTTCCAAGCTTGAATAGTAGTAGAGAGTTGCTCTCGAAGCTTCTTGAGTAGTTGCATTGTTTGAATATTCTGATACAGAGCTTCCTGCACGTCTCTAGGAAGCTCCTTTGAAGGTCCGGGGGATAGAAACGCGGGATGAGTTTTTTCCTAATGACTTTGTCAGACGTTGAAGCTATTTTAAAATATATTTTGACTAATAGAGGAGGGAGATCGTACATATCGTTTCACACTTCTCTGTACTTTTCGAACAAGATGTATCCATTCTCTGAAGATTTGGGTCATCCGGCGTTCGACCATGAGTAGGAAATACTCTCTAGGGTCCCATATTGGTTTGTCAGCGTCGACTACCCATCCTGTCGAACATTCGCCGTCGTCGGCAATTGGATCTTCGTTCAATTCATCTAGCTCTTCTTCCTCGAAAATACCGTCGTCGTCAGTAGGGTTATCATCAAACTCGGTGTCCACAAAAGCATAGGTCACCCATCTCGAGTTGTCCGAGCCGCACGCTACAATGGAGATTTGCGCCTCATGAATGACATATGAACATGGGACTTGCCCTTGGATTGCTGGGATATTCAGAAAGGACACATCCATTCGTCCTCGTTCCGTTTTGTGTATCCTAGTTGTTGGCTCTTTATTGGGTGGTGTATGGTATTGCCTCAAAGCCAGGTACGGAAGTTGAAACACCAACTCAAATACAGGAAATCCGATACGCTAATAGGAGTGTGAGTAGGAGAGTCTAAATTACTCACAGCTACCGTCCCCTTGATTTTAGGATACCAAATGTCTCAACATACCGGAGTCTTCACACAGAGCGATGTTTGAAGGGCTATGTGTTTCCAAATCGCGTCTCTTAGCACTGGCACCTGACGCCAAGACGCAGACTCGGCAAGAGTACGAACGCATTCCGCGTCTAGGTCAGAAATATAGCTACAAGCTGTCAGCTTCCACAGTTCGACGTTTTGAAGAAAAGTAAATCTTGAGTGGAGCACTAGAACCCACCACCTCAAACACGAGGGAACACTTGGAGAGTTGCATTGGGACGGGCTCACATTAAACGTCGGTCAGCATCGGGGGTGCCGTCAAGATCAAATCGCTAGTTTATATTAATTTGAGAACTTCTAAGCGGAGCCATTTTCAAATGACGTGCAGTCACATACCTTACGTGCCAACGCGTGTCCCAAGTCCGTTGCGGTCAGCCGTTTTGCGTACTTTCGAGAAAATCCAGTAGATTTCTCTCGGTCATCTAACCAGATTTTTGGCCCTCCAGATGATGTGCCCTCACAGAATTCTTTTACCTCTTCGATTTCGCAGGAAGGCACGGGACCTTCATAATCCTGGAGGAAGATGTCCAGATTATCCCCGCAAGCCTCATGCCCTTCCGACTGTAAGGTGTCTCTTTTAGACTGAACATAGGAGCTATCCTCTTTGAATTGTTGATGGGACAGGCGGTTCGAAAAGAGAGTATCCAATTGCTTCTCCTTGTCCTTGGGTTTCGAGTGAACGCTCCGGACCTTGCGCTTCATATGAACGATTCGAGCGTTGCGGTTCAGGCAAATAGTTCGGATTTTATGCTTCAGATGAATGGTGCTTCTGCGGGATTTCATGGCCTTTAAATATAGTGTAGGGATTTCTAGATCAATCGATGCAGCAATAGGCCCGAGCTACTCTAGAGTTCCCGTGACCAGTGCCAGCAGAAGGTAGAACTCCGTTCGGATGGACAAGGAGCCGCGGAGATTTGATCTCTCTGGCTTTGGGGCTCAACAGTTGGTAACGGCGTTTAAAAGCCAATGCTTGAGTTTTGGTTGGGTGGGGGTTTACCTACAAAAGTCAGCTTGTCAATAGGGTGGACTTGGACGAAAGGCTTACTTTCAAAAGTATCAAGAGGGGGAAGCCGTGTCACTAAGTGGTTAGGTTTAAGACTCATTATCGGCTTCAGGCTCCGGATAGCAGATCCGATTGCTCACACCAGTGTGAAGAGTAGTGGAGAGCACGGCAATTAGGACGGCATTCATTTGCTGAGGGGCGCAGCCGAATATCGGAATCCAGGAGGCGGTGTACGATGGTCGAAGGAGGTGGAATTGGTAGGATTCTGGATAATTCTGGAATTATCCTGGTTTGCTAGCAGTGCCATCATGTCATGGCCTATAATATATCCTCCGGCCTCTTAGATTGACGCTTTTCAACACCATCCTGTATACCGAGTGTGATAGATGCCGTTGTGGTCTCGTATTGCCTCTTTTCCTGCGGGCACAATTGCATCCACGCACCGAGAACACGTAGTGGTGTCGTTAGGCTTTCCGTTGGGCTTTGTTTAGGATGGCTGCGTTGAAGCTTCCACTTATACATTGACAGCTGTATGGGAATCGCTCTCGAATTTGATACGGCGGTCAGCTGGTCTCTTCGGATTCGCTAGATGAAATATGAAGCGGAAGCTCACCAAATAGAATGATATATCCTGAGTAGAACGGGAGTGCAAGGCAAACCTCAGCCTTGTCTGTTAGCGCTAGATCGGGCGCTTAGGCGGACACGCGTCACTGTGCATGAGGCCTGCATGAGGGACTCGAGGCTGGCACATTTGGACACTCGTGCGGAATTGTATCTGAGTAGAATGTACCAAATCTCATTTCGCTGCGCGGTGTATTTCGTGTTAGAGTATTTTCTCCAGGTGTGGTTACCTGAAACATCCAGAAGTATTGCCCTTACTTGGGAAGGTGCATATTTCATATTTAGTTTTCGGTTTCCCTCGCTTTAGCCCATTTCTTGGGCCCAGAGTTTCTTGACCGAATCAGAGGGATTTGATGGCTGAGCCGATAGGTCAGGTAATGCTCAGCCGCAGGCCCATCCGGCCGGTTGTTGTGCCGTGTAGCAGCACTGCCGTGTATTCTGAAGGGTTCTGGAAGAGGTGCAGAGGAACCAACGATCCTAAGACACGTTGACTTCGTAGGAGTCATTCAGTTTTGCTGCGCCTATTCCTAAGTTATCGCCAACAAGGACGTGGGCTCGGTTTGAATCGGAAACAGTTAAAGACGGCCGGCCGCGGATCAAACTCCTAGGTTGTCGTTTTAATACCTATTTCCGTCGTTCAGGATGCCCATAAAAAATTATCAAGGTGTACAATTACTACCTTTCCTATCTCGATTACATCGCAAAGCGACAACAGAGTCCTTAGCTACAAAATAATTAGGAAGAGAAGTTCGATTATACTAGATCCCTACTTCTGTATAAAGAGAGGTAAAAGGTGGCATTTTTTAGCTGATGGCATATCTTTTCTGTGACCAAATAGCAAGAACTGAGATGAGGTCCCTTCGAAGTACGCTACTCAAGTACAGATAAGCATGTTACAATAGGCAATACAAAGGGGAGTGGTGTACAGATTAGTCAGATTTTCGAGTGCGAAAGGCAAGAAATAGATATAATGAACGGCAGGAAACCAAAGAAATTTGAGAATTAAATAGTAGTTTTATGTACGTTTTAGGGAAGACGACCACCCGACAAAAATGGGTATATGGCTGATCACAACACAACAAACAACAAGACTCCGTACCTTTTAGAGATGAGGCGACAAGAAACAAGAAGGAGGCCTCAACATATGAACTGGCTAAATCCGGAAATGGGATTTAATTCAAACTCTAGTGTTGAAAGAGTCCTCCTGTTTTTGGACTCGCCTGGTATTAATCATGCCAGCTCTGGGTAAAATTTGGAGACTTTCCAGATGGTGCTGTAGGTTCGGACAAGGTTGACAAGTTCATCGGACTTGAACGCGAGTAGTCTGGCAGTATGCGCAACGTGTAGTACCGCAATGAGGGCAGGCGTTGGCCCTTATAGGGATCGAGGAGCATCCGCACGTACACTGGATGGAAGAAAGGATTAGCGGGAATGTTCTTGTGAGGTCCTGGGGTTCCTCTTACACATTGCCAGATATACGTGTGCTTCTTCTTCGCCTATAGAGAGAATACTTAGCAAGATGATTTCTTTATTTACGGCGGTCTAGGCTCCAGCGTGGAATAGGAAAAAAGGCTCACCAAAAGCTGGATGGGTACATTAGGGGGCCTGGCAGATTGCAAGGTAGTTTCGGCTGGAAGGAACGTTTCGGTAACGCCCGCGTGCGTTTTCGCATATGCAGGTGTTCCACATGACGGTCCTGAGGGGACGCTCCATCGATGGTGGTTCATTCTAAACTATAAAATCAGTATACTCCCTGACCCAAATTCCCAACCTTCGTACCGTAATTACCCCAGCTTTTAGCGGCTTGCTCGGTATCCAGTGTTGCTTGGAGCGATATCCCTTCACAACACTCCTCACTCCTTTTGGGCGTGAAGCTTATAGCCGAGAGTAGACGGTGCCGGCATTAACACTAATTCCGCCCCCCCCTATTCGCCGTATTCAGTTATCGAAACTATCAGCACATTTACAACGCTTATGTTCTCCTTTCAAAGCCTCAATGTCGACGCGTATATAGAATGAAGGCGATTACGAGGGTCGCGTGCGATGGCAGGGTAAGGGAAGAGTCGGATAGGATGTCTGTACGTATTCGATAGGAAATTTGGGGGATTTCGCGATGTAGGTGGTGGCGGACTGGCAGGGATCGACCAAATGGATTTGTTTGTTAGCGGATTGACACTTGCAACATTCTGTTTTGTTACAATTTTGTTAGCTAGCTAATCAATTTAGTGCGCCAGAACACTATCTGTATAACGCTGGAGGACCTACTGCTTGACGCGATCGTGTCCCCAAGTGTCCCCAAGTACTAAGCTAACCAGATAAGCGATTGAAAAAGGACTGCAATGTTCGCGATAGCTAACTAGAATTAGTTGGAAAGGACCGCCCTGTAAACGTAAGGAGAGAAAGTGAGTTGCTGTTTTAAGGAAAAAAATATTCGGAAGAAAGAAAAGCCCGAACGGCTAAAGCCGCTAGGATGCCTACCTTCCGCTCCCAGAAGACGCGGCCCAGCACCGGTTTCTGACAATCGTTGTACAAATACACTCACCATACACAGAGTATATATACGAGATATCACCAGACATCACCTGTTCTTCACCACTAGATCCATTGCTCCATCGCTTCTTGCGGTCATCCTTCTCCCATGCACTCGGACGCAGGACCCCTAGTAATGTAACTGGTAAAACGAATTTCGATGCCCTTCTTGACGCATGTATACAAAGCCGCCCTTTTTGTTGTATTGTGTCTCCATCAAGCCCGTCGTGCGAACCCAGGGTCGATTCCACGTCAGAGGCCCGTCGTCGCGGGACGGCCAGCAGATGCTATTATATGCTTGACCAACAGATCCACGAGGTGCTCGAATCGGGTGATATTTGCACGTTGGAAAGTGTCAGATACGCAGTCGTTGTTATTGAATGTTTTATATTGGTGCCTAGACGGATGGGTCGGGATATCGACGATGTTCGAGAGGAGCTGGGCCATGAAAGATGAGATCGAGCACATGCAAGAGCTTTCTTCTAATTCGAAAGAGTAGGTGACATCTCATCTCTCCAGACATTCTGGGAGTGAATGATTGCTACGGTTGAGGCGGGCATGCCGTCTGGAGCTGGATTGTGAGTACAAGCTAGTGGCGCTGGCACCAGCTGGTCACATGCCACTGCCAGCTGGATCCCCGCCTTGTCGTACTTCGACGACTGGCTCGCTCCTTTGTGGACCTAGTCGCTTCAAACACTGATTCAATTTGTTGCATGAGGTCTCTGGTTAATACTACTACTATTACGTCCGCGCTAATACGCTATTCCAACGAAGTTCATCAAACCAGAAGTGATCTCTTATCATATTACACACCCCTTCCATGCGCTTGCATCAGGTTCCGGTCGGTGCTTAAACTGATTTATTGGTATCTGCGGAGTACCCAGTGGTTAGATGAGTCTTGAGTATTTCCTCGTATGAGCTGACTTACTTGTTCCTCGCTTTGCGGGTAGAACGGCTCCTAGTCCACGAAAAGGCACAGCGTCAGAACTTTTTCTCTTCATCTGCCTTGGCGTGCTCGGAGACTCAGAAACATGAACAGTCGTACAAAAGGAATTAAGAGAATGATGCTCGAATGTCCTGGAGTCTTGCCTGAACGACGTCGCCCTTGGAGGAATACCAGAGAACGCAATTACTAGAGCTACGGGAGATATGATCTTAGAGACGTTAGCTCAAAGGGAAGATCTGGACATGGTTCGGTCGTACTGGAAGGGTAAGTCCTGCCACTAAGCTATTATCCTGGGCTGTCTGACAGGCATCCAGTAATAGGTCGATGTTTTCTGGATTCGCTCTGTTGTTTTCCTTGTAAAGGAGATTGCCTTCGACGAACAAAGTATTGCTTTCAAGGATCAGTTTGCTGTTTTCCGCAATTTGTTTATTGCCCTCGCGGGTTAAGAGGTTGCTCTCAAGACTAGCCTGATTGCTTTCACGGATTAATTGGTTGTTTTCGAGTATTTGCTTGTTGCTCTCGCGCTTCAAAAGGTTGCTTTCAAGATTCGCCCAATTACTTTCGAGGTTGACATAATGGCTTTCGAGGCTGAGACGAAGCTTGAGCTAGGAAGGGTTATCACTAGAAGCTTTCAGAAGAGGGGTAAGAAATAAAGAATACTAACAATCTCGGCTGACTTCTTACAGGAGGTATTGAGACGAAGCAGCTTCTGTCAGGGGTCGTTCAATTTCTCAAATGGTTGCTTGATACTAATAAGTTACAACCGGGCATACTTTGAGGGAGCATCAGAGAAGTAGTTAATGTCCCCATTAGAATCGTTAAACCTATTCCAAGCCACAGCCGTTTCCGAGAACTGATTCTACTGCAGAAGCAGCAGCTCTATTACCTTTATTGTCCGGCCCAGGGAAGCCTTTACATCCTCTGCCTAGTCAACTAGTGAAATATTAGCCAGTGTGTAAGGGTTTTTATCTCTCTATATGCATTTTACGGATCCGTACATGTATATATGTGGTAGGAAGGGTGAGCGCTGGTTTACGTATCGTTTCACGCCTGTTTCTATCATTCTGACATGTCTATTCTTTCAACACTAGAGATACTCGGATTTCTACCATCCGTAGGAAGCATTCTCTAGGATCCCATATTGGAAGATTTGCATCAACGATCTTATGAGACGCGATTAGGCCGCTATGTACATCCTGATCGTCATATAGAAGGTATCATTCTTCAGGCCCGTCGTCGTCAAACTTAGTGTCGGTAAATGCATAACTGGTCCATGCAGCGTGGCCATTTGTACGTAGCGGAGTAGTTTTGAGGCTGTACGATGCACTGTACTGTTCAACCTGCTTGCAAGTACTAACTGTACTAAGTAGACGAGGGAGGGTAACTAGCAGAGCACTGTAACAAGTGAATTAATAGACTGTACTGTACAGTACAGAGTAGAACAGGCCGCTTACAAGGTATCTAATATATTTCAGAAGGGGTAATAGGAGCAGAAGTAAATTTATCCTCTTCTTAAGCTGCATTCCTTACTGTTTAACGTACACTACTAGCTTAGTTGACTTGCTGCTTATACCTAATTACGTAGCTAGTCCTTTGGTAGCCCTAATTGTTGTGTGTAAAACGCGGCAAGGTAGTAAACAGGCGCCTTCTTAGAGGCAGATTAACTGCCTGAGGCCTAAGGGGTGGCAATGCCCTAAGAAGCTTAAGGCTACTAGGTAATGTACTGAGTAGCATTGTAAGGTGTATAAAAGGACTAGGTTATAGTGTTGTGGAGTTTCTTAGCAAATTGCTAACAAAACACGCTAGATTTGCATAATCTGCAATAATTTCCCAAGGCCCCTCTGCCTCCTTCTGCACCCTCTGCACCTCTGCGCAGGCACCTTTAATCCACCCAAAATCTACACAGACTGCCCTAAACGGCTCGTAACAGGGCCTCACATACCGTTAGTGTACTGACAACAACCTCTATACCTATTAGCCAGTACTAAATTTGACGTACTTCAGTTCTGTACGGCCTGGTGTACTGACGGATGATCGCGTTGGGTCTATGTTCGATAGTCTATGCTGACTATAATGAGAGAAAATTGCGCGTCATGGATGCCACGTTCGCCATCCCAGTGTCCACCAATGGATCGAAAGCCCAAGAAGAATAGATCTCTCCATTTCCTATGTGGTGCGGAACTTACATTGGCCGATATAGAAGGGTTTGAGCAAGAGGGTTGGGTCTTAGGGCAAAGTAGGAAAGGTGAAACTCCAACACGAAACGTTTGATACCTCTGCGCTAAGGGAGGTGTGAGCTGGCTAAAAGTATGGTTTCTAAAGTTTGTCAACTTACTAGGATAGTAGCCCTAAGTGAGGTCTAGGGGGCGAGATATTTCCAGATTGTATCTCTCAATGCTTCGATCTGATAACTGGACCCCGTTTTTGCAAGAGCGATGATATAGTGTGGGTCGAGGTCTGAGACGTAATGCCAAAACCATTATAACTCCAATTTCCAGACAAATGCCGGTATCGCCTGAAAGGAAAGAGGGTTCGTCTTACGTCAGATATCTGTCTGCGTCAGGGGTATCTTTTGCATCCAGAGTCTTTTCAGAATCTAGAGCCTCTTCAGTATCAACACTCTTATCGACCTTAGAGCCCCATAGACTGAAGGGTTTTCATCTGCACTAGATAATCCGTATCGTGCAGGTTCGCTGCCTACGTTCCAACCACCACCGGCACAAAAAACGCTATCGAGATAATGAAGAGTATTAGTGGAAGGGATGACATAGACCCGAAACCGCTATTTTGTTTCGTTCGTGATTCATTACCGAGAAGGAAGATTAGAGGTAGGAAGAAGGAGATTATTGTGACTATACACATACTCGTCGCTTCAGGTATTGGTAGAGGTCAGCTGCAGTAAGAGGGTTTTGGTATTTTCCGAAACTTTTGGTTGGATACTCCCTGCCGTCGAGCCATGATCCACGCATTATTCTGGTTGCTTTTGATTGAAGGGAGGAAAGCAGTGTACCTTTACAGAACTCAATTACAGATAATTCTTCAGCTTCAGGGGAACAGGGCACCTGGTCTTCGTTATCCCGAAAGTAGATACTCATTTCATTATAGCCCAATTTGTGGTCCCTTAAATTCTGGACATAAGACCCGTGTTCTTTGACGCCACGGCCGGTTACGAGTACGGGCTCCCACTGTTTAGCACACCAATAAGGCTGAATATCCCTCAACGCATCACTCATTGTCATTTAGAGGCCTTGTAGGGTGGTTTAGGTTCTTTAAATCGACACAAAGTGCTGCCGATTAGTATGGAAAGGGGAAGAAGGTGGTTGTGTCTGGACCCTCTATACAGTCCCCGAAAATTGACTCCAAGAGCGTCCGCGGATGTTTAACCTATGGGATTAGTGTATTTCTTCCTTCGAGAGGATATATTCATTACCGTTTCGATTTCGGAATACCGTCGAACCACGTATTGTGTGATAATTCTCAAAACCTATCCAAGATCCCGAACGATAGCTCCAGTTGATGACACTAGACACAATGAATGAGAAGGGACCTAACGAACCACCCGTTGGCTTAAGAATAAATCCAGCTGGCTAGCAGGAATGCGCCTCAAGATTTCACGTGAGCTAAGGAGGGGAGGTGTTGATTTTGACTCTATAGGGTGACATGGTCTTAATAGCTTCTAAACCCCAGTTTCCCTATAGTAAGGATTTCAGCAATGTGCTGACCATAGTGTCACAAATGCCCTTGCGATCTCGCATCACCTGGAAGTGGGCATAAGGTTACTATGATAATATATCGAAATGCAAAGCCTCAGCGGCTGAGTATCCGCAGAGAAACCGTTAGGCGTTGAGCGAAGAAGGGGAGTCCGACGCTCCCAGTCAGATGCTGCCATCTGTTGTTTGTGAAGTCTTCGTCTCGAAGCTGGTGTCAGCAAACCGTACTCCATCCGCTGAACTTAAGATGAGGCATGGAACTCACCGTTGGTGGTGATGAAGGATGAGCAGGTTAAACAAACGTATGAATAACCTAGGAAATTTTCAAAGGACGCTAGGAACTTTATGCCTAATAAGGCGAGGGTTTCTTAAGACAGCAGTGAAGGTTATAACGGCATTTAGACATGGAAATTTGCGGTTTGATGCTAACTGTGGTACAATCTTTGAATATTTAGCAGAATTTTGATTTCTCCTTTCCTTATGTATGAAATACACCCTAGTAGACTCTGGTTAGTGAATTAGATACCTCGTCATCAGTTGCATCACATCTAACCCTGATGTTCTGCATTAGTATCCTCACCATGCCATGACGCTGTGGCATAAAAAATAGAAGCCATATAAAGTTAGGGGTCAGCAAGGCTCGAACTCCTGCATAAGAGTTGAAGGAAGCACGAGCGGGCATGGAGGACGGTACATTCCTCAAAGAAAAAAAAAGATTTATTTATTTGACTTATAGGCATTTAAAGGAAATTATTTTAATAATTTGTACACGGGATTTACAGTGAGAGGTGTCGGGTAGTACCTCACATAGACGCGTTTGCGCTACCAGTAAAGAACGCCCCGTACTGAGACATTGCTCATATTATTTGTTATCTGCACTTCGATTCATGTTTCCTCACGCTCATCGTGATGCATCATAGAGGTTGCTATGATCAATCTTCGGAAATCCAACACTGCCTGCTCGAGGTCTTTCTTCTTGAGTGCCTCGTGGTCTGAATGCGCAACGAATATGCTCCCCGGGCCGTAGAGATATTTCTTATGGTTTCCCTTCAGATTGGGAACATCAGTCCCGTAATTAACCGTCACCGTCTCAAATCCCTCGACATCGCAGTCAATGTCAACAGGCGCGTATCCCTCGCTAACCCATTCGATCTCAAGGTCCCCTCCGAGCTCCTGCGCCTTCGATTTCACGCCTTCCAAAGCACCCACAATCATGCTTTTGATAATTTGAGGAGTTGCGGCAGCTATCCGCACCGACATATTTGCTTCTGCAGCTTCTGCAACAACGTTTGCAGCCACACCACCTTCCACTTTACCAAAGTTCATCGTCGTATTCCCATATTTTTCGCTCCAGGGCAAGCGCTTCCTCAATACGAGCATACTTTCTAAAGCTTCAACTAGAACATCGTTTGCAGACACGCCGAGCCATGGGTATCCAGAGTGAGCAGCTTTACCGGTCGCCTTGAGGCTGAATCCAAGCATACCTTTGTGGCCACATACTAGCTTGCTCTCGGTAGGCTCTCCGAAGATAACGATGTCATACTCAGGGCGATCCTCCATTTCGGAAAAAGCGCGCATGCCATCACCCCCGGTTTCTTCCCCAACGACGAATAATAGAGATAAGTCATCTTGAAGCTGGTCTTTCAGACCCCGAACTGCCATTATCTGCGCTGCCACGCTGGCCTTCGCGTCCACCGAACCGCGACCACCGATTAAATCCGTGGTTTTGTTATGATAGTAGGGCCAAAATGGAGGCACTGTATCGATGTGTGAAGTCACCAATATCGTAGTTTCTCTCTTCTTCCCATAGGCAAGCAAGTTATACCGCTTCGACGACACTTCCTGCAGCTCGACCGTGAAGTCTTTCTCTTTCAAGTATGATTCTAGCCATTTCCCAACTTTCTCTTCATTTCCTGTTATCGATTCGATTTCGATGAGCGTTCGGTGGATGTAGAGGAGCTCATCTGAGGTGGCTTGTGAGAGTAACGATGCTTCGTCTGAGGGTTCGTGGAGAGCGACTTGGTCTGCTCTGGCAAGGGAAACAAGGCCTACAATAAGGGGTAGGGTACGCCATAATTTCATGTTGGATGGTATCGAAGTTCAGAGCCTTCAATTGAGACTGGAAGGAACAGCTGAAGCTTGTGCACGGTTCATGGAGCTCTGACGGCTGCCAAGAGCGGGCCCCCAAGCTTTACGTTAGACTTTCCTCCATCTCAAAACATTAACGATTTGGTCATAATCAAGGCCTTCTCATCTAATCAACTCTCATAGTACTATCGTCATTTGCTGGCATATCTGTTCAGCTCTTCTAGAAATGTGCACATCCCATACCAAGACCTTTCATGCTGCCCACCAGCTCTCTTCGCTGTCTTTGGATTTGTCGGATTATTTGGGGATCTTATCTCACCTGGTGGTTCTACAGGATATCTGGACCGCCACACAAAAGCACCACCGAAAGGAACTGAGAAGTTGTCCAGCTGGCTTCTGGCAGGACATGCGGCTTCCGCTACTGCACTCCAGATTTTGAACTATGTCTGGTTTGTCATGATTGGTAGGATATTGGTTTCTAGGGTACTGTTGAAGAAAGAGAAGGCGTGGACTGGCGTCAAAAACGAGTAGCATGTTGCGGTTAGAAGGCGTCCATATTTCCGAGTGTTGCCTTCAATTTGACGCGTGTGCTTAGTAGTTGCGAAGAGTTTTTGGATACGAATTAAGCCCTACGAGCACAGTTCTAGGCAAGGCTCGAACAGCGCAGTTTCTGCAGTTCGGTGTTGCTATCTGAAAGGAGGATAAGACACTGATGCGTAGTGCTGACGGTGGGGAGTGCCACGCTAGGGTCTAATCTACGAAGGGTATCTTCACAAGAGACGAAATGCTTACAGAGCAGGATCCCAGGGACCTGCGGTATTGTATGTTTATCGATACTTTCAAGTTTCCAGTCGGTAGCCCTGAGGAGCTCAAGACGGTACGAAGGTAAGATGTAGACGATTTCCGATCTCCTTTCTTGCTTCATTTGGATTGGGGTTTCGCCGGTCCTTGCTTCGACTTTGAGCCTAGCGTTTAATCTTGGAAATACTTAGCATAGCTACGGCAAGACAGAACGGATGGGGAAAACTGCAGCTGAACTAAAACACGCCGGGGAACCTTTAAAGCCCCATTGTGAGCTTGCACCCCCGCTCGAATTGATCGTATTATTAACCCTATATCAATCAGCAGCTGAAGAAGAACTGCTTGCGGCGAGCATCTAACGCGCTATCTAAATCACCTGAACCGGACAACTCCTCGACATCAACGAACTCCCCAAACCATGGCACATCAACCCCTTCGTAGTCCGAGGCTATACCTTCGCCACCACAATCCCCAAATGCATCCAGAACACCCCCCGTCTCTCAAATGAAGCTTTCAACATCTGGTCCTACGTCCTCGGCGTTCTGTCCGTACTTTACCTGGCCTACTACCACTACCCTTCCACCACAGTCTACGCGCAAGCAAGCGCAACCGACAATCTTATTATCGGAATATACCTCGCTGCGGCAACTCTTTGCCTGAATTGTAGCATCTTCTGGCATAGCATGAAATGTCACTGCTATCTGCACTTCATGATCAGCTGCGTGAGTGTTGATCTGATGTGTGCCACGGTTATGATCTCTGCTATGAATGTTGCCAAGCAATACACAGCTTTCTACTGTGAACCTTCTCTACAGCGGCTATATCTAAGCATCACTGCTATCTGCGGTGTGACAAGCTTGGTGTTAGGATGGTCGCCGAAATTCAGACACCCTGAGTTGGCTTTTGTAAGGGTTATCGTGTTTACCTTACTTGGCATTGTGGGGTTGTTGCCGATAGTACATCTCGCGATGACGAGGGGAAGTGAATGGGCGTGGCTTTTTTATAAGCTGGTTTGGCTGGAAGTTGTCGCGCCAATCTTCTCGGTAGCTTGGACTTATGCCGGGAAGATACCCGAGAGGTGGTGGCCAGGGATGTTTGACTTTTGTGGGCATAGTCATAATGTGAGTATTGAGTATGTAGCTATGGGTTCTTGGGCTAATGCGTATCGAGGTCTGGCATATTGCTGTGCTCACGACAGTTCGGGTTGGGTATAAGGTTGCACTAGGGCTGTTGAGGATGGTGTCGGAGGGAGGTTGTGTGGTGTAGGATGCTGGAAGATAATGACTGAAAGTTGATTCATCATCTCTAATGAGTCAATTCATCATGGAGTCACGCCAAATGATCATTCATGGGTCTTGGCACGATTGAGAACCAAGGTTCGTTTTGGTGGATGTGGAGTCACTTGGTGCCTCCAGTTCTTCCCATCCAAAGCGCAACATAGACTGAAGAGATCGAAGAATGATCCAGTCCTCGATTCCGGCTTCAGTATTAATCACACCTTGAAATGATGTACAGCCAATCATTGCGCTCTCTTCCACAGCTCGAAAGCAGAAAGACAACGCACCCATAATCAGCTACTTGAGTCTCCTCTTCACTCGACAGACGGTTTTCGTTCTCATGGAACCTCACACTGCCACAAGGACAGCGGGTATCTCAAAATCGAAAATGCTTTTCGTGAGTGTGATAAAATGCGTTGTTCAATAATGGAGAAGAGGAGACAGGCTGCCGGGCTCGGAGGAGATTTTATGGTTCGTTCCGGGGAATCGTTGGGCCGGCACCGAGAGCGCCCCGCGATTTGCAGGGCTGAGTCATGAGTTTTTCGCCTTTGCTTGTGGGCATTTAATACTCGACGACTCCCGGCTTTGAAGTCACTGTAGACCACATTCACCCTCTACCCGCATACTACGCTGCTCAAATTGCAGAACCCCAAATATAAATACGTAGCTACGAAAGAGAAGAGCACGCTGCCCAGCATGGATTCAGACTCCGAACACGACCACCGCGATGATGAGAGCGTGGCCTCCGAACCTGAAGAGGTGGAAGAAGTAAAGCCCAAGTCGGCTCTGAAGAAGACGAGGGAGATTCTGCCGCCCGTGGAGCGGCCAGAGCTTCCGTAAGTACTCCTCACCCTTGCCAACCCCTTTAGCTCACACACGACAGTGAACAACCAGACCCAAAGACAGTAGACTTCTCGAAGTTGACGCCATTGTCCCCCGAGATCATTAGCCGCCAAGCTACCATCAACATCGGAACAATCGGCCACGTCGCTCATGGAAAGAGTACGGTGGTGAAGGCAATCTCTGGAGTGCAGACTGTCCGCTTTAAGAACGAGCTGGAGAGGAATATTACAATCAAGCTCGGATACGCCAACGCAAAGATATACAAATGTGACAATGAGGAGTGCCCGCGGCCGACGTGCTACAGGTCGTTTAAGAGCGAGAAGGAGGTTGATCCTCCCTGCGAGCGGGACGGATGTACGGGCAGATATCGTCTGCTACGGCATGTTTCCTTCGTCGACTGCCCCGGCCACGACATTCTTATGAGCACTATGTTGTCAGGCGCTGCCGTAATGGACGCTGCATTGCTTCTTATCGCCGGGAACGAGACCTGTCCCCAGCCCCAGACTAGCGAACATCTTGCTGCCATCGAAATCATGAAGCTTAATCACATCATCATCTTGCAGAACAAGGTCGATTTGATGCGAGAAGACAACGCAGCAGCGCACTACGAGTCCATTCTCAAGTTTATCCGAGGTACAGTAGCAGATGGCTCACCCATCATCCCCATATCTGCCCAGCTCAAGTTCAACATCGATGCCATCAACGAGCACTTGGTTACTAAGATCCCAGTACCAATTCGAGACTTCTCCACGAAGCCGCAGATGATGGTGATTCGATCTTTTGACGTGAACAAGCCAGGTGCTGAAATCGAAGAGCTGAAGGGTGGTGTTGCTGGTGGTAGTATCCTGACGGGTGTGCTCAAGTTGGGTGATGAGATTGAGATTAGACCCGGAATCGTGTCCAAAGACAATGCTGGAAAGATCCAGTGCAAGCCAATCTACTCAAGAGTCGTGTCGCTGTTTGCAGAGCACAATGATCTTAAGTTTGCCGTTCCTGGTGGTCTCATTGGTAGGTCAATCCTAAGCATCTCCCTAGTTTCGTGCGCTCGTCTAATGTATGACAGGCGTCGGCACTCGCGTGGACCCTACTTTGTGTCGTGCGGATCGTCTCGTTGGTTTCGTTCTCGGTCTTCGTGGTCATCTGCCGAACATCTACAGTGAATTAGAAGTCAACTACTTCCTTCTACGTAGATTGCTCGGTGTCAAGACTGCAGATGGCAAGCAGGCGAAGGTTGCCAAGCTTACTAAGAACGAAGTTCTTGTAGGTTACAACCCGATATCATTGGGTTATTAGCTAACTGTGCGTCTCAAGATGGTCAACATTGGTTCGACAGCTACCGGTGCCAAGGTCATCGCCGTTAAAGCCGATGCTGCTCGTCTTTCCCTCACTTCGCCTGCATGCACAGAGATTGGCGAAAAGATTGCGTTATCTAGACGTATCGAGAAACATTGGAGGTGCGTTCTTTCCAAGAGCGATCCCAGCTGACGCACGCTAACATTTAGTTGCAGACTTATCGGTTGGGCGAACATTGTTGCGTAAGTGACATAACAGACTTACCTATGTAATTCGACCACAAGCTAACCATTCACAGGGGTAACATTCTACAGCCACAGGAGGACTGAGCGTTCTACTTGTATGCATAGGTGTACTGATTTGGGCGTTGTGGTGGGTAGCCAGTGACGATGCAATGAAAATGGCGATGCTCGGGGGAAGCCCTGCAAGGGTCCTCGCATTAGGGTCTTACGCTTAGACATTTTCTGGGATTGTGGGGCTCAGCATCTTGAGGATAGACGGGGAAAGGGTTTCCAGCGAGCTGTGTGCATTGCAGCTTTTTGGAAAGCCGCATGGTACGACGATGGTAGGAACGGAGCCCTGCTGGGCACTGTTAAGCAACATGAACCACAGGGTCGAATCCAAAAATGCAATACTGAATGAAGCACGAGTGTCTCCTCCCTGCAGTGCATGTTGTTGAGGTCTGGGGATGTGCATGTTACTAGCCCCGGCGTCCGGCAGAGACAACCAACTGATTTTCACATGCTTCTGGCCCAGAGGCAAACGCTATTGACCTACAAATTCTGGCATGCAACCACAACGTCAGAATCACTTGAGCGATTGCTTGGCCGACATGTCTTAAATGCCCTCTCGCGCCTCCGGATTTCAGAGTCCATCGAATTCAAAGCACATATTCTTTTTTACGAGGTACGTCCAATTGTCGGGCGTCCAATGGGTTGCCAAGCACCTGGGCTGCAAGTCGGGGGAGTCTGACGTCCACGTGCACGTAACTAACCCCGGGTAGATTTTCGACTGGCTTTCCATTCGAGTGAGGTGCAACAATTACGGTGCGGAGGGGGTTGCTAGGGCACCTGACATACGGATTACATCCTTTCCATTTCCTTCTGCTTGTCTTGCTCTCTTGTTCTTCTGTCGCGTGCATTTCTAGCTCTTGTTGTTACAGGAGCACACGATTGGGGAGTCCAGCCATTGGAGACGAGACGAGACGAGACACTGGGGGCTGCATCTGCATCTGTGGGATCTCGTCCCTGCAGGATCCGGACTGGACGCGATGGCCGAGGACCACCACGTCTTCGTAAACGCAAAGGCCGCACCAGCACCGGCACCCGCGCAACAGGCACCCCATATCTACAGACCGATCCCGCGACGCAATTTCTCGACGAATTCAGGTTCGCATTCGAGTGATTCCGGCCCCGATCCCTTTTCCTCCTCCCACGACACGCCTCCGCCGCTCTCGCCGCAGGTAAATTCGTATGCGCGTGGTTCTTCAGATTTCGTGGCACAGCTTAATGCGAGGTTGTTGAGGTCGAGGAGTGCGAGTAATGGGAATGTTTATGAGAGGGAGAGGGAGGAGTCGGATGGTGGCGGGTTGGGGATGAGGAATAAGAGTTTCTTGAATATGACGAGTAGCACGCTATATGGAATCTATGATGATGCTGGGAGTAGTACGGCGGGGGAGAGAAGTGAGGTTCCGACTCCTTGGGGGACGGGGGCAGAGACCCCAGCGAGGCGGTCGTTGGACTCCGGGCTGGGGATTAACGGGTGGGAGAATGGGGTGGGTAGTCCGGATGGGGGCCTGAGGGTGAAGGGGATTGCCAGGAGGGGGACGGTGGAGGGTATACAGACACGGAGACGGAGGTCGAGACAGGCGCCGACGCCGCAGAGGAAGGGGTTATGGAAGGGTGTGGTTATTGTCGGGAAATTATCCTCGCTGTTTCTGTTCGGACTTGTCTACGGCGTTATCGTCTCGCATCTCCACGACACCCGGGAGCTCGCTGCGGTCAGGGTCGGCGGCGTCGATCGAGAGAGCTGGATATACCTTGGCGCTTGGGGCTTTGCGGGGGTGGTGTTGGGAAGCCTCCTTCCATACGTGGACCTCCTCTGGGACGGCCACACGAACGACAATCAAGTCCAGCTGGTCGAGCCAGAGAAGGACGCCGAATCCTCCCTCAGCGAGCAATGGAACGAAATTGTCAGGAGCGTCGGCGCGTTCGTCGGCATCGCCTTCGCAATTGTACGTCCACTATTCCCCTACCCCTTCCCGCATCTATCCCAACATCTAAACTAACCACCCCCAGCGCCGCCTCCCCTGGCAATCCACCCTCCAACTCACCCTCACTCTCGCCCTCGTTAACCCTGCCCTCTGGTACATCCTCGACCGCAGCAAACCAGGCCTCTCCTTCTCCCTCATCGTCACCTCTCTCCTAACCTCCTTCATTTTCCTCTCGAACCCTGACGTCCTTCCTTCGCCCGCTCTTCCCGCAACTACAAACTCCACACATCTACCTTCGGGTGCCCAAGGGATTCAGGAAGAGCTATTCGCTGGTGTTGTTAGTTATGAGAGTTTGGCCGTTGTGACGTGGGTTGGTAGTGTGCTATTCTGCAGCTGTGTGTGTTTTGGGAATATTGGGAGACGGTTGGCTGTGCAGGATGAGTGGGGGGCGAGACGGTGATACTCTATTCCGTTTCTTACGCGGAATCTTGTGGGTGTATGGGTGCTATTGGCAGGCAGAGTCTATGGTTCTATCTCTCTGTCTGTGTTACTCGGGCAGCGTACCCAGGAGCACTATGGAGAGATACAGCATTCCCATTCATCGTGTAATTGTTCGGTATGTCATATAGTTTTGACTTGGCTTCTAGGGAAATGGGATCAGAATCTAAGGAAAAGATAGGAAAAAGCTTCATTGCGTCTAGGCCCGTTTGGTTTTAGTTGCGTTTTGAGAGGAATGCATACTTATAGCGTTTTAATGGAAGTGCAGTTTCTTGATCTTGATCCTTAACATGTCTCTTAGTTCGCTCTTTCGCTTTGTTCATACACACTCGCATCTGTCCTAATCAATAATTGAGAAGGCAGGCAGACAGAGGATATATAACCTTACCTTTCGCAATGTTATTCAGGAAAGTAAGCCTCACACACATACATCCACAAGACTTTTGAATGTGGCCGTGTCTAGGAGGGTACATAGTCCAAACATTACACCTGCAAGTCTGCGGATGGAACTCTTTCCCTTTTTGCTAGAGAAGGAAGGAGTTCAATTCTTGAGGTCGTTAGGCTGTCCTTTTGCTTGTGGGCTAAGCTCGGGCTTAGGGAGAGAGAGAGGTAGGTCTAGAGAGCAGTGGCATTGACGTAGTCTAATGACAAACTTCCATCTACGTCTGCTTCCTTTCTGCTCTCCTTCTTCTACTGTGTGCTCGTTCTCACTAGAATTCGATACAACTCTGTCCCCGTGCGAGCGTACTTACCATGCCCCAACAGCTCTCTTGAGAACGATATAGACTCATGCCTAGTCCCGTTCCTCTATTCCATCTCCATTCACACAGCTACAAACACTAAACTCTATACTTCCCCTTCCTTCTCGCTATTTCTACTGTAGTGTTTTATACAGTATATATACCGAAGTAATTCAGGTCCTCATTTAGGGAAAGGAGTAACTCGAGTCCTCTTGGGTCAACAGATACGTTCACTTCTAGATATGTCGTTAGGAATGCTTTCCCTTCTTTCTGGCCTGGAGATAGTAGACAGTATACTCGGAACAGAGTAGGGAGGAATAGATAAGGAGGAACAGGGAGTGGGAGGTGGGAAAGGGGCTGCGGACTCGATTCTGAGGGGTGCTGCCTGTTCGTGGATTTGTGGATTTGCTTCTCAGATCCAACACCACACGCATTTGCATATCAAGATTCCGGGTAGACTACGAGACTGTGATGTCTTGTTAGCATAGTAGTATTCGTTAACGTTGTGTTCAAGGTTTAAACTCACCTCGAGCACCATAGGAGTCTTTGTACGGCAGGCAAAAACTGAGATGGAGATAAACTCTAAATAAAATGGGAGAGAACATGATAAAAACCACTGAAAGCATAGATAAATGTTAAGGTGGCTTATTCCTTTCTTATTGACATGACTAGGATCACTACGTCCTGTCGCTTACCGTCGTCGCGAAATAGGTTTACACAATACTGACACGTACCTTCTACATCTCTGTCGCTATCGATCAAATAGCCAAGCCATGTTAGATAACCGGTTCCATGCTAGAGCCATCCACCCACGCTAGAGAGAAACCATGCATCCTATACCATGGTAACCACAAAGGAGAAAGAGGAAAAAGTAAGTACAGAAAGGCTGCGCAATACGAAGCATTTTCGCATGCCGCCTGGTATCATAGACCCCAAGAAAACCGTTAATTCATACACTCACTTGCTCAAAACACGCTTGCCTGGACGCTGGACGCTTCAACACTAAGTCAGAAGTTCAAAACAACAATAAGAATGCCTACACCCTAAAAAGACACAAGAGCTGATAGAAAAGAAGAGATGGACTAGCAGAAGAATTTATACACCTTCTTCCATGTCGGCCACGTCTTCCGCTCTTCTCGCTCCTCCTCAATCAGCTCCGCAATGTTGAGTTCGCGGATGCCTGTGTGAAGGTCCATATTATGACTCCGGATCCACGGCGTGCGGTGATATATCTTATACGGGATGTAGAAAGCTAGAGTAACGGGCAGAGCGAGGTAGACCTGGAAGAAACTCTGGATGAGTTGAAGCGTTGTCTTCTCTTTGTAACCAATTGGAGAGAAGGCGACCCAGAATTGGGCAATAAGGACAAGGGAGTTGAACATTAAGCCCACCCACGAACCAATGACACCGGGTTGAGAGCGGAAGGCGAGTTCATTGAGAGAATGCCCTTGCAGTTCCCAGCCTTTTCGGAACCGGATGTGGGAGAGGCAGATGGAGCCCCAGGTGAAGATGGAGGAGAGGGCCGAGAGGGAGAGCATCCAGTTGAATGCTGCTTCTTGTGACTTAGTGCCTGCGAGGAAGGCGAGGAGACCGAGTAAGGACGCAACGGCGACAGAGACTAGAGGGCGGCCTTTGCGGTCGATGTATGCGAGGACCTTGGGGGCTTGGTTTTGCTCGGCGAGGGCTGCGAGCGTTCGGCTGGAGCCATAGACGGCCGAGTTTCCAACAGAGAGGACGGCGATCATGATAACGGCATTGAAGACGGATGGGAGACCTTCGATTCCGGCATTCTTGATCGCGATAACGAATGGGGAGGCGACGGCATCGGCGCCGCTTTTTCCATTGAGGAGTTGAGGGTCGTTATAGGGAACAAGCAGCCCGACCAAGAGGAGAGAGACGATGTAGAAGAGTGTGATACGCCAAAACACCTGCTTGACAGCTGTTGGTAGGGATTTGCGAGGATTGGCTGTTTCGGCGGCAGCAAGACCAACTAGCTCGGTTCCGGAAAAGGCGAAGGCAGCGTTGACGAAGGTCGTACAGAGCCCTTTGAAGCCATTGTTGAAGGCTCCTGGGTCTACCCAGAGTTTGCCGCCAATATAACCGCCATCGGGACCTCCACCAACGTTGATCTACGAGAATTAGCATTCTTGCTTTTCCTATAAACGGAAGACTTACTATAACTCCAAGAATTATAAATCCTATTACAGCGGTAACCTTGACGATTGCGAAGACGAACTCGGCTTCACCATATCCTTTAACACCGAACAAGTTGATGGAGACGATGAGGACCAGGAATACCGCAACCCAGGCATCGTTGTTGACCTTGCTATGATTCCAATACTCGATAGTGAGCGTAGCTGCCACAATCTCGAGTGGTAAGACAACCAGCCATTGCAGTGCATAACTAGCACGAGTCAGTCATGGGTTCGTGCAAGTGACCCGAGCGAGCGGATACGTACTTCCAACCCATTGCGAAGCCCCATGCAGGGTCTAGAAACCGAGTAGAATACGCTGAGAATGAACCTGCGACGGGGAATAGAACGGCCATTTCGCCCAGAGCATGAACGGTACAGTATAACATGATACCGACGAGGCAGTAACTGATAACTAATGAGGCTGGGCCGCCTTTCGCGAGTGCCGAACCTGAACCAACGAAGAGCCCTGTGCCTATAATTGACATTAGGATGAACCGTGAAACCGAACGAGGAACATGAATTTGAAACCAGAAACATACCTATTGAACCTCCGATAGCGATCATCTGCAAATGTCTCCCCTTGAGCTTGCGTGCGAGCGGTGAATTGGCTGTGTTTTGCGCGGCGCTTTCAACGTCGAAGACTTTCCTATCAGCACCTAGACTCCCCTTCGGCGTCATTTGCATATTCGGATCCCTTTTGAAGCTGTCGAGCACCCTCCTCCCCAGGCCATCCCTGTGCACTGAAGATTCACCATAATACTGCTGAGAATTCCGCGAATCCCCACCGAAGCTCTTCTCTGTGCCGTATCCGTCCATGTCGTCGACCATCATTTTCCAGAAGCAAGGACGAAGACTGAGTAAGAATCCAAGAAGCGAACGACAACAGCAGGCGACGTGAGCGAGGGGTGTCGTGAAGTGCTATCGGTGAGTGTATCTATACCTTCGCTGGCGTGTGGGAGGAGCCGGCGTGAGATAAAGGTGCCTGTCGTCCAAGGCCGGGGTGGCTGCGCAGGGTCAAGGCTTATTAAAGCGGGCAAGCTGAGGGTGGAAAAGCGACCAGGTGGTGAAAGGCTTCCCAGGATAAATTAGGTAGGCCCAAACGGCTGGGAGGTGTCAGGCCCTGAGCGGCCGAACAAGAGCGGGCTAGCCAAGGCAGGATACTTGTCTATCGCGCGGCGAGATGGGACGGCTATTGGGTGAATCCAGTAGGCCATGCGTGCTCCCGCGCAGACTGATTGATATCAGGAGCGTGAACTGGACGTGGGAAGGGTCTGTTCAGTGTTGGCGCACGACCAATGGAGCACGAGCAATCGCAGACAGGGTGGATCACTTCACGGTGTGTTCGCATGGTTGATGGCGACAGAGAGCCAATATCGTGCTGCGTCTGGGGTCGTCAACCAAATCCCTCACTGGCGGGTCCCCCAATCACGGGGCTCACCGATGCCCTGTCAGAATGCCATTGTGAACGTTTCTTGGGGACTCCGCCATGCCTCGGCCAGATGGACAGATTCGCGTTCTCCCACATCTGGCTGCCATGGCCGCCATGGCTGTCTTGTCATGACGATGCCACGGGGTCAGGTTTTTAGAATGCTGTCAATGATGCATGGACGACAGCGTTTGCCATCCGCCGTCGTGTCTTCTCATAGCAATCGATAGCGATTGTCTGCCCAACACTCTTTACACCACGCACCACTGCGACTTAACGCTGTCATCGAACTCTTCACTCATCGTCATCAACTGCCTCGCCGTTGTTGTCTCTAAATGTTCTTACCGGGCCCGGCCCGGCGCCAACTTCACACCTCACAATCACGATAAATCACTTGCAGTGCTCCCGCACGCGCTTCATTGGCCCCCACAAACGCTGCTCCAGTTTAGGCAATTCTCTTTCTCACTCCAACACGGAGTGCCATCTCTCAGAAACCCATCTCAAACCTGTCATTGGCTTGACCTGATCTTTCTCTCCGTGCCCTGTGAAATTGCAGAGAGACACCGTATAATGTGTACAGCTTGCTTGCAACATCCTCCTGTCCTGACCATCAGTTCATCCAGCACCGCGCCGCAATCCCCCTATACATTTCCACTTCCCCATGGAGCCATCAGCTATTACCCAGTAGGCCAATCAATCTCCCTCAGAGTAAGAAATTGCAGAAGTAAGACGGCATTTCCAGTTCCCCTATCCTCAGCAGTCGCTCGCTCCCAGCCCAACAATATATGAGTACTGTCAGATGCGAGGGAATAGTTAATCAATTCCCTACCCAAAAACTGCATCACCCAGAGTCGCGTATGCGCAGTACCTTGCAGCCCATTTACTGGCTTGGAGTTGAATGCAGCATGCAAGCACGATGCCCCAGCTGCCCCAAACAAGCTGCTGCTACTGCTGCTTGCCATCCAGCATCTGGATTACCCATAAGCCGAAGGTGCTAGTTTGCACAGAAAACCCTGGAGCACTGGAACCCCCCCGTATCCGGCCGACTTTGTGCGACCAAATACCATTACCCACAACGAGCAGTTCGTCCGTTTTGCGAACACAAGCTCGGCTTCAAGCATGCAACGTTCCATGCTTCACGAGGCGAATAAGTTGATAGTCTCACGATTGCGAATAGACTGCTCTTGTGTTCAATATCATGCGTTGGAGGCAGTATTGGCCCGCGCCGCGCCGCGCGGGATGTTGTGGCGGCATTGAGATAGAAGAAGCTTAGGTGAAGTGTGCTTGTCCGCCTTCCTGACAAGGACAAGCTTGATGCGCGACCATCGTTCGAATTGTTTCTGGCAGCAAGCCACCACCAACACTCTCCACTTGCTTTTGCGACGACGATTCGATGGTTTGTACGCCCCTCCCGTCAGCTAGACTCTTTGCATGGACGTTGTAACGTTGAGATTTTTAGTTAGTTGGAAAGGCGAACTCTTGCTTGTATCTGACTTCTGTCCGAGGTAAGGTGGCACACGACACATGATAGTCTCGTGAGAAGCATGTGCAAAATTATTCATCGACAGTCTACAGGACCTTACGATTTCTTCCTCCCCACGCTGGGGTTTGATCTCCCTGCCGTCCATCACTCTAGAGGCTGAAAACCCGTGGGGCAGACCACCACTTAACACTCCAGCCTCCAGTTCCTCGCACTATTCCGATATCTGAGACAATCCCAAGCCCACGAAAACCGCAGGATCTGTGACCATCAGCCATAAAAGTTCTCATTTATCTTAGACCACTTCTCTCGTCTGGTCTTTCGTCTCGTCCTGTCTCTTTTGGATATTCGTACCTAGCATTCACTTTTCTTTCTATTCTTAGCCCCTAGCTACACTTTGGTATATGCCGTGTCTTGTATATGAAACTGAAACCGACAAACCCCAGCCCAATCCCCAACATGCCCAAATACGGTAACCTCAGGTCATGTTGCATCAACCACGCTCCCTTGCCATGTATCATCCAAAAACCCTTGACCAACCTAACCCCTCCCTCCCAACCCAATGTTCTCTCAACCAAAAGTTCTTGCCCCTAGTACAGTATCAATGCGCTTCCTTTACCTAGCACACCACATTCCACGGCATCGGCCCTGGGCAGGACTTCCACGTGGACATGTGATTTAAAGTTTCCCATTGCTCCTAGCGGTTCGTGCTTCACGGATGGAGTTTCCGGGATAGGAAGCTGGGAAGAAGAGTTGTGAAAAAGCAGACATGGGCTTCGAGAAAGTATCGTCGAAGGAGTTTTGGACGATCTGTGGAGGTTGGAGCCTGGACTAGGATTCTGAGTAAGGGTGACTTCGAGATGGATGGGAGTGACCCTGGCCCGTTTTGTTACGGCATAAGGGCGTTGAGACGGGTGAAGGTGGGAACTACGCTACATGTGTGCGTCCTAGGGTAGCCGCTTGGGGGCTTGGATGATGTATCAAGGTTGCTCTCCACCTTGCTACCTTCGACTCCAAATGCTCTGTCCCTGCCATTGAAGCCAATCTATCCCAAACTCAAACTCAAACCTGATCAACCTCCGGCTAAGTACACGACAGACTGCGTGGAGCAGTGCATGAGGGGGTGCTATGAACAATACCTCCTGCATGCTTGCCTGCCCCCTAAGCACACCACGCGCCATCATCATCACCCCTATTGAATTTCCCATCTCCACGATCTCAAACACACGTCCACTAAATAACGCTAGTTAGCAGCTAGTTAGCATCACATCAACTCGTCCACTGAATCTGTTCACCTGTTCACCTGCGCACCAAGACTTGGAAAAAGACATATCTTCTTATTCCATCGCATGCCGAGCCATGCCATCATATCTACCTCGTCTCGTTTAGAACATCCTACAGGACCAAGACATGACATTCCACCTCACTCCCTACTGCAAGCCCCGCCCGTAACCAAACCCCTTTTATGCAAGTAAAGCCTTCGCCCTCGTCCGAGCTAGGGTCAGGTCCTCGCTTCTCGTACCTGCAACAATGGTGGCGACAACCAGAATATGAGCGAAACGCAGACAGAAAGAATGATAGATAGACATATATGAACAGGAAAGGTAAAGTAAACAACATCGGATAAAAAAAGTCGCTCCTTATTTACACACTCACCACAAAAGTTGGGCTGAAGCGAGCCTCTAGCGCACGGATTAAGAGTTAGGACGATGCTCTCAGAGGAACGAGCTTGAAGGCGGTTAGGGGAAGGGAGGGAGAAGGAGACGGGGGCGGAGAGAAATCCAGCCTCAACACCCAGGGTACAGAAAATCCCTTTCGCGGGGGAAAAAAAAAAGGAGAAAACAAGTAAGCAAAGCAAGCCAAAAGAGAAGATGTTATGTGATAAGCAAGAGAAAGAGAAAAGTGCCATGTATGCAAGCAAACACGCTAATCCAGAAACACCAGTACCGTACCCTATATTCCCTCCACTCAAGAAGTAATTTATCTCCCAAACGCTCACTCCATCAATCAAGCATTCCCTCAACAGCTCTATTCATCTCTTCATCACCCATCCTCCTTCATCGGCGGCAATGGTCCCGCCTTCTCCTCCATAACTACAACTTCTCCCTTCCCCATAACCGGCGAAAACTCATCCACCTCCTCAAACTCATCCTCATCCTCCTCCTCAATCCCCATAATCTCTCCACTCCTCCTACCCTGCACACTCCCACTTCTCGAATTTCCCTCACTTCTCGGACCACGTGCATCGCGCGGACTACTGTGAATATTGAGATTCAGCATCGGTCCTTTAAACGGACTACGTTTCCGTTTGGCGAATATCAGGCCAGGAGACGGGGGTGGCGCTGTACCGAACGCTGCACCACCTTCGCTGAGGGGCGCACGGACCACGCGGATGTTGGATGGGAAGGTGGAGTTTGTCGGGGTTGCAGGCAGGACTTTGACGGAGGAGTGGGGGGATTTGGCTTTATGCCCTGAGGTCGAGACGGCGGGGGAGGCGAGCGATGCAGAGGACGTGGAGGACGCTTTGGAATGTGAGTGGTGGTGATGCGGCATAGATCGGATTGAAGAAATAGAAGACGAAGTAGATTTTCTGCCTCGTAGACCCCCGGAAGACCGACGGTACGATGAACGTGGTGTTAGTGGTGATGGAGATACAGAAGGTCGTTTCCCGCTCCCCGCTGTCGAGACTCGCGGCCGTGCTTGGAAGTGCGTTGAAGGCGTGAGATTTGGGTGTGCGTGAACGCTGGAATCGCGATTAGCGTTGCTTAAGCGTCTTCTTAAGTCGGGCGATTTGCTCGGAGGTACGGTGGGCGATTTTCCGCTGCTGGCCTTTGAGCCGGGTGAGCGTGCTCTTTTCGACGTCTCTTTTATCCAGTTCCTGAGTGAAGCAAGATGGTTAATGAAGGGTTGTTGGTACTTTCGGCGGCGTTTGGGCACAAAGCCGTTGGGGTGGAGGAGATCGGGATTGGTGGATACAACCTGTAGCATGCTACTCCTTGATCTCCTATTTCCTAGCTCTTTGGGAGGTGGGGGAGGACGAGATGACGAATCTGAGTTGCGGATGTGATCTTTTTCAATAGGCGGAGGTGGTTCTTCTGAATCTCGATCGATATGTGATTCAGGCAATCGCGGGAGATCTGCTGGAGTTCCTAGGGACAGTCAGTTTAAGCTATGAGCCATTAACGGATCAGAACTCACCATGAACGCTCGTTCGATTCAGAGCCCGGCCGCGACTCTTTGGCGGATCTCCAAGCAACGGGGAGTGCAGCCCCTCCTCATCAGTCTCTTTAATAGTCGGCGCAAGTTTGTCTAGACGGCCACTAGCAGCACTTAGTCGCCTCAAGCTCTTAGCTTCAGCCTCTCGTTCTTTCCGTTTACGCTCCCGTCTTCTAGCTTTACGCTCCTCCTTCTCTGATAGCAGAGCCCACCAGCCTGCGAGTGAATCACAACGCTGCGCGAGGACGTTTTCAATGACCATGTCAATATCCACACCCGCTGCGCGCATCCGTTGCAGAACCTCCTTTTCTAGATCCGTGGTAAAAGGCGCAGGCTGCTGCAATTTCAAAATCTCTTGCTGGCGCGGAGCATGCTCCGCCAACCACGGGTTCTGCAGTATATCTGCGAGCGAGGGCCGCAAAAGCGGCCGCTTCGAGAGTAATACCTGAACCAACTCCTTCGCCTGCGGCGGGAATGTGCTCGGAAACATTGGCTCCTCCTTCAGAATCTTCATTTTCGTGACTGTCTCATCGTCATCATCGAAAGGCAACTCGCCGGCTAACAGCGCATAAAGAATGATCCCCAGACTCCACACATCCACCTTCTCACCCGCATACTTCTCCCCCTTCAACATCTCCGGCGCACTATAGCACACGGTGCCGCACCATGTCTGGAGATAGCTTGATTTCCCCTCATACTCACGCGTGAAGCCAAAATCGACTAGCTTGACATTCTCGTACTTGTCCAGGAGGATGTTCTCGAGCTTGAGGTCACGGTGGACGCAGGACTTGTTGTGGACATAGGAGACGGCGCCGACGAGCTGGGTGAATATCTTCTGCGCTTTGGCGGGTTCTATGGGGCCCTTTTCGAGGAGGTAGTTGTAGAGCTCGTCGCCTGCAGCCCAGATCAGAGAGGCTCTGGCGGGTTCTAAATATAGGGTCATACCTTGGCAGTACTCTAGAACCAGCCATACCAGCGACTCGGTGACTATAACCTCGTACAGCCTTGCAATATGTGGATGGAGAAATTGGCGATGGTGATGGATCTCGCGGGCCAGGTTCGCGTCATCCTTCTTCGCGGACTTAAGGACTACCTGTCAAAGTGTCAACTGCATGCGTTACAGCAGCTCCCACCGGGGACCTTGGAGCGCACCTTGGAGCCGTTGGTGAGCTTGTGGGTCGCCAGATAGACCTTGCCGAAGCTGCCCTTTCCAATGAGCCTCCCCAGGGTGTAGTTCCCCACCGTCTTGAGGTCTGTCGCATTGAATTCACTGCGCGGGGCGGATCAGCATGGTGAGGGGAAGATGCGGCGAGGCCGGCGGGCTTACTCGAGAAGCTGCTTGTACGAGTTTGCGAGCTGCGACAACACATCAGCGTCTCCCATCGAAGCCGGGCTCGGGGCCGCGCTGCTCACCTTCTTCCTCTGGGCCTGGAGTTCAGCCTGAGCCCTCAGATTCGACTGCATGGATTGCGCCGCTCCGTGAAGTTGTCCACAAAGCCGTCATGAGAAGGATATGCTAATTGGCGCGACGGGTAGGTGACAAACCGTTGGAGCCGCACAAGCCAAGGCCCAGAGCGCTGGAGAAATACCCAGCAAGCGAGGAATAATAAAAAAAAGGATAGCCAGCGGAGGGGAGCGCAGGGCAGGGCGTGTGTGCAGAGGAATACAGCGGGGTGTGAATGTCCAAAAGCTGCAAAGCCTAGTCGTCGCCTGCTCTCCTGAGACTCTTTGCTTGCTGTGCTGGTTGGCTCAAGGCGTCGACAACCCCGGCGCTGATCACCCACGTCCTCGGTCGCTGAGCCCTGCGAACCATGGCCAGCCCAGCACGACAGCAGATAATGGAATTCTAATTTCCTGCAATATTGGCGTCGACGCCATTCCACGCCTCGTACCTAAGACATTTGAACTTCTGTCATACATTTCCCCAAGAACAGCTCGCCATCGCGTCGCACAGTGCTCACAGACTACGAATGAGGCTAGTAGGTTTCACTCTATCCCTCGGAAGGTTTACGCCTCCGCAAGCATTTCTCCCTACTCGTCAGTACATCCGAGAAAAGTGCAGACGGAAACAATGTCCACTCAAAAATAATCTTACTTCGACTACAGCTTGCTGCTCTGCCCAGCAATGTACGTCTGACCCAGCTTCAGCATCTCGATGGCCTCTTGCACCATTTCCTCAACAATCTCCTTCGCCGGCTGGATAGACTGAATGGCGCCCGACACCTGGCCCATTAGGAACGGAATGTCGACATCCTTCCCATCATCCATGTCCTTCGCCAGCGGTACAATTCCGCTATCCGTTAGCTTCTTAATGTCATCCGGCCGCGATTCCCAGTCCCTGATGTAGTCGTTCATCTTCACCCGCAGCGGCCGTCCACTAACCACCAGCGTGCGAAGAGTATCCGTGAACGACGCCGAGACGACATTCTCCTTGTGCATTTGCGAGCACCCAGCCTCAACGCTCGCAACAAATCTCGTCCCAACCCAAACCCCCTGCGCGCCCTGCATCAAGCTACTCGCCAGACTTCTTCCATTGTAAATACCACCCGCCGCGACCACCATGGCTGGCTGCCCCGTCAACGGACTCTTGTACTTCCTCGCTACATCCACCACCGCGGGGATGAGAATGCTATTCGCAATATCTCCGGTGTGTCCACCACCTTCACCACCCTGTGCACACAAAATATCGACACCCGCGTCTAACGCCTTAACCGCATGCTTCGGCGCCCCTACCATATTCATAACCAATATCCCGGCTTCATGTAATCTCTTAATGGTCCTCGCGGGCGGCACACCCACCGCACTGACAAACAACCTCGCCCCATTCTTAATCGTGACCTCAATCAGCTCATCCAATTGACCGTGTGTGTAGTCGTGATTCGTCTTGCGCGCCGAGCCGCCGACTTGTGGGAGTGCGAGGTCGACGCCGAAGGGAAGCGATTTGTCGGAAAGGTTGGATTTCAGCTCGTCGATGATAGCTTGCAGCTGCTGGGGTGTGTAACCTAGCCCGCCAATGACACCGAGGCCGCCGGCGTTGGATACAGCGGCTGCAAGAGGCCCGCCGGAGGTTCGCGCCATCCCGGCGAGGATGATAGGGTATTGGATCCCTAGGAGCTTCGAAAGTGGCGTCTGCAGGATGGGTGTCGACATGTTGGCAATCGATTCAATTCATGCAAGGGCAGGATTGGGAATTGGTGAGAGCAAACGAGCGCGCACAAAACTGCTATAACGACGCCCAGGCCTAAAGGTGCTTGGATGAGGGGAGCTCATGGCGAATCTGTGTACATAAATAGTGATTGTCGGTTGGAGACAAGAAACAAGGGTGCCAGTTGCGGGGCCTCGGTTCGTCGGTCGATTTCAGGGCTGACTCGCTCGGCAGGCTGCTGTCACATGACTCACGCTCTCAAACAGACCCAGAGGGATGAAGAACCACAAGCTGTTGTGATGCAAGAAGTAATATACATGGACTTGAATGGAGTGGTTCTGCTAGCTGGGCTGTACCCCGTAGCAAGCTTATTCACCCCAGAAGTAGAGCCATGAGCCACACCTACATAGTCCCCATCCCTCAATCTCTCCAGGTCTTCAACATGCCGATCACGTACCACTGCTGCTACACACTTCACCACAACGAATGCGAGAGGTGGAAGTGGGGGCCGACGAGATGTCGGCTGACACTGTAGAGGTGGAGAACAACATGGACCCGTCAGGAGAGGTGATAGGGTCGGACCTAGGATGCAACATGCCCATTAGCGTTTGACTCCATTGAGCTGACCATTGACTTGTCGGTGACCATGCCCATTCACTTTCCCATTCGCAAGACTCTGAGGTGGAGGGGGTGGTGGCGGAACGGGGCCAAACGGACGGCGTTCTAGGACAGGCTCCATCGCATCCTCCTCGGTATCGTCATCGTAGTCCCCACTACCTTCTTCATCTTCGTCCTCGTAGTCGTATTCGCTTTCAGTAACCTCTTCATCCTCCTCTAGATCGTTCATTGGTACCTGACCACGACCCTGAGCCTGCATCCCACGACAAAGTGTCTCCAGCCTCGCAATCTTCTTACGTTGATCTTCCAATTCCTTGTCTTTTCGGGCAATCAAGTCTTGCATTCTCGTGCGTTCCTCGACCATTTCACCAATGTTTCGGTTCGTGACTTCCTTATTCCGGGTGAGGTTTTGATTCTCCTTTTCAAGGCGCTTAGTCTTCTTCGACATCTCCTCCATCTCCTTGCGGAAGGTCAGAAACAGGTCGTTAGAATTATTGAGTGTCTCTTCCACCTGCATCTGGTCAGTTGTAACCAACACACCGTTAGTTGAGAAAGTGCTAAGAATAAGCGCCATACCTGTTTGAACTTCTCAACGTAGATGTTCAATTGCGTACGCAGCTCTGTTTCGGTCTGGGAGAAGGTTGAGACTTGTCTCGTCAATTGATGCGACTTGGAAGATTCCGCCTCCTGTTGTTTGCGCTGTTGCTCTAGCCGGGCCATTTGATACTGTATTTCGAGTTCCTTGGTCCGGAGGAGAGAGTGGAATTGCAGTTCGCGCAGCTCATATTGTTCGATAAAGGACTTGAACTTTTGCCGGAACCTATGACTATCTCAGCGGAAGTCCGTTCACAGAAAAAGGGAAGGCGCACAGCTCGTCTAGCTCCATATCAATGGGGGGCTGCTGTTCGGGCTGATTCTGCGCGTCGATGCAGTCTTCCACATCAGCGACCATCTTCTCCAGACGATCATGGAGTTCTTCTCGGGCCCTTGATTCGGTAGTCTCGAGTTTATGAAGTTCATCCTAAGACACATCAATCCTAATTCTGTTGTGCTGTCAAGGCAGAATGGGCGAACCTTCAACCTCTTGTTCTCCTTGGTGAAGTCCCTAGATATCTTCTCAAGTTTGTCCTTCATCGCTGTGACCCTATTCAGCTCGGTCCTCTGGGAGTCTTTCTCTTTCTGGAGTTGGTCTCCCCGTTTCTTCGCCTTCTGGTGTTCGCGCTCGGTGCGCTTCATGTCCTGAAGAAGCTCGGTGTATTTCTTTTGGACAACCTCGAGGCGCGACATGGGAGTCTCCATGTTGGAAAGAAGGGACGACAAGTCTCGATTGGCTTTCTTCACTTCGCGCTCTATTATGAAATGCTGGTGTTAGCCATATGAAACTCTAAGCCAAACGGGGAGAACTGATGTTCGTATTTATAACGCCCGCGCTCCACTGTGCCAAAGTTGTATGGCAGGGGCTGACCCACCGATCTCGCGTTCCTGTTCCTGATCTCCAGCTGCGTCCAGTTCCAACTGCGCAATCTTGGCCTGAATCTGTTTCGCCTGCTCTGAAGGATCTGTGGACTTCTTGCCCTTGGCCTTCTTCGCAGGCGCGGGGGCATGTTGCGCCGGAGCCATGGATGCGGACGTGGACGTGGATGCACTGCGGCTCGCTTCCATGCCACGGCCGGAGTTGGAGCGGGATGGAAGGGTCGGTACGTGGTGTTGCTGTGCAACAGTTGCCATGAAGTCGCTCGTCGGGAACGGGCGCTTCAGACGCTTGAGCACCCGGGTGACGTCTGGGGAGACGTCCTTGACCGTTTCACCGCGGCGCTCGACCAATGCACGCTAGCTTTTACATATGCAGCATGCGCAGACGCGATCGGGGCGAGATGCTCGCGGGCTGAGGGGCTCGTCTGACGCCTCGGAGGTGTTCGCTCGGGAGGTCGGAAAACGGGCAACTCTCCAGAGCAGGAGGACACTGCAAGCGGCGGCCTCTGACGGAGATATGTGTTTGATTAAAAATCGGGGCGACGTGTGGATATGGCTGTTCGAGTAGAGTCTCGCGGGGAGTGTCCGTGGCTAATAGTGGTGTGTTGGGTTAAGGAGGGGACCTGGCAGAAGTTGGAGGTTTCGTCAGTATTCTTCGCTAGGCATCTGGTTGGGGACGGCACAACAGGCTCACTGGTACATGTCAACGCCGCACCGTAGCTCCAGAATTGAAGGCACGCGAGCAACACCGTCTCCAATGCGGCCACTGGCGCGTGAAACACCACAGAAGGCAGCAATTCGCCTGCTTTTGGACCTGGCTTTTCGGCACTGCAGCCCGCAGGCTTTTCGTACTTAGTCATCGCAGGACTAAACCGTGCTGGTATATATATTACCCCCTGTCCAATGAGCTTGTAGGCCATAGATTTTTTTTGGCTTGCCTTCTTAGTTGTGGGCAGTGCCGGCAGCCGCTCTCTTGTACGCCTCAACCATGCTGCGCTCTGCTCAGTGGCAGCTTCGGAGACCTCGGAACTTCATCCCTTTACTATCGTCTCAAGCTTATCGCCGAGGATATGCTGTGGCTACAGAGCTGTCAAGCTTTCCCAAGGTTGGAGAGCAGCTCCATGGCTTCACACTCAAGCGCGTGAAAGAGGTCCCGGAGCTTGAATTGACAGCTCTTCAGCTTCAGCATGACAAAACGGGAGCTGACTACCTACATATCGCCCGAGACGATTCAAACAATGTCTTCTCCATTGGATTTAAAACCAATCCACCAGATGATACCGGAGTCCCGCACATCCTGGAACATACAACGTTATGTGGCAGCGAAAAGTATGTGTTTTACTCTAGAAGACGCAGTCAATATGCTCATCCAGGTGTAGATATCCCGTCCGGGATCCATTCTTCAAAATGCTTCCTCGATCCCTCTCCAACTTCATGAATGCATTCACCTCCGCAGATCACACTACCTACCCGTTCGCCACGACCAACGCCCAGGATTTCCGAAATCTCATGTCTGTATATCTCGATGCTACCCTGCATCCACTTCTAAACGAAAGCGATTTCACCCAGGAAGGATGGCGCATAGGCCCGGAGAATCCGCTTGCAGCACACGGTGCGGAGGCGGAGAATGCGGGCCGTCTTGTCTTCAAGGGTGTAGTCTACAATGAAATGAAGGGGCAGATGTCAGACGCTAGCTATCTGTTTTACATCAGATTCCAGGACCACCTTTTTCCAGCTATCAACAACTCGGGAGGTGATCCGCAGAAGATTACGGACCTCACTTGGGAGCAGCTTCGGAAGTTTCATGGGGATCACTATCATCCAAGTAATGCAAAGCTGTTGACGTATGGGGACATGCCGTTAGTGGAGCACTTAAAGGAGATCGATGCCCGGTTGAGCTGCTTTGACAGAATTTCTGTCGACCACGATATCAAAATGCCAATCACACTAGATGGCCCCAAAGAGGTGACAGACTTAGGCCCACTAGACCCTCTAGTCCCTCCAGATCGGCAATACAAGACTTCGGTGACTTGGCTGATGGGAGATACATCAGACGTTGTGGAGAACTTCTCGCTCGGAATTCTGAGTAACCTTCTTCTGGACGGGTATGGATCACCTCTTTACCGCAACCTCATTGAATCTGGACTAGGTGCAGATTTCAGCCCGAACACAGGATACGACAGTGCAGGAAAGGTAGGTGTGTTCTCGGTGGGTCTGAATGCTGTTACGAAAGAGGATGTGCCGAAGGTTCGAGAGGCAATTGTAAAGACTCTTCTTGAGGCCAGAGAGAGTGGATTCGACAAAATCAAAGTCAGCGGCATTCTTCACCAACTGGAGCTCTCTTTGAAGCATAAGACAGCAAATTTCGGGATGAGCATCATGCAGAGACTGAAGCCGGGCTGGTTCAATGGTGTCGATCCAATGGACGCGCTGGCTTGGCAAGACACCGTGAACGCATTTCAGAGCAGATACGCAAAGGGCGACTATCTAGAAAGTCTTCTGGATAAATATCTTCTGAACGACAGGACCTTGACTTTCACCATGCAGCCGTCCGAGACATACAGTCAAGAGCTGGCAGACGAGGAGAACAAGAGGTTAGCCGAGAAGATCCTACAGGCCACAAGACATTTCCCGAGTGAAAATGAAGCCCAAGCGTACCTCGAAAAGCGGGAGTTAGAGCTTCTAGAAGTTCAAGAGAAGGCTCGAAATCAAGATCTTAGCTGTCTCCCAACCGTCCATGTCAGGGATATCCCGCGGGAAAAGGAAAGGAAGCCACTTCGACACAGCAACATTGGGGACGTAAATGTTCAGTGGCGGGAAGCCCACACGAATGGATTGACCTACTTCCGTGCTGTTCACAACCTCCACAACTTGCCTGACGAACTTAGAGAGATGATCCCTCTATTTACAAGTGCCATCCAGCGACTCGGGACTCGGACTAAGACAATGGAACAGTTAGAAGAACTCATTAAACTCAAGACTGGCGGGATCTCGGTGGGCTATCATTCGTCGCCCTCTCCTCATTCACTCAGCGCGTTCAGGGAAGGCCTCTCTTTTTCGGGATTCGCGCTTGACCGCAACGTTCCTGACATGTATGAGTTGCTCCGTACGATCATCACGGAGACAGATTTCGATGGGCCAGAGGCGGAGAAGAAGATTCGAGAGCTGCTTCAGAGTTCCGCAAGTGGCGCCATCAACTCGATCGCCGAATCCGGTCATGTTTTTGCAAGGACATTTGCAGAAGCTGGCCTAACTCCTGTTGGCCGATTGAGCGAACAGACTTCCGGTCTGACCCAGGTCAAGCTCATGACGGGCTTGGCTTCTCGCACTCCTTCGGAATCGCTTGCCGACGTCATCCAAAAGTTGAAAGCTATTCAGTCTTTCGCTATTGCGAACAGTAAGAACCTCCGCGTGGCCTTGAATTGTGGTCATGAAAGCTCAACCTCGAATCAAGAAGCGTTGAGTCGCTTCCTCGGTAGTCTGCCTACGAGCACTACGAACCCTTCATCCACCTCGCCGGAAACAAAGTATCCTCGGAACTCAAAATCGTTCTTCCCTCTGCCCTACCAAGTGTATTACTCCGCTAAAGCTGTTCCTACAGTCCCCTACGTTGATGCATCTGGAGCCCCACTTGAGATCCTCGCCCAGCTCCTCACGCACAAACACCTGCATCACGAGATCCGCGAAAAAGGCGGCGCTTACGGCGGTGGTGCCTACTCCCGCTCTTTGGGTGGTCTGTTTGGAATGTACAGCTACCGCGATCCCAATCCTCAGAACACCATGAAGATAATGAGTAAAGCGGGGCAATGGGCACGAGACCGCATCTGGACGGCGCAGGATCTAGAAGAAGCCAAACTCAGTGTCTTTCAAGGCTACGATGCTCCACAGAGCCTCAACCAGGAAGGCATGAGGCTGTTTCTCTCCGGCATCACCGACGATATGCTGCAAACGAGGCGGGAGCGTCTGTTGGATGTCACTGCAGAAGATGTCCAGAGGGTCGCAGACCGGCACCTCGTTCAGCGCGCTGCGGAAAGTAGTGTAGCCATTCTTGGCGAGAAGAAAGATTGGGTGGATGTCAAAAACGGTTGGGATGTCCGCGATCTAGGTATGACAGAAAAGATGGAAGGGCTAGCTCAGCAATTGCCGGAGGAGATGGCGGCGCAACCTTGAGCATTTAGTCCTCTTTCGTCTTCTGAGAGGAACATCTTGTAAGTCCTTGTAAACTACTCAACTCTGGCATCGTTAGCATCTACGTATGGGAAAACACTTTTGGTAGGGATGAATAAATTCCATCCCTTTCTCTCTTCCCTCTCTTTCAAACTTCTTCCTTTGTCATCCCATCCCATCCTCATCTCGGCTCGGCCCACCATTCTCCCCGGTGGACCGTGCCCTAGGCAGGCACCCTAACTATAAAACCACCATCTCTCCCTCCTCTCCCCTCCTACAAGCGCAAGCAAAGAACAACCCACGGACCCGCAAACTACCACCTCCATAGTTCGCTGGGACCGATCCCCTCTTTCGGGGTCCATGCGCGAGATCAATCTACGTCTATCCCGAGCCGAGGACGCGAGACTTTTGCAAGGGAGTATTTCGTTAGGTGAGGGAGTCTTCCTGGCTCGATCTAGCCCGAGGCTGAAAGGCGCTAGGCAAGGAAAGAGCCGGAGGGGGGGTGGAGCTACCATTTCAGAACTGCGGGACTGGAGATTCGTGGTCCTGCGGACTATCCTGGGAAGTACATATATGTTTTGAGAAAAGGGAGGTGAGAGTGCATTGGTAAGGGTTTAGTGCTTGTGCCTAGTTAGTGAGTGAGTGGGGAAAATAGGTTGATAATGTAGAGGTTCGCTGTCCTCGGGTGTAGTGTTTCGGTAGAGGCTTCCGACCTTGGAAAGGCCCCTACCTTCCTAACGTCCCTTCATGGGTGGCAGAAAACCCACTGTGCCGGAAAATATAAGGGGTACTTTAACTTCAAGCGATTGCAACTCTGCGCACACGTCAAGTTTTACTAAAATTATATATAAATAGTGTGCTGTGGCTACATGGAAACATTAAACCTTTTCTAGCCTATAAATTACATTCGTATTATCGCCTTCTTGCGTGATTTGCTTAGAGCACCACCATTAAGCTTTTACTACTTACAATACACCTCTGAGGGCCTTGTCTAAGCCTTAGAGCCTTATTCTAATAATAGGAAGTTGTTGCGTCGCCAAAAGGTCAACCTTCCAGCCAGCACAGCAGAAGAATATATATAGGCGGATAATTGTGTGCGACAGAAGTCATCATGAGCTTTGTGTCTACTATCGCGCACAAGTTCATGCAAGGTCGCCACCCCAGATGGTACCTCCAATCAAAGCAATTGCTAATCCTGGCTAGTGCTGAACAACTCTGCCTCACACAATCAATCCTCACGGCGTAATTTTATAGTGGCTGTTAGGCCTGTGGCTGTGCGAAATCTTAGCAAGCGGCCTAACCTATTGCCCGTAGCCTTGCAATCCAACTCACCCTTGGCTAAGCTTCCAGTCAACTCCCTGGGAACACCTACAGAATCGCCATCTCACAAGGGTGAAGCCGGCGCGGGTCGTCCATCCCTCCCTGCTAGCGGTGGCGATGTGACACGTGGACTAACGAAAGAAGTACCAGCTTCCTGCACAGTCTGAGGACACTTACACACTGACCGGCTAGCCAACTCGACCGGGCTAGGGTTGCCGCCATCTCGAGTATTTAAAAGACACACTATGATAGGACCGTCAAAAGTGTCAGAACCATGCAGCGACAGACACCAGACAGGATATGACGAACCAAGCAGTGTCTCTGCCACCCTCGCCGCTAAGTTGTTAGAAGCTATTCGAATCTAATAGGTCTTGCGAGCGTGTGCATAGAGTGATAAGACGCAAATTATCTTAATTAAGCAATGCATCCACCGCTTCGGAACAGGCCCCCGTGCCGCTTAGTTATCAACAACAGACCTGTGCGCAATTCTTGCAATGTTCTCATGCTCAATTTTTTTGTCTGGAGGCATTGCTGATGTTTGTAGATGCAGGTTTTGCGCAGGCAGCAAGGTTGACACGTTTATAAGACTAACTGCTTCTGTGGCGGTGCATACCTTGCTGCCCCTAAACGCAATTTTCACCTCTTGCTCGCAGCTAGGGGTTTAGTTTAGTCTCTCCACTATGTTGTTCGGATTCTCTGTTGGTGACTTATTAGCGCGGCAAACTTTCCCTACTGTCTAATTAAAGCGTTACGTAGCAGCTAAGGTGCTAGTGAGAATCTTGTGCTGTAATTAACAAGCTAGGATATGTTTAGCAAGCCTTTATCTAAGCTATTTAGGGTCTAACAAAACCTTCCCCTGGACTACCTTTAAATCCTCATCATGTATTATTATAGGATTAATAGATATCATCTAACGTCCATCCCTGCGTGCCGGGACACCCGCCGTGCTGGGACACTACTAATACTTTCCAACACAGCAAAGCCAACAATAAGCTAGAGGCATAGACATTCTCAGAATAAAGATATTAAATCATAAGCTTCATTCAGATCTAATATCTCTTAGGTATGGCTTCTGCTTACTGTGCAATACCACAGTCCGTCGTGAGCCAACCACGAGCACGTTACTTTAGACGTCTGTAGGTGCACCAAAAGTTCATGCATCCTACCGAAAATCCGTCAAGTTGCAGCTCATTGCATAGTGATCCAATCCCGAGCGCGGCGACAGAGCCCGAGAGGCAGTTGTGTTTCCACGCTGGCCTGAAATCTACCAGCTGATTTGACCGATGCTTAGATTTACTGGGGAACCGTCGCCTACGTCCGGAAGCGGCTTGGGTGTAATTTATCGACGCTGATGCTGGCCTCTAATTGCGATACACGTTAGGCCCCCATCTTGTCAGGAGCTCGCCTTGAGTATCACCCATTTGTACCCAGCGTGACAAGTCCTTTTTTTTCCGTAGCTGGATGCATTTGTGTAGCATTCTGTCTGATATTGCACATTAGTCCCGTCATTATATATATGCTAGTCCTTCAAATGTCTAAGACTCATCTTCGCGAGCCGACGGAATAGACTTGATTTCTTCCCAGTTTGTCTGCTTACGTCACTGGGTGGAATCTCTTGGGGAACGTCAGTCGGGTCCCGCTCTTGAGACGAAAGCATCTGCGAATAGTGTTGGTGACATGCGCGGGTAGTTGGATGATCCTTCCCAAGAGTGGCAATGTACCCAATGGATGCTCTTTCATAAAGCACAGTAGATTCATCGTAACGATGCCGATTTGCAAGAAGACGAGCGAGGCAGTACACGGTCGTCAGCGTGGAAGGATGCTCAACACCAAGCACCTTCTCATGCCTCGCCAGCGTCTGCCTGTGCATCGATTCGGCCTCCTCGTACTTGCCTTGGCTGTCCAGCACTACAGCCAAGTTGTTCATGGTCCCCAGCGTGGAAGGATGCTCAACACCAAGCACCTTCTCACTAGTCGCCAGCGTCTGCCTGTGCATCGATTCGGCCTCCTCGTACTTGCCTTGGCTGTCCAGCACTAGCGCCAAGTTGTTCATGGTCCACAGCGTGGAAGGATGCTCAACACCAAGCACCTTCTCACTAGTCGCCAGCGTCTGCCTGTGCATCGCTTCCGCTTCCATGTAATGGCCTTGCTGGTGTAATGCAACTCCTACCTCATCCATACTTGTAAGTGTATCCCTATGCTCTTGCCCCAAGCTCTTATTCCGAGATGCAAGAACTTGTCGGTGTGTCGTCTCTGCCATTGAGTATTGTCCTAGACTTGCCTGGCATCGCCCAACTCGAACTAGGAGCGAATCCTTCGTGGTCTCATCCAGAGTGTCATCCAATCCGGCCATGTGGATTGCGTGAGGGAGGTACGCCGTCCATACTTCTTTCCTCTCGAGTCCGCCACAGGGGACAAGCTCCTCAAGTCGTACAGCTGCCTTCCTCGTCCAAGTCGTCCACTTGCCATGTTTTTGAAGCCACCACATCGAGGCCAAGTGGACGAGTCGGTGGATATCAAAGAATTTCTCTTCTTTTGACTATTGCAGAACCCTTTGGCGTTCCAGTGTGTCCAACCGTTAGTTACAGAGCCTTTTGGAGGTTGTATAGTACAGTTACGGAAGAGTCAGCTGTTACTAACTAACTGTACGGAGGAGATGACGTCGGTGTACAGTTCAGATACAGTAACTAAAGTATTATAAAGTAATTGCGCTAAAGCTAAAGACTATACCTAATTAGGAAGTTGTAATACCCCTTATAAGATCTACAGTTATTAATCTTACTAGTAACATACTTCACAGGCAAGTTGCTCACACACCTAAGTTACTTACTTTTGCTAAGACCCTACTAAACTACTCTTTTTACACTAATGCATTCCCCACAACACTACTTAGATATGCTAAAAGAATGTTAGATATAGCTTACACTCTAAGCTTTTAAATAAAACATAAAACTCTTAAAGAAATGTGCTATAGCTATGTGTAAAGTCTTATAAAAAATAATAAATAACTATAGCATTAAATAACTTTTATAAGCTAATTCTACAGCTAAATTATAAAGGCTAGGTAATAAAAAGAAGTAAGTAATTATTAAAACTATACTTAAGCTATATATATAAGGAATTTCCTTTTAAATAGCATTTATAGCTAATATAGCTAATTCTTTGCGCGCTAAGCATAATCTAGGCTATGTTTATATAAACTAGCCTAGTATGTTTATAAAGTGTTATTTAAAGCTTAAAGTAACATTTAAGCGTAAGTATAACTATAAGAGAGCCTTTTATAAAAGTCCTAAGGTAATTTAGAGTAAGTTTAGCCTTATAAAGAATATTAAAGCTAAGTATAGCATTTAAAATAATAACATGTACAACTTTAGTAAAATAAAGTTTATAATTAGCTAAATATCTTTTAACTATACTTACGCTTAAAACTTTACTTTAAGCTTTAAATAACACTTTATAAATATACTAGGCTAGTTTATGTAAATATAGCCTAGATTATACTTAGCGCGTAAAGAATTAGCTATATTAGCTATAAATGCTATCTAAGAGGAAATTTCTTACGCATATAGCTTAAGTATAGTCTTAATAATTACCTACTTTTTTTTATTACCTAGCCTTTGTAATTTAGCTGTAGAATTAGCTTATAAAAGTTATCTAGCGCTATAGTTATTTATTATTTTTTATAAAACTTTGTATATAGCTATAGCATATTTTTTTAAGAGTTTTATGTCTTGTTTAAAAGCTTAGAGCATAAGCTATATCTAACATTCTTTTAGCGCGTCTAAGTAGTGTTATAGGGAATGCATTAGTATAGAAAGGGTAGTTTAGTAGGGTCTTAGTAAAAGTAAGCAACTTAGGTGTGTAAGCAACTCGCCTGTGAAGTACGTTAATAGTAATGTTATGTAACTAATTCTTCTGCAGTTAAGAAGCCTCTATTATTAACACTAATAGTTAATTTCTTCTTATTATAATAGTCTTTTTAGCCTGTAAGAAGCACTGCTTGCACTTACATAAAGTTACTAGGATTAATAGGAAATTAAGAGTAATGTTAATCTTAAAGGCAATTCTAACATTATAGCAGGCATTATTTAGGTGCTCCTTAGCCTAGGTATCTTGCATATGCTTTAAGGGAGTTGCTTCACGCGAGGACAGCCTAGATAGGCTAGGTGAGGCCATGTGGGCCTTCTCTAAGCGTTGGGATCAGGCAGCATGATATATCTGGGTGGCAGAACGGCTGGATGAGGCATGTGAGGATGAGGCCCGCGAGGATGGGGCCTGCGAGGTGGTAACACGCTAAGATGACCGCGTCATTAATTAGGATAGGAATTAGGACATCATAATAGGCAAAAGAATAAGGTAGATAGCATAGTTGCTGAATTTGTTAGAAGATTGCTAACAAAACAGGCACTACCGTAGCTTAGCATCTGACGCACGGTTTCACCTGACGCACGGTTTTCCCCAAACAACCTCATCATCAAATAAAGCTTTTAAGGCCTACACTAGTAGTCAAATCGCGAGATTTTTGAGAGTAATAGTAAACTTAGTTGCGCGAAAAAGTCTATTGTGTTTTCTAAGTCAAATACCTAGTAGGAAGCTTAATTTGCCTACCCCGTTGATTTGTTAACTGGGGCGCCTCTACCAACTCCACAATTAATTTATCCTTAATGCTAACATTCTAATGCCTTACTATAGGCTATTTCTGTCTTTTTAAAGCCTCCTTGGCTGCTTTAATGTTAGTTTAGAGTTATATAGCAGCTTATTTAGCTAGTTTGTTATCCTTCTTTTAACACTTTTTACAAGCTACCTTTTACAGTCTAATTTCTTTAGCTGTTACTTTTATATGCTTTTTTTTTTATAACTCTTTTTTTTTTTTTTGTTTAGCTTTACGCTTTGCTTTTTTTTGCTTTTAAAGTTTCTTTACTTTTACTTTTTTTTCTTTTTAAGCTTAATATTTATAAGCTTATTAGACCTTATTTAGGCTCTAAAATATAGCTTTTTTATTAGAGTTTAGTAGTAGTTTAAGCTGCAAAGCTTTACTTTTTTAATAACACTTCTTTTTATTTACTAAAGCCTTTTTTAGGCCTTAAACCTCTAGTTTTAAAAGAATATTCTAAGTTAAGAGTAAGTAAAGCGTCTAAGAGAGCTAACATGCTTCTAAGTTATGCATGTTGTTAATAGCTGCTTATAATAGCTTAGCAATCTTCCTCTAATCTTTAGATATAAAAACTAACTTTAAACTCTTACTAAAAAAAAGTCTTTTATTGTTGCTGCTGTTACTGCTAGTGCTAGTGCTAGTAAATTAAGCTAAAATAACTTCTATATTAAATAGGTGTAATCTACAGCTTTTAAAGCCTAAAAGTATGTTTTTTTTTATAAAAGACTTCTTCTACGCAGCATTAAACATAGCAAAAAAGTCTCTTTTAGTTATAGCTAAAAAAGCTTAAGATTTTTTTATAAACTTTACTACCTTCTTACTATACACTAGAGAAAGAGGCTAGAACATAGTAATGTTTAGAGGCTAAAGCATGTAAGTTAAGTAAGAAGAGTAGACTACTAAAAAGATTTTATTATTATTATAAAATTAAATAAACTTTATAGTTATATAAGATCTATAGCTGTTAAGAATAAGTAGTTAGTAACACCTTTAAGCCTTATTTTTTATCTGTTAATTAAAGATAGTTTTAACTTATTAAAGGCTTAAGTTATTATTTATCTATTTACTTAAAAATAAAGTAAAGAAAGCTTTGTAAATTTTAGGGTTAAAATTCTATAGCTAAGTGTCTTAGATGTTACCTGTAACAGCTTAGTGTAAAGATGGGATGGTAAGTAGCACGAATAGCACTGAGAGCAAGCTTTTAGAGAAAGATAGGAGTGTATTGTAAGAGAGACGAATCGCTGCCAAGCTTCGCTTGTCAGGATTCATGCTTATATACGAAGCACAGGTCATACGACCTCCAAACAGGTCAGGTGAGGCCATACTGGCCCGTTCTGGGACATCCGGCCTTACATTTAGTAGATAAGGCCTAGAGATAAGGCAGTTCTATCTGCGTATATGCATGTAATAGTTGTAATTTGTCACGATTGTGCACGAGTAAGGTTATAGAGCTTCACAGAGGTCTAGTTTAATTACTATGTAAGGTATTATAGTAGGTACAAGACGTTGTGTAAGGAATAAGAAGGTTTAGAAAAAAATTAGTAATTAAATACTTAGCTTAAAAGTCTAAGCACTTTAAGTATAAATTAAGCTTATTTTAAGTTTAGTTAGTGTTAAGGTAGTTTATGCTTAAGTTTATGTCTATATTATGTTATATTTATGTTAGACATGCACTAATAATACTCTAGTACACGTCTAATATAGTTATGTCTAGGATCTAGAGAGGATACTGTAACAGTACCCCCCTTTTTATTAAAAAAGAAATTCTTTACATTAGTAGTTTTAGTATTAGGTTATCTTTATTAGAGTATAAGTTTAGTTTAAATAAGTATTAAGCGTAGAATTAGGTTACTATAGAGTTTTTTTATAAAGCTTTTACAGGTTTTTATAACAGTTTATTATATCTAGTCTATTTTATAAAGTATTTATAGATATGTTTTTTTTTATTAAACTAGATTTATTTAACATCTTTTATAATATATTTTAGTTTATTATTTATAATAATAAGTTTAGGTAGTAGGTTTAGCTGTTTAGGTAGATAGTTAGATTTAAAGGCTACTTAGCGCAGCAGCAATATGTAGAACACAGGGTGTATCTTTATGCTGTTAGGTAAGATTAATTAGTAAGCATATAATAAAACTATATAAGCTATTATAAAAGGGCTAAAGTTTTTTTAATTAAGTTTCTTTAATTATTAGTTTATTTAGATATTTCTAGTGTCTAGCTAGACCTTCTTACTAGCTGCATACGCAGGGGTAGAGGTTTAGAATTAGTTTATGTACTTTTATTAAAAAGCTTAAGCCTATATAAGCTCTTTATAAATGTATTTAAATATATTTTAGATTTTATTAATAAGTTTATTTATATTTATTACTTATATAGATTAATAAGTTAGTTAGAGGGTATTTAAAAGTAGTTTAAATTTTATTTAAAAGTAGTATTTATAGTTTACTAAGAATAAAGATACTTATATTAATTTAGATATTATGTTATTAGCTTTAAACTATACTATAGCTAACTATTTT